GTGAGTTAGATTGGAGAAAGTTTATGAACTGAAATCAAAATGAGTTGACTCTTGATAAAGTTGAAACAACACCTGGATAAAGAAAGAGAAAAAGAACAAAGAGAAGGAAAAAATATCCAAGTCATTTGGTTAAACTATGGGCGATGAGCTCAGAGCAGAGGCCAGTTCATAATCAAATCGTAATGCAACATGATCTACGAACATAAAAAACATGCACCGGTCCTACAGAAAGCTTTGATCGGATTTTCAAACCGAAACTGTACTAAATAACATTGCAAAGTCTCTATAGGCTGTGTTTTGGGCAGTCTGAGTGCTGAGTGTAAACGCCCGCCAGTACGGAGTAGTGTCCAAGGCGCTTCAGTTTAACGAATATCCATATTAATGAGACGCGTATCCTGGCCAAGTGGCTGTGGTGCAGTCCTTTGATTAGGGTATGTTAATCGTCATGGCGCTGCGAAAGCGAGTAGATGTTTACCGGTGATACCATCTGAAGAATCTGGAGGTCCATGTAACATGGCCGGTGCCCTAGTGTAGTGAATGCTCTTTCATACTTCGGATTGGTTTCTTTGACCTACGGCAGGAAAGAGTTGCTCCAGACCACAAAACCCCTGAGTAGCTGGTCTGTCTGAGGAATATTTGCCTGTTGCTGCGACCTTCCAAGAGAAGTGCGTTCCAAGCAATGTACTCAGCAGATCAATTGTTTTCTCTTTAAAGGCAGAGCTGGGTGATATCTAGGAAGAATTGCACGTACGATCAAATTATCACCCTCTCCCAGGGTTAGAAAGCGATTTTTGATAATAATTCGACCAAATACTTTTGGCAAGAGGAATTTTGATATCGCATTTTGTCGCTAGATGCGTAGGGATGTCAATTATGATGGAGGTTGGGCCATCGTTACAGAATTGCGAGAGCTCTTTAATTCAGACGGTCAAAATGTCTTGTCGGCCCAGTGAAACACACAGCTTTAAAGATAGGGATCTCTTGCTCGGAGAAAAATTCATTCGTCAGCTCCAGGATAAACTTCAGTGATAATGACGTAAAGAGGTTTGGTGGCATACAAATTGGGTAAACTTTTCAGATATTCTCTGTGTTCTTGTTGTAAGTTACGCTCTTGGCCTCTGTATGAATGTATGTTAGGATAGTATTAGAACAGAACAAATACATTAAGTCCTGGTGAAGGGTAGTTAGTGAGTCCTAGCAGATATCACTATCCTGTGAACGGGGTAGTGGAATAATAGTGATAAAGGGCGTGTGGCGCGATTAACTTTAGGAGCCAAGACAAGGGTCATCCCGGCTTAAGTCCGAAACATCAAAAGCAAATTACATCTACGGAGTAGTTAACTCCGTACTCACAGGCTCTTCAGCGCGGGCAGGCAATGCCAACATTACCGCTTCCTCACAAAGCGCCCAAACTCACACTTCACCACCCATGAATCGACATGAATTTGACACTGGTGGGTGTCTCGCCGTGTCTGTATCGCATGTTTCCCGTATATATGTCGCCAACCGCTTCTCAACGCAAAGAAATTCCGAGCCTTCCAGCTAAGCTCGTATAACTAACTGCTCCTAAGTGATTTATGTACATGAACGTGACCTCCTGTGATACGGCATGGGTAGTAAAGTCGAACTACTGCGCATAGAGCAAGCTGATGTTCGGATGCACGGCCAGGCTGGCCGCCGTTCGAACCGTGGGAAGAGCCCTTCTCTGCGTATCAGCAACAACCCCACCGGATCTCGGTACATAAGAGTCCCTCGCTGTCCATTTCTAATCCTTCTTCCGGAGCACGGGAGTGGCTAGGTCTTTTGGCAATTGGGCTAAGATTTCCCGCTAGGACGCCAACAATTATTAATCAAGCTATATCCAATGAGCGGAAGCGGTGTAATGCACCCTATCCTGAACGGAACAGCAGAGCTGTCGTTGTTTCTGAGAGTCGTCGCCTTCCTTCATATATAACTACCAAGCGTATATATGGATATGTGCCATAGGTCGTCAACACCCTCTGTCTTACCGCCGAGAGTTGTGTACGCCATATGCCCTCAATACTCCATTCCCCATATGCTCCAGGTTAAGTTGAGCTTACTTCCGGAAAGAACGGTCATGTGGCACTTCTGCTTGTGCTTCCCCACCTGTATAACAGCCGACATAAATTGGTTTGTTCACTTGCACCCATGGATGCCAGTGACGATCGACAAAGGAAGATCGCTGTCCGGAGGATAAGACGTGTCCGTGCTCCAGTAGCGTTCGCGGCGGCGGCGCGGACCCGGAGGGCTTCGTTGCCGCCGCAAATGCTTCAGTAGCTTTACCGCCTTTAGGGACGGACTACTCCGTACTCTGACTTTTGTGCTGATGACTCTTATTTTGTGTTTGCTCTAACAAGCATTTTCTTTCATCAGCTCTGCAAGTACCCCGTACACGCAATAGCAGAGTTCTCTGTCACTTTTCTCTGGTCCACGTCAGCAGCGTAGTTAACTATGGTCTAGATCCGCAGTGTTGGAGGCCTCATGGTTATTATGTGAAAGCCTTTGCTAGAATTTCTTATTTGGCTTATATGCAAACCCTGTCAAATTCTAACAAATTAATGGCCGACATCACAGTTGCCGGGTATCTTAACGGCTGTTATCTCCTAAATGCTGACTTTTGGCTGTTGTCGGAGCCTGTGATTTAATCGTCTCTGCTGCTATTATTAATATACAGCCCTATCACCTTTCGCGTGACAAGTCATTAATATTTGTCCTTGCTTGTTAAATTTCTGTTCTTTCTGACAGCACAACCAACCTTGTGTCGTTTGAAACTGCGTTTATTTCATTCTATCTAGCTGAGAACTCATTACACTGCAGCTTTGAACTGTATTGAACGAATTACTGGCTCATGCAACGATTATCTGCCTTGGTTACCCTTGGAGTCGCCATACTCCTCTTGTCGAAAGCGAACGCGGAGCCCCATGGCAATGAATATGATTCAATGAAGATACATGGCGCAACCGATCCGCTCCACAAACCTTCTACGACCGGAATTACAGTACATGCCCACGCGCCCGGGCCATTAAGCTATTTCGTCTATGGAGAGCATTCGGGAACTATTATTGCCCATATTGTCGTGATGGTTCTTGCTTGGGTGTTTATTCTCCCAATTGGTATGTATGCTGCGCTTTTGGCCTTGACACTACAGGTACTAATTGTTCTTGCGACCCAGGCGTGATGTTCAGCATTGCTCGATCTCGACTTGCACTTCCTGCCCAGTTCATCTTTCTTATCGTCAATGCGCTTGGAGTATTAGTCGGAATTGTCTACAACGGCCAAACACCAGACTTATACCAGAACAATGCCCATCATAAGGTTGGATGGATTGCTACTTGCGTTGTGATTGCCCAGTTTGTTATGGGGCTTTTGTTTGCTTTCCCGAGACGAAAATCGCACGGCAAAGGTGCTGCTTATGAAAGCGTTTCCTTTATACCAAACTTGCACTCCTTTCCACCGGATAATATGGAGCACCGGCATCAACACCGGTGGTCCAGGGATAGTGGACAAGGCACCGAGAGGAGCTCTTCTTCACTGCACAGCCAAAGATCCAGTTCTGCAGGACGTGGTCGTAGGCCAGTTCAAGATGACGAAGTTGAAGAGTTTGACGAGAAACAAGCCAAAGAAAATAAAGCCGGGTCCATATTTGAACGATTCTTTCGGGGTGCTGCGCTCGATAAATTCCTTGCATTTTGGATCCCTGGCCTATTATCTCAGCGCTGTGTCAATGTTTTGAGAGTAGGATTCATTATCGTTGAAAGAACGATTCTTCCTTTCGGCTTTATTACAATTGTCACCGGCGCGGTCACCTATGGCGGGATTTTGGTACGTTCATATCTTAAGCCAAGATTATCAGCCAATAACGTCTGACGTCGTATAGAGGGGTAACAACGTCTTTAATGGACTTGCGCACTTTATTAAAGGTGGCATTTTCCTATGGTATGGATTCTTGACACTAGGCAGATGGCTTGGGTCTTTCGCCGACTTTGGGTGGGCATGGAATGCAAAGCCAACACGAGACTTAGTGGGCTGGAAAGCTAATGTTCCAACTGGAGAATTTACCGAATCATTTGTCATCTTTCTTTATGGTGCAAGCAATGTTTTCCTGGAACATTTAGCTGCTTGGGGTGGTGCATGGACAGCACAAGATCTTGAGCATGTGTCAATATCGGTCATGTTTTTTGGCGGGGGTTTGGTATGCTCAAAGACTCCTTTTCTGCCACAGAATATACTAACGTTAATGACCAGTGTGGTATGCTTGCAGAATCCAAATGTGTCCGCCATTGGATTAATTCTAGCATCGTCACTGCGCCCATTCATCCCGACCAGAGTTCAAAAATTGGTGAATGGCAACCCCCCAAAACGCAAGGACTATCCCTCAATCCAATGCCGGCCATCGTGATACTCTTGCTCGGCCTAATGATGAGCTCTCACCATCAAGCAAGCATGGTATCTACTATGGTTCATGCACAATGGGGGATGCTTCTTGTCGGGTTCTCCCTTGCCCGCGCGATTACTTATGTGCTCTTGTACCTTAACCCGCCCACCTCCTTTCTCCCGTCCAGGCCCCCCTCTGAGTTGGTGGCATCTTTCTGCCTTATCTCTGGCGGTCTTATCTTCATGTTGAGCGTATGTATAAATCGACAATGGGATTCTCCATTTTTTGCTAACAACAACTAGACTAAAGATATTATTGACGTAATGATACACTACGATTTGAACGCAATGTTCGTCTTCACTGTCGCCATGGGACTCACTGCCTTTGTCATGGCATTGGAGATTGTTGCCATTTCTCTCAAGGCATGGGCGTCGAAGAGAACATTCGTCTCATCCTCCCAGACTTTCCGTTTTCCGGAATAAAGCCATTCTTTGACCGCTGGCTGTTATTTCATTTCCCGGTCCCTTTACCGGCTCGCCTTCCGTATCCTGTCGTTTTATACCCCTATTAGCTATGTCTGACTGGTCTGTTCTGTATTGATAGCGACTTTCCAGGTTAACATCTCCCTTAAATCTGCTACTCTTGCTCTGACTGAATTCCGAGAACGAACACCTGTCATGATCTCCGCTCTACTGTAGTTATGTTGGTCGTTCATTAATGTAGAACCAGGTAGTTCGTATCTACCTTATTTACCCTATTTTCTGATACTCTATGAGTTATACCACTAGCTATAATGAACGACATATGATTATCAATTCATCATTGGCCCGGCTTCCTCATAGCCTCTCGTGGGGCTAGTTGGGGTCAGTCAGGAGTGCTATTTTGCGTTGAGCTTGTTACATAGAGTTCGAGCCAATATCACCACCTTGCTCCTTGAATCTGCAGCTCAAAAATATCCGTTAGGCATCGCCCGCCCTCCTAACTTTACCCCACACGGGTATTGTTTCTTTTTATTTCTCTCTCTCCTCGTACATATACCGGTTGATTGTTGCACGGAAATTTTAACGGAGCCTGAGCAGTTTGTCGACGGGCAACTCCATACTCGGCATTGATCGCGTGCGTCCTCATCTCCGGCGACAAGAAGCCAGCCGGCGTGGCGTCACGCTTAATAGATCGGTAACAAACCCGGTATATCAGGAGGAGGGAAGGATATCTACCCGTGAGACCTGAATCGCGACGTTCTGGAACCTCTTCGCGAACTTTCTAGTCAGAAAGCTGTGTCGCGGTTCGGGCACAGCTGTCGCCTGCAATCCGTCGAATAGATTCCCGAAATCCCCTCTCTAGCGCTTCAGCGAATATATAAAGTGTTTGGCTTCCAGCTTAGCTAGCATGGCGATGGTGTTACCTTCTCTTCCATTTAGCCCTGTGCGGCTCCGATCATACATACTTCGTCTACCGTTGTTCACAAGGGTGATACTTATTGCGATTGTCTTATTTTGGCTATCGGATTTTCTACCGTCATGGAACGTAGCACGTTGGGGAGAGCTAAAGCCGAGTCAAATCAGCCTTATAAGCAGTGGGTTCACGTCATGATAATTGTTATTTTCCGAAATATCTTTGCTCTCCTGACAGAAATACTTCTATTATAGTGCATCGGCTTAACACATATCCGCTCGTCCACCAAGGATTTATACACATGTTTTTGAATGTGTTGGCATTGACACCCTTGTTGGAAAGATTTGAAGCCGAACACGGAACGCTTACTTCGTTGGCATTGTTCTTTGGGCGTATGCTACCTTCATTGTTGGTTTAAAACAAGAGAGATGCTGACATTAACTACCCTTAGCTCTATCGACACTCCCCGGAGGCCTTTATATACTGTTTGAAAGATATGTTTTCCGAGGAGATGTTGCAATTTTGGGATGCAGGTAGGTAACCCGAGCCATAAAACTGAATACAGTGCTGATCAAAGTGCTTATAGTATTTGGATATTTCTACTGCTTGGTTCGGAGGCAATGAAGACATACAAATCAAATCCTCATTTTAGGTTTGTTCTATCCTTTCCAAACAGGAGGCCAGAGCTCTCTAACGTGCCATAGTTTGGGGACATATCAGATACCAACTTGGACAACGCCGCTTATTGCGATTGTCTTTGTATATGCTTTGGTTGCAAATACTAGCTTTTTAGGGCATCTATGTGGAGTCAGTGTTGGCTACGTCCGTAAGTTTCTATAGCTTCTCATTGCTTCGAAAGCAGGCGCTAACGTATCGTCATAGTTGGCCTTGGATATCTTAAGATTTTGTTTCCTCCAGAGAAAATTCTTCGATGGTTCGAAGGCAAACTGAACCTCCTCGGAATTCTCCCTCACTATGTATCCGTGGATCAAAAGACATACGGAAGGTACGGAATATTACCTACTGGAGGTTCGGCCGGGAATCAAGGCGTTGCTATGGGTTATTTTGGATCTACACAACGACTAGGTGTATAGCTCTTTGTACTATTATGACATCTGTTGCACATTGGGTTCTGTGTTTCTATGAGATACCCCTTTGTCAAGTTAAGCTTGACGAATAGAATATATTATTATTGTATATAATTGGATCTACTTAGCTTTTAATAACGATTTACGACGAATGCCATTCGCATCCTTTCGAGAGCCCCTATAATTTGCGTCGCGGCCTAGGATACATAGTCTGGGCCTCGAAGTTTTGTGGCTTTAGCGCCTGGGAGCTTGGAGCCAACGCCAAACAACACCAATTCAACATCGCCGATGGCCTTCATGGGACCGTACCCGTAAGGGCATTGTTTCAATGGCATTAATATGTAATTACGGGCCCCCAATTTATGCTCCATCGCGATATGTACTGACTACTAGACTTTTGCCAGCGAATTTGACCCTCAAACTACGCCGCGATCCGCGCCCTTTATCCCATCTTCCTCCCTATATCTCTTCTTTCCTCGTCCTTATTGGTGTGGCATGGCTGCTACTACTCCCATTAAATGAATACTCCCGACAAACTTATATCTCTGAAAATGCGCTGTTACCGGGACAGGTGCATACCTACTTTAGTGGGAGCGAGCAGAATATATTTCGGGGGTATCGGCAAGAAATTGAAGCAGTGAAGGACGCGGAGTATGACGTGTATGTCCCCCGAATATTGTATATTTGAATTATCTCCATGAAGCTTGTGGTGCTTGAATATAATTGGGGTCCTGGCTGATGATGAGGAAATCCAGCGTCTCTCAGAAATTCCAATCAATATTGCGAGAATCTGGCCTGAAAGTTGCGACGCAGAATTACGAGTATCGATCTGCTGGAAATACTCATTCCGGCCAGAATGTCTACGGTATTATTCAAGCCCCTCGAGGGGATGGAACGGAGGCGATTGTTTTGGTAGCTGCGTGGAAAACCATCAAGGGCGAGCCAAATCTCCATGGGGTTACGTTGGCATTGACTCTTGCAAGGTATTTCAAGAGTAAGAAGATATCTACCAGAATAATTTCTTTTGCATCTAACACATTTTCCTTCCAGGATGGTCACTCTGGTCAAAGGATATCATATTTCTTATCACTCCCGACAGTAAATCGGGGGCCCAGGCCTGGATTGATGCCTACCATGATATGCACCCTTCCTCTGTCGATCCTCTACCTCTTAAGAGTGGTGCCTTACAAGGCGCCATTATTTTTGAATACCCTTTTGACCATCGCTTCGAATCCATTCACATTGTCTACGATGGAGTTAATGGCCAATTGCCTAATCTAGATCTAATCAACACTGCTGTATCCATATCAGGCGGGCAAATGGGTATAAAGGCAGAGCTACAAGAAATGTGGGGTCATGACGATCGGTACAAAATGCGCCTACAGACCATGCTCAAAGGGATGATGCGGCAGGGCTTGGGTAGCGCCGCGGGCCTGCACAGCAGCTTTATTCCGTATCATATCGACGCTATTACGCTTCAAACTGTGGGAAATGGGTGGCAAGACGAAATGGCTCTGGGAAGAACGGTGGAGAGCCTCGTTCGGAGTTTAAACAATTTATTGGAGCACCTTCATCAAAGCTTCTTCTTTTATTTACTCATGCAGACAAACCGGTTCGTTAGCATTGGCACCTATCTCCCATCTGCGATGTTGATTGCTGGCAACTTTACCGTTATGGCTATTGCATTGTGGATGAAAAGTGGATATTCTCCGGACGAGATAAAGCATGATACGCGTACAGAACTTAGCCCGAAGAAAGAAAAGAAAGTAAAGGACTTTGACAGTAAATCCATTGCGAGTAACGGAACAACTCTGGAGCGACATCTTACTCTCCCAGTAGCCCTGGTTACTGGATTGCATTTCCTGGGTGTCGTCCCACTCTATATCTTCAATCATCTTCCTCAGCAGGTATGCGTTTTCTGTGCTATATTATTGCCTACATGAACTAACAGCTTATTCTGATACTCTACAGCTCCTTGCTCCGACTGCTTATTACTTTGCTCTCATCAATATACTCATTCCCGTCATCCTCGCCTTGTTACTCGAGCGATTCCGCAGGCCTACAGTACAGGAATTTTTATTGATAAAATCGTTTTCTCTCCTTCTTCTCGGGCTGTTTCTCTCGGCGCTGGCTACTTTGAATTTCTCCCTTTCTCTTCTACTAGGTCTTTTCTGCACCCCGCTTTCGTTTATTGGATATATTCAACATCAGGGCTCAAATTCTGCTAAACAGGGCAATGCCAACAAAACTCCGACGCGCGGGGAACCACATGTGCTTGTCAAAGTGATAACCGGCGTGGCGATCCTTAATCTAGTTGCACCTACTGCGGTTCTTTTAGGCGCGTCTGCGATAGCGAATGTCTCTGTGGAGATGATACTTACTGAGGCGGCATTTGGGTGGGATGTTTGGGGCATGTGGACACAAGTTGCCGTGTGGTGTGTATGGTGGCCGGCATGGTTAATTGGCACAGTGGGAGCAATCTCGTCTGTACTATATTAGCCCTCGAAGTTTATAACTTAGAATAAACCCGATGTGACCGTGAATTGTCCAGTATTTCGCTGCTATTTACCCGTACGGGGATTATCATGTTGTATTCTAAATCCACGTAAAGTGATCATTTATGACTGAAAAATACCATGTCTTATGCAACCCAGACATCTTTACCGACCCCTTCAATCCAGTGACCCAATTGATTAACTCCTGCATCCCATTCTTTCAGCCTGTTTCTTATTCCCTCGATTTGCTTCATATCGAGGACTTTCGGTTGTACCCAGTTGATGCACGCGATTTGTGATACCTGATCAATCGAGCCCTTCAGAAGACCCAGGCTCAAAGCTTTCATTACCAAGTACTCAATCTCGTTTGGTTGAATCTTTGTTTCTTCGGATAATGTTGCAAATGAAACAGTTCGATCATGGGGTGGCCGTCGAAAGATCATCTCAGTTAATGCAGAGAGAGAGATTTTCTGGTAAAGGAAATGCTTGTGTTCTTCAAGAAGTTTGTTTTTGCCGATGTTTCCCGCTAGTACATCATAGGCAGTCAGATCACCACGATTGAAAGCAAAGAGGAGTTCACGAAGCCATGCATGTGGTGTTTCGGTCAGTGAATCGAGGATTGGGTGGAGAAGAAGTTCGCCAAAGTTGTAAATGGTATCAGAAACTAGAGCCGCTACGCTGAGATCATATGCCCTTAATGCTGATTCTTCTGGCATGAAATCTGCTATGTCGACGCAAGCGAGATAGAGGAGAGCGTTCCTATAATAAGAGGCAAATTCCAGTTTCCCCTTTGCAAGAGCTGTCGTTAGATACGTGAATGGAACTAGGTTCGCAAATGCCACATACATGATAGTAGTCTGCGTTTACTTTATAAAACGATGCATGTACGACATTCTCAACAGAGTCAAATGAATCTAGTATGTTCTGGGACGCATCAAGGTCTTTTCGGGCACCTTCAAAGTCTTTGAGTCGTAGCTTAACGCCTGCAACATCGGCCATCGCGTAAACGTAAGCATCTTGTGAGCTGGGTTTGTCGACTCTCTTCGCCAATGAAGTTAGAAAGGATAACCGTTCGGCATCACCTGCACAACACCAAAACGATTAGCGTTGTCTAACAGATTTCTAAGGTGAATATCAGCCTCGCATACCCTTACACTGCGTAGAAGCCATTTGTCCGAGAGACACAAACTTCAATTGGTTTATTTTTTCGGCGAAACTGATAACAAAGTTGTTGAACAACGAGAGTCTCTGCGGAGCGCTTTGGGGCTTAATAAAGTACTCTATCAATGAATCGGTGAGTTGATGCCATAGTTTTCGTTCCCAGTAGTCTTCTAATGACAAGAACAAAGGCTGGAAATCATCATGAGCAAGCTCTCGCTGCTCTGCGAGGAAGTCGGGAATTTTGTCAGCCTGCATCGCTGATTGTCGCGTTACTAGAGATATTAATAGGGCGCGGCCAGATAGGTGCTTCTTGATAAGCCGCAGTGAGTATATATCGTATTGGTAGAATAGTATATGGAGTAATCGCAAAGGTGTTCAATCACGATGTCTGTTTCCAGCGCGCAACCAAGCTGAAGTGATGCTTCTATAGTGGTCTCTCCAGCCTGCCGTAATGCCGATGTTGTCTTAAGTGTGGATTTAAATTAATCCGTGACCGGGTGTACCTTCATATTATGTAATTTTTATTGAAGAGAGCAATCTAGCCTTATTAGGATTAGCACATCAAGCGACTCTTGATATGGATCTGTAACCACAAAGAGCTGGTTGGTTGGTGAAGCTCAACAGCATACCGAACGAACACCCGGTTCGCCGTCGCTTCATTCGTTTTAGAACGTGCTTCGGTTTTCAATTGCGTTCCTTGATGGTTTTGTAATCGGGAGACAATGCAGAAGTGCCGCGCCGTGCAAGGCGCACTTGGTTCGAAGACTTTCCTTTCTCCACCCTCTACATACACTCGACTACAGCCGCATGTTCAGAGAAGAAACGTGCAAGATGTCTTCGTCACGCGGACGGGAACACCAATGATTAAAATACAGGGCGGACGGTATGGCTCAATGGCTGCTGTGAATGTTTTAGAGCTAATCGGGTATCTTAATCTCGCATAGGTCATCATTGGGAGGTAATTTATCCTTGAAAATAACTGCCACTCATGATGCTCATACACATTCATCTATTAGGTCATACCGCTACGGTCTTCGGCGCTACAGGTTTCTTGGGACGCTATATTGTAAACAGACTTGGTACGAGGATGTACCCCTCAGACTGGGGCTTTGGTTAACCATATCTGCAGCTAGGCAAGGATGCACTGTTGTCGTTCCCTACCGGGAAGAGATGACAAAACGGCACCTCAAGGTCACTGGCGATTTAGGTCGCGTTGTCTTTACGGTACGGCAATATCCCGTGCAAGAGGTTCCACAACGTGCTGACACATAACCAGGAATTCGATCTAAGAAACACCCAATCCATTGAAGAAAGCGTGCGCCATTCTGACGTTGTGTACAACTTGATTGGCCGGGACTATCCAACAAAGTATAAGATCTATGTCTCTCACGAAAAAACCAGGCTGACCTAGATTTTGCCAGAAATTTCACTTATGATGATATCTTCGTCGAGGGAACGGAAAGAATAGCTGAAGCCGTCGCAAAGTACGACGTTGACCGCTATATTCATGTCTCCTCATACAATGCAGATGTGAACTCCCCTTCTGAATTTTTTCGAAGCAAAGTTTGTCTCCTAATCCTCCACCGGTCTACTAAACCATTAACAATATCGATTAGGCCCACGGGGAAAAAGTCGCAAGGAACATTTTTCCGGAGACTACCATTGTTCGGCCCGCTCCAATGTTCGGCTTCGAAGACAGATTGCTTCATAAAATGGCAGGAGTCACCAACGTTTTCACGTCCAATCATATGCAAGAGAGGTACTTACCAGTTCATGTAGGTTTTTATAGTTAATACATCGTACTTGATTCCTACTTACGACAACTCTAGGTGATTGATGTCGGCCAGGCTTTAGAGCGAATGCTTTACGAAGAATGGACCGTATCACAGACCTTTGAGCTTTACGGGCCCACAAATTACTCGTCGGCAGAAATTGCAGAAATTGTTGATCGTGAAATCATCAAGACTCGCCGACGGATAAATGTTCCTAAGGCTATCCTTAAGCCAGTTGCCCACTGGCTCAATAAATTGATTTGGTGGCCTACAATTTCCGCCGATGAAGTAGAAAGAGAGTTCCTTGACCAAGTCATTGACCCTAACGCGAAGACCCTTAAAGATCTTGGCATTGAGCCAGCAGAATTGAGCAACTTGACATATCATTATTTGGTGAGTTTAAGTCTACCTTCTCCACTAACCTCAAACGCTGACTTTTCTCCATAGCGGGCATACAGAAGTAACAAGTACTCAGATCTGCCAGCAGCTTCAGAGAGGGAGAGAGCAGAGGAGAAGAAGTATCTCCATGTGCTAGATGATCAATAAATTTTTTCGTTGTCAAATCCTGTAAATACATATCTGCTAGACAATCAAATTTTCCCGTTCAATCATTCTCGTTTTCGTAGTGATTTGACACAATGTCATGTCAACTTTAAAAGCAGTTTTCTAGGCTGCAGGTGGCGATGACGTGATAGTTAGCTAACTAGTTAACCCAATGCTTAAGCTCTTTCAACCTAAGCCATGAAGTGTACTCCAGTCCACTCATGAATTTACATTTCTATGATTTCAATGTGGTATCCATGTAGCAATGAGAGCCGAAATTCCCAGCGAACTAAATGGCGAACAGATTCCTGTCCTTCTTCTAAAGACCAAGTCCTCCCCGCACGACGGATATGAGGAGTACTTTTCCTCCACAGCAAGAAACTATCACTACAACCCCATATTTGTGCCAGTATTAAAGCATACGTTCAACCATGATAATCTAGGAAAAGTAAGAGACCTGTTTGTCTCTGGAGACCTAAGAAGAAAGTATGGTGGTTTGGTTTTTACAAGCCAGCGAGCTGTTGAGGGGTTCAGTAGAATGATCACCGAGGAGGTTGACCGTACGTCCAAATATTCTCATTGCTGTTACTGAACTAATTAATTCGTATGGTTATATAGAAAGCCTTGGGATTGAAGCTTCTCTCGATCTTGCCTTATACACGGTCGGACCGGCTACGTTTCGGTCACTGAATACTCTCCGAAAAACACATCTGCCACATGCTGCCTTAATTGGAGAGAATGCCGGTACGGGCGAAGCTCTTGCAAAGCTCATTCTAGAGCATTATAACGACCTTGAACGAAATAAACCTCACTTCTCAATCAACAATGAAAATCGGAATGATGGTGGGAAGCTTCCTCTCCTGTTTCTCGTGGGCGAAACACACCGTGATATCATTCCTAAAACATTGATGTCTCCTGAGCTACCAGCTAGTGAAAGAATTCACATTGACGAATTGATTGTATATGAGACGGGGGTGATGGACTCCTTTAGGCAGGATTTTGCGTTTATTTTGGACGAGCTCAATGTGGCCTCGACGCAGGACGGAGACCAATCGCACTGCAGTCAGGTACCTATCTGGGTTGTCGTTTTTTCTCCAACCGGCTGCGATGCTATGCTTGATATTCTGGGTGTTTCTATACAAGATTGCTGTGAGGGTCATGGTGTCTTGTCGCAAAGGGATATAAAAGGCTCCTATAAACGAAGGCCGTGCCGGATAGCTACAATCGGCCCCACAACGAGAGAGCATTTACATTTAACTTTTGGCGTTGAGCCAGACGTATGTGCCGAAAAGCCCTCTCCAGAAGGCGTAGGGAATGGTATAGAAGCCGCTATATCCGCTAGTTCTTGAAGTGCTTGGATCGGGTCCAAACTCCAAGTCTGCAATCACAAAAGTTTAGCTTTTTGTAAAGAGGCTATTTTATATACGAAATGCATAAGCAAAATAAAATGGCAAAACTTAATTGATTCCGACTGTTTCGGCAATGCATATCAACAAATATTTTCATAAAAGAGCGTTATAAGAAATATGATTTCCAGAGATATCTTACGCGAGCGGCAATGTACAACCACAGCCGTCCATACCAGAGACGTCAGAACGTGGAGAGGTATCAAACAAACCATAACTCTAATGAAAAACAACTCCCAACGCTCGCATAATTTTCAAATGGAAACCAAAATTCGACGGATGATTCTTATTACCCACATGGTTTGACATCAGCTCATAGAAAAGAATAGCAGGGTGTGTTTCACATTGACATGATTTGTAACAATTCGAAGTCTCTCAACACGTTGACAAAAAACATGGCTAAACTGGCTGTGCCGCGTCCAGATTCATCGCATTATTTCTTCGTAGATAAGGACTAGAAGTGAATTAGCCAAGAACAAAAAGAATTGGAAATACACCATATTACCTTTGAGTTGCTCCTTGCTCAAAGTGTCCTTATTTTTATCGAAATCAAAAAATTCTTCGGGAATGGGCTCTGCGGTTGGTTCATCTTCAGGATCATGATATGGTTCAAGATAGGGGTGACGCAAAGCGTCTTCGACGGTGATACGCTTAACGGGATTGAATGCAAGAAGCTTCTCTAGGAGATCCAAGGCCAAATCGGAAGACTTGGGGAATAAAGCCTTCATCGGTATCTTCTTCTTGAATGGCAATGATCGTATGTATTCACGGGCGCGGCGAGATTTAATTCCATAGTAATCTTCCATAGTTGGGGTACCCAGGACATCCAGAATTAGAGTCAATTGGTGATGATCTAATAAGTTGCCATTAGCAATGTAAGTCGGTTTGCGCCAAAAAAAAAAACAACTCACAATCCTTGCCCGGGAACAACGGCTTTCCACTCAGCATTTCTGCCAAAATGCATCCAACACTCCAGACGTCAATAGCCTTGGTGTACTCCTTAAAAGTCAACATGATTTCGGGCGCTCGATACCAACGAGTCGCAACATATTCAGTCATAAATCCAGAATTATCATCAGTGGAGGCGGCAGAGCGCGCGAGTCCAAAATCGCAAACTTTCAAGTCACAGTTTGCATTCAGAAGTAAATTAGACGGCTTCAAGTCACGATGAAGGACGTTTGCAGAATGCATAGCCTTCAGGGCACGCAAAGTCTGGTAAATGAAATACTGGCAATGGTCATCTGACAGGTCTTGGGTGCGGATGACACGGTGCATATCAGTCTCCATGAGCTCCTGTAAATAAAAGGTCAGGGATTATAAAACAAGAAATAACAGGGGGTTATACCTGAATGAGATAAACCTCCGTAAAGCTATCATAATTTCTTGGTTTCTGGATATCCAAGATCGATATAATATTTTCGTGATTGAAATATCGGAGAAGCTTCATTTCACGCAGCGTCCGTAGGCAGAACATAGAATGGTCAAAAGGCGTTATCTTTTTTATTGCGACTTTTTGGCCAGACGGCTTATGCAAAGCAGAGCTATTTTCATATCAGAACAATTACGCAAATAGTATAAGAAAGCGAACTGACCAGACTACGCCATAAGCTCCCTCGCCAATGACATCCTGGATATCGTATTGATCAGATACATTGAAAGAGATCTTTCTAGATCCTCCTTGGGAGGCTGGTTGAACCATGTCCTCTGTTTCTAATTCTGTGACCTGAACGATGGGTTAGCATCTTGGAGTCCAAGGGTTCGAAATTAATTCGCATCGATGAAACAGAGTCACTGAAACACACGAACAAAATGACCGCGAGAGTTGGGCGGTCAGATTTACACTACATGGTGAGAGCGAATAGCAATGATTTGAGAACAGAGCTTGCACGTGGTAAGCCCAGCTCTCGAAGAGACGATGGAATTGCATCGCTTTAGGTGGTGAAGCTGGACGTCACGGTGCAGGAAGCTCGAGTAAAACGAGTAAGGAGGTAGTAGAAAGTATGAGTGGGAAACAAAGCAGGTGACATAAAAATAGGAACAAAACATGTGAAGTGTCATGAAAGGAAACTCACGTTGAAATGTGGCTTGTCGGAATGTTCCTTTCGACTTTTTTACTTCTTTACTCTGATAAACAGCCCAGAACAACTGGGTCTCAGTACCAGATCAAGTGGCTGGCGCTGAGAATCGATAAAATGTTCAAAATCGATAGGACAGCTCCAGGGTTTCGTCAAGAGCATTAATCCAAAGGAAAAAGAGACAACACGGCGTCTAGGGCTGAGGAAGGATATTAATGCCTCAATTAATAGGGGCCAAGGCAAAAGATAGGCGAGTCTTAGGGAATCAAGCGCGGGTAAATGAAGCAATCTTATGTGGCGCAGGGATCGAGTCAGTACAAGCAGAATCGGGCATGCAAGACCTCCCAGCGAACACCCAGGAAGTAACACCGTTCTCAGGTTGTGGCACAGCGAGGACCGCCTGACAGAAGTAACTAGGGGTAACACAGCATCTTCTCGTACCTGATGCCACAAGATCGGCTCCAGTCCAATCCCAACCTCGACTTCGCTCAACCGCGTTGTTACCGCACCACCTCGTGCTGTGGATGACGAAATAGGGGAGTCTAAGAGGATTGGGGAAGCATGGTTAGGCCTATGTAAATGACAGCAGAGGACAGCAATGCAGCTCACAGGCAACGCGCAGGTACAGGCTAGGTGCTTGGGCTGCGAAGGGGTCCTCGATGGCGGTCGCGGACCTTACCGTTTCCCCGCAGTTGGGCCGGGGCGGTATCGAAAGGTGATGCTGGGGGTGGGCGCGGGCCACGGCGTCACAAACCAACAAACAGCGGACGGCGGGAGGATATGGATCGCGATTTGACCACCAGTGCTGGGCCAGTGGTTCTTAACGGAGCAGAGGTGGTTTGGCGATGTTCGGTGGGATGAACCTGGGGGTTTCAAGGGCCAAGGCAAAACAGGCGCCGCAGTTACAGAGTGCCTTTGAGGTGGGGCAGCCAAACCACCCACAGAACGCACGAATCCGAGTCTCGCCGGCCACGCAGGCAGAGTCTGGGGCGCGGCGCAGGGTCGGCCGCGCTGGTCAGTGCAGTGCAGTGCAGACGAGAGCAGCACTTGCAGCCTCAGCCGGCCGCGTTGCCCCTGAGCAGCACAGCGCAGCGCAGCGCAGGCCGGCCTGCCCGCTCCCCCCGCCTCCTCAGCTGGCTGCTAGCGTGCCCTGGGATCGCGCGCACAACTAACTAGCTACCCGCGCGCGGATCTGACCCAGAAAACAGACGAAACTTAAGTAAGTATCGGTTTATGAGTTTGGAACTCTCCAGACATGAGGCAGCGTTGTGCAACAGCGCCGTCGGCCTGCGTCCGCTTCTACTCGCTGCGGGCCGTTGTGGGCGTTCGATCCTCCGCCCCTACCAAGGCGTCCCTAAGTTTCACTACCAGCGCTGCTGCAGGCGTTAAGAGCCGAGGATTGGCCTCAGTCCTTATTTCAGTCCAAAACACCGGGTTTGGCCTCGTTCTGCGACTCTGACAGGCCGGGAGCGGAAGGTGATCTGCTATTAATAGCTGGTGCGCGCTTAGGCCGGTTCATGCAGAGGCGGGCCGGCGTGCTGGTGCTGAGACTCTAGGGATGACAGGGACCAGCCAGAAAAAACAGAATGAGCAAAATGGATTGATTATAGTCCTGAACATGTACGGAGCGATGAAACTATTCTAGAAGCTGTTTACTGGATGACCTGCAGTCGCCGTCAGTTTCGCTGCGGCCGCGAGAGGCACGTTCAGCATCGTCAGGAGCTCACCTTTTCCCGCAACATGCCCATCCACTGTTGCAAGCTAACACCCTGGTCCGCCCGGTCCTCCACCAACATCGACTGTGCCCACAACCGAAGCCCCGGTTCGCCATCCTCCTTGACCACATAAAGTTGGGGAGCAACAATACTACCAACGCCACGGCTCTTAGCATCTTGACTTTTCTGAATCACCGCCCGCACCCGCTCGTTGAAGTCGTTCTCCAGCTCCGGGAGAAACTGTTTTCCAACACGGAGCTGGGACTTGTCTGGAAGCCCAAACACGTCTTCGATGAGCTGCGGGACGGCGTCGCGGCCAACCCACAGGAACTGGGTCTGGCCGTCGTCGATAAGGTACAACCCATACGGCACCAAGTGCTCGGACGAAAGATTACGCAGCGGCGGCAGAATTATCTCGCCAGTTTCTGCATCTGGCGAGCCCGCATCGTCCGGCATGTCATGGAGCGAATACATTCTCGGATAGATGTATTGAATGAGTAATGGAAGGGGTAGTGTCGACAAGAGACAGAGAGCAGCCGATCGCATGTCGCTCGGAATCTGCGCTGATTTTCGGAGTCCAAGCTGCGCCAATTAGCTCGTTTCGGGAATTGCGACATGCAGCGCACTTACATTTTTCATTAAAGCCAAGAACAAAACTGGCAATGCGCGAAGATTCGATGCAAACTGTAACCCTCCCCCGCTAACGCTTCCACCAGCAAGTTCTTTCCTATACACCGACAATACCTCAATGATCTTGGCTTGGAGAGCATCTCGGGCTTGCTCGAGCCCACCGCCTAGAGTTCGCTCCACTGCTTTATGGCTAAAGAATGTTGCGATGGCTGTTTGATCAGCAGATGCATAAACATCCCCAAGCTGCTCAGCAGTGGGTAGCGCTAGCGTCAAGACCCTAATCCTCCGTTCGCCGTTACATGTCGTATGTAGCACGGCTGTTTGGAGACAAATCACGGTTCGGGTCAACGTCTCATCAATAGCAACTTCCACTACGTAAGCCTGGTCGCGAGGGAGCGCCGGGAAAGCGCAAAGATCCGAGCTTCGGTTGAAAAAGTTGCCGTAAAACGTGTTCATACGCAGCCCTGTCGTCGCACGAACGCGAAGAACACCTTCTAGCCCAATTTCGGACGAGAGATATTCCGAGAACTCTTTGGCAAACTTGATCGCATCTTCACTTCTGGCTGCATTCCAGCCAGGGTAAAAGTACGTCTGTCCACCAGTGTATCTCGGAAGGTTACTCAACGAAGCGACATCTTGATATTGGGAGGAGAATAGGAACATATCCACCGAAATTTGCTGCTTCGAGCATTCGACGGCAAAACTCTTATAGAAGCTGTTTGCCGTCTGTAACAAGCTGTTTTCCTTGCTTGTTCCCAGGGCTTTCTTGTCTTCTCTCATTTCTAAGCTGCCTTGACCAATGTTGGGGAGTGATGCTGTGAGAACGGTGAGTTTTCCTCCTACCGGCCCAGCAAGCTGAAAACCCGCTTGAAGGGCAGATCCCATGGCAGATGCATAGCTATGTGTATTTTGAAACATCCCCTGGAGTTTGTCAAGGAAGATTTCAATATTGTCTCTGCAGTCAGCCAGAGTAACAAGAAGGTCTCCTGGAATTGGTAGGAATGGCTCATCTAAATCGCTGACCACGAGCATACTGGGGTCCGAGCTTTCTGAATCGTCTCTGGGTATCGTGAAGTAATGAAGGCTGGAATCCACAGCGATGAAACCAAGTCTGGTGCGGCGATCTGTGTTGGGAATTCTATCCAGACTCTCCTTGATGCATCGTGCAGCCGTTGCTAAGAGACCACTGGTAACGGAAGCGTAGCTGACATCGATCAAGAAAAGATATATCAGGGGTTGTGGCGGGCGGACCATGTACTCCTGGGGCGCAACAAACTCCACAACAGCATGGTTTAACTCCGGTCTCTCCCACCTGTTGAGTGCACTTTGCGTGGTTGCATCCCAATCAAAGCCCTGAGGGGTATCATTGGTGAGATTGCACATGTTGCAGCGCCAGCGATGCCCTTGATCGAGGAACGTCACAAAAGGATTGATATATGAACGGCATCGTCGGCATCTCGAAATAATTTGATCCGAGACAATTGGTACCGGCTCTTCGGAGTCGTGAAGGGAGGTAAAAGGCTGGATGACAAGCGCGAAAGGGAGCCGGGACTTCTTTAAAAGCGAATTGGTAGTCGGAACAGCGTTAAGAGTTGAGCGTACATATTTGGATGGGCAATTTGCAGTTGGAGAGGGGGTTACACTGGTCTAAGAGAGTTCAATCAGCGCAAAATCCGATATTAATATTCAAAGGCGATACTCACGTTTGGCGGAAGAGTGATGGGCGGTGGTGGGTAATCAAGCTCCGCAACATTAAAGGGCTGAGCAAGAAGGTCCGTAACAAAAAGCTGATTAAATGAAACAGTTGCTGGCGGCCGGCCTGGCATCTGACTTCCCATACTCATCTGCCCCATTTGTTGTGTCATCTGGCTGACAGCGGCTGCGGGAGGAGTCGGGTACCCAGGCATTGGAGGTTGGTAGCCTCCCATGGCCATCTGCTCTCCTGTAGCGAACGCTTCTGGTGCTGGCTGGGGCGGCTGACCAGCATATGGAGCTGCCGCGAAATTCTGCGGTTGCGGAGGGGCGGGGTATCCTCCGTAGCTGCCTCCTCCGGGAAGTTGCCCGCCCAGCGCTGCATTGGCTCCGGTACCGAATTCAAACGCTTGCCCTGCGTACGCTCTCTTCTTTCTGCCACCGGGCGCGGGGGGAGCGTTGGCCTGGGCGGTGCTTTGTGGAGGGCCACCAGGTTGGTCCGCGGCCGGGGGAGGCGCGCCATATTCCTGGCCCGGAGGCGGAGGATATCCTCCTTGCGGTGCCGACATCTAGGAGAGTGCTAAGTAGAGGGCCGGCGCCAAAGGGTACGATTGGAGCTGCGACGAAGCGATGCTGATATTGTGCTATAGCTTCGGCACTGTAGTTAGTGACTCGGCACCTTACAAAAACATTGCGATTGGGCACTCACCGAATAGGGCACACGGGCCAGCATTGACCAGAATTGTCGCAAACAGCACTTAAATAACGCCCCACCGGAAGGCACAGCAAAGAAGGCAATGTGGCCTGTCGCTCGATAGACTCGCAGGTTGTTGTGGCTTGCGGGTGGGAAGAATGGGTATGGTGGCCTTTGTTCCGCCGCTTGGGCGAGGCTGGCCAGCCAATCACATGACGCGCCCCAATTGCAGCTTGATTTCAGCGGAACTGGGTAGCCTGGACTCTCATCGAGCCATGAAATTATTTGGTATAACTATACTTCTGAGTCGCGAGTCCATGCTTAGTTTTAGGCAGGGATGCTGATGCTGAAATGGATGTGATCTTACAGTCTGACGCATACCTGGGTTGCATCTTTGTTATGTGTAGTAGAGTGCCGCCACCCAACGCCAAACAGCTTGCTGAACACACATGTAAGTATTCTATCAACAGATCACAAATTTCAACCAAGATGAGATAAACCAGAACTCCTTCGCTTGGCTCTTGAACAATGAGTAGCTATCGCAAAAATGAGGTAAACAAACACCTTAACTTGCACCTAAGCAACGTCAATTGCGTTCCGCATGCTCTCTACTGTCTTCACTCCAACACCCTTCAGCTTACCCAGCTCCACTAGGCTGCGGATTCGAACAGCATTTTCAGACTCAAAGTTCTTTTCGTCCATCTCACACAGGCAATCAAGAATGGCTTCAGCTTTTTTTGCTCCGACACCCCGGAGTAGCTTGATTTGACTAACATTTCTTGAGTTAACAACGGAAAGGATATGTGCCGTCCGTGGTGAATGTATGAGGTCATTCTCACTGCTCTCAGGTTTTACCGCGGGTTTACACCCTCTACGGGGGCCTCCTTTTGACCTGAGGCGTATATCAATGTCGTCCTCGCTTGTCTCTTCGTCTGACAGGCGATATTCGTCATGTTCTTCATTGATTTCAGTGCTGTCTCGGTTGCATCGCCGTCGTTTTCTGCGGCCTTGCCCTTTACTTTCAGGGTTGGGTTCTGGTTTAGAAATTGTCAAGTTACTGTGGTCGCTGAACATTGTCTTGAGCATTTCGATTTTTTGTGTGAGCTTTTTGTTTTCCGGAAAGAATGGAAGTGCTAGCTGGTACATCTTCAAAGCAGACCTATTTTCGCCGTGAGACTGATGTTGCTTTCCCATGAGTAAATACGATAGACCCTCAGCACGAGCATCTTCTTTCCCTTCAACCCTTTGTTCTAAGAGTTCAAGCCGTCGTTGTAACTGCGCATTGTCGCTCACCTGCGTTCGAAGTGCTGCATTGGAAGTTTCAACTTCGTTTAGAGCCCTTGCAGCCAAAAGCTCCTCGACCTTCTTCTCGACCATTTCCTCGATTTTAGCCGTTGAAACGCTTTCCGGCGTGCGGCTGTTCTGCAAAGAATCCACAATTCCAGGACGGCCAACTTTTGAGGGGCGAATTACAGTATGGAAATTACCTCCAGATTTTCGCTTGATTGGCGAGCGTTTTGATAACTCAGGATTCTGGGGTTGTTTTGACAGCGTTTTATCCGTATAGACCATAAAAGACTTTGCAGGTTTTCCGTCCGGCAGCTTTGAAGCCCCGTTAGAAGATGCGGCCGCAATGTTGACGTTGATCGATGCCGTCAACGGCCGTAGAGGCTGGCGCGTCATCGAACCTTTAGCAGTGAGCCCTGAGATCCGTGGTGGCCCTTTAAACATTGGCTCGTTTTCCACTTCCCTAGTTTCAATTTTCTTTGTTCTATTCGCAAAGTTAAGGGAGCTGAGAGTATCCAGGTGATATGAGCGAATCGGTGCAAGGTTCAAGATCATAACCGTGAGCCCTTGGTTCTGACCAAGGGAGAGGATTCGGGTCATTTTCGATTCTCGATACGGTATTCTGGTCTGTTTTTTACTTATCGCCTCTACGCATTGGGCTAGAACGAACAGACTCTTATTAATGCTTGCAGATTCGACCATTCGCTCTTTTCCATTCTCAGTTCGACGGTTGTCTTCTGACCCAGCTAAATCGATCGCAGATGCAGTACTAACACGAACACAGTCATCGGTCGTAATAGTGAGTTTGACGCACAGGATCGCATGAGACCTCGAGGAATGGGCATTCAACTAGTCGTTTGTGGAGATCAGTATGAAGAGTGGCCAAAATAAAGTGGGCTACCCAGATATTCCTACCTTTGTGGCAGACGTCGATCTGTTCACGTTTGCCTGGTCGTACATACTCTCGAACTCCTTCAGCGACCCGCAAGGCCGTTCCGTGAGTCCTACAACAACTGTTTTCCCTCCGTGATCTCGGAGCGGAAGGCCTGATGGAGTCCTCTTTTCTGATGGCTCGAATAAATCAAACACCTTGTCGTTGTATATTTCATAGTAGCTCATAGCCACTTCAACCTTTGTGGCGCCCTGGGAATCTTTCTCCATTTTTCGACTCTTTCTGTATACGTTACTCAAAAGCCGGGGTATCACGCCTCTCTCCGCAAGACTCTTTCCCCCTCGCATTGTGTGAGTTTTGCCCGTGCCAGTCACGCCGTACGCAAATAAAGTAACGTCAAATCCATTAAAGAGGTGCTTAATCGTGGGAGCCACTATGTTCAAAGTTCAGCAAGTCAGCTATCTGCAATCCAATCTGCAGGAAGTCCTCCAGCTATAGCCGATTGCATACCTTCTGCATCAAAAAACTCCTGTTGTCCCACGCTGTCATCGTACACCCCATTAAATTGGAAACTATATTGCTCTCCTTCATTTTTCGGGTTTGGTATACGCACGATACTCTGCCGCTCACAAAATTCACCATCCTTCTTATGAAATTTCTTTTTTTTTGATATCGAATTCCCATTTGAATCCTTGGGTATGGGTGGTAGGGTCGAAGCAGCAAATGCTCCAGGGCGAACAATGATGTCGATTTCCCGTTCCGTTTTCAGGAGTGGCCGAATTCGAGCCACAACCCTGACACTCATGATTTCGTACCTCGATTTCTATCTCAAAATTGGTTTTGGTCTAATCTTGTAGCCTCGCGCAAAATCAAATTCGTCGGATGATCTGCTAAAAATAACACCCCCTTAAATGCAAATACAATCGAAACTCCTAAACAAATGCCCGACGGTTTGGATTGAACAAGTAAAGGATCGGGATTATGGCACGGAAATCAAAATACTCCTGGCTAAATGCAAAGAAGTCGAGTACGCTGTGTACTCAATCGACGTAAAGCCAATTGAGCGGAAGCCGGCTCAAACAGGAAAACTCGAGCCACAAGGAAGAGCGACAAGCGCAAACAGCAACAGAAGTAACAATCAACTCTGCACTATGCCTTGACCTACCTTGCTGAGTCCCACAGTTTGCAGATGATCTTTGGCTTTCAACGGTGTGTTCTCGTTTGGCTCTACTTAGGCGACGGTGTTGTTGGCATGGCAACAAGCAAGGGGCAACTAACAGGCACGAGTACTCCGTACGGAGTAGTTAGTTACAGGGTAGCACTTTCGTCTTGGGTGCAAACCCAACTCATGAGCTGGAAGCAAATCTGGACCACTCACATCACTATGAAGGCTCAAAATCGAATACTGTTTTTGATAGCTTGGCTACTTCTCAAAAGCCCGAACGACATACCTACAGCCACCAATCACAACCACGTCGCCAACTGCCACACCTGATTTCAACGCAGTTTTTGTCTCATCTAAGGTAGGCAGCTTATCCAAATCGTCTCCAATTGCATGCTTTGTAATTATGGGGCTCTCCCTCGCCGGATCCCACTCTTCTCTTCGAGCCGATACCATACCACCTCGCTTTCTTGAGACCATCTCTCCATTTTGCCCGTTACCTTCGTACCATTGCCATTGCCTCAGTGTTGTGCAGTGTCCAGGAACACATCCCAAAAATGTCTTTGCAATTCTATCCCCCCCATCGGCCTTGGAATTAACCTGCAGCGACTCCTCCGACTCCAGAATCCAGGATACTCCAGTGGAAAGCTGTATGTCGCGCCATACCTCCTCATAATCTTCAATAGGTGCTCCTGGCAAATCTTGCCGAGGCATGCGTCCTATTTCCAGGTCATCTCCGTTCGGAAGCTTTGTGAAAGTGCCGCGATCTGCTGTATCAAATTGGTTTAGGGAGTCAATAGCGTGCGTAAAGTCAACGATGGCTGTTTATATAGCATGTATTAGCGCATTAAAAAGGAGAGGTAAGGCGACTGCGCTTTATACATGGTTCCTCAGATACGACAATTCTTTCCCCCGCCATTGCCCAGTCAATATTTCTTGATTTCTTGTCAACCCGTAGGTCGACATACCACCCACCAACCGATAGAGATAGGGTATCAGTGTTTTCAAATGCCGGTTCGGGCGGCCATCGTAATGAAATACGAGTAGAAATATTTGCTGTACGCGAATTCTGTGACATACCAGGCTATCGTTATGCTGAATCAGGAGGAAGTTGAGGCGTTGGAGAATATTACCCCGCATACACTTTGAACACAGAGTTATGTAAGGTTGACGGGATGCTTTAAAAATATACCCCATGGGAATATATTTTTTACATAGGGTGCTCTATCTCCAAGTTGAGCATATACTATAATACAATTGCTAGAATTCCTAACCTGGTGGAAAACGAGCCTATGAATTAGGCATCGTCGGATTTCTTAAATTCGACCTTACCATCTCGATTAATAGTTGCAAAACTTTCACCAACAGTCTTCGTTCCATCTTCTTTCCTGGATGGAACCAAATCTTTCTCCAAGTTATCGTTGATCGTGTTCAAGACATTCCTAGTAACCCCCGGCTGGGCATTTGCAATTTCATTAACTTCCCGAGTTGTTAAAGATTCGTTTAATCGAGAAGCGCGTGACTGGATTATGATCGTGGCAGGCCCTTCAAACTGTAAAAACAGCTACATCAACGTCAGCTTTAATGTTGGGGCACACTATGGTGCTTTTCTTAGTTCGGGAATAGTACCCTATCACCCCAAATAGTCCTTCTCGCCCATGTGCGAATCGCATGAAAAATTCGCATAGCTGCCTTCCATGAGTCCGAATCCGCTAGATTGCTTAGGAAATTAGACTTCATAAGCAAGCCACTTATATTGAAGCTCGGTATTTGAAATCGCAGAGATGTCGACTTGAATCGAAACGGTCGTGGCCAGTATGGTTGGATGGTATATGCCACCACATTACTGAAGCTAACGTGAGATAAAAACTCATTTATATGCCAACGCCATATGAGCAAAACTTACCATGGATGAGCAATATATTGTTCCCCAGCTTTCAAGCTGATTGAATATACCTGACCCTTCCCAACTACCGCTAAAAGGCCCCGGCCAGTGATTTTTGAGCTACCCCAGTGAAACAGGCTCTTCCCGAGTCAGCACGAAACTTGAACGATGGTATTTAGAATGTAACATACTAATTCTCTGTTAAACATAGGCTTAACATTTAAGGAGTGTCCGGTCCAGGCGATGAGAGCATCTCGTTGAGCTATCGTCCAATCAACTGTGCCAGCTAATTGTATGACTGCAAAAGATGTAATAGAAGAGCGGACGGAAATGAGGGCATTTATAGGACTGGCAGAGGATATCTAGAGCAGTTATGTTACCGAGACCTTTTCTGTGCTGGTCAACTATCCGCTTACCTTCTGGTACAAGAAAGGTATCCGAAGTGCGGCGCGTCTGAATGGCTCTAAGAGTCTAAGCGTTGACACTACCTGTGACTGGATCAGGATGGGCTTAAATAAATAAAATGAAATCAGAACATTCAAATTACATTTTCCGCTTTGCCATTGAGTCCAACAAGAGTACCACGCCTCGTGTATAGATTCTGCGATGCTGAAAGAGAAACGGAAAGCAGTGAATATGGCGCTCCGAGAACCTCGAACTTTGCATCTTTTTTGTTTGTAGATACATAGGTTAGCAACACCGGAGACAAAAGGAAGAATAAGATAAGATACCGACCTGATGATGTTACGGAATTTGGGGTTGTAGCTGGAAGATAACCGCCGCTGATTGAATTGGGTTCAACCGAAGACACTGCTTGGATGGAGATGCATCTTCGCGTCAACCTATCTCTAACCAACTGCCGTTTTCCATATTTCGATGCTGCTGGCCTTAAGCCCCTTCTAACCAAACAATTCATGAGCTCCATATGAAGTTCATCGGCTTCCGTAGTGTTGCTGCTCCCCAGTCTTTTAGAGATATTTTGACGGAGCTTTTGGTGACCTAGCAAGAAGCAAACAAGGCAAACACCGATGCTTTTCACCGCGGGACATGTGGTCGATCAACCTTGGGGTCGCGAAATCGATCTTTCAGGTTTCCTCCCTTAGCCATGCTAGCTTTGATTTCTTTGGTTTGCTTAGATTTTGACTGAAAGCTTAGATATCTACTGTGTTCTCGCTCACTAACCTCCCTTTCCCGTTCTCTGCTTTATTCCTCCACTTCACGCTCTCTGCATCACCCAATTGGAAATTACTCTGCGCACCATGAGCTCCCCTCACGGATAAGCGACATATTCACTGGAAGCTATTACAGTAACAAAGTGCGCCTAATATGATACTACTCCAAAGTGGCCACTTCCGGCGTCACTTAGTATCTACATATCCGCAGAAATGCCGCTCGCCTCGTTCCCCGCAGCTCCGCCAGCTCCGCCAGCTACACAAGCTCTTCGAAGCTGAAAAAAGGACATTTACAACACATCGTGCTATACTAAAAAAGCAAGATGCTAATAGCCGGCAAAGAAATGGGATTGGAAACCCGCAAAAGGCTGCGTCTACACCGGGAGGCACGCCTACGGTTCCATCTAAGCCGGCAGACAATAAGGCGAACATCCTGGACGAGGTAATGTTGACGAGGAAAGAGCAACGCAAAGCAGACTGGGCTATAATGAGAGAGATGACGAAGTATTTGTGGCCGAAGGTACGGGGGTTACTCATCACAAATAGGTCCTTTTCGTATTGATCGTTCTGTAGGACGACTGGGGAACAAAACTTCGCGTAGGGGTCGCATTGTCACTACTAGTTGGAGGAAAGGTATACTGAATGTGTGCTCATTTTTTGGAACAGATTTTGCTTATAACCTGATAGATTTTGAACGTCAATGTTCCTTTCTACTTCAAACAAATCGTGGATTCTATGAACATAGATTTTGCAGCGTTGGGGGGTACTGCCTGGACTGTTGCAGGATCTATGATCGTGGCATGTAGGCCTATCATACTCCTTTGATATCTTTTCACGCCGGACCTAACGAGAAACCTATTACAGATGGTGTCACAAGAATAGGTGCAACAGTTTTCCAAGAACTCCGAAACGCTGTATTTGCAAGTGTGGCACAAAAGGCTATAAGAAGGGTTGCAAGGAATGTGTTTGATCATCTACTACGCTTGGATCTCAATTTTCATTTGAGTCGGCAGACTGGAGGTCTCACCAGGGCAATTGATAGGGGTACCAAAGGAATAAGTTTTCTACTTACTTCAATGGTATTCCACGTCTTTCCTACGGCTTTGGAAATATCCATGGTCTGTGGAATTCTGGTAGGTGCAAGACGCCATTCTTGTGATCGGATTACAGCTAAACGGCACAGAGTTACCAATATGGTCCCAAGTTCGCAGCAATTACGGCTGCAACTATGGTAGCGTATTCAGCTTTTACAATTACAACCACTGCATGGCGCACCAAGTTTCGCAAACAGGCAAATGCCGCTGATAACCAGGGAGCTACCGTTGCCGTCGATTCTCTCATCAACTATGAAGCTGTGAAATACTTCAATAATGAGAAGTTTGAAGTGTCCAGGTACGACAAGGCCCTAAAATCATACGAAAATGCGTCAATTAAAGTGACAACTTCACTTGCCTTTCTGAACTCTGGCCAAAACATGATTTTTTCGAGCGCGCTCGCAGCAATGATGTATTTCGGCGCAGATGGTGTTGCCACTGGAGCGTTGACAGTCGGGGATTTGGTTATGATAAATCAACTCGTCTTCCAGCTCTCTGTCCCCTTGAACTTCCTGGGCTCGGTGTATCGAGAGCTTAGACAGTCGTTACTGGATATGGAAACACTTTTCAATCTCCAGAAGGTCAATGTAAAAATAAAAGAGCTGTCGGATGCGAAGCCGTTACAACTTACAAAAGGTGGAGAAATCAAATTCGAAAATGTTACTTTTGGTTATCACCCAGATCGAATGGTTCTAAGAAACGTCACATTTACCATTCCAGCGGGTCAAAAGTTTGCCGTCGTTGGCCCAAGTGGATGTGGAAAATCTACGATTTTGAGATTGCTTTTTCGGTTCTATGATGTGCAGGGAGGCCGTATTTTAATCGACGGCCAGGATATTCGAGGCGTCACACTCGATAGCCTGCGGAAATCAATAGGCGTTGTACCTCAGGATACGCCATTATTTAATAACACCATTGAGCACAATATTCGATACGGCCGAATTGATGCTACATCTGAGGAAGTACGACAGGCAGCAGAACGCGCGCACATCCATGATCTAATACAGCGATTACCAGCTGGATATAACACTCCGGTCGGTGAACGTGGTATGATGATATCTGGAGGCGAAAAGCAAAGGCTCGCTATATCCAGACTTATCTTGAAGAACCCGCCATTGTTGTTCTTCGATGAAGCAGTGAGTTATTCCTACTTGGCCAAGGCCAGTCTATTGACTAGCAATATTGATTTTGTAGACATCTGCACTAGATACGTACACAGAGCAGGCACTCCTTCTAAACATCAATAGTATTCTCAAAGACCAGGCAAGAACGAGCGTTTTTGTAGCTCATCGACTTCGGACAATATATGATAGCGATCAGATATTGGTCTTGAAAGGCGGCCAAGTCGCTGAAGTTGGTACTCATTCTGAACTTCTGGAAAAACAGGGTGTATATGCAGAGTTATGGAATGGTATGTAGCGTCCTTTTTGTTCTCTTAACTCTTGAACTATGTTTGCGGGTACTAACGCCGCTCAACACCAGTTCAAGAAACGTTACTGGCGCGAGACCCGGAGCGCGAAAGAGAGATAGAGATTGAAGAATTCGAGAGGGAGAAGAAGATGGAGGAAGCAAAGAAAGAACAGCATCTTTCGCAATCGGCTTCACAGGACCCACCAATTCCACATTAACCAGAACCAAACAAAAGTAGACACTTCTTTCAACGTGCTAAGATATATCGACCTAACGCGCCCGCGTCAGTTCTGAATATATTGTAGTTGAGACATAAGCGGGACGCCCCAGTAGCAACAAAATTTGGAGGTCTGCACCGCTGTGCTTGAATGGCCGACGGAAAACGGAAAATCGTGCGGATAACGCTTCGGTCAGAATAGTTTTGGGTATTCTTTTGCGACGGAATTCAGAGCTCCACCGCACGAACGAAAACTGCGTACTCCGTTTATTTCACCTTCGAACACTGCGTGTGTTGGGTACATTAATGGTTGGATCCTATGAATGCCTGCACCATCCATGCCATCTCAGCCTCAAATGCAATGCTGTAATACCACCTGCAACCCAGGGCCAATGCTCTGACCGGGGATAGTCACTATTTTACGGCCTATTTTTTTCATTTCTCATCGTTCAACGAGGATGTGCTCTCATCGAGACAAGTTCTCATATACTTCGTGCTCACGCGCAACCCGCAAAGAGCTACTCGGCTCTTGCATCGAATCCCGACTTCAAGCGTCGGATCGGATTCTTGGTTCAGGAACGAGAACCTTAATTGATTGGCGCGGTCGCGGCGATGGGGCCGGCTTTGCAGATGCGGCCTAACTGTGCAGTAGGGCTGCAGGGGTTGTCCAATTATCTCCAGCACAGCACCAGGGGGCATGCCGTCGGAGTGCGCTCACTGAGGAGAAAATAATCTATATCGGGGGGATCGGCAGCGTGATGATGCACACAAGTCGCAGAATAATAATTGATATTTGTGCGTCTGGTCTAGTCGTGCTGCACGCGTCGTGCTTTGGCGCCGGGCCCAGGCTAGCCCCCTCCCCGCAGCCACGCCCGCTAAGCAGCGCGGCGCTGCTAGCCCCGTTCGTGCCCCGGCTGGCTGCCCGATGCAGGCAAGCCCTGGCTGTAGATGCCACCCTCTTACCTAAGCCCGCGAGCTTCCGTCGCTTCTCCCGCCCAGGTACCTTCACGCCCACTTCCCGCGCCATATCGACGCTCTTTTGCTGCCATTGCCGCTGGCATATCCTCTGTTCGCTCGTTCATCTGCATGCTGTTTGTTATAGCTGCATAATCTAATTAGTCACTCTTTATTTTCATTGCGTCATTCTGCCTTTCTGGGGTTCTATCACCCGCCCATTATACGGTTCACGATCCTTCTCCTATCGTTGGAACACTGTCGAAACCCATTGCCAATCCTTCCACCTAGATAGTTCTAACTACTCACTACCTCTTTTATCTTTTACGCTCGGAGTATTCTTAAGGCAAATATCATCATCGAGTCAACACGCGTTTTTCTACCCTTTCTTGCCGAAGCATTCGCAAACATACGGAGAAGCCCTCTAGCACGGATACTCCGAAATCGAAACTGTCTGTGAGGATATATCAGCGCTGTAGCTGAATTTTAATTTTAATAACAAAACGTCAAATTCAAAAGACATTGGCCTGCAAGCATGAATCTCCTTGACAAGCTACACGCAAGTACGTCACGCACTCGTCCTTCGAAAGCCTGTTAAAATATCTTAAACATTCTATACTGACCGCTTCTCAGAGCTGGAAATCTATCGCCTTGAACAACGGTATGCAAGACGAAAACACCGAAGCACCTTTACCGCCGGTGCAACATACGTTGACGGCGAATACGTATACGGACACAGTACAAGCCCATCATCAAATTCCTCTACGGCCACAGTATCCAAGCAATCTACCGGCTCAGGCTGGATATCGTCAAACAAACTTCGCTGGAGATGAATGTGTCAATGGCAAAGAAATTAATTCCAAATAATCTTCGACTTTTTTTCAAAATATCCCCTGTATATTTTTGGGCATATACATCTCGAACTAAATAATAATTTAAGGGCGAGACAAAAGTAGGCAGGGCGAAGCCAACCTGTTCCTGATATTCGGTATTTAGGGCCTCGCCTAGGTTGGCCCAGTCTTTTGTTATTATATGGCTTTTTGGGATACTATTCTAAAATTCTCTTCCTTGGTACGCCAATACTTTTATACATATATGCAGACGCCCTTTATGTTCTATGGTTTCTTTTACGAGTGCGGGTGGTTGCCGCTTGAGATTTATAGTATGTACTTAGCGGTTGTTTAGGTCAATTATACTATTTGAAAGTTTGCTGGCCTTAGAGACTACTTAGCCGAATTCTCCTAGCATTGGCCCAAATATGTCGAAAACGGAAAACAATTAAGAAAGGGTATTTAGCATAAGCAAGAGGCTTATTGAAGTGAAGCCTGGCGCTCTATTTGCCTGAATCGATATAGTAATCCCACCTTAACATTCGCTCATTTTTTCAGTTTCCTTTGTCCAATTCCACTGAGGCGACCAAAATTTCCAAGAGACGATTTTGCCTTGTGTGCCGCTGGCTTGGGCGGGGGTACTGCTTCACTTCCAGCGCCCGAACGATTTCCAGAGCCCGCCGGAAGACTGGCATTGCCTGACGTACCACCACCAGACGCTTCAGGTGGTGTTTTTTCTTTTCCATTATTTGAATCTACCAGAGTAGCAGACATGAGCCCCGCGGGTATCGATGAATACTTATCTGGCTCAAACTCCCGCTGAGCTAATCCCCGTGATCTCCTGGATCTTTCTTGCACCACTTTGAATTTATCTAGTAAATCGACCCAGCGGATTACGCTGTCCTCTCTTTTTAGCCGCCCTGTAGGGCGCTCATAACCCACTGTTGATGGAGGGCCACCAATTCCGGTACTATTATGTTCAAAATATATATATTAGTTCTAGAATTCCTTGATGTATTCTAGTAAAGGAAAATAGAAGCACTGATGTTGTTTTTTACGTACGTCTTGGGAGGATTTAGTAGGCCAATATTGCTCACGCTATTGAGTCGATTTTTCAAGGCTGCAAAAGCTGAGCTTTGGGGAAGGAGCATAAGAACCCCATAAAGACATTTGTAGAGATACGGATACCTCTCTGGTTCCAAAAGTTGGAGTCGAAGATCTGAAAATAATAGGGTTAATCTCCATATACCAAAACAGACCAATCACAACTTACACGTGAATACTGGCGACTCTAGCAGTTGCACCAGTTTATCGATTTGAATAAGCATATTCACCGTCATTTCTAACTCGGCGCTAGAATTCATCATCAGTAAATGAAACCAGCGTTAGTCGTAGATGTAGGCTTACAAGGCTTGAAGCAGGTGGTAAGCTTGTTCATATGCCTGAGCTAATAAGCACAATGAAAATGTCGAGACGGCATTGTGGCACCATGATCGAAACAGGACCATGAAAAGAGTTTGTCCCTCCTGGTATTACTTTAGCCAATGTTCCCACAACCAAAACGTTCACCAACCTTGCTTTCCAAGTTTCTTAATCGTTTCCTAAGATCAGCCAATTCAGGAGCTGTGATGAGGTTATTGTTGAGGTTCTGAACCATAATACTAGCAAATTCAATATCCTAGACTTCATTAACATCTGCATCAATCACTTTGAACGTTGAGGTACATACCTCCTCTTTTTCAAGGCAGTCTGCTAAAGTTCTGTAAATCCGATCCGGGCTAAGGTTCATACATAATTGTCTGATGATAAGATTGCCTCGAACCTCGAGAAGTTTTCTATCCGTGGAGAATAGCTGTAGTAGATTCACCATAAAGGATGTGAAATAGCTATCTTCGCTATTTCGCGAAATCTGAGAGAGCAATTGAAGATCACGCGTCACCACCGCCTCGGCAGGATCAGAAAGGGTCTTGAGCAAAGCTGGAAATGTCCCATCATGAAAGGCCAAAACCTTACGAGGAGCTTTTCTATGTAGCATTATGAGCCATGTAAGGGCTGCCACTCGTGTTGCTTCATTTTCGTTAAGAAATTGGAGAGTAAGCGAATTGACCGCCGCAGCATAGTCCAGATCGGGTGATGGTGTCGGATCAGGCAGCGTTTCGCTATCTTTGGGTAATATATCAGTTGATTGAGGACGAGATGGCAAGGCAGAAACTGGAGTTGGCGTTCTTCCAGTGCCCATCCGCTCATTCATATCTTTGGAATTTATGGTGGATGTTCTTTGAGGCGGTGTCGAGCGAAAATCATTTGCGGCATCTTCAGGCAAGGAAACGATATATTGCATCAGGGAATTGTTTACCCGGCCTGCAGCCTGGCATACCTGTTCTGACCCACTAGATAGCGCAGGAAGAACCTGGGAGAGAAGACGAGGGACAAATCGAAGAATATCTTCTGGGCTTATTTCAAAGAAGCTATCAATCCACCGTAACGCCGTTAATTGGATTTCCTCATCTATTGAAACTATCAGTTTTAGTTCTCAATAGTGGTAAAAATGAGAAGGGAGTCCAACGTATGCCAAATGCAGTGTCAACAAAACCAACTAAAATCTCTAAGATTTGAGGGTGGTCGACATGTATATCTTGTCCAGGAATCCAATCACCGTATACATTAATAGTTTGGTCGTCATTAACGGTTCCAGACACCGAATCTGCAATAGCATTGTCGCTATTTTCATTACCACCGGTTCGATCAGAACTCATACTTGTGCTATCACTCAATACTGAATCTCCTGATTTCCTCGCACCTCGGTCGCCGCGGCTCTCAGCAATGTCTTTTTTTATCTGCGCAATCTTCTGGATTTCTCCCAAAAATCTCTCAAGAAGACTCTGAGTAGCTGTATGGACGTCTCTATTGGGGTCGCTAAGAAACTTGAAAAGGCCTGCAAGGAATGCTGGTAGATATGTAACCAGCTCCAGATCAGGTATCGTATCCAAGAGGGTTAGCCAAGATACCAGAAAATTGCGTGTAAAAGGGCTGATAACATGGATACGCTCTTTGAGAAGAGGAATGAATCTCGCCAGAGAAAATGCCGTTGGCGATTCTACTAGTCCATTTTCGTTTCCATCGGCATCGGTTCCCTCTTTGGAAGCTTCCAAGACCGAAACATAGGACGCGGCGGAGTCGGCTACAATGTCCTTTACCAAGCGGTCAAGAAGCTCAGCGCCATTCTTAACAGATAGCTCAGAGTCCGAAGCTAACTACATATTCAATCAATTCTATGAATGCGCCACGCAAACTGGTCCTGAACTCACCTTGCATAAGGCATCAAAAACGTCATTAAAGTATAGCAGTATCTCTCCTTTTGCCACCTTGGCTATGTTATACATACTCTCGCAAGCATAGTACCGAACCCTTGCATCCTGGCAGGTAAAGCACGCGAGCACGGGCGGCACAATGGCTGTAAGGTATGGTGCGACTTCTTCCTACGCCTTCAATCAGCTTACTTATCCTCCCCCTCCCTGATATAGTACTCTATAACTCACTGATCCCAAAGCAATAGCTGCAGCAGCCAGTCCTATCAACCCTCCATTTCTCGCATGAGGCTGGTGGACGGCATAGGCGTAGTCGCGGCAAAGCTGGTCAATTATGCCTCGTATTCGAGCTGGGTCTCCATTTATCACAGCTTCTCTAATGACTCGTTCGAGTCTATTATCAAGTATTAGCTACAGTGGTAACGAGCGGCCGGCCCGGGTGACTATCTCACTCTAAAGCACCTTGTTTCCTCTTATCGTAGAGCTTGTCGTTCAAGAATCGCTGGATAGCCGGGTCGATGTATATTGGAGCTGCCATGATCTGATCCAGTCCACGTACGTTCAATCATCTGTAAGGCTCATATTGATCTGCGGCGGCGCCAACGGGGTCGTTAAAATGTCGCGAGGATGGCCTAGTCATGCGGCAAAGGGATAACTAACTAACTGCTCTGAAATTAGGTTTGGTTCTCATAGCGAAAAGAAAATAAGAACTGCGCACATTAATGATTACTTTAAACTCTGGAATTAAGGTCTTTGGGTTTGCATCGAGTTGATGCTGTGCCGGCCCTCTGGCTTTGGGGGTTCGTTTCAGTAACTACAAAAGCATGGCTTGGTTTCCAGGGAAGCGCGTGACGTAACTAGTTAGTTACTTGGATTCGGGCATTCAATGCTCTTTTATTCAGGTTATCTATGACGAGGCAATGGGCTATTCTCTCGCTGATGCTATGTACTATTAATCTGATTTGAGTCTATTTATCCGTATCTCGCCTGAGGATTTTAAGGCTGCGACATTGAAAGCAGCCGAAGATTACACAGAAATCAATGGCTAATATATTGAAACACAGCGCTAATGACACCCTCGGACGTTTCCTGTCTCAATAACAAATCCTGGATCTTGTTCATTGGCCCGTTCTCACCGTCATTGACAAAGTGGTTCCAAGTACTAGTGTCGCCGTAAAGCATTGCAGGGGCCTTAATGAATTGTGTTCCATCAGGCCGACAACGTTTACATTTAAAAGTGTCGTGAGTATCACTGGTCGTCTGGGGTTTAAACTGGAATAATTCACGTAGGGAGTCTATGCTGAAATGGCGCTCAACGTCCTCCGCCGAATCCACAACACACGATGACAGAAGCTGCTTGTGCGACTGCCTCTGGAAAATCTTCTCCTCAATACTTCCAGTCGCGATGAATCTGTATACGAAACAGTCTTTCTTCTGGCCGTCACGCCACACTCGAGCAAGAGCCTGTTGGTCTGCAGCAGGGTTCCAATCTGGATCGAATAAAACAAGGCGGTTCGCCCCTACTAAGTTGATACCGCAACCACCGGCTTTGCTGCTTAATAGAAACACGAATTCTTCGCCGTCGGGGTCGTTGAATTTGTCGACCAATTTCTGTCTCTTCTTCACATTCATTGTACCGTCAAGACGGAGACACCCGTAAGTACGGCCACGACAGAGTCTCTCAAACAAGTCCAAAGTCTGTGTATAATTGCTAATCAAAACAATCTTATCATTCGTATCCTGGCGTATTCGTGCGAGCATGCGATCCAAGACCATCATTTTACCTGAGTACCACGATTTGACCTCTCGATCGCGTCCTCGGCTATCTGGAGGTGTGTAATCATCAGGGAAAAAGCTTTGGCTTCCTGGAAGGTCGACAGGCAAATTCACAAGATCTGGATGATTACAGAGCTTCTTTAAAATCCCAATAGCTTTCAAAGGCTGGCTGCCCTTTCCACGTAATAAGCTCTTGATGTCCGGACTTTGGATGAAATGGTTGTACAAGTCGACTTGGAATGGGGCCAAATTGCAAAATACAACATGCTCATACTTGACCGGCAAGTATTTTGAAAGAATATCATTGGAACGTCGGATGATGAATTTGTTCACAATGCTTAGCAATTCTGCCAAACACTCATCGCCCTTCTTTCGCTCCTCCTCAGACCCATCAGCGTCTCTGCCACGAAGAATAGGCATTTCGAATCTTTTATGGAACTCATTTCGGTTGCCCAGGACGCCTGGATTGACAAAATTCAAAAGTGAGTAGTACTCAGATAAGTCATTCTGGATTGGCGTTCCAGAAAGAAGGACGCGGCGCGTGACATTCAAGCTATTCAACGCTGTAAATGTTTGGCTGTCCCCATTTTTCAAGCGATGACCTTCGTCGCATAGCAACAGACCAATCGAAGTATCTTTTAACTCTCCTACGTTAAGTCGGAGCGTCTCATAAGACACTATAATGACAGGCCGGACCACTTGCCTGCCGGAAGCAATGGCCCACTGGCGAAGTTGAGTGGTAAGTTCCTCCTTTGATGCTTTCCCATCAATCACAAACGGGTTAATGGCGTCTTTTCCAAGCCATTTCACCAACTCATTGGCCCAATTTCCCACAAGAGTTGCAGGGCAAGCAATCACTACTTTTTGTAAAGTCGGCTTACCTGCTTCTGAAGATTGTTTCAGTAATGTCCATAGCAGCGTTATGCATTGTAACTACAGTCGATTAGTATAGGCAGGGCATACTAAGAGCAAATATGCCTACCGTTTTCCCAAGACCCATCTCATCGGCCATAATACAGCCATTTGCATTAGGCGCCATCAAGCCAGTGGTACAGCGATATAGAAACTACAATCGTTAGTGTTGGGATGAAAGGAAGACAAGTGCGTCAGTATCTACCTTCACTCCTTCAACCTGATGGGGCCGCAAAACTTTTGCAAGCCTTGGGTCAATGACGACTGGAACCTTGGGCCTTTCTTCCACGTTTCTCTTTATGCCTAGAATCTCAGCTAGGCTTTTGTGGACAAGTGGTTGGTCTAGCTTCGGTTTCTCTGCCTCCTCTTCCTGCTCTTGTTTACTTTCATCTGTTCGATCTGATTTTTCGTCCACAGTTGGGTCATAAAGAACAATTGCAAATTCTCCGCTAGGATCATGCAATGGCTTCACTACAAACGTGGCGCCCTTTCTCATCCCTAGCAAAGGTGCAGGGCGTCCGGAGTGGTAATTACTCGAATTTTTGTCAATCAATGGTATCGAGAAGCGTTGTTTAAAGGCTATTTCTTTATCTTTGACTTTGTAAATAGGGAACTTGTTAATATCAATATTGGTAAGTGGCATCCTGTCTTCAGTCGTCCATGCAGGCTGACCGCCATCTTCAGTGCTACAGTCCGCTCCGGCATAATTGACTTTGCGTCGTTTTCTTAAAGGCTTCTCCGAAGCTCGATTTTTTGTAGCAGAACCGGGGCATTTGAAAGGTTTTGTAAGTTTTTCTACGGACGCTGAGCCAGCGTATATTCGAGAGGGTTTGGATGCAGGAGTTTTTCCGGATGTGGAGGGTTTTGGTCGGTGCCTAAACAGTCAGCAATAATGTTCAGCAAGGCAGATATCAAAGATAACAAACATTTAAACTACCGGCACTAGTATCTCTCCAAAACTTCTCCAAAGGCACAGTGTCCTTCCAAAATGCTGAATGTCTAGTATACAGGACGGAGTATTGTCGCCTTGTTTGCTTCGCGTTGGTTGAGGGTTGACGCGTCTTGAGGCTAAGGGCGCCAAGCCACCACGAACTCACATGATTGCGCGCCGCGGCCCAGTCAAAGCCCCGCTAATGCTAGATGAATAACCATCCAACGACTGTCAGTCTCGCAGGCGCAATCGCCTCAATGGCTCCCGGGATAGCCGGCTACGATCTATGTCCGCTGACTTCTGGGCTGGCTACCTGAGTGGGGCCATTGGGATTATCATTGGCAACCCACTGGACATAATCAAAGTTCGACTTCAAGCAACTCCCACGAATCCAACAAATGGAGCAACGGTGCCAAATCCCCACCAATTTGAGGGAGCAGGCTCTCTCATAAGAGGTATGGCCTCTGTTATCAGCCAGTTTTCTCAGACTCGAGCTCATTTTCTTGTGGCAGGCGCAGCAGCTCCGATTATTGGATATGGAGCTCTTAATGCACTCCTCTTTGTTGCATATAACCGCACGTTGATGTATTTGTGTCCCTCAGTAACAGACCCAACGAATCCCACAACTGCTTCTCTATCCAGAATCTGGCTGGCAGGTGCAGTTGGAGGCCTTGCGAGTTGGACCATATCTTCACCCACGGAGCTCATCAAATGCCGTGCACAGCTTGGATTTCAGTCGCCGGTTTCTTCGTGGACTGTAGCAAATGATATCGTGCGGACGCGCGGCCTAAAAGGCCTTTATTTTGGCGGTATCATAACAAGTATTCGAGACTCAGTCGGATACGGGTTTTAGTGTGTTTAGCCAGCCCCGAGGCCCGAGTGTGTATAAAGCTAATCAGTATGCAATGCCTTTCAGCTTCTGGTCTTACGAGTTTTGTAAACGCTTAATGAATATCAAAGATGGAAATATGCATCAAGAAGCATCTATCATTCTATTCTGCGGTGGCGTCGCTGGAGTTGTAACATGGGCGTCGGTTTTCCCTCTTGATGTGATTAAGACGAGGCTACAAGCCCAGGCGCTTCCAGCCCTCCAGCTTCCAACAACCTCTCCAGAAAGACAGGCGCTTTTAGCGAGTGATCTCAATTATCGGACAGGGCCTGCTCGCCGTATCTTGAACTCGATTGAGATAGCGCGAGGAGCGTATCATTCTGAAGGTCCGAGCGTTTTTTATCGAGGGCTCGGAGTATGCAGTGTTCGAGCGTTCATTGTGAACGCAGTGCAGGCATGTTTGTCCACCAATAATTATAAAAGTATCTTCACTAATAAGCCTACTAGTGGGCAACTTATGAATGGATAATGAGGGCATTGTCACAGCCACATGAAAATAGGGCATTGGAAACCTAAGTCAGATACTTTGGTATTTATCTGCATTGGTATAGAACAGTTAAAATCAGACATAGAAGACTTTAGATAAATAGCACACCTGAAATACCCCGAGGAACGCCGGTTTCGTGACTCTAAATTACCATTTTTTATTCCATTTTCTTCTAATTCCCTGCCTCATGGTCACTGATTAACACCGGTTTCTCACACTCAGCGGAGTATATTATCCGGCAAGATTAAGCCTTGGTTCCCCCCAAAGTGCAGCGCAAATTTTCTTAATAAACCTTCTAATAAAAAGTGCGTATCAAGGGGCTGGCGAGACTTAATTCGATTCCGTGAGGTCCATAACCGTGTCGTTATTCCGAGTTCCATTGTCTGTAGTGAGCCCCACTGCTGCCTCTGCCACTTTTTGCGTATGTGGCTCTTCCTTTAATAACCGAACCCTACATATGGAGTCAATAATATATCGATAGGAGAAGTTTTGATCTTGCTCGCTAAGGTCCCACCAACCTTCTTTTGTGGTTTTTGCCCTTTCGATGAGCTGTTAAATTGTATTCACTCTCAAACCATTTTGCGCACTCGATACAGTAATGCTGGCCCAGGCCTGGTAAATCTTCAACGTCTTTCGTTATTTTGTAAAGCTCTAAATGCCTCGGCGAATCGATATCGTTGCAGACTTGGTCATAGTCTCTGATTAAAGCAGTCAGAACCTATAAAGCTGCTAGAGAATAGTTCTTAGGACTCACCTGGTCCGTCGCTTAGTTTTTGATCTTCTAATAGCACCCATTGCTAACAGAGATACCTTCAACCAGTGATTTTATCTACGATGTTGGTGACGCAAATAGAAGTGGGAATTTTATAGGGTTTCCGTATATGGTTTAGTCTGTTTCCTGATCTTACATCGTGGTGGAGATAAGCTTATCCTAAACTCCGCCATCTTCTTCAGCCTATTTAAATCTTGGCACTTGTTACGTTGTGGTCTTTTTATCTGTTACCTCAGCATCTCCGTACCCTAGCCAGCTATGATGCATATTTCGAATATCTTGAAGAGAAAGGCGGATCGATATTCTACGAGTATTCCATCTTGATGCGGAGTACTTAGAGTAAACCCGAGACTACCGATGATTCTGAATCAGGACTTGGCTTTGAGGCGTTGCGCAAATCCCCACAGAATCTTACCTAGGTAAATTTTTGATGATCAATTGCCTATGGGCTTACGAGCTTCATCGTATGGTCGTCAATTTGTTTATGCGGAAGGACGGCAGCTCCATCAAACTTCCAGTCCAATGAGAGGCAAGGCGTTTCTGTCGTAGGGAAGTACTCCGTATCAGAAAATATTTTATTGCCAGTTGTTGGGTGATGTCCCTTGTGTTGTACAGAGTACGGGCCATCGCCCAACGTTGCCTGTCTATATCTAGTATGGCGGCGTGGCCAACCTTTTGTCGAGGTCGGGTAGCAATGCATTGTACATAGTAGTGACTCTTATGTAGGAAGCTTTTTAAAGATACCAGTGTCCGGAGTATCACAGACCCCAAATACCAGAGCAAATTTCAGCCAGCGGGAAATCCAAGGCTGGTGAAACCACTGGATATGTGGTTGTTTGGAGTCACGCCCGGGCCCCCGATGAAAGCCATCATGCGCCATTATTATATGTGAAAGGCACCGTTGAGAATTCGGTAATACTGCTCTTCCGACGCGGGAAATAATGTAGTAGCCACCTTGGGTGAAAAATTCTTGATTCTCGCCCGCTCGGCCACACCCCGGGCCCGCGATGTCAGTGCTTGATGGTAGGGATGACATCCGCGACGGAGAGTCAGTGTCCGGAGGTGATTATGTCACCCGGAGCTTGTCATCACGGGCAGGAGGAGAGACAGCTGAATGGCCAATCAGCGCCCGTGGATTGTCAACTGGAGGTCTGCAGGTCAATCGAAAATTTTTTAGCGCTCTTGGCTCGGCCAATCACAAGCCGATGTATTGCTGACACATGCCTGTTCGTAGCCGTGGCTACCCAGCGTCGTAACGTACAGTACCAGTATGGTTTCTAACAGCGGTGGAGTACAGCCGAGGCACAGTACCAGCCTCCGATAAGGTCATCTAAGAAAATATACCATGATCCAGAACATGTATTAACCATCAGTCTTCGTTTTATAACAACTTTTGTTACAGCAGTGAAGTTGGTCCACTCCAAACACAGCAAGCTTCCGCATTTTATTCCTCTTTTCTTTTCGTTCTTCCGAGCAAACTACGATCCTCACCACTCCTTCTCACAATTACAGGCCTTCGTCGAGTAGCTGAGATTGCCTCGACTGTAGATGTGCCACAACCAATTGCCTGAACCTGTTTGCCTAGTATTCCGACGTCATGATTACCGCTAGGCTTACTCGCGTGGGTGCCTTGGTATGCCTGCTGATTCTATATCTTTGTCCCGGCGCTTCTACGTCTTTTATAAAATGTGCGTTTGCTAACTCCCGAATCAATTGATAGGCATCCAAATCCCGCCTCGTAAGTGTGATGCTGTCAATTGACACAATGTGCTCTGCGATGGTAGCTCTTCACACGAACACCACCTTTGCTAACTTACTTGTCCCTCCAGCTTCTGGGAGCGCGGGGTATGGCTACTGTGTCCGACAATCCCCTTGATAAAAAAGTTGAAATGAACAATTGGGAAAAGGCAAGTCCGCGGTTCCTTAATGGCCACGATTTTTCTGTATCGAGTCTGTGATTGTGCCGTTAGCTAATAATTTCATTTTAGGGCAACTACATTAATTACAAGTATGTAACTTCTCAATGTTCTGGTCCAGAAGAGAACGAAACAGTCTTGTAATTGCTGCAGTACTTAGCACTGCATCTTGGGGGCTGGAGAACAACAAATGGTATTGAGAATTTCATGTACCCAACTGCTAACTTTTGCCTGTTTTATAGAAAAATGGCTGAAAATTTGGACATTGTCCGAGCTCGCCTGAACCGCCCGCTGACGTTTGCTGAGAAGATTTTGTATTCCCATCTCGATGATCCTCACGGCCAAGAGATTGAGCGTGGAAAATCTTACTTGAAATTACGGCCTGATCGCGTTGCTTGTCAAGATGCTACTGCTCAGATGGCCATTCTCCAATTCATGTCAGCCGGCATGCCATCTGTCGCTACCCCTTCGACTGTTCACTGCGATCATTTAATCGAAGCCCAGGTTGGTGGTGACAAGGATCTTGCCAGAGCCAACGAAATCAACAAAGAAGTTTACAATTTCCTTTCCACGTCTTGCGCAAAATATAACATTGGATTCTGGAAGCCAGGCTCTGGTATTATCCACCAGATCCTTCTAGAAAACTATTGTTTCCCGGGTGCTCTTCTTATCGGAACTGACTCTCACACTCCCAACGGTGGTGGTCTGGGAATGGCCGCCATTGGTGTCGGTGGTGCTGATGCTGTTGATGTCATGGCTGGTCTTCCATGGGAATTGAAGGCACCTAAAGTTATTGGAGTGAAACTTACCGGCCAATTGTCTGGATGGACTGCGCCCAAGGGTGAGTTTTCTGCGTCAGAGTTACATTCGCGGTCAATACTTACTCAGCTTTTTCTAGATATTATTTTGAAGGTCGCTGGAATTCTCACTGTAAAGGGCGGCACTGGCGCCATCGTTGAGTACCATGGACCTGGCGTTGATTCCTTGTCATGCACGGGTATGGGCACTATCTGTAACATGGGTGCTGAAATCGGTGCCACCACTTCTGTTTTCCCCTTTAACGACCGGATGTACGACTACCTCAAGGCGACCAAACGCCAGGCTATTGGTGATTTCTCCAGAGTGTATGCTCAGGGTCTTCGTGAGGATGAGGGCGCTGAGTACGATCAACTCATTGAGATCAATTTGAGTGAACTCGAACCCCACATCAACGGCCCTTTCACCCCAGATCTTGCTACTCCTATTTCAAAGTTCAAGGAAGCTGTTAAGGCAAATGGCTGGCCGGAGGACTTGAAAGTTGGCTTGATCGGCTCGTGCACCAACTCGTCTTATGAGGACATGTCTCGTGCAGCCTCCATTGCTCGCGATGCCTTAGACCACGGAATCAAGGCCAAAGCTCTTTTCACCGTTACCCCTGGATCGGAGCAGATTCGTGCCACCATTGAACGTGATGGCCAATTGCAAACACTTGAAGAATTTGGCGGTGTTATTCTTGCCAATGCCTGTGGCCCTTGCATTGGACAGTGGGACCGTAAAGACGTTAAGAAAGGCGAAAAGAACTCTATCGTCTCCTCCTACAACCGGAACTTTACTGGACGTAACGATGCTAACCCCGCCACTCATGCATTCGTTACATCGCCCGATCTCGTTGTTGCCTTGACGATTGCTGGTACCCTCAACTTCAACCCTCTTACTGATACCCTTAAGGACAAGGATGGAAAGGAATTCAAACTTTCTCCTCCATCCGGCGCTGGCCTTCCCTCCAGCGGCTATGATCCAGGCCGTGATACCTACCAAGCTCCTCCCGCAGATAGAGCCTCCATCAAAGTTGACGTTTCCCCATCCAGTGACCGTCTCCAGGTTCTTGAGCCATTCAAGGCATGGGATGGAAAGGATGCCACTGGAATCCCAATCTTGATTAAGGCCCAAGGAAAAACCACCACCGATCACATTTCTAGTTAGTTTTCACATTTTATCTGAGGCTTTTAAATATTGTACTGATGGCTTAATTCTTAGTGGCCGGCCCTTGGTTAAAATACCGCGGACATCTTGACAATATCTCGAACAACATGCTTATCGGCGCCGTAAATGCCGAAAACGGAGAAGTCAACAGCGTTAAAAACTTCAAAACCGGAGAATATGCCGCTGTACCTGATACCGCTCGTGACTACAAGGCTAAGGGAATCAAGTGGGTTGTTATTGGTGATTGGAACTACGGTGAGGGTAGTTCTCGAGAGCATGCTGCCCTTGAGCCCAGGCATCTCGGCGGTCTCGCCATCATTACCCGAAGCTTCGCCCGTATTGTGAGTACTACCCGATTTCACAGCACTATTTTCTAAACTAAACTAACATTTGATCAGCACGAAACCAATCTCAAGAAGCAAGGCATGCTTCCTTTAACCTTTATTGAACCTGCCGATTATGACAAGATCCCTCCCACTGCGACCGTCGACCTTATGTGCACAGAACTCGCTGTCGGGAAACCCATCACTCTCCGTGTTCACCCTAAGGACGGCAAGTCCTTTGATATCTCTTTGGCGCACACCTTCAACGAATCTCAGCTTCAGTGGTTCAAAGATGGAAGTGCTCTCAACACCATGGCTAAGCAGAGATCATGATCCACTCCTGAGCCATTCCCTTCACCCCACACCTTCTTTCATTTAGTTACGACATCTGATGCAATATCAGATACTGAATTTGACACAAGTTTATACGTTACGAGCATGCCGTGTGAGTGGCTACGATCGATGTCGCTGATGTTGAATGCAATGACTCGGCAAGAGTCAAGCTCAGACGGAAATATAAATGAAATACAAAAAAGCGAATCATTCGGCCCACAGATATTACTCTCTACGTTTGCGTTTTTCCCCTTGGCGTATGGAGGATGTACAACGAAGCTCGTTCTTTTTCGCCCCCAAAGGCTTCCTCGATCGTGTTAAAGCATGATAGAGTGGGCGGCAAGAGAAGATCATTGTTGCAATGCAATACCATTTGTATTTCACTTCGTGGTCTTTGTTGGTGTCCTGCATTTGTATATATTCCGGTTTATCTTTTTCATTGCGCCTTTTCCCCCTTTCAGCCGTAAATCGTGGTATCTGACGTTTTACTCATCGTATGTATGTACAATTACTCCCTACCTAGCGAATTATTCTGGGTACCATCTACTACGTATCATGAAATCCTATTTTCAAGACCATTCGGACAATGTTATTACATAATCCTCACAGAACTCGGTGCTTACGATTGCCCCGCGTGTGATAAGGCCGAAAAACCATAAATTGTGCCGAGGGATCTATCTCATCGGCGTACACGGTTCAAAAATTATGTTGGACTAGCTTAACCATGTGTACATATATTTGGCCTTTCTTCGCGTCGTTGTATATAGTTATATTTGCCCTTGATCGTCCAATATCGCCATTATCTGCTTCATGATCGGTTAATACAAGAACACCAGCTCATTCGTTACAACTTCCTGAGCTTGAATATCTGCACCCCTTAATATTATTTCAGGCCCGAAAAACTAGATGGCTACGCAATTAGTATCAATACCAGAGGTCGAGAGGCTAAGCGCCTCCGTGGTAAGAATTTTGGCTGGAAATCCGGGGAAGGTATGCTGTTCCGGTAACTAATTCGGATGGTTGTATTCGGTATTAGTTGGATGCAAACATTTGCTAACATCTGATGCTAGTTTACACTACAAGGTATGCTCCGTCTATACTCCGCATGCTTTTTCTAGCATCAACGAGGCTCTTCCCATGAGAAAAATGCTTTGCTTCTTCTAAGTTCTGTACAATACCAGGCACAAACACCTACCTTGTCGGTCGCGGGCGCCAGAGACTTCTCATCGATACCGGTGAAGGCAAACCCGCCTGGATTGCAACCCTAAGATCTGTTCTCAAAACAGAAAAAGCTACCGTTAGCAAAGCCCTATTGACACACTGGCACCAGGACCACACCGGGGGCGTAGAAGATCTATCTAAAGTATGCCCTGAGGCTACGATATATAAGAACGATGCAGATACTGGAATGGAAGATATTCAAGACGGGCAGGTCTTCCAAGTTGATGGTGCGACATTGAGGGCCTTTCATACACCAGGGCACACCGAGGACCATATGGCATTTGTTCTAGAGGAGGAAAACGCGATGTTTACTGGTGATAGTGAGCATTTCTTACCTTAACCCAGCATTCAAAGTTTGGTCATCTTACTTATCCTTTCTCACAGATGTTTTGGGTCACGGCACAGCGGTATTTGAGAACCTGAGCGCGTATCTCTCCAGCCTGGAGAAAATGGGCGCTCTTGGAACCCAAAGGGGATACCCAGGCCACGGCCCTGTTATTGACAACTGCAAGGCCAAAATCAGTGACTATATCCAACACCGGCAGCAAAGAGAAAGTGAAGTAGTTCGTGTTTTGGAGTACGGGACACTAGATACCACGAAAATTAAACAAGAATTTTCACCGGATCGTAAGCCAGTGCCATGGGACTTGATGGAGATCGTCAAGATCATTTATCACAATGTTCCCGAAAATCTGCATATACCAGCGTCCCACGGTATCAATCAGGTGCTTGTGAAATTAGAACGGGATGGTAAAGTCATCCATGACGAGAAATCAGGAAAATGGACGCTGGTATCGGTGAGGCCGGCACTTTGACGGGCTACTGCTGCCCGCACGGGCTTGCTATGTGGGCATATATATTCTTCCACGTGCGAATATCGCAACGCTGATAAAGACAATCTTACATGGTATTGACGCGCTTGTCTATTTAAAATCCTAATTCATTTCTGGGGCGATATGTTTTTCATTGGGGTTCCGGGTGATATAGGACATCCTCTGTATACTAGCCTCCCAATATCAATTCCGCGAAATCCGGTGCCCGAAAAACTTAGTTGAATTACACACAGCAGGGTCATGAAAGTCATTATGCCCCGCGTCCGCCAGCGTCTCTGAGTTATGAGATCCATGCTGACCCTCTTGAAGCATTTCAGTGCAGAGTGGGAAAATAGGATCGCAACGAACCCCAGCAAGATGGGGCCCAGCCAGGTTTTGTCTGGCTCAACGTCGTCAGCAGTAACCAACGCCAGCGGCATCAAACTTCCCGCAACTTTGCGCACCTGAGTCCCCGGCTCCCGCTCGACCACGTTGCCCGCGAAAGGATAAAAGCGCATAGGCGAGGCGCTGTCTAATGATGCATTCCAGGGCGTGTGGGCCAGTTGACTTCGCCGCACGGCCGGCGGGCTCCCCAAGGCCCGTCGACAGCTCCGTTCCTTGATCCCCGATGCCTTGAATGTACTCCGTAGCTTGTTTCGCAGCGCGACAGGTCGTTAGGTCTCGCGCGCCAAGCTGGTGGCGCCTGATATGCTTCGTGGCCGCGGAGTAAGCTCGAGTAGTCGAACCCTGGCTGGTCGCTCCCGTCATGCAACTCGTCGTAGTGGAACGCTGCTGCATGGCGAAGTTCCTGCTGGACAAGGGTTTATGTCATTTCACGCGGCCAGACCGCATCCGAGTTCTCTCGCGATCAATAAATCCTGAACCAGCGGCCTCTTACGTAGTTTTCCGACCTCACCCCTCCCCCACCACTCCAGCCTCTCAAGCCCCCCCGGAGCGCCGCTGACCCTCCAGCGCCGCCCATTCCCTATATATCCCCGTGTCTTCCTGGCAGCCCCAGCCGTTTGCGCTCGCTGAGTGAACAAAACCCAAGCCCCTTTCGACTCCAAACTGTTGCCCGCAATGCCTTCTCTCGAGTCGCTGCCAAAGGACGACCCCAGATTGCTTCTGGTGTCCAACCGGCTGCCCATTACCATCAAGCGCTCAGACGATGGCAAATACGATTCATCGATGTCGTCAGGCGGCCTGGTAAGCGGTCTGAGCGGCCTGTCGAAGACAACGCAGTTCCAGTGGTACGGCTGGCCTGGCCTTGAGATACCTGAAGATGAGATCGAAATGGTCACCAACAGATTAAAGGAGGATTACAATGCAGTTCCTGTTTTCATTGATGACGAGCTTGCTGATAGGCACTATAATGGCTTTTCCAGTATGTGCTATCGCTCCTCTGGGTCTCTACAGTTTCTGACATGACGTTCTTTGGGCGGTTAGACTCCATTCTGTGGCCGCTGTTCCATTACCACCCGGGCGAAATAACATTTGATGAGTCCGCATGGAATGCATACCGGGACGCCAATCGTCTCTTCGCCAAGGCCATTGCGAAAGACGTGAGGGATGGGGATTTGGTATGGGTTCACGACTACCACTTAATGCTGCTGCCTTCAATGTTGCGCGAAGAAATCGGAGAAAGCAAGTCCAATGTCAAAATTGGGTTCTTTCTTCACACACCGTTTCCGAGCAGCGAGATATATCGTATATTACCGGTTCGGAATGAGCTTCTCCTCGGAGTTCTTCATTGCGATTTAATTGGATTTCACACATACGACTATGCAAGGCATTTCTTGAGCAGCTGTTCTCGGATACTGTGAGGCCAATACTTCAAGCTTTCAATCATCAGAAATAATGGCTGACATGCTGTAGGGGTTTATCTACGACGCCTAATGGCGTGGAGTTTCAGGGCAAGATGGTATCAGTCGGCGCATTTCCCATTGGTATTGATCCCGATAAATTCTCTGAAGGCCTTCAAAAGGAGAAGGTACAAAAGCGAATTGCTCAATTGGAACAGAAATTCCAAGGGGTTAAATTGATGGTTGGAGTCGACAGACTTGACTATATCAAGGGTGTCCCTCAGAAGTTGCACGCCCTGGAGGTGTTTCTTACTGATCACCCCGAGTGGATCGGCAAAGTGGTTCTAGTACAAGTTGCTGTTCCAAGCAGACAGGACGTTGAAGAGTACCAGAACTTGAGAGCTGTTGTCAATGAGTTAGTTGGAAGAATCAATGGGAAATTTGGTCCGTGAGATTCCAACCTCTATATTACCCTTGCGATACAAATGCTAACCTTCCCAGGCACGGTTGAATTTATGCCGATTCACTTCATGCATAAGTCCGTCAACTTTGATGAACTGATTGCACTATATGCCGTGTCCGATGCCTGCATCGTCTCCTCGACGAGGGATGGTATGAATCTTGTGTCATACGAGTATATTGCCACACAAAAAAAGCGTCATGGCGTTTTAGTTCTATCTGAATTTGCTGGCGCTGCACAAAGTCTCAACGGCAGTATCATTGTAAATCCCTGGAACACAGAGGAGCTCGCTGCAGCCTATCAAGAGGCCGTGACAATGAGTGATGAGCAGAGAGCTCTGAACTACTCTAAGCTAGAGAAATATGTTCACAAATTTACTAGGTATGATTTCATCCTTTATAACTACTGCATACTAAGTCTAATTTCCTGCTCAGCGCCTTTTGGGGCCAATCCTTTGTTTCAGAATTGACCAGAATATCCGTTCATGGAGAAAAGAAACTCCTATTACGACGATCCTCGCTAACCGCCAATGCTGAGGCAAATGCCATGGACTCCAGCATAGGCTCCTAGGCACTCTGTATTACTGGCATGAGATATATTGTTTGCAATGAGGTGTCATTAGAATGATTGTTGTGATCTAGTATCTCTTGCTACATTCCAGAGCGTATTTTCTTCCACACACACAAAAATTTGATGATGGTGGATTGTATTGTATATAAAAATGAAAACTTAGTATTATCGTGCTTTGTTTGGGGTGTTGTGGGATGATGGTCATAGGGCATTCCTTCTTTTTAAAACTCTTTATTTGTCTACAGTCTTTCACAATTGTTACACAGTGCAATTAGGAAGTAATGTACTCAGTTCCATACTTCATTTCAAAGAGTCCACGGCCTTCCAATTCTTCATTTTTAATTTACCTCACAGCATCGGCCTATACTTCCTCCTGTTCCAATACCTTAGCTAGCTTCTGATTGGACAGCTAAGTGGCTGGTTAGAGTCTGGAAGGATGACAAAGCATATCTTTAATTACGTAATCGCAAAATTCTTCTAAACCTCCAGCGACGTTCGTTTTCGTTTTCAAAGAATGCGATCCAGGCTGTTCCTCGCCAATTAACACGATTACTACCTGGATCACGGAATCTTCACACCTGTTGGAAGATATTATATCTGGAGCTTGCGCAATTTTATACCTAGACAACGCTCGAGTCGCCCAAACATATATCCCTCTTGAACATTTTTCTCCACCGTCGAAACACGAAAGCGATCTTTGGACACCGGATGACTCTAGTTTTTACACAATAGCAGAATACTACACAGAATGAACCCCACAACCCTTCTACGCTTTTCCCGGCTGTCACTTTCTCCCTTATCCACCCCACTAGCTCTAGCAGCATGTCTGAGCAACAGGTTACCGCAACACCTTAGTCAGCCACGGCTTCGTGCACCTCTCACCAATGATGCCACAGACCAGCCTTTATCATCTATCGATAGCTCTCCTGCAGCCCCAGAGATATTAGGCCCTCACTCAATATCGTGGGCCAATGTCAGCTTGTCTGGCAGAACCCCAAAGATGAAGCCCAGAATTGGCACAGTCATTGGCGCTGGAAAAATGGATAAAGTCGTTCGGGTTCAATACATCATCCAAGTCATGGACAACCATCTCGGCAAGCCATTTGACAAGAAAATGGTGGTTCGTGTGGCCGATCCCCGTAACTCCCTCCGCGAAGGGGACCTGATCAAGTTTATCCCCGGCTATCGAACGAGCAAAAATGTGCATCACGTGGTAGATCGGATCGTGGCACCTTTTGGAGAGGATATTTCACAACGACCACCACTCATGACGCCGCTAGAGAGGGCTCAGTCCAGAATACCAAAGCGGAATAAGGGAAAAACAGAATTGAAAATCGGGAAGGTGAAGGCAAGAGTGCTGAAGAGGCTCTTAGCTGAAGGTCTGGCTTCAGATAAAGAGCTTAAATCTGGTGAATTCAAAGGACCTTTGACTGTCGAGGCTCAACAAGTCCATGCTCATTTTGAAGAGTTGTACGCGAGGCGATCAAGGCCCAAGCCAGGGGAGTTATAAAAAGTTGATTAACGTGTTTAGGCGGCGACAAGTTTGGAGTTTATATGGGATATCCTTCTATACAATGTATATTAAATGGAAAAATTTTGCTCTGGCTCCCTTCAGTATAAGTAGCTATTTAGCTCATTGCAGGCGAACCCCGAGAAAGGAGTGACTAATGCGGGTGCCCCAATTTTTGCTTGAAATCTATATTAATTACAGAACTACTAAGATGTGGCGGGCCAACATCAAACGGTTGGTCTGATACCCCTTCCTCAAGCTCCACGATGCATTAATTAACAGTAAAACACAACATAACCTTCAATCCGGAGAAAAAGCTATCTGCCCAGCATGAGGGACCAGCCTCCATAAACCCCCAAACCCCTTGGAGATTGCCCAGATGCCCGATGTAGCCCCTATTAAAAAAACAAGAGTAACAAAATATGCCACCAAGAGCATGCCAACAGAGCAAAGTGTCAAGCAGACTATGCTCCTCTCTCGCCGAACTCCTGTGCCCATTTATCGTACTCTTTCAACCGCTCACGACTAATACTAGACCTAATAGAGCACAGGGATGATTTGAAGTCTTTGAATTGAATTGGGCAAATCTCATCCATGGGTGTGCTCAAAAGAGCTTCTCCTAGATTTCGGAGCGGTCCCATAGCAGCATCTTTAGCTAGAGATGTGATATCGGAGCCAGAGAAGCCTATATTTTGTAGAATTAGCATTGCTTCTCGCAGTGTATATAAAAATCAGACGTACCCTCCGTTACCTTGACGAGTGTTTCCATATCTTCCTCTGAGAGGTCGTGCGATTGATGGCTGAGAAGTTTTTGTAGCTGCAACTTCCTTACTTCAGCTTCAGGTAAAGGAATATACTGTCTGCGAACAAATCTCCGTCGCGCAGCATCATCAATATCCCACGGCATATTCGTCGCACCAAGCACCAAAACTCTTGTAGCATCGCCTTCAGCTTTCTCTTTACTTGACTGCTCTCGCCCAGCGGCTGCGCGTTGCAAATCAGACCATTCGACGAGAAACTGCGTTTTTGAGCGGCGAGTGGCATCGTGTTCTCCCGTCACGCGGGACGAAAGCAATGAGTCAATCTCGTCAACAAAAATTATAGACGGTGCCATAGCCTTGGCCAAAGCAAAGAGGGCCCGCACCAATTTCTCGCTCTCTCCGTGCCACTTTGACGTCAAGCTTGTTGCAGATATGGAAAAGAACGTTGACTTTGATTCGGTCGCCACAGCCCTTGCAAGCATGGTTTTTCCAGTTCCAGGAGGACCAAAAAGTAGCATTCCCCTTGCCGGTTCACGCAGACCCATAAATAGATCCGGTCGAAGGAACGGGTACACAACCGCCTCTTTTAACGCTTTCTTTGCCGCCTCTAAGCCAGCTATATCGTCCCAATGCACCTCATCGCCCCGGACAATAATTTCATTCAGAATCTGACGAGCAGCTGCGCGGTTTACACTCTTTGGTAGCTTATCCAGGATGTTCAGCAATTCCTTATCCAGTACCATATCCTCATCAAAAACATCCCCATCGTCAGATCCGTATCCGGATCGCTCGTGTCTTGATGAATGATGAGGTGCGTTTTTTCGCGAAAGGGTAGGTGAATCTTTTGTAGGACTCGGTTTCGCAGGCCTCTCGCCATTCTCTACTGCATTAGACCGATGTGCTCTATCACTTTTCTTGGGAATAGCTTTCGTTCTAGATGGTGGCGTTGCACGCGACGTGCTAGAATCTTTGGAGTTTTCGTCTAGGCCATGAAGTATCGATGTAGAGCGGGCTTTGTTGCGATGGATAGTAGTAGACGCTGCTGTCGATAAGTTTCTAGATTCTGGAAAGTCTTTTCGATAGGCAGGATATGCAGAAGCGGGGGCACCAGGTTTCGAGCCACAAGTCTTTGCTGGAGATAGATCTTTCGTGTCAGGATGGCGAGGGGGTGGTGTGGAAGGATGGGTCGCCTCAGATGGGTGTTCTAGCTCTGTGGACCGACGAGTAACGGCTGCTGCGGCGTCAGCAGCAAAGTTCGATGTCGAGCTCTCCTTCTTTGCTGGCATCTCAGGTCTTGGGCCTACATCCACCGATTGTCGAGTGGCAAGCTCTCCTCCAGGAGATAACTGTGACACGGGGAGACCTAGAGGCCGAGGAGACACAGAATCCCATGCTAAACCAGCCGCCTGTGAAGCAGCCGGGCCACCGCCTTGACGGGAAGGAGGGTTCTTCATCTCTGACAAGGACTTCTTATCTTTAACGCCTCTAAGAGTTGGCAGTAATCTTCGCTTTTCCAAGCTGGAAACCCTTGAAGAAGCTGGGAGGGAAGTTGCACTTGTGCCCCTGCTCGATTCGTTGATTTGGGGTCTAGGCGGTAGAGATGGACGAGGAAGATCCGGGTAGCTCAGTGGTGGAATCGTGCCGTTTCCAATCCATCTAGGAGAGGCAGCTACGCTTCCGTTCGGCTCTGTACTTGCAGAGTTTCCTTCCAGCTCGGGTTTGCCACCCAAAGTTGATACGGTCTCTAGCTCAGCTGTTTTGCGGCTTTCGCGAAGAGCTTCGAGTAGATCAATCCGTTCCTTAGACTGAATCTCTAACCCCCGAATAGAACGCTGTAGTGACCGTTCGGTTTCGTTCTGTGGGGTATAGGCGGATGATAACGATGCATTGTAGCGGTATATAGTGTCAAGGGAATTCCGCCACGATCGAAGAGCTTCCTGCTCATTATTCTGATATGAATGGTTGTATTAGTGGCAAGCATTTCGATAAAACATAGAGCTCATTGAAAAACGAACAAAACCTCAAATAGGCCCGGCGGGACTGCACAGCAGCTGTCAAAGGCAGGACCCCTATGACAGCAGGAGCTTCGAAAGGCTGAAACATACCTGTCCCTCGAAATATACCGCAGTTGAGCACATCAAGTAGCACTCATCATACGTCTTCTGCATCAACGTCCCAGGGTTAGAGCGTAGCATCTTTGGCGGGGTAGCGTGACCAGCTTTGCAAGCTCCTTCATCTGATGGCGCCACGCGCGCACCGTTGAAGAAGCGTATGGGGAGTTTTAATGAAGAAACCATTTATTCATCCAAGTACAGACATCCGCTGCAACTCAATCGAATCCGAGAGTTGCAATGCACTCCTTTTTCAACGACAGCGGAAGTCTGGGGCCAAAGGGGGTCGGAGGAGGTACGGTTCTCTGGTTCACCGTGGCTTCTGTTCCAGAGAACCTCCAGAGGATCCTCTGGTGGGGCAATGGGAGGCGAACCTGGAGGGAATTATACGGTGCTCAACCGGCAAAATCAGGGGTTCACAGCCACGGTCTGCTCAGCAGGAGCTGGTGGTGGACGGCGAAGCAACTCTGGGCTTGCTTGTCAGGGCGGAGAGAGTAGTTAGTTATGTATGACGTCGAGAGGTCGGCCGGGCCCTAAGCATAACTTTCTTGGACAGACTCACCACAGTGCACAAGAGCCACAAATACAAGGGTATTTGTACTGTGCTTTTCTCTATACGTCTACTCACTATGTTGGATAATTGGAAAATATTGACTGTGATGCTTTCTATCGTCTGTTTACTGACAAACCGGCCCGTTCACCGGCAGCCGACCGCACCCAAAAACGCCAATAAGAGAAGAGAGACGCCACCAGGATCTTATTCCCAGATAGTGTCTCTAAGGGTGCCTTCTCGTGAGCCTCATAAATGCTACATAGGTAGATACGTGCAAGCAAGGCACGGAGACATCAGGCGACGATAAGAAATAATGCAAATTATCGTCCAGACACCACCAAGATGACAGAAGCCATATCTTTAGATGCTCGCACGCAGAAAAGCGGCAATGCCATTCAGTCACCCCCATGTAGCCGCCGTAACTGAGGAATCGGAGTAAGGCGGAAAGAAACAGTGTGTCCTGGGACCAAATAGAAAGCCCATGCCGCTCTAGACGCCGAACCAAAAGTATTTATGAGAAGAAACGACAAGATTGAAAGATAGAAAGAAAATCTAATCCCTGGAAAAACCGTTCCGCACACTTTTGGGAGCAAATAGTAGGAAATCCGCCGCGTAACTATAGGAAATAGCGGCCTCGGAGCGCATAATCATGGTTAATCCAGATCGCAGGCACTCCATGGAGAGTCAGGAAGTAATGAATAATCTCTAGAAATGTCTAGAGAGATGATTCGCCGTAGTGTCGCTTGAAGTACGCCTTAGCCATTTCATAAGAAGTCCTGTCCAGGTTAGTAGGTGCTATGGCCCAGTGGAGATTAGGTACTCACCAGCAAATTGCGGTACTTGGCATCGTGGCGATAATTCTAGGCCGCATTCCGCGGAAGAATCCAGACCAACCATATTGCTTTTTGATGAGAGCGGCAGCATTGAATAGACCCCGACTCGTGCGTGCTTCCGCATCTTCGGCCAGGCCTCTGGTTTGAAGAACTGTCTTGATCACATCTAGGGGTGTGGTTACAGCAGCGGCAACGGCGCCGGCTAAAGCACCGGCAACGCAATGGGTCAAGGGATCGTATTTCTTTGATGGGTTCATAATCTTTGACGTAGATTCGTAGGCGATAAACTGTGTGGCGGTGAAAGGGATGGTCATGCAGAGAGTCGTAGGGTAGGACACATAGAAAGCACGCATTCCCTCGGTCGCATAAACGGTGCGCGCGCACTGCCAAATGGTTCTATGGGTGGAACCGTGTACTTGCATTCGTTGCTTGATCACTACATGCCGCATATCAATACCCCAAAAAATTCAGGCGCCAGTCGAATGGTACGTACCATCAAATGGATTCATTAAAGCATCACTGGTAATTGTCGCGCATGCTCCGCTCAGGCCTAGGTATATTTTATTAGCTCACGTCCTCGATGAATAGATTGGATGACATGAAAAAGTCGATCGACAAAAGAGTGGTACTTACCAGCCGCGACTGGATGATGCCCATCCCCAACGTTACCCCCAGCAAACTCCTTCACAACTTCATACGTGCCAAAGTAAACAGCGTGGGCAGGCCCTATTACGCACAAACCGTGAGTACTTATCTTTCCCTAACACATATCGCCCGCAAAGCCGTTGCGCTGCTAAGAAGAAATTCATGTTGAGCTTACCGGCGCCAACAATTACACTCGACACACCCTTCCATAATGTTCGCCATCCTTCAACGCGCGAAATTGTGGTAAACGCATTACTGAGGCCCGTATAGAGTCCTCCAGCCGAAGGATTAAGTACTTGCATTCGGGTCTAAGAATGATCATGAAGTTAGCGACGCTACTTGTATTATGGAAAGGCAGTGCCCCAATTCCGAAGAACCCAGGCGCTTCTCACGGCAGGGCATGACCAACGGCTAAATCTTACCTTTAAAAGATCGACTGGGTACATAACCGAGTGTTCCTACATACAAATTGTCTTTAGTACTTCGTGTATCACATCGGCACTCCAAATAGTGCGGAGAGCAAGGCATGTGAATGCCAGCACGTACAGCGATACCCGCGAAAGCACCCGCCAGCATGTTATGTCCTAGGGAATAATTTGAAGGAAGCGCCTCATAACTGTGTCAACGGGGTAGAAAAGGTTAGCATTGAGAAATCAACAACGTGCCATGAGGCTGGGAGAAAGACAAGCGTACTCAAACTCTTCGGCCGTAAGATGGTCTGCAGAGGCCATTTAAGTGTTGTATCGCAGCAGGAGCTGCGTAGGGAGTTGCTGGTGGTGTGCGACAGCTGAAGGTCTTGGAGAAAGTTATGTAGAGATGTCAATCTGTAGATTGAAATGCTATGCAGATGACGTGAGGCGAGTGAAGAGAGGAGAGGAAGAGAGGAAATTAGTACTAGTGCCCGACAGTGAGACGGCAGGGAAGCAATTAACACTATTATAGTTCTATTGACGACAGAGATGTTATTAAGACAAAAAGAAAGAGGGTTGGAAAAAAACAGAGAACAGTCAGAGTGGAATTTGGTGAGCTGGGAGGCTTGGGAGATTTTCGCTTTTCACTCAGTATTAATGTTCATGGCTCGGCGTTGCGGGCACTGTTAAACTTGTTCAGCAACTAGTTGACTTTGGGGCCAATAATAGCGTCCTTCCGAGCCTTTTTTACAGTATTTATTGCCCGTTTTCGGCCTGCGGCCTCTGAAGCCTGAGAGGTGCTTCACGGAGATATCGGGCGGGTGCTTTCGTCCCATCAAGCTCGTCCCATCAAGCCTGACTGTACACCATGTTTGCGCACCCATTCAACTGACAACCCAATCTACAACGTAACTGTGCTGCACTTCTACTCTAAGTAGTATTGTCTCTTACTGAGCTCTTTCTCTTGCTGTGTCAGAACTCAGCCCCCTTCACAAACATAATCATTACTGTCAACAGAAAGCAGTTGGACAACATGTTCTGGCACGCTGATGGTGAAGACAAATCTTCCCGCCCAACACAACAATTCTTTCACCCTTCTCTCAAATCTTCAGAGAGCAGAAAAACTACAGGGATAGCATTGTCAAAATTCAGTAGTATGTGAGCACGATCGCGCTCAGGCGCCCCACTGGCATACACAGGCACCCATCCATCCGGCCATCCATCACGGCCGACACGTCTCATCAGAACTGTATCCTGCTGACATCGCCATGCCAATTTTCTAGCAAGTCTTGAGAGTACGCCGTTCACAACCGCCATCTAGGAAGAACACTTGGCTTCAATGCGGAAAGACGGAGCGAAGATCCCCCAGGGTTATCGCGGAGTAAAACCATCAGATAACATGCCCCCAAACGGAAAAAAATAAAATACAAGGTTCGAGAAACGTAGATTTATCACATAGCACAGCTAGCCAGAGTGCAAGTATCGGCGTTAAACTTCCTAGACAACTTGCCAGCCTCGTACTTCCAATCTCCGGCGTAAACTCACTCTTTCTCTCTCCCTATCTCGTTCTCCCTCGCCCCTTTAGCGCTTCCTCCCACACCGCGCGAGACACGGAGTCCGTAACGCAAAAAGTCTAAAAAAAATCTTATCTAATCCATCAGCCGCCAAGCCCGGATCAACTGTTCGGATCTGATAAGCATGCCGAGACCGGCAGGCGCCGACTCCACCGCATACACGGCCGTACGTGACAAGCCTCACATTACCGCAGCCGGAGACGCGGTCCGATACACCGTATTTACGGCGCTGTTACCGGTCTCCCGAGGCTTTGGGGGCCATGCGGGTGACCTGCCGACTTTCCAGCAGCGTTCACTCTTCCTTAAGTTCCTTAAGTATATGAATAGAGAATCGTTTCATTCATGTGTAGTATAGCCCGCCACTATCGTCAGCATCTAGTAAAGGGGAAAGGTGTCTGTAGAAGTCCTAGGATCACAAAGCTTAACGAAGGAAAAAAAAAGAAAAAAAAAAAAAGGAAGAATAAGAAATGATAAACAACCTATGCTCATTATGCCATGCAAAATATGGAGTATATCTTTGGAAACGAGAGAAGAAAGCTCAAGCTGATGTAAGGCGCCGTGAAATCTATTTCAAAGTTATATCAACGTTAAATGACCACTTTCCTGTTGATCGACAAAGTTAGTAACCCATCTAGAAATAATCAAGCAACTGAGAACGTACTGTCTTTCAAATTTTCAGCAGTATCAGTCAGTACAACACATCGTCGTCGGCTGCAGTAAGCCGTCTTATCGAGAATATCCCCTTTTAACCCCGCTAAGTCGGCGATTGGCTTTTCGAACATCTCACTCAGACTCTCCACCGCCATTTCCAGGTCTTTCTGGTTATCTTCGAACATTTCCGTTAAATTGTTACGGGCGAGATAAAAGGCGAAAGCGTATGTCCACTTCAAAGTCTGTCTGCACTCCTGGAGAATTCGTGATGCCGTATCTAGGAATTGCACTTCAATCCACGACATGCCGGATTGGGTCTGGAGGTTCATCATTTTCTTTTCCGTTTTCAGGTAAAGATCTTTATCCAACTTGGCCGACTGCTCATGATTAGAGTATCGATTATAATAGTGGAGGTATCTCTCAAGAGATCGTCGAGATTTCGCTTGGGCATCGCGCGCATCGGAGCCCGATTTTTCCTCGTAGCGGTTACAATTATACCAGCTAGTGCCGTGTTCTGACCACAAGCCCATACACATCCAGCAGAATTCATGCTTGCATTTTCGACACGTCATATGGTTGCAACCGCCATTCTTCTCTATCGTCGAATGACACTTGGGGCACTCTTTGGTATTCGCTGATATCCAGTTTGCTGTCTCTGAATCGTCTTTGCACTTCTTCAACCACATTCTGACAACCGCGCAAGGTGCCGGTTGGTGGTCGTTGAGTGTGCAGCCAAAGCAGAACGCATGTGAGCACGAGCACTGTACTGTCGGTACTATTCGATCAAGCTCTCGCGTTTTGACGGGGCACTGAACCGCAAATTCACAATTCGGGGCAGGGCACCACTTTAAATTCGTTTTATCGTCCACATAGGTTCTTGTAAGGAGGATATTATATCTATCCAAGCATTAAACCGTTAGTTTCGTTCCATGTCATAAGAACTAACCCTATGACGTACCGTTCTTTCAGATCATCCGTAACCAAGAGCTCCAGGCTTCGCGAATCTACAATACGCTGGCATTGATCTTGCGGGCACTGGATTCTAGCCGCCTCCCCTTCCTCCTTGATCTTCTGACCAAGGTAATGCCGGTAACAGTCGACGCAGAACCGATGGCCACAGAGCAGAGCATATGTTTCCAGATCTTCATCGTCCTCACAGCAGATTTCACACATGAAACCCGGAACCTTTTCCGTTTTCGGCGTCCCAGAAATCTCAGTTCCCAAGCCGGCGTCTGCTAGTGTTTTTTCGGGGTGATCCATATATGATTCGATTATCTTCTCTCGGTTCCACCGCACGAATCGCAGGAGAATAGCAGCGGACTCTGGGGGTACGCCTAATATAGAGGAAACCTCATTAATCTGGCCATCTTGCTCTCGTTGTATATCCCCGGGACTCAAGGTCTTGAACTCAGTCTCGTAGGGCTTTGGGGGTGGTTTCGAGGTATCTTTGCTAAGAGTAAAGGGGTTGCCCAAGTCGACGTCGAAATCTATCATGCCGCGGAAGATCATTAGCATGGTAGGATAAAATTAAAAGAAATGGGGTAATGCCAACCTTCTCCTAGGCTCTCCTCATCGCTTCCCTGAGTATCGATGAAATCCATATCTTCATCGTCGCTAGTAACATCGCTCATAAACTCGTCGTCTGAATCCATGTCCCTTAGTGGTATTATTCCCCGATGATTTGGGTTTCTGGCGTAAAAATAACAGGTTGGTCAAGCTCCGGCAATATAATTCCTCTGTTGGGGTCGTCAGGCAGCCGCCGGCTTCTGCTGCGGCGCCTGTGGCGTTAAACGGGGTCGTGAAGATCGTCGAAAAAGAACAATCTTGTCTATTGTAGAAACTATTCGCCTCCCCTAGGATGGGATTATGAACGGGACAGAACCAAAAATGAGAGGCATACAGGAATGCTCCGAAAAATTAATCATGCAGGAACAAAGGTGCAGATGTGGTGGTTGCACTTGTCAGTTGGGTTGGACCAGGCGGTGACAGATGATTTCACAGCTGACAAGTCACCCGGGCATGAAATCACCCCGCACAGTAGATGCTGTACTCTGCTGGTTGTCTCCTCTTGCACTCTAGGAGGCTACAGAATGCATTTCGGTTGGTTACTGGCACAGGCTTAATGTTACGAAATGTCCCCCCTGCTTTTGAGGCAATGATGACGAGCACAGGGGTGCTTAGTCATGAATCTAGGGATATCATGTGAGTGCAGAGTGCACAAGTGGTCCCAAAAGCATCCTGCAGATATCTCCGCTTTGCCCGAAATTGTATGTCTGCACCAGCAACAACCAGCTTCAAGCGGGAGATGCTGCAACCATGGATGCCAGGTAGAAATATGCCCGGCGTAAGCAAACACAAAAAGGCCCAGATTAGAACTTTTTAGCTATTTTCATACCTCTCATTTTACTCCTCATCATCTCCCCCTTCACCAGACTCTTCTTCCGAATCCTCTTCATCGCTGTCATCTTCCATCAGCCAGTCGATGAATGGTTGCGTCTTCCCACGAACATCCTTCAGTGCCTCCGTAGCGACAGACCGCTGGTCCTCCCACCATTGCTCATACGCCTCGTCTTCCACGATTTCCAAATCGTAGAGCTCCTTTGCCGTAAACAAGAGAATCATGTCTCCTTTACTCCTCTCAACCAGGTCCTGCTGGAACAGAAGGAGCAGATCGACTTGATCAGGCTTCTCGTCGGCCTCCTGATCGAACACGATTCGCGAAAGAATGTCCTTGTATTTTGTAAGGACCTGCTTGACAGCTTCTCCGGGGCTTACGGAGGCCTCTTCAATTTGGCGCTGGACGTATTTCATAAACGCGGTTACCACTGCTCGCCGCACTTGATGTTCCGATGCATTGGCACTCATTCGTAGTCCAACGAGCTCTAGCTGAACAACGTCTGCACTCAAGCCTTCCTTGAGACTATCAAAAATGCTGACAACCGCATCGTGGTGGAAGTGGCCTCTTTCTTCATCGTCGGACACGGATGTGCCAAAGCTGTCTGAGCGGGCTCTCGAGCCAGCGTACTCATCTTCCGATATCTGTGATGCAAGTGTCGATATTGAGGTGTCTGATAGAGCAAGTTCGGCCATATTATACACTACATAAAGATCGTTAGTCATGAAGCAGTGTAATAGAACTCAGCAGATACTCACACAACCCAGACATAGTAAACTCGTCATCACTCTCATCTTCATCATCTTGGCCATGTTCAAACTGATAGCCTTCGCCGTTCTCGCCCAGTAGCGCAGAAGCAGTTGTCGCCCCATCTTGCTGGAGCTTCGTTATCCTCATGCTTCGAGGAATCGAAACGTTGTTTCCAATTTTAACGCCATATGAAAGCAGCACACCGGGCTCGATTCGGCACTTGGCTCCAATCACCGCTCCGCTGGCGACGATTGCGTGTCGGATCTCAGTTCCGTCGCCAATGGTGACATCGTCCCAGATATATGCGCCGTCCAAGACGACATTGTTCCCAATCCGGCAGCGTCTCCCAATAACGCTGTCCGTGATGCATGTTCTCTCGCCAATACTTGTTCCTTGACCGATTATGGTACGTTGTTTCACGACAGCAGATCTTGATAGAACGACCCCCTCCTCCTGATACACGTTTCCGCGTCTCAACACGTAAGAATCGCCTTGGAAGAGATTCGCATCTGGACATAGCGGGTATACCCACCTCGAGATATAATCCCTGCTAACAGAATCATAGGCTTTAAGATTTCGAACCCTGGCCGCATAGTGATCCTTGACAACATGGGTGTGAATGGTCTTGCCGTTTAGTTCATAGTCCTTCAGAACACCGAAAAGGAAATGTTTACGCGGTGATTGGTAATCGAAACTATCGGCCCACAAGCCCAACACCTCAGGCGTGCAGATATCAATACCGCTGTCGATCAGGTCGTTTCTGATATCGATCTCAGGGTGGTACTTCACCAAATCCGGGTCAATATGAACATAAGAAGATTTATGCCCCATTTGATGGTGGCGGATTTCCTCATAATGAAGACAGCGATTCTTGGTGGGGTCGATAATGAACACGGGAGACGTGGGAGACGCTTTCGTTCGATGAGACGGCCCGGCTTCGCGCAACACCATTGTCATGATCGCATTCTTGTCGGCGATTCGGCGGGCTCGGTGCTGCGCCCAGGCTTCCTCCAGGGGCATGTTGCTAACCACGTCACCACTGACGAGGACGAAGTCGCCGGCAATGAGGCGTTTGCCATGTAGGTCCCGCATAATGTCGCCAACGGACGTCGCCGTGGTTTTTAGGAGCTTGAGCTTTTTGAAAGGAGAAACCGAAGACCGCCATTTTGAATCACTAAGATCGAAGGATCAGATATAATTCGTACCCATATAATAAACCCTGTGGATAAAACGTACTCGAGATGTTTCTCAACTAGATCCGAGTCGGCGCTGGTATAGATGAACACATCCTCGACTCCCGCATTTAATAGAAATTCGAGTGTATGATCGATCAGAAGCGTATTTGCAAGAGGAAGCAGGCACTATTCACGCGACACCTCCGTAGCCGGGCCCATCCGTTAGTCATTTTACTTCTATATCTCGGTTTCGAAGGCAAAGGCCGTCAGTACTTGGTGGGTCAACACACACCCTAGGAGTCTCAAGAGTAAACGGCTCGAATCTCGTTTCAAATGTATCCGTAAGAACCTAAATAGATAGAGCACGAGTCAGTTATTGATACGAAAAAGAAGCTCCATCCAAAAAAAAAAAAAGATATAAAACAGTTTTGAGGCAAACACATACCACAGCCTGAAGCAATTCCTCGCGATCATCCGCGGACATAAACCCCTGTAGAGGATTACTGCCACCTCCTCCGGCCCGGCGGCCTTGTTTAGAGCTCATTATTGTCCAACAGGTTGACGCAGCTGCGGGGCAGCACTCGAGCTTGACTGCTGGACATTCTTGTCCAAGTAGCCCCGCTGACTCACACGGCTGGAGGACTGGATTAGGTAAGCAAGGCAATCAAATGCGGCTCAACATCTTGAGCATCATCAACTCATGATAGTTCCCACACATAGTAGATCTGCCCTGCCCTTTGATAGCCAGCTTAATCGCAGCTGAAGACATTTAATAAAGCTGTGCTAGAGCTCCCTGCATACTTTAGACACTTTGCAGCTACTCTGTAAATTCTGTAGGCTTAAATCTAGAAATATTTTCTGCATTTAATCAAGAACAAATCTTCAAAGCGTACCACCCATCATGGGCAAGATAAGATAAGTCTTCTCTAGCTAGCCCATGCAATTGATATGACCCGAGAAGACGAAGCTCGTTCATTCTCACATGACTAAGCATTTCATGTTACTAAGCAAATTAGTCATCTATGCCAAGCTTTTTTGTCTCGGGAAATTACATAAGCCGGCTATTTTCCCGCGGCACGGCGCAAGCCCGGGATTAATTCGCAAAAGATCGGACCGGCCGAAAGAAAAGAAAAAAGAAAAAAAAAAGGCAAGCCGTGAGAGACGCGCGGAGAGGGACTTGGAGATTCCATAAAGGGAAGTGGGGTGTCGCGGGTGGAGTTGAAATGAATTGCTCCCGGACGGAGTATGGAGGAGATGAGGGAGCGGGGGAGGGCTGTGTTCAGCGTGCAGGCTGGGCTTCTGACGATGCATGTTCCCCTGCTGCATAGAGGATTGTTATGGAGTACTCCGTACTGAGAATAATCCACTCTAGCTACGATTCTGCATAGATAAATAGTTCTATGCACAAAAGGCTCAGCCCCTGTCCTTTCCCTATCACTTCAAGCACCTACACAACCAGCAGCTAGTCAGTGAGCTGGAAGAAAGAAAAAAATACCAGCCCTAAACAAGCACCGCAACACCCACACACCCAGAGCCCCAGCAGAGAAACAAGTCCAAAAGAAAAGAAAAAAAAGAAAAAGAAAAAGAACACACGAACCTCAAAAAAAACAAAGAGGTCCCCCCTCCCCCCCCTGGGTCTGGAACGCCCATTCTAGATCTCGCCCACCTGATCAGACGAAAAGCACGGGTTCTAGACCGCCACCGGCCTCGAGCCTCGGACGGCCGCGGCCCTTCCTTGGGACGCAGGCTGGGGGTAGGAGACGAAATCAGAATTCGGTGCTCCGAGCCTACCTTTTTTTCTTTTTGGTCTTTCGGAGGGGGGAATTTTGGAGTGTGTGTTCGGCATCGGGAAGCCGCCCGCCGCCCGCCGCCCGCCCCCCCCCCTTTGTGTCAAAAACGTGGGAAAGAAAAAAGGGGTAAAAAAAAAAAAAAGAAAAAGAAAAAGAAGCTTTGACATGGCGTTTGGCTTTTGACTTTTTTAACATCTTCTATCCAAAACCTCTGGCTTCCCGAGGTTCAGGTTTCGTATAAAATAAATCAGTCATGGTTTGTAGCGACGGCCTCCGGAGCTTTTGATGCTGCCCCGCCCTCGGCACCATGTGGTGCGGGTTTTGCCTCGCGAAACTGGCTCAAAATAATGCTATGTATCTCGTATGGACGGGCAAGCGAGAGGTTCAATAATCGGTTCGCTAGGGGCACAGAGGCGAGCGCACATTTTTTGCCCGTTTCTATCAGCTAACTAGTTAATATAAAAAGCTTTTATCGGAGGTTTCAACTCCACTCAGGACCCCCCCTGGCCTTCTATTCTTTCTCACTCTAGTCAGTTCCATGCACTGGTGGGCACTTCAAGCAAGCTTTGAGATAGGGATTAAAGCTTCTTTTTTTCTTTTGCTCCATTCTTCGCTGGTTATCGTCTACCTTTGATATAACTACTACTCTTCAAAAAAAAAAAGAGTCATGAAAATGTAGTTTTGTAGCAACGGGATCCAAAAAAAAAAAAAAAAAACTATAAAATAAGCTATTCCAACGCAACAACAGAAAACTCTCGATGGCAGGCAGTAGTAAGTAGTGCATGACGACGGCTTTCCCACCCTTGTTCAAATATGCAGGAAACAAATAGAAAGAAAAGCAAAAAAAAAAAAGAATAAACTTTGTTCCTGTGATTATGGTCTTTGCCGTGTACAGTTTCATCGCCATGGCTTTTAATCCCCCCTTTTCCTCGTCCCTCCCCGTCAAGAGGAGAGAAAGAGAGAGAAAGAGAAAGAGATACTATAGAGGGGCGGAAAGTAGACAAGAAAGAAAAAGAAAAAAGGCAAACAACAGCATTAGTTCCTATCCCATGCAAGTCATTCACAAAAGAGAAAAAAATGGGGTGTATGATTTGCTGAATTCCATAGCTTCGGACACAAAAACTGAAAGAATGAAAGAGAGAGAGATGGAGAGAGAGTAGAGGGATGTGTGTGCAGTGGGCGTGTGCGCGCGCGTGGCCGTGGCGCATATGACGGGAGTGGGACAGAAGAAGCAAAAAGAAAAAAGAAAAAAAAAAGCATTTCAGCCAAAACCGTCCCATGGGGACCGAAAGGCGTGGAAAAAATTAAAAAAAAAAAGCCACACACACACAAAAGATGCAGCAGCGAAGAAGAATAAGAATAATATATCCGCCCGTTTCCCAATGTAAAGGTCTCTGGGTCGGGGGCGCCGGATGTGGGAAACCAAAAAAAAAAAAAAAAAAAAAAAACACTATCCAGAGCCCCGTATACAAAAAAGGCATTATTGCGCTATGGAAAGCAAAAGCCAAAAGCAAAAAAAAAGGGCGAGTCGGATCCCCTGTCCTACACATACCCTCCCCGCCGCCGCCGCCGTTTGACCAACAACAGCCGCCCTTATCCAGTTAATCGCCATCAAACGCCGCCTGTTTCGCAGAAAAAGCCCCAATTGTCCAAAAAAGGAAAAAAGAAGGAAAAAAGGTTAGGAATTAATTTTATTTTGGGGGGGGGGAGGTCCAGACGCCCAAAAAAGGTAAACGCGATTTTAACTCTCTCTTTTGAATATATATAAAAAAAAGTAAGAAACTGGCGGCGTGTAGGCGGGAGAGGGGGGGGAGGCCCTATTTTTTTTCCTTGTCTTTTTCTTGGATTCAACAAAGCCTGCGGCATAATGTGTAACTGAAGAACGCACGCATGCACCCACATGTAGATTGAGTAGCAGTAAGACGACCGACGATGCAATTTAAAAAAAAAATGCGCGAGTGGGGACTGTCACCGGGGGTTTTCTTTCTTTTGTATATATAATATGTATATATATATATATATATACTATATGCATGTTCTTCAAGGCATCCGATTCGTCTGCATCGGGTTCACCACGGGCGCATTATTCGCCGCGGCGGCCGCCGCCGCCACATACATCCGCTGACGCTTCGCCATGTGGTGCGGGTCGGCCGTGCTCGCTAGCTCGGACGCCTGACGCCGATGCGACGTGCGCGGCGTGGCGGACACCGCCGCTGCGGCCGCGGCCGCGGGGTTCATGGGAGCCATGGGGTTCGTGGTATATTGGAGGCTGCTTTGGTCGAGCGCGGCGAAGGGCCCGCCGGGCGAGGCGGCCGCGACGGCCTGCGGCTGCATGAATTGGTTGGGCATGGACACGTTGATGGGCGAGACGCCCTGGAACTGCGCGGGCGATTGCCAGGTGCCTATCGACGTGCCGGGCGATTGGCCGGGAGTTGTTTCGTCTTTGACGGACTGGGTGGCGGAGTTCTGGGGGATGGCGGAGGCGGGTCCGGATTGGGTAACGTCGATTGTGCCAGGCATGTTTTTCAAATGGACAAGGTGCTTTTCGAGCATGTTGAGGAGGCTAGATCGGGTGAAGGGTTTGGGTAGGACGTCGTTCATTCCTGCAGAAGTGTTAGATCTCCAATGAAACGGTTGAGGGGAGGACTTGGAGTGTATACCATTCTGAAAATAGAGTTCTATATCACTACTGCGGATATTCGAGGTCATCGCAATAATAGGTGTGTTGTCAAATCTTCGGATAACACTGCACGCCGATACACCGTCGAGGTTGGGCATGATGATATCCATGAGAATCAGATCGTATTTCGAGCCACCTTGCATTTTGTTCACGGCTTCCAGGCCATCAAACTAGAAGAGTGCATGTCAGTAAAGATGAACCTGATAGCAGCTAAAACGACTAGCTTAGAGTATACGAACAGCAGTATCTATCGCGCATTGAAATGAATAGAGAAACTTCCCACCAATATGGCGACACGTCTGATCATCCTCGACGAGCAAGATATGCGGACTCCGCACCCACCCGGGGTCCGGGTACATGTTCGCGCTCGAGCTCTTCTTCCTATCCGCATACTGACTCCGTGGATCGACGGGATTGTGTTCCTTGGTGGCTGGTATCGAGTACGGAATGTTGGTCATCTGGTCATTGTACATGGGATCTATGCCATTGGTAACGCCGACGGGGTAGACAACGGGCTCCAGCTCTCCGTTCATTTTGGGGAAAGCCATTCCCGGGCCGGGGCCAGCTGACGTGGCGGGTCGCATGATGCCGTTGCGCTGGGCCTGATCGAGCGGCGGTGTGGGCACGGCGCCTGGAAGTCGGGCCTGCATGTCGCCCAAGGTATCTAAACTGAATTGCACTTCGGAGTTCATCTCGCTGAGGAGCTTCATGGCATGCTGTAAGGGGGACGCGGGCTCATCATTCTGAGCCTGGGCGGGGCTGAGGTCGGAGCCGGATTGACCCGGGAAGGCGGCGGCGGCGGCGGCTCTGTTTTCTCTTCGCTGGCGGGCGTCTACGGAATGCAGGAAGTTCATCATGTAATGGATGATCTGTTCGTGATTGAGGGCGGTTTTCTGGACGCGACGAATGTCTTGCATGACAACCTGCTGGTCGATGGCGAATTGCGCGAAGCGATCGGCCAGGTGTTGGTATTGCTGCTGCTGGGCGATGAGTTGCTGGTTCATGAGGTCGATCTGCTGGGTGGGCATGGCATCCTCATTGGGCGGGGGCGGTTTTCGGGGGGCGGGGGCTTTTCTTCTGATATTATCTAGCGAATCCTTGTTGTCTGCTTTGAATTCAGGGTGTTTAAACTCCCAGGCCTAGAGGACGGGGGGTCAGCTTGGGGGGGCCGGCGAAGGGTGGCGCGGGATACCTACACCGGCGCCGTAGGGCGATTGGCCGGTCTCCTCGTTGTTCTGGCGGACCTTGTGGAAGTCGTATTTGTTGAGCTGGCGCACGAAGCTGGCGAAGTTGCTGTGCTTGAAGTGCTTGGGGAGGATGGACTTGGTGAACTTCTCGCACTGTAGCGGCGGGCAGTCAGCGGGCGGCGATGATGGACGAGGCGGTTGGGGCGCGCGGGCTTACCTCCAGCACCACGAAGCTATCTCGGTCATCGCCCCATCGGACAATCTGCGCATATGATGGGTCTTCCAGCATTCTGAGGGAAGCATTGTTAGTAACGAAGCGCGGGCGGCGGGAGGCCGACGACGACGACGACGACAAAGGTCGACGCAACGGGTTTGCCGTTGCACCGGCACAGACTTACTTGTAGAGCTTTCGGACCTGGAGGGCGACGGGCGGGCGCGAGCGCGGCAGTCAGCAGGGCGCACGACACAGGCACGGGACGGACAGAGGGGGCCAGACTTACAAAATCGCTGGAATTGCCGGTGGACGCACCACCGGCGGCCTGGGCGCTGTCCATGGTGCAGCCGGCGCAAAGTCGGCGACGTGGGACGGGAGGGTGGGAGTGCAGCGACGGCGATGATGAGGGGGGGTGGATGGAGTGACGGGTAAATGGGAAGCGAGCCGAGAGGGGGGAGAGAGAGGGGAGGGAGAGGAGAGGGAGAGGGAGAGGGAGAGGAGAGGGAGAGGGAGAGGGAGAGGAGAGGGTGAGAGGTGAGGGAGAGAATGCGAGGAGAACAAGAGAGCAAGCGGGCGGGTGGCTGGTTGCGAGACAGCGAGAAAAAATGAAATAAGAAAGGCAGACGGCCGGCGAGGGAGCAGTTAAGAAGAAGCCAGCCGACGTCGGGCACAGCGGGAGATGAGAGGAGGAGACGAGACGGCGGGCGGGGGAGCGGGAGGGCCGTGCAGGGAGAGGCCGGGCGTGAGCGAGTAGGTAGTTAACTAGTGTAGCAGCAGCAGCAGCGGCGGCGGCAGCAACAATAATGTTTCGGCGGATGTCGTCACGGCGATCGAGCGATGGGGCGCGCGTCGCTGGCTGGCTGGGGGAGCAGCGGCGGGTGGTGCGACGAGGCGAGCAGGCAGAGGGTCGCTAGTCAGCGCGCGCTAGGAGGAAAGCAACAACAGGCGGCCAGCGCGGCGCTGGGCGGCGGCGGAGGACCGCGGCACTGGTGTCGCGCGCCGTAGCCCGTAGCCGCTACGGAGTACTCCACCCGCACGCCGTAATTGGCCGGCCGCGCTGCCACTTCCACCGCAAGATGACATCGTCGACTCAGGGCTGATCGATCGCCCTGCCCACTGCCCGCACCCGCGCACCCGCGCAACCAGGGCCCTCCCCGACAGAACCACCGCCGTGCCTTCCAGCCGGCTCTGGAGCCCGCGCGCCTCTCTCGCCGTTTCATCCTGCCGCCGAAACAACGTTGCGTTCTTGGAGCCGCTCCCTCCCCTGCCTGCCATGGGCTGACGCTCATCACCATCCCCGCTTGGCGAGCCATGCACTCCGTAGTCTCCTCTCACCGTCGCAGTGCCTCCGTACCTACCGAGCGTCGGTAAGGCTTAGCTGCGGCCTTAGCACGCCCGCTCTTCCGGCCGATGCTGCAGCTCATGCCCATCGCACATCGCATCAGCATCACGCGTGCAATCTAACTTTTCTCCCTGTTTCTGTTTCTCTTCCTCTCCTCATTATTATTCTTCCTCCCCTCGGTGTTTGAAAGCAGAAACTACAGCCGCACACACAAACACCTAGCGCCGCCAGTGCCTCGCTCGGCGCCCATCCTGTTGGAAACACAACACAGCTTCTTCAGCTTCCGCCCCCCCCCCCCCCCATCTCCAACGCACCAGATCCCTCGCTATTCAAACTATCTCTTCCTCACTCGCTCTCTCACAAATAGTAATAATAATGCCCTCCATCCATCCATCGTCCCCGTTGCTGTCCACCAATTATTCCTTCCTTCATTCCTGATCGCCGCCCGTGGAGCCGCGTCTCTGCTCGAAACGGCCGTCAAACAGCTTCCCGCCGCCCATTGGCTGGCCCTGTCTGAAGCTCCATTCTAGATCTCCGTCTTTTTTGCCATCGTCTGCTTCATTTCCTCATTTGCTTATCCCGCTCATTCTGATTCTCACTAATACTACTACTACTTATATTACTGCTACTACTCCAACCTTGGAAGGAGCTGCCTATTGCGCCAATGTTGTTTTAATGCGCCAGTCCCACCCGGCCTCCAAGCCAGAGGCAAGCTCCCGCATGCCCAAGCTGGGCCGGCGAGCTATATCTCCTCTGCGCGGGATGTCCCCTGGAATGGGAACAACATCCATCCATCCATCCACAGCACTCCTTCATGCCACCCAAGCCTCCAATGATGTTGCAGATACTAGGAAACAAGCCGGGGCCCATCTGATCACAATCATCACCATCACCATCACCAGCACCAAGCGCGGATATCAACTGATTTGCACCACTACTACTAACTACCAAGAACCCAGAAACCCCCTCCCCCCCCAGCAAACTTGGGTCCAATGGATCCCAAACGGCTTAGACCCGCCGCCGCCGCGCTAAAAAAAAAACATCCGCCACACCGCCGTCGTCCGAGAGCACCTCACACATACGCACGGACAGAGAGAAAAAGAGAGAGAGGGTATCCCAGCGTTGCATATTATTATCCTCCCTCGGAATGTACCGATGGAAATGCCAATTGAATCTATTGACCAAAACGCCACGCTCGTGGCTAGTACCGTTTAGCTACATGCAGCGGCGCATCCTCTGGGAAGAGGGACGGGCTGTTTGTCCACAGCTAAGTTCGAGATAATAATAGTAAGAGACATTTTTTTTTCCTATTTTCTTCTTTTCTTCAAAGACGGCCAGGTGGAAGATTTCCGCGAAATCCAGAATACTTCTCCCAATCTTCCCCTGTGAGAAAAAAAAAGGGCCCTTTTGCTGCAGGGGACAGGGCCCGGAAATAATCATTAGAATAATAGCAAGAAAAAAAAAAGCCGGTTTTTTTTTGTGTTGCAAGTTGCGTGTAATTTCGTTTTTTAGAAGGGCGGTGATAAAAAGGTGGGCAAACACAATAATAATCAAAAATGTGATACGACTATTTTCTCATGCATTTCCTGGTCCTGGTGGAGGCGAACTTGTGCTGTCCGTTTTTCCCCCATTATTCCCCCCTTCCAACCTCCCCCCCCCCGATAGCACCGTAACGCCCGGCCCCTCATATAATAGCGGTAATAATGCCAATAAATCGGGGCCCAGCAACAAGATCCCGTATATGTAGGCAATGTCAATCAATCCCAGTCAGCGGGAGAACAAGAAGAATAGCAAAAGACAAAAAAAAAAAAGAGAGCAAAAAAACTTCCAGGTCTTTTTTTTCCGGTTTTTTGTTTTTATTTTCCAGGGAGCGCGAGGGTGATGGCGTTCCGTTGGTATGACACCACTTTCAAAAAGAAAAAAAGCCTGGTTGGTGCCTGCCATTTTTCTCCCCAACGTCGATGTTTCCTCCCATCTTTCCGTTACTTTCTCTCCTTCCATCAAGAAACCGGGTCTATTAGTTTTCCTTTTCTTGTTAAAAAAAAAAACAAAAATTCTATTCCTTGACCGCAAAAAAAAGGAGCCTTTCCCAGCCCTACAAGCTGGGCTTCCTTTTAAATAATATGACTACCACTATTGGTTGAGCCCCGCCCACTGTTCGGGCGTATAGCATTTCGGCGTCCACGCGTGGATCGCGGCGATTTCGGCCTTGAGCGCCGAATTCACCAGCCGGTGGCGCGCGAGCATGGTCTTCTTCTCGAACTGCGCCGACACGATGACCGCCTGGAATGCCTGGCCGCAGCCGCCTGCATGAGGAGGGATAAAACAAAAAAGGTTAGGGAATTCGGTTTCTTCTCTCGATAATCACGGCACATCGGCGGGCGGAGGAAAAAGAGAATTGAGGGAAGGGAGGTAATATAAAGGGTTTGTCATACCGGATAGGTCCTCGATCTCGACGTGTTGCGCGCCCAGCTTGGATACCAGCGTTGCCTTTATCGACTCGGCCGTGACTGCCGGCGCGCTGGTGCTGGCTGCGTCCGCCGCGTCCGCCATGGCTGCTGCGAGGGCGGCACGGCTCTGGTGGATTGTGCGTGGGTAGGTGCTGCTGCGGAGGAGGAGGAGGGGGGAGAGATGCGATGGTCCTCGGTTGAGGAGTTGGCGGACAAACATAAAGGATTTCGGGGCGAACGGGGCGAGAGGGGGGGGTCGGTGCGGCGTATATATGTATGGATGTATGTGTCACGAGCGAATAAAGGGGTTGGTTGGTAGGACAGGTGGTTGTTCTGTAGAAGTATATAATAGCTAGCTTCACAATGCCACTCTCGTGAGGTCTTCTGGTGAGTTGATATATTTTTGGCGGGGGGGACGAAGGTAGCTATCGGGTGTAAAATCTTTCGACGGCACAGTAATTTATTACAGAGATTGTAATTTTAACTAGGCCTCTCGTATTTGTCAGCACCAATGGCACTCAGGTCATTGGCGGCAGCAAAGTGCTCTCTGGAGAGGCGATTGTTGTAGAGACAGTCTGGCAGTGTTAAATCGACTCCGACATACATACGCCAAAGACTTATAAGACAGCGTTTGTTAGTAATACACATGCGTACTCCGTACCACGGAATCTTACCGGAGACTAAGAGCCTCCGCCCCGCCGGTCAAAAATTCCACGTGATGCGGTTATGTAATCCCGCCCGGGGCGGAGCTGTTTCTGCAGACGTCGAGGAGGCTTGCTTGCGACTACGCAGGGCACCGGACTAACCATACATTAACCCAGTTGACATTTCTTCATGTTCCGTACGGCTTCGCGCATAGGAAAAATGGCCTCCTATCGTTCGTTCACCACTTCTCCGTTTTCTGAAGCTGTTGTCGAATGCATGAGGCGAATGTATGTATGCACAGAACATTGGCGTCTTATAGAATGGAATTGGCTGATTTGCCCGCAGATATCCAGAAAGTCTAGCTGATAAAAGCTTTGATAATACTGGCCGTGTGTTACGCCCGGACGGATATCAACACGTTGTTTGCTGACATCGTGCATCCCAGTCTTGCTTGAAGCTCCACTGAATACGCAAAGACAGTTGAGAAATTCTGTTTTATTAACGGTTGACCTGACTCAGGCCGTTGCCGACGAGGCAATCGAGCATGGAGACTCGATCGTTATTGCATACCGTCAGCTGATCCCGCCCCCAGTTGCTCAGCCATTTCCCTGACAGATCGGATATAGACCCCATCATCTTCCGCGGCCTGAAATCCATCACTTCCAGCAACACGCAGCAAACGACCCTTCTCAGACTCGCTGCCGAAGGCATCAGCGTCTATTCTCCGCACACCGCCGTCGATGCCGTCCCCGGCGGCATGGCCGATTGGCTCTGCGATATCGTGACGCGCCCTCGCGACCCACCGCGCCCCGCGGCCGGCGGACATGCGGTGGCCGACGAACTACTAGCAACCGCCAAAGCAGCGTCGCCGCCGCCGCCGCCGCCTCCACTTCCCCCTCGAGCAGAATCGCGCTCCATGGCCTCGCACCTCATCTTCCCGTCTTCCCAGCTACCATCGCCCGAAACGGCGACAACAGGCAGTGAAATCCCGCATTCGCGCTCGACCATATCGCCCAATCCGGCCCCGCCTCCCGGGTTTGAAAACGCAGGTACAGGCCGCCTGGTGTCCTTCCCCGCCCCACAGCCACTAGGTTCACTCCTCCGTCATATTGCGTGCGGGATCGGCATGCCGCGGGGGCTCCCACACTTCCCTCTCGCCCTACCCCCAAACTCGAATCTTGACATGAAAATCAGCACCGTGGCCACCTGCCCGGGCTCTGGCTCGTCGATACTCATGAAGAACGGGAAGCCCGTTGCCGACTTACTGTTAACGGGTGAGATAAGTCACCACGACGCTTTAGCCGCGATCGAAAACGGATCCGCGGTGGTCTCGTTGTTCCATTCGAACTCGGAGCGGGGCTATCTAGGGGAGCGTATGCGGAGGAAGTTGGAAGCTGCTTTGAGACTGGAATGGGGTCAGATGATCGAGGATTTGGCTGACTTGCCTGAAACCTCCACCAGTGGCGTGGCAGATTGTCTTAACGACCCGACTGTTGACGTTAGAGTGAGCGAGAGGGACCGTGACCCGTACGGGATTGTTGTCTTCCCGGAGGCGTGATCGCTTATCGCTAGGCTCGTGGCGGCAATTAGCGAATCTGTTTCTGAGTGCTCACATTTTGGATCTTTTTCAAAGGTAGCAAAAATCTTACTTCACAAACTCTCGGTGCTATATTTACTCCATAAAGTACACGTCTATTTCAATCATTTTTGACCTACGACTATGTTATACACAATCAACATCAGTTTGCCAGAAACTACTCCGTAATCGGCGGTATTTAGCTCAGCAATACTCTGATCTCGCCTGTTGTCCTTGGGAAGAGCGCGCGCAAGCTCCACGGGCTGTCCATAGCACCAAATCCCTCATTCGGAGCGTCGACCTCTTGGCTCTCCTTTTCTTTTCCCTTTCCTTGCCCGGTCTTTGAAGAACTACTAACTGTGTCGGCAAGACTGCCTCTCTCTCTCGCCTCATCAGCGCCAACAACCATACTCTCCACAAACTCGAAATCGCGGCAGAACGCCTCCACGGCTTCCTCCGTTACGCTTTTTACCAAGCTAGGGTTGTTAATGCGTTTTAAATTATCTGTAGCATCGACAAAAGCCGATGGGAGGAAATCGTCCAGTTGTTGGCTGACTCTGGACAAGGACTCCGGCTGAAATTCTGGAAGCGAAACTATATCAATCAAGTTTCGAGGTCTCGAGGCGGTTGTTGGCGACTCTTCATCCGTAGAATCGTTAGGGGCAAATGGCTCAAGTGCTGTAATTAGTATCTGTAGACCAGACTCTTTCAGAAGATAATCCTGCTGGATGTCGAGTAGGCTCAACCTGAGAGAGGATAGAGCCGCTGATAGTGGTGGTAGATGTGTGGTGGATGCAAACTTGAAACTCGATATTGCAGCACGAACAGCAAGAAGACAATTTGTCTGGTATATTACTTTTGAAACTGGCTTAGAGAGCGCATTAGAAGATGTCTTCGCAAGGTCGAGAAAAGGATCAAGGGCAGCTCGAAGGATTGGTGTAAACTTGTTTTCAGTGGACGATTCATCATCTGTCGACTCATGCTGAAAAGAAGAATTATAGGCATTCATCAGTTGCTCCAAATCATCAATAGCATCTGTGAGAAATTCTGGTGGACTTAAGTTATCGGGGGGAATCAAGCCAGACGGGTCTCCTTTTATTGTTGCAGTTTGATCTTGAACCAGGGACTCAAAGCGTGAGAAAGCGGATCGTTGTAGCGAAATGACATTCTCAATTAGTGTCGACTCTGATCCGAGGAGCTTGGTAAATGTGGACTCATAAAAATGCAGAAGGTTCATAGTTTTATACAAGGTAACCAACTCATCAATGCCCTGTATCGCTAACTCAACCCTCTGCTTCAGTGAGCGCGCAACTCCACCAATATCGCGTGTTACCAGTTCTCGCAAGGCCTTCTGGCCATCAAACACGGTCTCCTCTGCGTCGATGCGGGACCAGGGTTCACTGTTTTTACCAGACTCGATGCCCTTTGCAAGTTCACCGCCATCCGATACGAAGAGCGCCTCTAGAGCTTCTCTTTCCGATACTGTTGCCGAATGCACCCAGGCAAGCATATCCCCCACATATCGAAGTGGGTCATGAGCAGAAAATTCAATAGGTTTCGTACTGGAATCACGGAGCTCGTCCGCAATGGCTGCCGTCAATGCCTGGTGGAACGCATCCGATAGAATATACTCGCGCGCCTCAGCGAAGAAATCCAAACAGCTATGAAACAGGCTGGGTCTCTCTGCCAATACTCGGAGCCCTCTTCGTATAGGGGCGCTCATTTGAGGGTCTTCCAGATTCAAGGATTTGAATTCCTTTTGTATCCATTTATATAGCTTCATGAATGCCGAATTTAGGTTTTTTGAACCTTGCTCCATGATCTCCAGTCCCAGCCTCTGATTTTCACTACCAAGCAGTAGCTCGCAGTCCTTATGGATCTGCTTTTGTCGAGACAATATATCAAAAAAGCGGTTATCAACAGGCTCTGATGAGGATGTTAATGTTGAAATCTCGTCTTCGGAAAGTACAAAATGCTGATTGAAAGCACTGAGGAGCTGCTGTTTTGTTTCGGCTTCATGCTTTTGGGAAAGTAGTGCGGATGCCTCTTCAAGCATTGGACTTGTTTCCTGCCGTGAAAGGCTAATATGATGGCGCATATCCTCACATATTGAGGTAAGGTTAGAAATTGCAGCTCCGATGCGAGTGAGTTGCTAAATGACCACTCATTAGCATTGGAATACGAATCCAGGACGTCAGACAATCCTACCTCCGCAACCTTTCCAAAGTCTTGTATAATGCTACCATTGGAATCTATAACCTCCTTCTGGATATCCAAATGAAGGGTTCTCCGTGTTTCTGCGGTATTTTGAATACTCCTTTTGTCTAATGTTTCCAATGCATCGCGAATATCTGAATCGGTATATGAAGTTGATAGAACTGTATTGAGGCGGTTCGAGAGTGCCGTAGGTTTAACATGGGAACCTATATTAGATGTATTAAGGCCTATTGAGCCATCATCCAAGTCAGGACTGCCAGCAGCCGCGGCAGCCATGACTCGACGGTTATGGAAGAAAAATAGAAGCCTTGCATGTTCGCGTGGTGGCTGAACAGTCCGGCATAAGGTTCGGGAGTGAATGTCGGATTAAAGTTGTCCCGCGACGCTCAACTGGACCTTGGCTTCCTCGAAATCAACCCCTACAAATGAACAGGACGTATTTTAGGCACTTTTTTTTCGCGTCATTTATCATTGAATAAATGGACGATTTGAATCCTATACTATCGCCCTCTAAAGCCCGACAGGCGGCTTCCCAGGCCAAGGACTGGGCGTATGTTACGAGCTGGTTGAACCGCAAATATACAAATTCTCCAAATCCCATACCCAAATTCGAACGTAATGAGGACACACTGAAGGTGCTACTGAATATTGCCGCTGCCAATGATGCCGCAGATGAGGATGAAGCCCTTGCGCATCGTACACGGGAGGAAACAATCGGCCTCTTGAACGCTGAGCTACAGAAACCTTTAGATCCGAAACTCAAGGTCCTGGATGACATTCAAGATAGCCTTGACGACCAAAGTGCGAAGCTTATCGAGGATCTCGCCGAAACAGGGTTATTTCTCGGCGTATTAGAATCAGACATTCAACATATGTCTGTGGGGGTCTTAAACATGACGCGAGAGGAGTTCGATACTGCTGAACAACTACGGAAGCTCGAATCAATACAAACTTATCTTGGCTCAGAGCTTATAAAGTTACAGACACAACTTGCTGAGCTCAAAGACAAAGAAAGATACGAAACACCGGCAGACCTGCCCTCAAAGACCAGCGAATGGCTGAGAAATAAAAGAATTGTAGAGGCGAAAGCTAAAGAGTACCAGAGCCGTACTGCTGCTATTAGGGGACTCTCCGATATAGAAAGCCCAAAGATTGACGATGTAATAGCAGAGGAGGAAGAAACTATGAAATTGGAAGAAAACGTGAAAAAGCTGGAAAATAATATCAAGGACTTTCACGGGCTACCCACAAATTTTACCAGTGCAAAGTCAGAATGCCAAAGACTCTCGGCCGAGCACCGCGTTCTTGTCCAACGTCGAGACCGTTTATTTGAAGGCTTGGTTGGCTCAAGAGGTCGTTGATTTGAATACTGGGCATGAAAATACATCTTAAAGCATAACGTCATGTCATTCTTGTTAATTGACTATATCGTCTACGGTATCATATACAGAATACATTTCAAGCCGCCGTTAACAAATTTCTGAGACGCCGAAACTTCCTATTCATCATGTTCATCATCGATCTATTTATCCATGCCGAGTGCGTTCTTCACTTTGTCGCCACTAATGACAATGGGTCAGCTACTGCCGAACGTCATCCACTGGAGCATTTATGGAACTTACATAGTGGCAGCGGCGCCGCCATTATTGTTGTCATGCATGCGCTGGGTCTTGTCGAAAGCTTCCTGGCCTACTCCCTTATGGCTGTCTGGCTGAGCTCCACTGCAATGGCTTTATTAGAAAGAACTTCAGGGAGTGTTTATTGGCGGTAGCTACATACCGAGTGATGCGGTCCGTGGTGTCAGTGAAGGTCTCCTGCACTTTCTGCTGTGTAGATTTGGCAGATTCAGGAGTAATTTCCTCCTTAGCCTCTGTTGACAATACCACATTAGCAACAAAGGATGGGAGATCTTGCCCAATTGAGGCCCTTACTGGTCATGAAATCCTTGCGGCCTGCGTCAGACATGCTTGCGATTTATGTTGATTGCTGTGGAGGTTTGTGAAAGATGAGCAGAGTAGTTGTTTGTCTTGATGGGAGAAGTCGAGGAGGTTGTCAGTTGATAAAATTTGAGAAAAAACAGGAAGGAATTTCGCTCGTTTTATACCCCGCGAGATCAGCTAGCCCTACCCCTAAGATGACGTACATATCTGGAGGTTTCCTCCAGAATAGGGTACCCTTCAGGGGCATAACCAGGATTCTGGATTATGATGCAATATCAATACACAATCGAAACTAAGTCAACCCCATGCCCGATTTACTTGGGTGGTATGGTGGGATAAAACTGGTTTTTTGATACAAACAGGAACTCTCATCCATGGAAGCTGCACTCATTTGTTGTTAGCCCATGCTCCACCGGGGCGAGACCTACGTCCACGGAATGATGTAATTGCTATGATGTCACTACCAAGGTGTTTGTGCACCATGCTAAACCGGGTAAAGGGAGTTCCGTGCGACGTGATTACGTCAGTGGCTATGGGGTGACATACTTCGGAATTCAGTAGATCCGAGCACCGAGGATCCGCCGTTGGCCCACCGAATCGGAAGTCCATGGAATGGTACTGAGTACTCCGTACTCCGTACAACTTTTCGACAATAGATTATTGTATTTCAGCTGCTAAGTTACTTTACTAACCTTTGGGATACATAAAAACTGTAACAGTGCTGCTGGCTCTAAGAAATGAATTGTCAACTGAAATAAGATTTAGTCGAAACAGAGTATTCGCTATCATAATAAATTATTCATAGCAACATGCAAAATGGGCCGCCACCAGGCCACCCAGTCATACTCACTGTTCAGTAATAAAATAAACGTGGACTTGGGCATTAATGTGTTCAAAAAATAGGATGGTGTAATCCCCACAGTCGATCGAGGAGCCATCGGTGAGGGAATTGCGCCGGATCAATGCAAGGAGGTAGATAGTTTTACCAGTCGTCTTCTTTCCTGGGATCCAAAATACATGTTAAGTTGGTACTCTCAAAGTAGTCAGGATAGTAACCTGAATCTTCCCAGTCAATTATACCAGTAACCCTACAAACATTGTTTTCTCCCGTCTCTACCATTATGTTGTCCTTCTTAACATCTCCATGAGTGAAAACCGATCCTGTTGTCAGTGGGGGCTGCAGGGTTTGAATAAACTGAATGTATGATTTGCTGAGAAATTTAGAGAGTGAGAATTGCAAACCCACAAATGATGCAGCTGTATTGAAAGTTTTCTCTTGTGCAAAACAGCTTATCCTTGGTTCTTTCACCCCTTCCCCTGCCACTCCTCCCAATGGGTAACCATCGTCCTGTCTCAGGGTTCTGAGATTTTGAAAAATTTCTTCTAGTTGTTCCTGAACAGAGACTTTCCCCTCGTGATTCAAATTTGGCCAGGCTTCTGTCAATGTCATTGATGGGATATAGGACATGAAAAAAGCCGTGAAAGGCACAAGTCTTATAACACCATGAGGGCGAGGAGCAGGTATATCTGGCAAATTCTCAAATAGATGTATATTCAGTATAGTCCGGTCGTTGTCGAATGACTTTGAGAGCAATCTTGTCGCTGCATTTAAGAACTACTCCCCTGACAACCATTTCCCAGATTTTCGGGGATTCCCATATTAGCCGTTTTAAAGATATCAAAGTTCCTCTCCCACAAGTTCCTTATTTCCATCAGAATGTCGCGATAGGAGTTCGATGACATCGTCAGACAGTGGAAATACCACCTCAGCGTTATTAACATAATCGATTTTAGTGCGAAATTCAGGGGGTGGTGGTTGATCTTCTTGCTCTTTTTTTGCTCTGGCTCTAGACAAGACTCCCATAACTGAATCATAATTTAAAGGTAAACAATCCCGTAGATCGACTGTAGGATCGGATTTTAGAGCCATCTGCAGCTTTTTCATAGCCCATTTGTTTAGGTAAACTGGATCAGTCGTGGTTGAGCGCACCTTCTTCGGTTGGAGAAAGGGGAGAAAATATTGCGCAAATCCCTGAAGACAACTGAAGCAGCTTTTCAAGAACAAGCAAACAGCATTCTCTTGCTGTGCCATAACGGACGTGTATTTCTGAATAAATTCAAATCAGAGAGAGAAAAAATTGCAAGTACTTTGTTTGCTAAGATGGAGAAAGGCCAGCCTGCGACTGCGTCGTCAAAATGCTAGTCAAATCTCCATCCTGCAGAGTGGAAAGACAAGAAAAATAAGCTCACGCTTTAGCAGGGGAATGTAGAGCAATGGCGTTCACTGGAAGAGCCCGACTCCTCTGACTGATGAAATCGGCGCTTCAATGGCTGGGGTCTGAAAGAGCTATGATGTGGATAATTCAGCCGGAAAGCATCTGAAACCAGAATATCACCCAAAAAGCTACGTTTTCAATTGAATTGATCGCCTGCACTCCATGGATTAACAGCGATCCAAAAGTTGCCCAGACCTCCTACGTAGTACCAAAATTTGAGCTGGTTGATTATCCATGCAGGCAGCAACATGGAGGTGATGAGGCGGAATAATATTAGCTCCGCTGCCCGTTGACCGATGACCACGTGATTTAACTTCGAGGCGTAGGCACCCGCCACCTCCCACGCTGCATGAGGCCTATGGTTAGTTACAAGGTCTCATTGCAAGTATCAACAAAATATTAACATCAAAATGATGTTATTGCTGGCTTTTACCTAGATCCTATTCTGATTAGCGTTGTATTTATTCAAGTGTTTTTGCATACCCGACCAGTGCACAAATCCACTCGCCCCTCATTCGAGACTGGTTCATGTCGGCTCCAGAGACTCTGACAGCATGGGACTTTACTCCCGTACTTGACTTACTTCACTCTTTCAAGCTTGAACCCCACCAGGAACATCCATATGTCTTACAAAGATCCCCTAACGATAGATTTGACGAGGGCCCAGATGAGGCGATTCCTTCAGCTGACCTGGATCGCAGGTTTGATGACTGCCGCCTAGGCGATTTCGGCGCTATTTGGTCAGCTTTATCGCAATCATATTCTCGAAATTCTGAAGGGGAGTTGCTCTCCCTCAAAGAACGACATAACAGCCTTGAGCATAGAGCTTTTACGCCTGTTGTTGACAGACAGACCATACCAACGGAGGGGAAAAAGGTCTTGTTAAGAAAAGCGGTTTTCCAAACCGATGTAGTGGACCTAAAATCGATATCACATCCACGAGTTCGGATTCTTAAGAATTCCGATGCACCTCGTGCCCAGCAACAGGCAGTCACACCCATTACTCCACCCAAGGCAGCTGTATCACAGGGGCCTAAACCTGCTTTCTTCACATACCAATCTCCTCCACCGCCGTTGAAGAGCTATAAAAGATCAACTTTAAAGAACAAATTTAATGTGGCTCCAAAACTCAAGGGCTCAGCTAGTGACAGAAAATTGGACCTTATCAGATTACTTACAGAAAACCATACAATGCAAGGCCAATATTTAGCCAACCCTAAGCTTCATGACCCCGTTTTCTCCACTTTGAATGTTCATTCCTCTGGGATACACGTTTTTGTTGACATATCGAACGTGAGATTACCTTAATCCCTTCTTCGTTGTGGATGATATTGATCTGTTTTTTTTTAAAGGTCATGGTAGGATTCCATGATTGCATCAAAATTGCAAGAGGTATCCCAACCACGGCTCGCGTGCCTCGCCTTCCGCTGTCCTTCCATAACCTTTCACTCGTCCTTGAGCGGGGCCGGGCAGTGAGAAAGCGCGTTCTTGTCGGATCAGACCGCTTCTCAGCCATAAACGAGGCCGAGAAGCTCGGCTATGAAGCAAGTATCCTCGCACGAGTTCAGAAGGGAAGAGAGACAACCTCGCGAAAAAGAGGAGCTCCGTCCTCAAAAGAACAAAGCGGTGCTGGAAGTGACTCAACTGGGCCACAGGATCAATCCAGTGGGTCTGAATCCGGCGAGGTTGTTCAAGAAAAATGGGTGGAGCAAGCAGTGGATGAAATCCTGCATCTCAAGATCTTGGAGAGTATCATTGACTCAAAGCCAGCAACAATTGTCCTCGTAACTGGGGATGCGGCTAAAGCGGAATATTCTGATGGATTCATGAAAATGGTCGAGCGTGCTTTAAATAAAGGATGGAACGTCGAGCTTGTATGCTTTAGCTGTACACTCAGCCGCGCTTACAACCGCAGAGAGTTCCGGTCGAAATGGGGAGAGAGGTTCACCATCGTCAACCTGGATATATATGCAGAGCATGTATTGGATATGTAGCATTTCCCATGCTTCGCGATCAGCTGTCCTGGTAACACTAGACTACTGATCGATGTTGTCATTCTTTTTGGATATTTTACGAGATGGATTGCATATTTAACTCAAACTATCGCTTATATTTCTGTAGCTGAACTTGCCCTTCTGTGCAAGGAGTACCTTCTGACGTAATATGCCCCCTCATCTTGTGAAATTCTGGTCCAGGTACAGCTCAGATTTCTCTTCATTACAGATTCCATTATACCTATTCCAAATCATTTCATAAACGTATAGCCCAGGAGCTCTAAACATCAGTTTGAGGGAAAGAAACACTAGCTCAAGGGCGGCTTCATCCACTACAGCTACCCCTCCCTTCCACCAAACGCGGGACGAATAAACTAAGTAAAAGGGGCCTATTTCTACGTGACAGCAGACTTACGATTTACAAAGATGGTGGAGATTCGAACAGAGCCTGTGGGGTATTCCCGCACCCCATTGTTTGGTGGTGCCCTAACAGCTGAAATACCAAATGTGTTTAAGGATATGAGGTACAGCGTTCTCCTCCATTCCAATCTACTACCCCAAGATAATGACTACCTAATTTTTTATATTTCTGACTGCCGTCTCTATTTAGCAATGTGCGGCCGATTCCTGATAACCAAGAAGTTTTTGCGTCCTCCGTTTCCGACACAAACATTATCATCGAACTTGTTGAAAGACTAGAACGAGACTCTGAAGCAGCTCGGGTGCCTTTGGTTCGTATACTAGGAAGGGAGTCAGTAGGAAACTTGTCAGATGACGAACTTGCCGTTCTTGCCCATATGCATGATATCTGCAAGGCTAATCAAGAACGATTCGAACTGGTCGAGGCTCCTAAATTATGTACCGTTCAACATATCCCCGAGCCGTCATACTTGTGTAAATTGAAACTGGTGTCGCGTATGGTCATTTGTGACGCATCTGGCACAGTACGATCGCACGAGAAGGCTACAACGGCATACATTGTTCTTGTTCGTCTGGTGCTACAAGGAACAGATATACTGTTGCATATCAATGTCCCGCAGAATGAACATGTATGCAATGGAGACCCAGATGGCCCTGCAGGCGAAGAACAAAAGGCAAAAGAAATATTAGAGAGGCTTTTGCACACACTAAGAATTGTGGACTACGGCTTATTTGGCAACTAAAGGTTGTTTGCGAGGAGAGCGCAATGCTGATCTAGATGACTATATATACTGGCAATACCTGTACAGGATAGGAGATTTACGTCTTTGGGAGCCTATTAATGGAGAAATCTGGTCTGTAGTTATATCATGCTAATTGAATCATTGACTAGTTATCTTCGTAAGTTGCCTTGCAACCTTCATAGCTTTCAATAGGTCCATTCAAGTTTCGAACCACAACTAGGCATCACGGAGTCGGAGCAACTTATGTAGGAGGCCAAAAACCCCAAACTTATTTTCCTAGCTCAATTTCATCTGTGTATGTATGTCCACTAGCTATCTAGGCAGATAGGAAACAAAATTTCAGTGATCAAGCCCAAATAAATGTATCTGTCATAGAAATCAATTTAATCAAGTACCTCGACGTTTTCTCCCGTTTTTACAGTCGCCTTCCTCGGTTTTGGTTGAATCTGCACCAATGTTCCCTTACATCTCCCACACCCCGATTTAGTCGGATCGATGCTCTTTGAGTGCCGCCCATACTCCTGTGCACAAAGTAGGCAACTCCAGATGTATTTGTAGTTAATCTTATATGAGTGCTTTGTTGTAATTTGAATCCGGCCAGCATAAACTGGGTGGGCATCAAGTATTGCCATGACCTTCTTTGCCCAGTTTTTGAAACTCGCGCCGTGCGGGTTGTCGCGAACTTTTGAAATCATGTAATTCGCCAAATGGCAATACTCATGAGCGATGGTGTTGAGAAGTTTCTCCTCAGTATCGACAACCTTATCCGCAAGCTTGATAGACGCGTATTGTATGTAGGAAGACTTGAGAGGGGAGGTTGTTGGAGGTGTCGTAACAAAGGAGTTGTTATGTTGGTGGCATGCAGCAAATTGACTGGAAACTTCCTGGACGACTTCTTTTTGCTTTATATGTTCACGTTTCCAGATTGCCACACCGGCTGTTTTGTTGAGTTTTTTGCACCAGATGAGTTGAACGCCCCCAGTCTCCGCTGCCATTTGCTGAATCTGGCCACCACTAACCCGATCATCTAGCTCTTTCAAGAATGCTTCCCCAAGAGCCATTTTTTTCTCATCAAATGCCCGTTTTTCAGCCTTCGATACTGCGAGCGACCTTGTAGACCTCTCACAGCCCTTCTTCGGTGAACTCGAAGATTCTCCAGGAGAAGAAGGCACGGAAGAACTCCCATCGGCTGCTCCACCCTGGCTATCCTCAAAGATTGTGAACTCTGGAAGCAACTTTCTAGACGCTCGAAATGGCGTCTTAGGGGTGAATAGGTCATTCCAGTGGTTCACATCATTTTGACTCCAAAAAGCGTCAATACTTGGCCGATATGGGGATTGTGGAATCCGTTTTGGAGTTTTTTTAGGCGACTGGAGACGAGATTTTGATGGGGTACCCGGAGGAGTGAAGACCTCCTCTACATTCTGCGCTGGAGTTGGATCAAGTGAGGGGGGTGTGCTGAGGAACACTATTTAGTAAGAGTTTCAAATGGTAAATATCTCCACAAACAACTTACAACATTGTATCAGAGTCACTTTCACAAACTGGATTCATAGTAGTCTTTTTGTCATCCCTTGATGCACCATGATATTCCTGATCAATGGATGTTGGCTGTTGTAATTCAGTTGGAGAAAGAGTTGTTTCTTTCAGGGCCTCTGTCAAATAATCAAGTTGAGACGAATTATGTATATCTGTTGTGTTGAGGAAGATCTTTGTGTTTCTTCTTGCAGCTTCTTTATCTTGCTGTTGCGCGGTGGGTCTCCTCCCTCTAAACAGTCTCCTTACTGGAACTTTCTGTTTAGTGAATATTTCTTCTTCACTTTCTTCACTCTCTTCTTCAGCGCTTTCATAGTAACTAATGTCCTCTTCGTCACCAACAATAAAACCTTCTAGGGAATCGAACTCTTCTTCCTCCTCATTTTCACTTGACAGGATTTCTTCCTTTTCTGATACATACTGTGGCGTTACACTTGGTCTCCAAGTGCCTCTTCCTGACTTTCGGGCGTGGCCCGTATTTCGTCGAGAGCGAGAACCGCAAAGGTTAGGTTTCGTTTCATTAAACAGGCCTTTCTCGTCATTTTCTTTCTCATAGTCGCCTCTTTCAGTACTGATATGGTTACTTCCTGTCGTAAAATCACTATAACGCCTCTCTTCTCGAGCTGAAACTCGTCGAGCTTTGTATAGAGTATTCGCCCGGCTGACCCCTAATGTTCGCAGTGTTTTTCTTTTCTGGTGTTTTACACTAATAGTGTCTATCAACCCGTTTGCGTGAATATCTTCTTTCATGGTGCCATTTTCTTTCGCTATGGGAGACGACCTGGTTTCGTCACTTGTGTTGCTCTCTTCTTCTGATATTTCACAGCCATACTCGTCTTCGTTTGCGCTATCATGCTCACTGTCATCTGTATCGGCCTCTTCAGCGCTCAAGTCTAAATATTTAAGACAATCAATACGCTCTTTCTCCTTTTTGAGATCTTTAGGGGCTTCCTCCTCGTCGCTATCGTCAAGAATGATCACGGGCTGGGAGGTTTTTCCACGCGCAGTGGACGGTGTAGGTTTTGGCGGCGTTTCGCGAGAGATATGAGCAGTCGGCTTCTGCTCTGTGGGCCTTACTGGAGCCGCGCGTAATCGTGCCATGGCAATATTGTGTTTTCCCGTATGCCCTTAGCCGTTGGATTTGGGAACATTCAGGGTGTCGTTGTTGGCAACGTGTGTTGAAAACGAGCGTTGGCCCGGCAACGGGTGCCTTACGTCATGATAATACCGATTTGCCACAATATCTGGAGAAAGAAGACAACTATTTCACAATATTATATTCAATTTTAGACCATACAGCATGTACATACATACGTACACAAGTAAACCTGGTTTTCCTTTGGATCATAAAAGACGGAAGGTGGGGAAAGTGGCGTATTCCATCCTTTCGCATACTTCCCTTCATCAAGCCATAAAACACAGTGACGAGGGCATTATTACTGCAACTCTCCACGGTCTCAGTATCAACTGAACGGAAGCTAGGGCTTGTTCAAATATTACCTACTCCACGCCACACCCGATTAATAGGAACTTTCAATTGGAATTTTCTTCATCTGCGGAGCAGTTGTCTTGGGAACAATGACAGACAACACGCCATGCTTCAAATTGGCCCTCACGGCATCCTGGTTCACTCTTGTTGGGAAGTTAAACGAGCGCTGAAATTCCCCTACCGATCGTTCTGACACCCAGTACCTTTCCCCTGTCTCTAAATCCATCTCCCCTCCACCTCCCCCAGCTCCTGCACCTCCTGCAGCTTCTCCCCCAGTGGTCGTTGTTCCCTTTCCTTTGTGAGCTCCAGTGGCTTTACCGCCCTCGATTGATTTTCCCGGGAGCCCGGAAGCAGAGTAAGCACGCTCGGTGCGGCCATGGATGACTAGGGTGTGTGGGTCACTGAATTCGATGTTGATGTCCTTCTGGTCGATACCGGGCAGGTCACCATCAAGCATGTAGCAGTCCTTCGCCTCACGGACATCGAATTTCGGAGCAAAGGAGAGAGAACCTCCGCTGCGATCGGAGCGATGGGCATCGTAGTCGTCCAAAAGACGGAATAGAGTGCCGAACTCGCTGTGTGGTCCGCGTGGAAAGAGAGCCATGCTGCTTGTTGGTGACAGTGGGGAGCTGTTCGAGATGTACCTAGACGGCGGAACAGGTTTGATAGTCTTGCGAGTCTAGCGAAATTTGAAGGAGTAAGAGTTGCTTGGATCCGCAATGCTTGCATAGCGGTTCGACGAAAGTGGGAATCAGCAGGTAGATAAAATAATTTTGGGAGGCGAGAGAAGCAATGGGAATGACGACATGATTAGGCCGTCCAATTGTACTGCTGGTACATGAAACAGCAGCCATGTAACCGTTTTAATTCATGTCCCATGTGCTTCGGTTCGGTGTGGTGAGGAAGTACCACTCTTTCGTCATGAGGGACGGGAGTTATGGTGCGTCCCAGAAGTTGTGCGATGGCTGGTAGGGTCTGATAGGCCCAGAAACGTTCTAGACACCAGAAGACGCCCAATTCAGGTCAGCAAAGGATAGAAACAGGGAATAAGGAAACTCCTCCATGCTTAAATGGTAGGTAGCTGCTCTATTTTCAGGAGTGATCCGGTACCGGTGCCGCTGCTGTTGCTTTTCAAGGGTCGTCACCCATTGACGACTGACGAATAGTCATGGTAATATTGTGTAACACACATTATGGAAAACTGGTAATTGAAGTGCATTGAAAGAGAATAAAACTATGTATTAAAGAAAAACAAATCCAATTCTACCTGGAGGTATAATGTACTGCGGAATGGCATCAAAAAAGAGAAATTAAAAGGACTGTTTTCAGCAAAATATTTACAACAAGACCGTACCAGCACCAGCAATGATTGCGCAGAAGAGATAAGCACCGATGTGGAGGATGTTGAAATTGAAAGAAGGAATAGTCATTGGGGAGGCGGCCGACTTCGAGCCGCTGGCGTTTGGCGAGGAAGTAACGCTGCCTGTTCCGTCCTTGCCGGCTTGCTTGATCAAGGAGTCGCAGTTGCCAGAGGGTGAGACGGGAGATTGTTTGCGGGCATTGCCGCCAAAGTCACAAGCGTTTTGGCCGTTACCCTTGCCCGATTGCTCCTGGAAGTAAGCGTTCATGGCGAACGAAAGTTGCTCCTTGGGATTGCACATGCTGTACGCTCCGTAAGCTCCCTTGATAGCATCAGTAGCGATTCCTGCACATGCGGTCTTGCTCAATCCGCACACAGTGCCAAAGAGTTTGGCGATGTCCTTGTCGCTGATATTATCGTTGGCAACACATGCTAAACTCTTGGTCATGCAGCCGCAGAGCTCCTTGTTTGGTGTTGGTGGGAGGGTTTTGCTTAGTTTCCAAACTTGGGTATTTGGGCAGGTTCGAAGACCGCCGTTACTAGGCTGGTACGAATCTTTGGTAGCCCTCTTAGGGTCAATCTTTTTCATCTGGTCGGCGAGATATTTGAAGTCATCCTTCTTTTTCGCTTGGCCATTTTGAACCTCCACCAAACCTAGAACGATCAGCCACGTTACATATATAGATCAGGAATATTAGCAGCTTACCGTAGTTGTTTGCTTCCTGGAAATACATGTAAACGATGCCTCCGCTAAGAACATCTGTCATCTGAGAGCCATAAATAGCTCCGACTTCGGTAAATTTGCGAGGTTGCACTTCATTACAACCGTACTCAGCAAAAAATACAGGAACACTGAAGTTTTGGAAATCCCGAACGACCTTATCATAGCCGGCTTTCGTAAAACTAGAATCTCCGCACCACGAGTAGATGTTGTAGCCCCAGAAATCGATGCTTTCATCCCTGGAATTGCAGTTGAAGTAGTCCGTCATGTCATCGCGAATCTCAGCATCGTCATTAGTGGCATATCCGACGCCCAAATTGGCATAACCTTTAGATTTGATGTAGGCCTTCATGTCACGGGTTGCAGCTTTGACGAAGGCACTCGCCACGGTGTTGCTCCTGTTGTTGGTAACCTCATTCCCGGAAAAGAAACCAATAACGTTCGGATATTTGGCAAGTTCATCGATGACACCAGTGTAGCGGGTGTAGAGAGCCTCATCCCACGTAGGCGAGTCACGGTTGATAGATGTTTTGGGCTCACCGAGGTCGGCAACGACGTAGATACCAGCGTCGTCAAGCATTTTCATGCATTCCTTGTGGTCCTTTGTGGGGTCAATGGCATAGACTCGAATGGTGTTTGTTCGCAACTCCTGCATGAGGGGAATATCTCGTTTGCACGCCGTCACATCTGCCAAAGGATCCTTATAGCTGCCATCTTTGTTGGTAGACCCAGTCCCCGCAGCAGCGTACTCCTCTATATAATTCTAGATTAGGCCTGGCCTCAACGGATTTTGAAGATGGTAAGGTGATGGATGTATTTACGTACGTTGGTATGCAATTCCCTTCATGAAACTACGCGTAGCGGTTAGGACATGGTATAACCGAAAGAGCGAGACGAGGAAAACTTACAACTCTGTACCATTTTTGTAGAAAAATTTGGTTCCCTATGACATTTTGATCAACACCCATTGCAGTATATCAGTACAACATGAAAAGGTACCTTGATTTCAAGCCGATCAAGCGCGGACACCAAGGAGCCACCAACGATGGCCGTGCCAGCCACGATGCTAGAAAACCTCATAGTTGATTAAAAGAGATAGATACTCATGTGCTGGAAACGAAGTTGAAGACTGTGGAAATATTACAAAAAGTCAAATGTGAGGAGCACGCAAGTATTAGAGTCGCAAAAGAAGAGTCAAACGAAAGACGGTTGAGAAGGTTGGAAAACGATTCAATGAAAGAAAGTCATGAAAGTGAAGGAAGCGGGTGAATGGACAATTAACAACACCCAGAGCAGAAGGAGAGCCGGGAAGTTGAAACAGAGAGCGAGGGAAGGGGGATCCAGCGAAGGGTTTTGGGCGGCGCTTGGGCGGGCGAGTTGTTCAGGGGTGGAAAACATGGTTTAGGCAAGGGGCCATTACGCGTCCGTACGGCGGTCCGCCCAATGGCTGTGCACGGTATACCCCGGTCGTGTCGTAATATACGCAGAGCGGGTGCGAGCCCGTACCGTACATAACATACACCGGCCAAACATACAGAAATACACACATGCGTTCGTGAACGTGAAACTCGGCGGGTGAAAGCGAAAGGGCAGGAAAACATGGATGTCGAGCAGTTCGCTTCGCCGTTTGCGGGCGTCGTTCTGGCGCCGTGCGTCTGCCGGAAATGGCACTGTTTCTGTCCTACGGCCCTACGGCTGAGCGGAGCCGCGCTCCCCCGCTTCGGAATGGGGGCTGTCTTATAACGGGAGGGACCTTGGGATGGGTTCAGTGCCGGAGGCGTTGTCGCTGCGTCATGAGACCATCCTCAGCAGGCAGGCAACCTCCGGCATCGAAGAGCTGAATGCTGTGACTTTGTCTGTCGCGTAGACTCACCTTGTTCGGCAGGCGTGGCCGCTCCGATGCCTGCAGGATTCACAGCCTCACTCCTCTGATCACTACATCGCGGCCTGGAGCGCTAACCATCTATGTTGCATTATTAGGTCGTTAGGAAGCATTGCTGAGGAATAAATCTCAGAGAATGTACCATGCACTCCGGTATCTGAGGTCATGGTGAAGCATTATATGTTCATTATCTACTCCGTATGCCACACCGCAGCAACAGCGACTACGTAGGATTATTGTTGGCAGCACTGAGGCGGAGACATGCAGCTTATTATATGTCACTGCTCCTTATACGGGCTATTTAAGAAATGCTTTTCGGCAACACATGGCTTGAGCAGTCTTGTTCACCCCGATTAAATGCTCGATGTGTCACCGCGGCTCATTCTTGCCGTCAATGCGCTATTGCTCTGGTACTCCGTGCTCCGTACTCCGTCCTCCCGGAGTAGAATTCTTCCACACAATGCATTGAGCCTCTTGGGGCCGGTGTCTTGGGTAATACAGCCGACATAACTGGAATGGAATCGCGGCGATCTGCACAGGCATTAGCTCTAAGATTTGATAGATGATATCACATAGGTGGCTAGGAGGCTTCGAAGGATGTTGTTTGCATTGGGGTTGCCTTTCGTAGTTTCGGATCGAGCGTTCTGCCTGCCTAAATACATTAGTAGTTGGTTAAGAACTGGGGTATTGTGGAAGAAAATCAATGCGTTTCTATTTAGTTCCGACGCATATTGCGTAGAGCTAGGTATTTCCTCGTAGATGATCTGGCCGTAATTATATGAAGGGCGATGGAGCGGAATGGAGACCAACGGAAATAACGATTTTCAATAAATGGGCCGCATGGAGGCAGTGAGGTTATAACCGAAGGGCTTTACCTTGCATCGCTGCCACGTTTTTGAAGCCAGCAATTGGATGATCAGCCCTTATTTGACGATGGATATTCTTGTGTGTAATTCCAGGTTACTCCATACAAGGCCAATAATAAAATCGGAGGTTTTACAGGCGCGGTACAGAGTACTCCGTATCGCGCAAACAAACGCCTTTACGGAGTATTATTATTATTTATTGCAGAACTGCCAGATTATGAACTCGACATTATTATTATTATTTGATGACGGAGTGGCACACCGAACTTTGGTTATTTGGCTTCGCATTGGCCAGAAAAACAAATCAAGGAAGTGTTTCAGATTTGGAGATGGCGCCCCTGATGTGATAGGCGGGCCCCGGTGGCAAAAGGACAAAGCATCGTCACCAGGATTTGCTGTGTGGCACATGGAGTTCCTGGTGCTCAGCAGGCGCTGAGTAATAAAGATAGTAGTAGTAATGAAAAAGGGCTCGCACACCCACATCCGCAGTTCCATGTTTCCTTGGTTCGCACCTGAGACAACCGCTCCCTGGAGGTGTGTTTGAAAAAGAGGCGGCGAACCACGGAACGCCGTCGGGCTGAAGCGACAGGGCGACCCAGATCTCGAGCGTTCCCTTTCTCTCCTCTCGGAGTTTGCTGTCCAGGGCGGATCCTCTCTAGCGGCCCAGGTAGGGCGCTGGCGTTGCGGCATCCGCCACTGCAGACGGCAGCGCCTGGGGCGACAACTCACGACGGGGGTGTGCTCAAAAATAGCGTGCAAATCGGAGTGTGGCGTTGCCAGCAAAAGGGGAAGCTAAGAAAATAAATTCCCTGTTGGCTTTGATGATTGCGTATTGGTGCGTACGGAGCGGGCCATACCGGCGGGGAGGGGTATTACGCGGACGGGACGTCAAATACCGCGGGCTGGGCAGAGCAGTCGATGGGCGGCAGATCAGAGTCGGAGGGTGTGCTGGTGCCGGGCGTGGTAATAATGATTACACTGTGCTGTTTCTTTCCTCCATCCCACTTAGCCAACTATTGCCTGGTGCTACAGGCGGTCGTCGCACCGCCGTTGTCCCGACGAGCACGATCCCTGGCGTCCGATTTGGCCCAGCCAACGCCGCTCCAAGGGAAATCGCCAGGCCTCCGGGTGGAGCGCAGGGTGACTGGGCCATGGCCGGGTGCCGGGCACGATTGGCCAGCCGGCGGCGCGCCCCTGTTAGAGCAGCGAGGGTGGCGCCAGGCGCAGCGCCGGCCCTGTTTACACCTCCGTACCACGCTGCGTATCGTGCAGGGGCCGTAATACCAGACGCGCCCCGCGCATTTTCCATTTTTGTGATTGGGCCGTCCGCGGCACCTGGCAGGCCCGCCCGGCCAATCGCTGCGCGCCAAAAAGGAAAAGAAAAATCGAATATTCGCACGCTCTGCTGGTCTCCTTAACCACGGCAACGCCAGCTGTCGATCGCCCTCCACTTCCTGGCATTCTTGTTCCCTCCTCCCAACCCTTCGCCTCTCTCTCTTTTTTTCCCTCTCGCTGCCATTGCGTGAAACGACCGCTCTCCAGCCTTCCCTCCTCTCATTCCTTGTAGGAAGTTGGCTTGCTGGTCGTCGTGCTGTGCTGGTTGATAGTGCCTGCCCCCCGGCCCAACCTCTCGCATCCGCTCGCTCGCTGCCAGCCCAATCGCCCTTCACTCGTTTTTTGCCTCGACGTCAGGAGCTCGTCTCGGTTGATCATCTCTCGCTTCTTCAATCGTTGGTTCTGTATCTTTATCCCACACGCCAAGTGTCCGGCCTGGGAGCCTCCTGCCCAAGTATGTCTTGCTCTGAGAAGGCCGTCGACGCGCTCCCGCAGTGGCTAGACCCGGTCCCGTGCCTGTGCTAACAGTCGCTCAGATTGATTTCTTTGACGTGCTATCTCGTTCGTTGCTAGGTGCATAGCAGGTGTACAGACCTTCATTTTTAGATGAGGTAACGTTCATTGCACTGCTCAATTCAGGGGCCGTGACTGACTCGACTCGTTGCGCCCCGTAGGATCTGAACACACCGCCTAATTGAGACTCAACATGTCGGCCTATCCGCAGGGTGGCGGAGGTCCTCCTCCCGCTCAGGATCGCTACAACGATGACTATGCTCAAGCCCACGGCCAACCACATGGCGACGCCTACTATCAAGGCCAGGGATATTATGACGAGCATGATTACCACCATCAAGGTGATGGCTATTATGACAGAAAGTAAGGCAATCTCTTCGCCGTGTATGTTCGTCTTTCTGACATGATCTTCCAGTGGCCCCCCGGACCCCAATAATCCATATCACCAGGAAGGCTATTATGATGGTCAGTATGGATATCAAGACGAGTACTACAATGATCAGTACTATGATCAAGGGAATGGATCTTCCAACTGGCAGGGCGGTTACGCACCTGGTGCACGTCGCGGCGACTCTGAGGAGGACTCGGAAACCTTCAGTGATTTCACAATGAGGTCGGAGACTGCTCGAGCAGCTGATATGGACTATTATGGCCGTGGAGATGATCGATATAATAGCTATAGCGATAGCCAAGCAGGCCGAGGTTACAGGCCTCCCTCTTCCCAGATTTCGTATGGCGGCAACCGATCGTCAGGTGCATCAACCCCAGTGTATGGCGATTACAACAACGTTCTTCCGCCAGGGCAAAGATCTCGCGAACCATACCCCGCATGGGCGTCAGACGCTCAAATTCCCGTGTCGAAAGAAGAAATTGAGGATATCTTCTTGGATTTGGTCAACAAGTTCGGTTTCCAGCGTGATAGTATGAGAAACATGTACGATCATTTGATGACTCTACTTGATTCTCGAGCATCGCGCATGACACCAAACCAAGCTCTCCTCTCTCTTCATGCGGATTATATTGGTGGTGAAAACGCCAACTATCGACGATGGTATTTTGCGGCTCACTTGGATCTCGATGATGCCGTTGGATTTGCAAATATGAAGCTCGGAAAAGCCAACCGTAGGACTCGCAAAGCTCGGAAAGCCGCAAAGAAGGCAGCCGCTGAAGCCAACAACGAAGAACAGGCCCTAGAGTCTTTGGAAGGCGACAATAGCTTGGAAGCCGCGGAATACAGATGGAAAACTCGCATGAATCGGATGTCCCAGCATGAGCGAGCTCGTCAGATCGCTCTTTACTTGCTTTGCTGGGGTGAAGCAAATCAGGTTCGATTTGTGCCTGAATGCCTGTGTTTCATTTTCAAATGCGCGGATGACTATCTTCGCTCTCCGGAATGCCAGAACCGTGTCGAACCTGTTCCAGAATTTACCTATCTTAACGAAATAATTACTCCTCTCTACCAATATTGTCGTGACCAGGGATATGAGATCTTAGATGGAAAATATGTTCGTCGTGAACGTGACCACAATAATATTATTGGGTACGACGACATCAATCAACTCTTTTGGTATCCCGAAGGAATCGAACGTATCGTCCTCGAGGACAAAACCAGACTGGTTGATGTTCAACCTGCCGAACGGTACATGAAACTCAAGGACGTCAACTGGAAGAAGGCCTTTTTCAAGACTTACAAAGAGACTCGCTCATGGTTCCACATGCTTGTCAATTTCAACCGTATTTGGGTTATGCACGTAACTCCTTTCTGGTTCTACACCGCTGCCAATTCAAAGACACTGTACACCCGAAATTATGAACAAGAGAGGGATAACCAGCCCACTAACGCTGCCATTTTCTCAGCTGTCGGCCTCGGCGGCGCCATTGCCTCGTTGATCATGATTGGAGCCACACTTGCTGAATGGGCGTATGTACCGAGACGGTGGGCAGGCGCTCAACATTTGACAAAACGACTACTCTTTTTACTCGTTGTCTTTGCACTAAACTTGGGCCCCAGCGTCTATGTTTTCTTTATTAACCAGGACAACAAGATTGCTCTTATCTTGGGTATCGTGCAATTCGTCATCGCGCTGTTCACGTTTATTTACTTTTCCGTCGTTCCGATTGGGGGCCTTTTCGGTAGTTATCTGATAAATAATTCTCGACGATACGTTGCGAGTCAGACTTTCACGGCCAGTTACCCCCGACTTCGTGGAAACGATATGTGGACATCATACGGTCTTTGGCTCTGCGTATTTGCTGCAAAGTTTGCCGAATCCTACTTCTTCCTTACCCTTTCAGTTAAGGACCCTATCAGAATTCTGTCTACCATGAGGATACGCCGATGTGCTGGAGATATGTATCTGGGGAACGTCCTTTGCAAGTACCAGCCGCAGATCTTGCTAGGTTTGATCCTGTTCACAGATTTGGTTCTCTTTTTCCTGGACACTTACCTGTGGTACATCATCCTCAACACGCTGTTTTCCGTGGCCCGTTCATTCTATTTGGGCATATCCATTTGGACCCCCTGGAGAAATATTTTCTCGCGACTTCCCAAACGTATCTACTCCAAGGTTCTTGCCACCAGCGACATGGAAATCAAATATAAGCCTAAGGTGCTTATTTCTCAAGTCTGGAACGCTGTGGTTATCTCAATGTATCGCGAACACCTGTTAGCCATTGACCATGTACAGAAGTTGCTCTATCACCAGGTTCCGTCTGAACAGGAAGGCAAGCGCACTCTTCGTGCTCCAACGTTCTTTGTTTCTCAGGAAGATCATTCTTTCAAAACGGAGTTTTTCCCTTCTCAAAGTGAAGCAGAGCGTCGTATCTCGTTCTTTGCCCAGTCTCTTTCGACTCCGATCCCAGAACCTGTTCCAGTTGACAACATGCCGACCTTTACTGTCTTGATTCCTCATTACAGCGAGAAGATTCTCCTTTCTTTACGTGAAATTATCCGAGAAGATGAACCATACTCTCGCGTGACATTATTGGAGTATCTGAAACAACTTCATCCTCATGAATGGGATTGCTTCGTAAAGGATACCAAAATTCTTGCTGACGAGACCTCTCAATTCAATGGTGAACTTGAAAAGAGCGAAAAAGACGCCGCCAAGAGCAAGATCGACGACCTTCCATTCTACTGTATTGGTTTCAAATCTGCTGCCCCTGAGTACACCCTGAGAACTCGTATCTGGGCATCTCTCCGCTCTCAGACTCTGTACCGCACTATCTCTGGCTTTATGAATTACAGTCGTGCCATCAAATTGCTCTACCGCGTTGAGAACCCTGAGGTCGTCCAGATGTTCGGTGGAAATTCTGAGAAGCTAGAGCGTGAACTGGAACGAATGGCTCGTCGAAAATTCAAAATTTGTGTTTCCATGCAGCGATATGCCAAGTTTAGCAAAGAAGAGCGCGAAAACACGGAGTTTTTGCTTCGTGCTTATCCCGACCTTCAGGTGGCATACTTGGACGAGGAGCCTCCTGTTAACGAAGGCGAAGAGCCACGCTTGTATTCGGCATTGATTGATGGGCATTCTGAAATTATGGAGAACGGTTTACGACGACCAAAATTCCGGGTTCAACTTTCCGGCAATCCTATTCTTGGAGACGGAAAATCCGATAACCAGAATCATGCCATTATCTTCTATCGCGGTGAATATATTCAACTGATCGACGCCAACCAGGACAATTATCTCGAAGAGTGCCTTAAGATTCGAAGTGTTTTGGCTGAATTCGAAGAGATGGTCACCGACAACGTTTCGCCTTATACCCCCGGCCTGCCTCCAACTAAGACCAACCCTGTTGCCATTCTTGGAGCTCGTGAATATATCTTCTCGGAGAACATTGGTATCCTTGGTGACGTGGCTGCTGGAAAAGAACAGACATTCGGTACTCTATTCGCACGTACAATGGCCCAAATTGGCGGTAAATTGCATTATGGACATCCTGATTTCTTGAACGGTATCTTCATGACAACTCGTGGCGGTGTCTCCAAGGCTCAGAAAGGTTTACATCTCAACGAAGATATCTACGCCGGTATGAATGCGCTACTTCGAGGTGGTCGGATTAAGCACTGCGAATATTATCAATGCGGTAAAGGACGTGATCTTGGTTTCGGATCCATTCTCAACTTCACCACGAAGATCGGCACTGGTATGGGAGAGCAGATGTTGTCCAGGGAATATTATTATCTCGGTACTCAGCTGCCTCTTGACCGGTTCTTGTCCTTCTTCTACGCGCATCCAGGCTTCCATATCAACAATCTGTTCATCATGCTTTCGGTTCAAATGTTCATGATTTGTCTCATCAATTTGGGAGCCCTGCGACATGAAACGATTACCTGTATTGTGAAGAAGGGTGTTCCTATTACTGATCCCTTGAAGCCTACTGGATGTGCCGATATTAACCCGATCCGTGACTGGGTCCAGCGTTGTATCATCTCCATCTGTATCGTTTTCTTAATCTCGTTCGTTCCGCTGGTTGTCCAAGAGTTGACTGAAAGAGGAATGTGGCGTGCTGTCACCCGTTTGGCAAAACACTTCGGCTCCTTTTCTCCATTGTTCGAAGTTTTCGTCTGCCAGATCTATGCTAACTCGCTCCATAACAACTTGTCGTTTGGCGGCGCTAGATATATTGGTACTGGTCGAGGCTTCGCAACGGCCCGTATTCCGTTCGGAGTTTTGTATTCGAGATTTGCTGGCCCATCGATTTATCTCGGCGCTAGGTCTTTGATGATGTTGCTCTTTGCAACTGCAACTGTATGGGCTGCATGGCTTCTATACTTTTGGGCATCACTTCTGGCCCTCTGTATTTCGCCCTTCCTCTTCAACCCACACCAGTTCGCTTGGAACGATTTCTTCATTGACTACCGTGATTATCTTCGATGGCTATCCAGAGGAAACTCCCGCTCGCACGCCTCCTCCTGGATTGCTTTTTGCAGGCTCTCCCGTACTCGAATTACAGGTTACAAACGAAAAGTGCTTGGAGCTCCTTCTGAGAAACTTTCTGGTGATGCACCCAGAGCGCATATCACGAACATCTTTTTCAGCGAAATTGTTGGCCCGCTTGTTCTCGTTGCCGTTACTCTGATTCCGTACCTATTTATTAACGCCCAGACTGGAGTATCGGACAATCCAAGACCTACGGGAGCTCTTATCCGCGTCGGTATTGTTGCCTTGGCTCCACTTGCCGTGAACGCGGGTGTGTTGCTCGCTTTGTTCGCTATGGCATGTTGCATGGGTCCGGTGCTAAGCATGTGCTGCAAGAAATTCGGCGCTGTCCTTGCTGCAGTTGCTCATGGTATTGCTGTATTTATGCTTCTGGCATTTTTCGAGGTTATGTTCTTCCTTGAAGGATGGTCATTCCCCAGAACTCTTATCGGCATGATTGCTGTCATCGCGATACAACGGTTTGTGTTCAAGCTTATCATTTCACTTGCCTTGACAAGAGAATTCCGCCAGGACAACTCTAATATCGCGTGGTGGACCGGAAAATGGTACAATATGGGTTGGCACTCGATCTCTCAGCCAGGCCGTGAATTCCTCTGCAAAATTACAGAGCTTGGACTTTTTGCTGCCGACTTTGTGCTTGGCCACGCTCTTCTTTTCTTGATGCTTCCTGCGCTTTGCATTCCATTTGTCGACAAAGGCCATTCCGTCATCTTGTTTTGGTTGCGTCCAAGGTATGTTAATCATCTCCCTTAGAATTGTATCAATTAATATTAACCTTTGCAATAGTCGCCAAATTCGCCCGCCCATCTACTCGTTGAAACAATCGAAGCTCCGGAAACGAAGAGTCATCCGTTTCGCCATCCTCTACTTCCTCATGTTGATTGTTTTTGTTTGCCTCATTGCCGGCCCGTTAGTCGCCCGACGATTTGTTACAAAACTCCCATCTATCCCTCTCGGCTTGTTGCAGCCAGTTAACCAAAACAACAACGATACGACAAGTGAGGAGACGGGCACCGCGATCCAAAATGGTGCGGCTTCCACTGGCCGCTTACTCTTCTAAATTGTCTTATTGCATCAGTGCGGGCTATTTATGACATTTTCAACGCTTCAGTGTACAATTATGGTGTCAATACCGACTTTTTCAAGTTTTTTTATACGCAGCCTGCAATGTGTCCTAACAAACTAATGAACAGCACTCTCATTTCCTTGTTTTTCCCCAATAATCTCTTAAATCGTGAGCTGCTGGTGTTGCATGGGTCGACTTATCCCTGGAATGGCACAGTTTTAGACGTCTGCCTTTTAAATCTTTTTCCCCTCGTTTTTGTTACCTGTTGTGTTTCCAAAATACTGTTTTTTCAGTGTTCGATTAATGTCTTTCGGCAGTATGTAACCAGCCAGAGATAATTCTTTGCGTCATATCATAAAAGGTAGCTGTATCATCAGATTTTTGCGTTCTACATTATAATCGGAGTCCTTTGTATGATGTCACTGTATTAGTCAGAATAACCACCTAGTCACGTGAAATTTTATATAAGTCAATAGGGGAACTACGATTTTGAAACAGCTACTAGATCAACATAAACCTGTAAAATTTCCTGGAGCCCAGCAAACACGCCGGTGTTCCTTTTCCCTTTGTTAATCCCTCTACATTCTTTTCCTCTCCCTATACCCCATCTGGTGGCAAGCAGCAATGAAATATGATGGACCTCCATGAAGCTCAGCGCGTGATTCTGGCTTGTCTGGGCGAGCTGGCAAATCAATTCCGCCGCGTGCCCGGTTCGGCGATACTACTACGCTATGTGAAGTCAAGCTATCAAAATGATCCGGTGCGATCGGCGGTGGAGTTGTTCTTGTTCCTGTTCGCGGTGCAGTACCTGCTGGCGCCGAAATATTCGACGAAACCGAATTTTGTGACTCTGACTGAGGAAGTATGTTGTTCCTTTTCTGTTCTGTGCTAGAAAACCACCCTATTTTAGAGAGGGGGAGAATAGTCTTCGAGGAAGTCGTGAGCGCTGATCCTGCTGTGTCATTGAGCATTAGGAAATTGACGATTTGGTCGACGATTGGACGCCTGAGGCTTTAGTTCCGCCGCGCTCTCCAGAAGATGAGGCTGAGGTTGAGAAACGCGTGGTATTGGTTGGGTAGGCTAATACTGTTCTCTTTCTTCTTTGGCAGCGTCAACGTCATTGGGGCTGACATTTTGGCTTCTTGTAGGGCAACGGGGCCAAAATCCAAGCTCTCCAACGGACGAACTGTCGCAAATCTCGCTTCCTATAACTACTACAACTTCGTGGGAAACGAATACCTAAAGGAAAAGGCCATCCAAACTCTCCGTACGTATGGTGTAGGCCCTTGTGGCCCTCCCGGGTTCTACGGTACACAAGACGTTCTTATGCGCACCGAAGCGGACGTTGCGTCGTTTATTGGGACACCCGCATGTATCATTTACGCACAGGCTTTCTCGACGATCTCCAGTGTGATTCCTGCTTTCTCGAAAAGAGGGGATATTATCGTGGCTGATAAAAACGTCAACTTTGCGATTCGAAAGGGTTTGCAGATTTCGAGGAGCATGGTTCGATGGTATGAGCATAATGATATGGAAGACCTGGAGCGGGTTCTGGCCAAAGTTACGAAGGAACAGGCAAAGAAGCCGCTGACAAGGAGATTCATCGTCACAGAAGCGCTGTTCGAGAATCGTGGCGACATCACGGATTTGCCAAAAATTGTGAGATTTCGAATTTTGCCCGTATTGTACTTGCTGACTGACATCTCTCTACGTAGATTGAGTTGAGACTCAAGTACAAGTTTAGGCTCATCCTCGACGAAACGTGGTCCTTTGGTGTTCTTGGGAGAACTGGAAGGGGGTTAACAGAACATCAGAATGTTGATCCTTCGCAAGTCGATATGATTATAGGGTCACTGGCTGGCCCAATGATCGCTGGCGGTGGATTTTGCGCTAGCTCAGAGGAAATCGTTAACCACCAACGCATTTCATCTACATCGTACTGTTTCTCAGCAGCCTTGCCAGCAATCCTCTCCACCACTGCCAGCGAAACGTTAAATTTGCTTCAGGAAAGCCCGGAATTAGTATTGACACTACGGGAAAATATCAAAATCATGTGGTCTCAGCTAGACCCGCGGAGCGACTGGGTTTACTGCACAAGTGCTCCTGAAAGTCCGATTATGTTCTTGGTCATCAAACCGGAAGTGGTATCATCTAGAAGGCTGACCCCTGAAGACCAACAACAGATCATGCAGGACGTTGTAGACGAGGTATGCAATTTAATCCATCGAAGGAAAGCTGTATGCAACCGGCGATAATGCTAATTATTTCCGCTTAGACTCTTCTTAATGGCGTTCTTATTAGTCGACTGAAAACTATCCCGGACGAATCGGGGTCTGAGTACCCTAGCTTGCGAGTTCAACCGGCGCTCAAAGTCTGTCTCACTGTTGGCTTGTCCAAAAAGGAAGTTGAGAAAGCGGGCACCACGATCAGACATGCGATTACGAAAATAATGAGGCAAAGACGTCCATGATCACGATGAGACGATATGAACTAGTGCTCAACGCTTGCTTATTGTCGCTATTACTGTCTCATTATAGTACAGCCCCCTGTACTTGCTCATATTTCCTTGGGTTCCTGGTATCCTTGCCCCAACACAAAATGCTCCTTTTTTCGCTTAACTGATTGGCATCTTGTGCTCGCGGCGTTTTCAAAGCATTCATAATATACCTTTCACCTGTACCTTTTTGTAATGAAATTCACCAGTCCCGCACCTCCTAGTGGTGACCATGTACGACCAATTCTGTCTTTTCCTTCTCTGATTCTGTTGCGCCTCACGTCGGCTGGCTCTTGTCTCCCCATGTGCTGCCTATTGGTATTATTTCGAGCCGCTGGATAAACATAAGCAATTTATCATTATAGAATCATAGAATCCGCAATGCTACCAACGTATATTAATCGCTGTGGGCATCCTCATATTTTTGTTCATGGATTCAATGCGTTTGAAGTCGGAGGTCGGATTAGTCAGCCATTATCCCGACATCGACGAAATAGCCATATTTATCAGTCTTCCAGAGACAAGGTTCGAATCAATCCGGGTCGTGAGACTGGATACGATGTTGCCCGCGTATCTCCCTTCCCTTCTGTTAGCCAAACACCAAGCCTCACGTTCGTCCGACGGCCTCTGGGTCCTTGCCTGCAGACTGCTTCTTTATATCGGACAATGCCTTGCTATATTACCCCCAGGCAATGTCTCAAGAGAATCGCGCCTGTGCACACTATTTCCCCGCAAATAGAACTGTTGTTTATGCCTTGCTCCCGGGCCTCATGCGATGCAATACTGGGCTTTCCTTGGATGGGCGTTTACGACCCGTGCGTCCGAACCGTTCGTGCAATCGAGATTTGTACCGACTCGCTACAGATGCTGCGGACGAACGGGCTTCATGACCAGGCACTCGGCTGGCGATGAGACATCATTACTTCTTGAGCAATGATTCCGGCTATATTCGCAAGCATATAGCCTTAGAAATCCCTCTATTGCCTCCCCGGGCTTCGCTATGTCGTATCCCGTCGTGAGCAAAGCCAACGGTATAAACCCCCCTCTCTCGATACAGAACTTCATTTTTTGCTGGCTCTAGGGCCTTCTGCAATCCATATTTGTTTTTCTTTTCTTCCATTGAGATATACCACCAGAGTGGTTCAATCGCACAATGCCTGTCTGAGATATTCCAGATGTGTTCTTGTCTGCACAAGATGAACTGTTAGGGAAGTGAAGATACTCTTCACCTTGAACCCACAACACAGAAAGAGTAACGTGATGTCTCAACTGGAATAACAGAATGGGTACTCATATAAATCTCTTCTCTGCTTCTCTTTCTGTATTTCTGACTTCCACCATTACTATCCAAGTTCAGACATTCACAGTCCCTATCCTTCTTGTTTTGACGCGTGTCAAGTCTGCTTTTGCCTCTTCACCACCCTTCTTTATCTTCAATCTTCTTCTGTGTTCTTAAGGTAAGAATTATTCTCTTGTTCGTCTGGCCTGGCCCCTTGGCAATGCTTGCCTTTTGCCCGAAAGATACATATCAAGACCCCATTAGTGTCCTTAATAGTGTGGAAGACTGAGCATTGTATGCTTCCTTGCATGATCTTTATCTCAAGCTTAGCAAGGCAATCAGGTCATCATGGCTGTCCTAATGGAACTTGGCTCCTCTTATTCTCAATATGGGCTTGAGGGTCATGTATTTGGAAGCCTTAAAAGTGTGCGGCATCAGCCGAATTCTGAACCTTTTTCACAGCTCTTATGAGGGAAGAAGCCACTCTTCACTCACTGACATTATTTTCCCTTCAAAATTCGCTTGCATTTCCCCTGGTTCATGACTTTTAGAAGGCTAATTGTATGGGTGATAATCCAGGCTGTCTGTCCGAAATTTGTGGACCTAACCAGCAACCAACATGGCAAATTTTGCGAAACTACTGACGCTTGTGTGCTACCTTCTCGGGTCTGCCCTCTCCCTGTATGGTTAGTACGACACGACTCCATTGAGACGGTTTGTGGCTGACAGTAGACTTACCAGTTGACGGCGGAAACATCGACAAAAGAAATCTGGGATATGCCAGGAATGTTCACACTCCAAGGATGGCGGCAGCATCTCCTTTTCGAGGTGTGGGAATCAGCTATACACCATTTACGGCGGATTCAAAGTGTAAATCGCAAGCCGAAATCGACTCTGATATTAACAGACTGCGCAAATACTCCACCATCCGTTTATATGGAGTCGAATGCAATCAAATTCCTATGGTCCTGAGCGCCGCGAAACGTAACGGCATGAAGATATTTGCTGGTATTTATGTGCTCAACGACCTAGATAGAGAGCTGCAGACTTTAATCAATTCTGCCCGGAATTCTTGGTCAGACATTGTGGCTGTTTCAATTGGCAATGAAGTTGTTGCCCGGAATGCGCAGTCTCCAGGACAAGTTGTCAATGCTATTAACAGAGCTCGCAGTATTCTCCGTGGGGTAGGATATGGTGGTCCTGTTCTCACCATTGACACTGTTGAAGCAACAATTCGAAACCCTCAGCTTTGTCATGCATCCGACATCTGCGCTGCCAATGCTCATGCCTTCTTCTCCAACAAAACACCAGCGAATCAAGCTGGCCCTTTTGCTCGCAGACAAGCAGATATGGTCTCTGCCGCTGTTGGGGGCAAACGAATAATTATTGCTGAGTCAGGCTGGCCCTCTGCAGGCGACACAAATGGAGCAGCAGTGCCATCTGATCAAAACCAGCGCATTGCTGTTCAAAGTTTAAGGGACAGCTTTAGAGACAGGGATGGTGAACTAATTCTTTTCTCTGCATTTGATGAGAAATGGAAGAAAGATTTCCCTGGCTCCCACAATGCAGAGAAGTGGTGGGGTATTGAAGACTGAGCATGGGGGATGGGGGAGGAAAGTGAGAGAGACTACATGGTGTTTCTGTGGAGAATGCATGAGGTTGTTTTTCTCGGCAATTCTTCAGATGATTTTCGTGCAGACAAGGGCTTGCAAAGGGACTATAATAGGACTTAGCAATGAATAAAAGACTTCCTGTGACAGCTATGCACTTTTTCCTATTGCCTGCACTTTTTTGTTCTTTGTATATTTTTATACAAATCACAGCACCAGTAATAAGACGGGGCGTAGCTATAAGTAAGTTCAGCTATCATTCCCCCCTCTCAAGCATACAGCCAGGGTCATTTTAAGGAGCACTATCACTAGCAATGATATCAATATTGAAAACTATATACAGCTTATACATAAGACATATTTATTATGTAGATAGCTAGGCTATGCGTCGCCTACCTTGATGGCAGACACCTTTCTTTCCAGCTCGTTTATCCCAGCCAGGGATATTTTGCTAACATCCTCCGAAGCAGATAGGGGTGATTCGCGTGACATGCATGGTGAGTCGGAGGTATCATCTACAGAGATTTGTGGGGTGCTGCATCTGCTTTTGTCCTCTGTTGCGGAGTTTGCAAGTAGATGCGCCCGCCAACGCCGAGTTTTTGGCGGTCGCGGTTTGTGTGGGTGAGGGTGGCCTTTTTTGGTATTCGGCACGTATAATTTTGAGTGTGAAAGGTATTGATTGCTTGATGGAGTGGGGCCGTTAGGAGAATGGTGACCGTCGTGATCGATAAGAGTTGAAGGAGGGACGGATTGAGATGACCGACGAGGTGGTGGCACAGCAGGTGGGCGGAGGGAAGAATGGGCGCGTGGCTTGATAAGTCTTACCGGGGAGTCAGCTTCATATGCTGTGGTTGGGCTTGAAGGAAGTCCATTGTCTATCTCATGAGAAGTAGGCGGGGACTCTGAACTTGCTCGACGGATACTCGACTGCTTCTCGTGGAGCTGATCTGGCTGAGGGAAATGGCGTTCTCTGTTATGTTCATCTCCATGGCCTCTGCGACCGCGCAGCCTCCTTGATTTTGGGGGCTCTGGTTTCTGTTTTGGCAATACCTGGCTGGGGTTGCTTTTTCTCGGCATCATGACTCCAGGCTTCTCTCGATGAGTAGCAATTTCTGTCATAGAGACAGATAAAGAGCGAGATGCCTCCAGATCCGCGCCTAGCAATTGATTCGACGTCTGGTCAGATGTTGATAGAGGTTCCGAAGGGTTGGGTTGGACTACAGTTGAGCTCATTTCCCCCCCTAATAGCTGCGGTGTTGATGTGCGCGATTCATCTCCTTTCGTATCAGTAATGGTGGAATTCGTTTCAATTTCAATACCACTGTCCAGAGACAACTTTGGAGAGTTCTCATTCCTTTCAATTAACCAATCGACCTGCGCGCACCGTAGCACCAGTCTCTTGGTTGTTTCGTCAACCTCATCAAAATGAAGAATTTTTTCGAAGCCATCTTCGTAACCGGCGATATGATCTCTAATTAATATACCAAAGAGTCGCCGTAATTCGTCACGTTTGTAGTGAGGTGGTTGCTTAAGCTGGGTATATGTAAGTAAAGGATGAAGCACCCGGAGATACGTATGACGAAGGGCAGAGGCTTCCTCAGGAAGGTCCAGGAGATTGCGAATTAGTATATCAACAAGAACTCGAAGATCATTAGTATAAAAATATTCGTAGGTGGGTGGCGTCGTAAAGAGCAGGTATAAGACTTTGAGGGTCAGAAGCTGGAGTGACGTTTCATCTGGCTTCCTATTAGAATCCATCCACGCTGGAAATATGAGAAGGACATACTTTCGCGATTGAGTAGAAGTATTATATTTTCACCAAAGGTTTTGTATAGGCTTCCATACATCGACAGGACTTTGATGACTTTGTTCGTAGGGGGATTGAAGGATGGCCGTTCCGGAATAGGATCGTGAGCGCAGACCATAAACTGCTCATTAAGCACAAGCTAGTAAAGATTGTTAGCTTAACTACTAAACAAGAAAACTAGTCTCAAAAACTAACCAGTACCCGGATCACCCGAGAGTGATACGGATCGTCCACATCATCAGAAACTTCCTCAACGATCTCAAACAGAAATTTTATAAAATCATCATCGACGATAACTATTTTCCGGAGTTCAAAAGTGATGAGTAGTATGTTCAAGACAAGAGGTGGAGACGCACACGGTTTGAACGTACTCAAGTCTTCAATCTTAATTCTCTGTATCCTTGACATCTCGTAAAACAGTTCCATCAACAACTGGTGAAGGCCGGCTCCACCAACATCACCTATAGTTCCCCGTATAAGTTCAATTAACCGCCCAAATGCGCCCTCCCTATTCATGATTTCGAATAAAGTCCCATCCTGGCGCCCATCGAACAGCAACAGTGATGCGATAACGTGGAGGACGGCGGGTTCGTCTTCCTACGAGGGAAGTGAGGACCAATCCGGCGTGGAGCTGTTATAAAGGCAATTGATAGAGCTGGCATACCTGAAGCAGGCTGTGTATTATCTGCTGTCGTATATAATCCGCATTATTCGAGAACAGGGCGGAGCTGAGCAGGCCGCTGGAACATCGAGGAAGGTCGTAGCCGCAACGGAGGAAGTCATCTATTGGCAATAAAAATTAATACCCGTGTTGTTCGTAGGTATTCCCGCAATGCACGGGAAATGGTAGCGGGCGTGGCGTCTGCATACCTTGATATTTCGTCGTCAGATCCAGATACGCCCGGAGAACATTGTCTATCGCAGCGTGGGAGTCGCACTGAGCGCAAAGTACACGGTCCAGTTCTAATAGCGAAAAATCAAGTAAGCAAGAAGTCTACTTCTTTCTCCAAACACGAGAACGCAGCGAAGAGACTAGGCCAGCGGCGCTGAATTCGACGCCGACTCGGCCTCGGTACGGAACTCACCATCCCAGAACTGGGCCTCGTTTTCCAGGCGGCGCGAGACTTCAAGTTCCATTCCTCGTGTCATGCATTGCTAACAAACCCAAGCTGCTTTGCCCAGGATAGGAAATAGGTCGCCTGCTCGCCTTTCGCGCTGAGAGAGAAGTTGTTGGCGATGTTCGCTGTGAGATTGTGCAGCGGCAACTGTCTCGGATGCCCACGCTAGTTTTAACTTCCACTGCCTGACATCACCATCTGGGGCATGGAGGCTCATCTCTAGCACAGTTGAGGGCTCTCAAGTGCAATCTCTGTCTATGGTTGTTCATGATAGCAGGAAACAGGCCCGTTTTCAAGGCTTGCATGCAAGTATTGTATGGAGGACCTCAAGTTCTTAATAGCAGTGGCATTAAACTGACAGGGAAGACTGCCTCTTAACAGCGAAGGATAATGAATTCCTACCAAGAATATGCTACTTATAGGTAATAGTTATATTGTCAGTCAAACAATGGCCCAACAAAACTGGCAATAGATAACCCAAGCTGCAAATCCCTTTCAATGCCAACAAGTTGCATTGAGTGGGAACTATATACATATGCAATAAACATTATCCTGTCTGAGGTTTTTTCGGACGTCTAAATGGGTGTGCTTCGGTATTGCTATCGAGTTGGGATTAGTCCGGAGGCCATTTGCCTAGAAATGCAATTCAAGATTGACTTACAAAACATAGTCGTCTAGACTGACGAGATTATGGTCGCTGAAAAGAAGATAAAAATACTTGAGCGTTTCTCCAAGCCAAAACGACTCCATTTCGTTCAAGTACGTCGGAGCGTCGCTCGTAACATCCTTGATTGCAGAAGTGCCGAGTTCGGTCATAGTGTTCTTTTCAATTGCCACAAACATGGCCCAGCCCTTTTCTCTCCAGGATTTCTCACCGGTGATGCGATACATGTAAAATACAGATTCAATGGCCTCTGGCCGAAGAATATATTTGCGAGATTGAAGATTGGTCATCCCAGAAGGGATGCGGTCTTCTTTGATGAGTTGTTCAGCAAATTGCTTTTGGGGGACGAACGTGGGCTCTGGGCCGAGGATATCTAGCGCAGAATCTTCGCGATCGGGCAAGCGGGATATGTCGTCAGGCAATGCATCGCGCCGTTTGATGTGCCCGCCGTTATGACGGCCTGTAGATAAAGGCAGGGCGGCTCTCTTTCCAGGAGCCTCAGTTTCCTTTCGACCCATCATTTTGGACCTTTCGATTTCAGCTTTCTGCACAAGCCACGTCTCGTGCCTGGATTTTCTCTCCTCCTCGTAGGGATCAATGGCATTATAGTACTTGGTTTGGTTCCAAGCACAACGGTCAAGAGTAGGGCATGGCAGCACCTCAAAACCCTCAGGCATGATGCCGGTTTTTGTGGAATTATATGCCCAAACGCATCCATCTGTTAGCTTTCTGGCAAGGTCTAAATCGCCGTCAATTCCAAAAATTTTAGCCCCAAGTGCGAACATTCCGCCTGCGAAACATCCTAGATGGGTGCCTTCGTATTCGTACTTCAAACCGTTCGCTGCCATCGGTGAATTGTATGAAGTCACAGACGCATGAAACAAAATATCATATTCCTGCGGCAGCATTGGTCTATATAGCAAATACTTCCTAGTTGTATCCATGGCCATTTTATACATTCTCCGATACTGGTCCGTAAGGCCTCCCAGAAGAAGGTGCATCTTTGGTAGGTATTCGTAGGTGGAATCCGCCAAAGCACCAAGTGTGTATTTATCTGCTGTTGAAAATGCCGGCGATTTGATACCGTCCTCTTCGCAATCCGAGTCGAGCAAGTCGGAGTTTTTGACAGGTTTCGCTTTTGAGCTATATTTTGCCGGCTGTGTGTCTTTCGACTTTTCAGGTATTGGGCTATCTCGTTGACTTAAGGCTTTATGGGGCACACTATGGCCAGGTACGGTTGGGGGGAAAAGCACCGTCCCATCATCTGCTTGAGTTTCACCTACAGTTCCCTTGGGTTTCTTCATACAGCCGGAAAGATCAACGTACGCCGGCCATAAACCTGGAAGAGTGGTATTAGGCTGAAATTTCTCTAATTCGTTTGTAATTCTAGCGATGGCATCGTAGTATTTGTTTTCATTTGTTAGCTGGGCAAGCCTCGTAAACTCAACCGACAGGGAGCCAAGCTCCGCAAGAACAACTCTCGTGGAAGCCCGGTGAGGTTGTGATGCATACGTTCTATAGAGTGTGAGTTTAAAGGGGAGAATCAGGTAAAGTGAAATCCTATAACTTACGGCGCCCACCAATAATAAGTCAAAGGCATTCTGTTCGGTGTGTCAAATGAGCCCATTAAAACCTCGGCTAGTTCAACCGCCTTCTCTAGCAGGACAGGGAATTGCTGTTCGGAAATATCGTAGGCCCCGATCAAGCCCCCAAGGTAACGAATGACAGTCTCAAAAACAGGAATATCCTTGCGGGGACTGGTTTTGAAGTCAATCTTCGCAACGGCTTTGACAGCGGTTGCAAATTCTTGATAGAAACCCATTATCCAAAGCGTATCCAAGCCATCAACCAAAGTTGCGCCCCATCCCATGAACGGATCCCTACTGCCACCATAGACAGGCTGCAGTTCATCTTTGCCCCAGGCATGTATCCTATAGCCATCCCAAGAACGTTTGAACGATGCTTTGATAAACGCCAACCTCTGATCACGGATGGCTTTTCCATTCCAGGTCTCTGGGTAAAATTTAGGGGCTTGGATCCTGGGAATATCTTTGGGGACTCCAGACGGCAAGGGGATTATCTCTGAAGCAGCCACTGGAAAATGCTGGGGCTGCTTTTTCCATCGAATACGGCGATCAAGCTCGGGCACTTCCAATCTCCCAAGGCCGCCGGGCCCAAACTGGCTATCAGGTGTGGGTGTCTGCGAAGGAGGTGAGGTTATAGGTGGGAGTGTTTTAACGGGCGATGCCGGTGGTTTCACGAAAACGCGGGTAGCTGTGTTGTGATTCTGGTTTCCGCTTAATGGCGTGGCATTTTCTATAGAGCTCTTATCGCGATTGTGACCTTCCGCCGGCTGCTGAAGAATAGCAGGCTTGCTCTTCTCAAAGTCTAGGGGCTTCTGAGAGCTCCGATCAGGAGGCCATTTCCGGGTCTGGGTGAAATGGAAGAAGGCGAGAATGCCGACTGCAGCAAACACAAGCAGCACGCGATACCGGCGAAGGCGAGGCATGCTGAGCCCTGGTTAAGGAGCGCGTTGGCGCTCAGTCAGGGGAAATCCGCGTTTCAAGTTGCAGAACGCAGGACGTCAGGAGTAGCAAATACTGCATTTATTCGAATCATTGCGTAGCTGGGAGAGATATACCACCTTCTCCGCACTCACGCCGTAGGGCAAGGATTGGAAGCGACACAAGTCCGTTAGCCGGATTGGCAATTGAAATTGCTTCAGAATAATGCTCGGCCCGTAGTCAATGGTTGACTAGTTAACTAAGTAAGCTTACGTAAACAAAGGTTAAATATTTGTGACGGCGGAGAAATCCTAGCAAAGATCTCGTCATTCTGAGGACGGCAGAGGTCTTAGCTACGGAATCTAGACACTGCCAGACGGTTCGTTCGCTGGGTTCCACGTCAGAGAAAAAATAGGGGGTACCTCATTTCTCGGGAGGATCAACGACCTGTATCGAATATTCTAAGAGAAACCGCCTATGTATGTATAAAATACTTGAGAACATCCACTCGGGCGAATCATAAAACCACCCCTTGTAACTACATGTCGCCACCAGAAAAAAGGAAACGAGCTGAAAAGCTCATGGAAGAGGCAATGAAATCGGCAAAGTCATGACATGTCAAGCCCGAGCCCTTCACCGCTGGGTATCCAACACCTCAGAAATGCACCAATCTCCATAGAAAGAGGAAAGACGACGGGGATCAGTTTTAATGACAAGACTTTGTGAACAGCCTTTCGTGTGAATGGGAACCTTACCACTTCGAAGAAAGGAAGGAAAAAAAATCAAAAAAAAAAAATAGAAAAGAAAAAACTAGACAGCAACATATGTAGAGCAGAATATATGCATGAATCACGCAAATGCCATACCAACCGGGGGCAATAATAAAGCAATAATAAACAAAAGATTTTACAAATGTGGGAAAAATACAAGGATGTACACAGTGCGTATCCATTTTTAGAGTTAAAATGAACATGGAGTAAAAAGAAATGTATTTTGTTTCATCATTCGTGCAAACAGGGAGCGAATGCGTTGCTGTAAACAGGTCATATATATTCATCTCGGGGGCCTAGGTCGGACGCGATGGACTGCAGATTTTCTTTTTCTTTTGCCTTGCGTCGAGATGTGCCAACCAAATCTAAGAATCGATATTTTGTAGATGACTCTTTAGAGACACTAGATTGCCGGCCCCTCTGCTGATCAGAGTATTCCAATGAATACATAGAGGAGTTATGCGAACTGTCCACGCTCTCTCTTGTTTCCGAATACCTTGGAGTAGAGAAGGCTGGTCGCGCAGAATCCCATGGCGCAGTGGTTGAGCGCGGTTGTTGCTCATCCACATCATCGCTAGTAGTGCTGATGTCTGTATTTCTGCGCCGAAAAGGCGCCCTGGAGAAAAAACCAATGGAATTTCGATGGTTTCCAGAGGCGGCAGCGACACTGGACATCGCGGTCTCCACGGAAGGTGTCGTGGCTAGGCTCGTACTCTCGTCGTAGAACGTGCTAGATTTCTCAAATTGTTCTACAAGCTCTTCCCACTTGACTTCAAGGTCTCCATTCGGACGCTCCGCCTGCTCTGCCTTGTTGAGACAGTCCTTAGTGCGCTGTTGGATTTGAAGGCATTGCTCATGGAATAGGATCACAGATTCGCATAAATCAGGCATGGAAAGAAGATTTGGAGGTGCAGTCTCGAGCCATAGTCGTACTAGAGAGGCAAAACTTTTCGCATTATCAATCAAAAATGGAAGGCTAGGGAAGCCTTCTCGAGATGTCGGCGGTAGTCTGTTCAAAATCTGAATGGGAGTGGCAAACGATGGGTTGACAATCTTAGCTGGGCGTTCCGCTGGTATAGAGCAAATCGAGTCCACAAACTCCTTAAATTCGGTGCGATGGGATAGTAGGAACTTATTCATTGGCTCCATCCACGGCTCTTTATTTCCGAAAGTTGCTAGATTGGCTAGGCCTTGCAATGCCTTTGCAATAAGCGTTAGGGTCCGTTGAGCTCGTGGACGGGGGTGTTCTGATAAAACGTTAGTAAACCAACGCAATAGTGTAAACGGAAAAGTAATTTACACACCTTTGAGTAATCCGAACAACTTGGGGTTTAGAATAGCTGGACAGAAGAAGCGGAGAAAGAGGAAGCCGGAAACACTGCTATAAGCGACTGATCGCAAGAAGTCCCCATAGCGATCCTCTGCACAAGCCCTAATGTGTCGGAATATGTGTCTCAGTTCGGGAGGGCAGCGTGAAGCTGACCCCGCAATGGAGGTCCACATATTGCTCGTTAAAAGTATCAAGTTTCGCCAGTTCCGTTCCAAATCCTCCTGTCGGCTTACCTTATTAGGATCGATTTCACAGTCAGGGTCGCTTTCGTCAATATCCCTCAGGCCTGCACCAATGGTTTCTTCAAGGTACTCTTTTCCAAGCCGGCGCATGTGCATATCGAGAGATTTTGTTAACAAAGAATTACCTCGGAAGAGTAAGTTTGCCTCGACAGTAGCCGATCTACCTAGATCGCGTACTAGAGCTTCTCTCTCCTGAGTGGATTCATACGAGTCATTCGAGTGTATGCGGCTTCTACTAGTATATCTAAGCCGGCTTGCAGAGGAATCTTTGTGAAGTCCATCTATCTCATCTTCGACTAGGGCCATAATCCATTCCCCAACTTGTGCTGAAACTTGAAAGATATCAAGCAAGATTTCAGAGAGGGAACGGAGCTCAGCGGGAATTAACTGAGCAAGACTGACAGTGACCCCATTTGCAAAGGCGTGGAGTAGTTCTGAGAGTCCTTCATATTCCTTGGCAATCAAAACCACAGTTTCGTCTAGCTGCACCTTCATCAGCATCTCTCCAACTTGACGGTCGCGATCGTCTAGAATCGGCCACCACTTCTCGAAGCCAGAGCCTCGCTCCAAGTCTTCCAGACGAAGGTCAACTTTGCCATATGTAGCATCGTGAGAAGCAATCTCAACATCATCCATCACGGAGAGCGGGCCGTTGGTGACGTCTTCAAAAGAATATGGCCCACGTGCAATCAATTTCCAGTCCTTCTCCGCAGAATCTAGAGTTTTAACCACGACAGAGGCATTGGACAAAACCGGAGGCAAATCATGGAAAGCAAAATCATCACGCCAAAATGGTGTAGATGTGTCGTTTCTAACGGCTGTCTTTGCCTGGACCTCTCCATCAAGGAGGACTTCGGCGTAGTAATCACCAGAAACACGGGGTTTGGTACTGTGGCCAATATAAGGTGGCTGGGCTTTGATGACCTTCTTGGGCTTGACGGTATCTATAGACTCTTTGTTTGGATTGACCATTTTGGCCTCTATTATGCGGACTGTTAATAATCGTTCAATTCGAAACATATCTGGCGTTGGATTGGTAGTGGAAATAGCCAGTGAGTGGGGACGCGCAGTTTCGTCAGTTGGTGGAGGCTGTTCAGGTCCATACAATTCGGGTATCGTAAAAGCACGTAATAAAACAAACCAAACCTCAAACAAAATGCGGTTTTCAAGGGAGAGGTAAATGGGTCGGCTGAATTGGTCGCCCCCAGTATGGGCAGAATATTGAGGGTAAATGGCAATGCAAAATTCATCCTGCAATACAGAGGGATCCAACTGTTGAACGGCACATCGTGAAAGTTGGGATAACTGTATAAAAGCAATCAAGGTGACGTCGGTTTCGGTAAAGATTGTCATATGGCCGTTTTCTTGAAGTGTGCAGCTGACTTTTCGCCAGTATTGCGACAAGGCCCGCTGTTGTCTGAAAGTCGATATCCTTTTGGGGGTGGGGGGTGAAGATAGGCCAGATGCTGACTGTCTATCCCAAAGCAGCATCTGGCCCACTTTAATGATTGCTGCCTCTTTTTGTATTGTGCTCTCAGAATTCCGTCTCCGTTCCGAAATACGATAGCTTCCAATTGCCACAGTCTGGGGCTTTGTCATCTTATTCTGTACTCCTTTGGGCCGAATGGGTTGCCAGCAAAGAAGGGCAGCAAGCCATGAATCAAAGGTTTCAACCACATGAGGCTTTAAATGCACACCAAGAGCAGAAGAGTGTGTTGAAACACTAAGGTATGCACCTTGCGTTTCTGAATCAAGAAGAGTTCGAACTCGACACCCTCTAAGATCTGGGATAAGTGTTTTCGCCGCTGCGGGCTCTCCTTTAGCTTGATATATCAAACTCCCACTAGCCACATTGATGGCACAATATCCTGAGGTCCAAGATGTGCTACCAGAAGCCCGAAAAGAAAGAATACCATGCATTCTACCGCACGTCGTTTTCATCAGCCCCAGTATTTTAGATGAATCATTGTTTGATAGTGGCAATCCATAAGTTGATGAACGTGAAGCATTAGTTGAGAGTGCAGTACTCCCAGAAGGCGCTTTACTTAATCTCTGTCGTTGATTTGGGGACTGTATAATCGAAGGGTATCCAATGGACAAGGACGTATCGTCCACTTTTGCGCCCGACGATGATGTACTAACTGAGCCCAGCCTCGCTCGTGTCCGTGTTTTCGACAAAAAGTTGGGTGAAATTTCACTCCGTTGGTCGTCCAGGGTAGTTGTTTTAGATCGAATTCGTCGACCTTTTGGCTCCGCTCCTGACTCCTCGTCATCCCCAGGGGACTGGTGACGGCTGAATTCTTGTCGTCGTTCACGAGGCTTGGCCCGAAGAGTGGCATGCGGAGACGCCATATTTGCCGAAATGAGCTCAGCGTCAGACATAGGGGAGGAATTTGCAAAGTCGGATATCGATTCCGGTGTTACCGTCCTTATGGTTGCGTCGCGAAAGTTTTCAGGGTAAACCACACCGTGTCGATCCTTTGAGGATGATTTTTTGCTCGGGTTTCGTTCGAGTGGCCTACCATAGTAGCCCTGGCGATCTGGATCTCTCTTAAAGCCATTACGACGCTCTGACTCCATTTTCTTTTGATGCCAGCCGGAACAACATAGCAAACAGTAGATCACCCAATCGAAAAGGGTCCTTTAGGACGCGACCGTGCAGAAACTTGATGAGAGTGACACAATGAGTGTGCAAGCGCAGTGTGCAATTGACGTGGAATAGATCCAACAACAGCTATATTAACGAAATGGACTAGCTTGTGAAGATTCGGTGACAAGAACAGAGTCTGGAGGCGAAGAATGTGATTGATACAAATCTAAAGTAAAAATAAATCATTGTTAGTGAGAAGCGCAGAAGAAGCTGAGCGTTTGAGCTAATAACTATCTGAGACAGAAGTAATAGACGAGCCAGAGAGTCGGGAGCGAGAAAAACAAACGGACAATGTGTAGGTTGTGCGCATACCTTGAGCCCGAAATTCTGAAATTGCTACTGTGCGCATTGTTTGTGGAAAATGAAAGGGAGCACTGACACGGACGACATAGGTCGGCTGATGGGACCCAAACCAAACGGATATCAAATGCAACACAGGCAGCGACAGGGGAGCGAGGCCGCGGCCAGCACAAAGTCGACTTCCAAACAAAAAAAGAGACACAGCATCGACACTGCCCGGCGGGTTCCGGTGCGCGAAGATCAACCAGCGCAGTGTCTTGGGCTTCCCTCTTCCACGTTTCGGAGGTGGAGAGGCGACCCAAGAACGAGATTAGTTGGAATTGCCTCTTTAAGCGGGCGAAGGATCTGCTTACCTAAGCCGCCGCTGTTGCGCCTCAGCGAGCGTATTTGGGTTAGCGACGCCATTGGCTGCGGGGCCGTACATTACCGGCGCGTGTCACCATACGCCAGATCATGAGACAGGGCTGTACTCCATACGCTGCGGTTACCCCTCTCCGTATCATCAAAGGGCCGGCAGGCCGCTCACCGCTAACGCTTGACGGGCCGGCGCTGCTCATATATGTCCCAATGGGCCCGGTAAACCTCCACAGTAGCCTACTCAGCAGTGGTTTTGCGGCGGCCGCCCGGCACCTTGCCGGCCGTCAATCCACACTTGATGAATGACGGAATGGCTTATGTAACTAGGGCAGTTCCCGGCTGCAGCAAGGGGCTAGCCCAGATCAGGTCTAGATCGTATTACACACCGACATTACCTCATCTCCATCACAAGGTTGACGTCCCAAGAAGAGCTTCCCCATACTTCGTACATTTACACCTACCAACTACCTGAGTTCGTCACAAGACTTCTGCTGCGCCGACACGTCCTTTTTTTAAATCACACATTCATACAGAGACTATTTTTGCACTTCGGCTTCAGGTCTTTGAGCTCCGCTTTCTCGGATAATACGCTGCTTTGCTCAAGGATTCAAAACACATGCGGAGTACATTTGACGGCCTTCTCCATATCCTGGTTCGTGATCTCGCTGATATATTTCAAAAGTAAGATATGGCTTGGATGCTTGTCTCTACATAACTGCCAGGCCGTAGCACTTGGATACCTCAGAGATTATGGCGTTCTCACACAACTTCACCCCCCTACCGTTCAATGATGACGTCTCCCCATCAATCTATGAAACAATTCGCGAGTATGATGAGGATTCTCCGTCGTCGGATATAGAGGAGCAAGCTGCTATGGCTGTAGACGAGGAAAACCTAGGCGCTAGCTATGGAGATTATGAACTGGAAAATGTGTTGGCTAATGAACCTGACACACAATCAACCCGCAGCAACAGCTCCCGACATACCGCGGAGGAATATACCCAGACACTCCGCCAACCTCAATGGACGCAGCCATTGTCAGATGGTATCGAAGATGATGACGAGGTTCCTGCGTCTCTTCTTGTTGAGGGAGATGATGTTGAGGACCCTCTGCCGCCTCCTCCCACACGACACTCACCTCCTGGCCGGGTATTCGATCCTCAGCCAGCTCCCAACTTTCTCTCACCACGACTACGTAATCAGTGGAAAGCCACCCAAGCGCAGCACCCAATTCACCCCGCCTCCCAGGCAAGCGTTCCCGGCAACTTACGTTCAACCCCACGGACTGGGTTAGCTTTTGCCGACCCAAAGGAGAAGGCTATGTGGAGATGGACAAATGTACAGAACTTGGATAACTTCTTGAGGGATGTATACATTTATTTCCTGGGTAACGGGATTTGGTGCATCGCGCTGAGCCGTGTCCTGAACATGTTGTAAGTGGGAGTCAGAACCATCCTAGCGCTCAGATAAGTGGCTTAACTAGGAATAATAGGACGCTAGCCTTTGTGGTCGGCTTCACGACCTTTTTAACAAACTGCGTTAATTATCGAAAAATTCATGAGAGTAAAACTGTCTCTCAGATTATTGTCCCAAAATGCACCAGCAGCATGTCAACCACGACAACTCTCTTACTCTGGCTTTTTACAGTGTTTTGGCTCGGAAAGGTTTTCCAATATATTATAGATTTCAGACGCCTTTGGCATATGCATGATTTCTATTATCACCTTCTAGACGTATGCGACTCGGACATACAAACAATATCATGGCAGGAAGTGGTGTGCCGGCTTATGGCCTTACGTGATGCCAATCCCACAACGGCAGATATTCCCTCTCTAAAACATCGCAAGTATATTGGGAGCCAGTCAAAGCAACGAATGGATGCTCATGACATTGCAAACCGTCTTATGAGAAAGGAAAACTACCTTATTGCACTTTTCAACAAAGAGATTTTGGATCTTACACTTCCTGTTCCATTTCTTCGAAATCGCCAGCTATACTCGAAGACACTTGAATGGAATCTCAATCTCTGCATCCTCGATTTTGTCTTCAACGAACGTGGACAGCTTCGGACTATTTTTTTAAAATCCAGCCACCGAACCGCTTTGAGCGAAGCCCTACGCCGTCGATTTGTTTTTGCCGGAGTCATGAATATTTTTATCGCGCCGTTTATTGTCACCTATTTTTTAATGGACTACTTTTTTCGCTACTTCAACGAATTTCAAAAAAACCCCTCCAAACTTGGTTCCCGCCAATATTCTCCTCTGGCAGAATGGAAATTTCGCGAGTACAATGAGTTATGGCATTTGTTCCAACAACGCATTCACATGTCATACGAGTCAGCAAATACCTATATTGATAAGTTTCCCAAGGATAAAACCGTACAACTGTTGCGTTTTGTGGCTTTTATTTCTGGGGCACTACTTTCTGTTCTCGCACTAGGATCACTGGCACACACAGAATCATTTCTTCTGTTTGAAATTACTTCTGAAAGAACAGTGCTATTTTATATGGGCATCTTCGGAGGTATCTACGCTGTCGCTCGAGGGGGGGTACCTGATGAGACTAGGTTCTTTGATCCTGAACATGAGCTCCTAACTGCGACTTCGTACACCCACTACAGACCTGCACATTGGATCGGAAAACTCCATAGCAATGATGTGAAGAGAGAATTCTCTGCACTTTACCAACTGAAGGTTGTTCTATTTTTGGAGGAAATTCTGAGTATGATATTTACTCCTTTTGTATTGTGGTTCAGCCTTGCCAAATGCAGCGATCGGTTGATCGATTTTTTCCGGGAGTTCACGGTCCATGTTGATGGAGTCGGGTACGTCTGTTCCTTCGCAGTTTTTGATTTTAAACGTGGCACGAACCTCAGGCCTCCCGTCCCCCATCGACCTTATGGTCATAGGGGCGTTAGACCCTCATCTCACCACATCCGAGACGATAATTTCTACGACAAAAATGGGAAAATGCTTGCCTCTTACTATGGGTTCCTTGATAACTACTCTGGCGACCCACGGCTTGGTGCATCACTGTCTCACCAACACCAGGGCCAGCCGTCGCGAATACCATGAGACCCAGCATATTGGTGCAACTTTTGAAAACGACGTCAACATTTTGTTCGTCAACTTTCAGCACTTTATACGACTGTCGACGCGACTGTCCTCCAGCCTATTGCGGAGAGTTTACTCGTAACAGACGCCCTTTATACTCGACGTGACTGGAACTACTAGATACGATTAGCCGACATACAGAACTGCCTGACACGCTCCACAGCTCCCTAGGAATGATATATTCCCCGTCGCGTATGTATACAGTACTCCGTATAAACGTACAAAGTTGAACAATCGTTGCCAGGGCGGTCTTTGACCCTATAATTCTTCCAAGCCCTATGGTCCTAATAGGGGCAACGCCTGGTTGAAAATAAGTACGTATGTGTATAGCCACACTTAATAAACTGGAACTCTAGGCACATGTAAGGAAATAAAAGTGCATACCCCATTCGAAAATTGGAGCTACACTTTTCTGAATACTTGAAATTTATAATCATTCATCTTATAGGATTAATTGTGGCCCACCCAGACTCCAAACCAGTGGAAATGGCTTCATTCTGTTAGATTCTACTACCTTAGAATGATCTACAAGAGAAAGCGCTGTGGTATAGCTCTATGTTAATTTTTCACTATCCAAATGAACTGATGAAACGACCAACCCGCCCCCCTTTCCAGCATATAAAACCTTTCCCTAAACCAGCAAAAATGTAGGAGACTAAGTAGTGAATAATTTTAACTCTAGAGGTGCAGCGAGTATATTTGCAGCAGATGAAAAGAGAGAATATAATGGTTATCATGGCATTACTCCGAATATCGCTCATAGTCATAAAATAAGCAAATGCGGCAAATGCGAGCTCAAGGGTAATAAGATGCCGATATGGTGGGTGTGAGCCACTCGGTTTTCGTAAACGGTGAGACTGGATGCTACCAATGCTTCAAAAACTCCTGAAGCGTAAAACCGGCGCCTCCATAACACCACATGTGTATCTGAATGACATATTGATGTAGCAAGGATGGTTGGTTAAGCACCCTCGCTGCCAAACTTCTTAGTCCATTCATCGTTCTTTGCAAGATCTTCCTCGCTAACGGTAGGTCTGGAGGATCTGATGGCTTTAACGAAATCTTTCAGTGTCAGAGGGGGTTCAAGAAGTTTGTCACCGTCAACGTCTACCCAGGACATCTCAACGGCACCATTATCACCGGGAGAGCAGGGAGTAAGCTTCTCCTGGTCATCCACAAGTACCTGTTATTGTTTAGTTTTATTCTCTGCCAATCCACAGAAGGAAAATCGCACCTTTTTGTAATGTGTCGCCGACTGGATCTTTCTAACTGGTTGCATCAGTGCATCCTGTACAGCAATGCTAATATCACTTCCAGAGTATCCTTCCGTCATGTCGGCTAGCGTTCGATAGCCTGCTTGTGTCACCTCGCATGGGGTAGACCCAACATTTAGCATGAACATCTTCATCCTCGCGGCCGTATCTGGTAAACTAATGTGTACGCGCCGTTGAAACCTTCTTCGAATGGCCATATCCAGTTGCCAAGGTATATTTGTAGCACCAAGTATTAAGACACCCTTCGTATCGTTTCCGACGCCATCCATTTGAATGAGCAATTCCGTTTTTATACGACGAGACGCTTCAGATTCGCCTTCTCCACGGGTGCCACAAAGAGCATCAATTTCGTCAATGAAAATGATTGCTGGTCTGTTTTCTCTGGCCATGTTGAAAAGCTGTTTTACGAGCCTGGCGTATAGTAATGTCAGACAACAGCATGAACAAATGAACTCTTTGAGTAAAAACCATACCTTTCACTTTCACCCATCCATTTTGAAACAAGATCACTGCTGCTCACACTGAAGAAGGTACTATTTGCCTCTGTTGCAACAGCTTTTGCAAGATATGATTTGCCAGTTCCGGGTGGGCCATACAGTAATATTCCCTTCCAAGGCTGACGTCGTCCAGTGAAGAGATTTGGAAATTTAATAGGCAATATGACGGCCTCTTTTAAAGCTTCCTTAGCGGCATCTAATCCTGCAACATCGTCCCATTTCACATTTGGGGTTTCTGACAATATGGCGCCCGCAAGCGCACCTCGTAGTTTCTTCGTTTCGGCGTCATCATCGTCATCATCTTTCCTAAAAAAGAGACCAAATTTAGCCAGTATTCTTTGGCTTTTTCAAAGGGCCAATTTTAAGCAGCACAATATAGCGTACCCCTTTCCACTACCATGCGCAACTTTTCCATTTGCGCCCACCGCGCTCGGCTTTTTCTTATTATCGGCGCCCGCTAAATGATTCTTCAACTTCTCAGCTCTCTCCATATATTCCCCCGTTTTTGCGCGGATCATCTCTTTTGATTTGGGATTCTTCTCCCATTTTAAAGCAAGCATAAACAGTTCGAGCGCAGAATAGTATGTTTGGTATGCCTGCTCGTATTCCCCCGCATTGTCGTGTTCGATCGCTTTTCTGACAGTGTCTATAGCACGGCCGAGGAAGTCTGTATTGCTCATTGCGATCGATATTATATTGCGCTGGGCGAATGGTGTGGGATCAGATGTCGGAGTGTGGCACACGGGATAGGCAGCGATTCTGGTCTGGCGAAGTCTAGGCAGCAAGGATGAATGACATGTCTAAGTACTGCAGACTCGAGCGTAAAGGGTCTATGAGTGATCGAGATTTTTAGCAGATAGTGGGCAATTCTTCTGATGTTGAGTCGAAGCAGGTGTTTTAGTTGTCTGAGCAGAAACGAACATCGATGTCATTTCTCCAGCGAGGCCACCCCGCTAGCGCCGTTGGTGTGCTGCAACTCCGACACCTACACGGACTCTCACATCCACCACACAACGCCAAATTCCACAGTGCCTTTAATTAGACGACCAAGATGGCTGATGGCCAGAAACAACTACAGACTCTTAGCGATGACTATCAAAAACTACAATTAGGTATGTGATCATAGGTAGCCACGCCCCTAGACGCCACTAACAGATGGCTACCTACTAGAACTACAAGAAGTCGTCGATGCCCGTGAAAAGTTAGAAGCTCAGAATCAGGAGAATAAGAGTGTCCAGAAGGTTGGGATTCCATTTTATACACATTTCACCTTGACGGGCATATTTTTAGAGTCGCGCTGCTAATCACATTTTCGACACCAGGAATTCGATACCATCGATGATGATGCGAACATCTACAAGCTCATTGGGCCTATCTTGCTTAAGCAAGATAAGAACGATGCTATTTTGGCTGTAACGGGGCGGCTGGATTTCATCGACAAGGAAATGTATACAACCTTTCTCCACCCTGGCGTCGGATGCCCGTGATCTAACTTAGCTACGAATAGAAAGCGGATCGAGAAGCAAATTGCCGACATTCAGGAGAAGAGCGAGAAGAAGAAAATAGAGGTTTGTATATATATTGCGATGAGATTTTCTGTTTGATCGCTAACCTCCCTGGTTCTTCAAGGTTGTCCAATTTCAAAATCAATTACAACAACAAGCTAGCTCGACATCTTCCTAGCAATATTTCTAATATTTTGTTGGTTATTAGTTGCTGAACATTTAATAATGGCATTTATTAACGATGCTCTTTTCTCCCAAAGATATGGGTGTCCGAGAATTATCTATTCCTGATCAAACTATAGAATGTCGGGAGAGAACTTGAAACATATTGACAACTTTCGAACTAATCTTTCGTGACATGAAATCATCAACAGCTTACTCTCTCTCTCTCTCTCTATATATATATATATATTGCCAACTTGCTACTTTGCTTGTTAGCACAGATATCAGTAACGAAATTGTTGGATTTTGGAGGTCACAGGAGAGTGGCCGAATAAACTACACTCGAGGTGCTTGAAATTATTTTATTCTACTTTTTCACCATTTCTCTTGAATTATTACATGTGGATTTTGTCCACCTTCTATTGCCAGCTCTCAAGACTTTATCATTTAGCAATTGGGGGCCCGAGGTTCCGACGTTTATTTGCGGATGAGCAAGCTACTACCGCTCATCTCTTTCGGCTGTTCGATACCCATGGCGTCGAGGATAGTGGGAGCAACGTCACCTAATATGCCGTCTTTCTCCTTCAGGCTCCACCCATCTGGTGCATTGGCCATCACGAAGGGAACTTTATTAGTGGTATGGGACGTTTTTGCCGACCCATCGGCGTTTTTCATCTCCTCCGCGTTACTGGAAGCGTGACATTAGCTTTTGGTGAATTTTGAAAACGCGAATAACCTAGAGAACAGTGTGGAAATACATACCCATGATCAGCAGTAATGAAAAGGATATACCCATTCTCTTTGCATGCCTCAAAAATGCGACCAATAGCCTTATCTGTTGCAGCAACGCCCTGGACAGCAGCCTCATACACACCGGTGTGGCCCACCATATCTGGAGGAGCAAAGTTATTCATCACTAAATCATAACTCTTCTCTGAAATTCTTTCTGCCATCTTCTCCGCGACAGGTGCAGCGCTCATTTTTGGATCAAGGTCATACGTTGCGACCTTGGGAGATGGAATTAAGTCTCGGTCTTCACCTTCAAATTGCTTTTCAATTCCTCCATTGAAGAAAAATGTTACGTGTGCGTATTTCTCTGTTTCGGCAATATGGCACTGTTTGAGCCCCTTGGCACTTAGCCATTCTGCGAGAACATTGCCCATGTGTTGAGGGGGGAAAGCAATCGGGAAGGTGTAGTCGGTTTTATACCGCGTCATAGTGGTGATGCTGATGTTTTTGGGATAAGGGAACTCAGGCTTGGGAGAACGATCACAGTCACCCAAAAGCTGTGTGATTTCGCGAACTCGATCAGAACGATAGTTGAAGAAGAAAAGAGTGTCGTCATCTTTTGAACCATGGTTAGACTCCTTCCCATGTTCATGATATTAGGTGTCAAATACCTTTTACTCTTCTCTCATCACCGCCAACAATGATAGGTTTCAAAAATTCATCAGTCTCCTTTTGCTCATAGCGTTCTTTGATTTTTTGGACCGGGTCTTCAGATGGCTCCCCTTCTCCTAGAACTATTCCCTTCATACCAGTTTCAACGCGGTCCCATCTCTTATCGCGGTCCATAACATAGTATCGGCCAACCACGGTAGCTATTTCACCAATTCCCAGCTCTTTGGTTTTAGCCAGCAACTGCTCCATGTAGCGAGCCGCGCTTTTGGGGTCTGTATCCCTCCCATCTCCGAAGAAATGGATGAAGACTTTGGGAATGGCCAGTTCCTTAGCTACCTGCAACAAGCCAAAGAGATGGTTGATATGAGAGTGCACTCCGCCGTCTGAAACTAATCCGAGCAAATGCAGCCTACCATTGCCATCCCTTGCCCTTTTGAAGGCGTCAACAATGGCCCCAATTTTGTTCAGCTCACCATTTTTTAAAGTCTGGTCAATACGAACAACATCTTGCCATACGACACGACCGGCGCCGATGTTGAGATGTCCGACTTCGCTATTTCCCATCAAGCCTTCTGGGAGACCGACGGCAAGGGATGACGCTTCTAGCTCCGTGTATCCTTGGGCGGTCTTTGCGCTAGGGTCGGCGAAGGAGGACATGACGGGTGTTTCGGCGGCTGCGATGGCATCGTGTTCCACGGGAACGTCTGGGTTGCTGCACCCCCAGCCATCGATAACGACTTCCAAACATTAGCACTGGCATTCCTTCAGGGCAACCTGGGCGTATTTGAATTGAAGAACCCACTCAATGCAACCTTCTGATCGGCCTTGGCCATGGTGAATGTCCAACAAGTGTAGATAACTAGAAGAAATAGATTCTCGCAAGGTACTCTAGAAACACTAAGGGTTGAAAATCGAGAAAAAGAAATGGCTCAACAGCAACAAAGCGTTCAGAATTGATCCGTGGTGGGGGAGGGGCTTGTTTTCGCCGGTGACGCTAGAAAACGGGCCGACGTCACGGCGCGTTCACTACAAGGTCAACATCGCGATCTTCTTCCGGAGCCACCCAGCCCGTGCCCAGCCGAGATGCAACTGAGCCTTTACAGGGCAACTCTGAACTGCTTCCTAGTCTAGTTAATCGATGAAAGTAAGCATGGTCACCAGCTAACGTCCGCCCTCACCTGCCAACCCCGGTTTGTTCCTCGCGTTCAAGATGTCTCAGAAAACTTCACCAACCGTTCCCTCCCCTGCTCTCAAGACACCACTGGGCCATTCGACTCACGCCAACACGCGCGTGAATAGCCCGACACTTTCACCACAAGATCCAGCCTCCCAGGACGCCGTTCGTCCGTTCCCAGCTCCGCAAACATTCGACATCCTCCCTCCGCTTCATGCGCTCCTTGTCCGGCTCCTCTCCACCCCGCCGAACGAACAACAAGCTGCTGCAACAAATCCAGATGTGTCTACGGAGCCGGTCATTCTCTCTACTCCCGGTGTTGAGACGACAATGCATTCTCTCGATCCGCGTGCGCTAGTAACGGGAGCGAGTGCAGTTAAAATTCGCATTCAAAAGGCGAGGAGTGCCATCGAAGAATTGCCGGATATGCAGCGGTCAGTTGAGGAGCAGGAGGCTGAAATAAAGCTGCTTGAGAACAAAATTGCGCGTTTAAAAGGCGTCATTGGAGACTTTGGCCAGAGGGCTGGGGAAGTTGTCAACAGCTCATGATACCGCGCGGCTCTACTCTGTACTCACTTACTTGATATTGAAGGCGTTTTCTGCGGCGTTTCTATGGAGTAGTATATGGGCCTACGGCTAAATGGACTTTGGCTAGGAAACTGAATTGAAAAGAGATAGATAAATATAATAACTATTTTCTGGAATGTCCTGATACCGTTGGATGTGTTATCGGGTGGTCTGGTACTCCACTCTTAATGTAGGGCAAATTGTAAACTCTGGGGGGATATAAGACTGTGTACCACCCAGTAATACTATGGATTGCTTGTTGAAGATCCATAACACGCGCTCATGCCATATTCGTAAACGACGTTGAAGATTTTACCCCGCTGCCCCATTTTTTTAATGCCAAAAATTAAACAACCAATCCAATAAAGGAAAAACGAAAAGCGACTGAAAGAAAGCTCGAAATTGACGAGCTATTTAGACTGGAAGAGGGAAGGAGCTAGCCCATTCGCTGATCTCCTTCTTAATATCGTTGATCTCTTGTACGGATCCAGAGGCGACCTTTGCCTTGAAGTCCTTCAACTTGTTGGCCTCCTTGGGCAAATCAGCTTGGATTTCTTTGCAGATCTTGATCGTACGGTCGATGTAGTTAGAAATGCGCTTGAAGTCCTCTTCACCCATGCCACGGCTGGTCATTGCAGGTGCACCGATTCTGATACCACAAGGAGTCAAAGCAGACTTATCCCCTGGAATAGAGTTCTTGTTGCAAGCAATGTTGATGGCTTCGAGGACAGCTTCGACACGGGCGCCATCAAGGCCCTTTGGCCTAAGGTCTAACAGAACCATATGGCTGTCAGTTCCATCAGCAACGAGCTTGTGGCCGAGCTTTTTCAATTCAACCTCAACGGCCTTGGCGTTCTTGATGACCTGCTCCTGGTACTGGCGGAACTCTGGGGTGGCAGCCTGCTTAAGAGCAACGGCCAAAGCAGTAATGGTGTGGTTGTGAGGGCCACCTTGGTGACCGGGGAAAACGGAGAAATTGATAGGGTTTTCGAGATCATACTGTATTTCTTTACCGGTCTTAGCGTCGACGCTTCGTACTCCCTTTCTGAAGAAGATCATGGCGCCCCTAGGGCCACGCAGAGACTTGTGGGTGGTCGTGGTGACGACATCAGCATGCTCAAATGGCGATGGGATCACACCAGCAGCGATCAAGCCGGAGATATGCGCCATATCGACAATCAAGTAAGCACCCACGGAGTCGGCAATTTTGCGCATGCGAGCATAGTCAATCAGGCGGCAATATGCAGAAGTTCCAGCAACAAGGCATTTTGGTCGGTAAAGCTGAGCATTGGACTCAAGGGTATCGTAGTCAATGATGCCAGTTTCAAGGTTAACTCTGTAAGGGAAAGTCTCGAAGTATGTAGAGACAGCAGAGATCCTATTCGTTCATTGTTATTAGTATGCAAGGCACTTTCAGGAAAGAGCAAAATATAAAGATGTCCCATACTTCTTCTGAGGAGTCTGGTATCCATGACTCAAGTGGCCGCCGTGGGGCAAATCCAAACCCATGAGCCTATCATGAGGTTTCATCAACGCTTGGTAGACCTGCAAATTGGCAGGACTTCCGCTCAGGCATTGGACGTTCACACCCCATTTTTCGGGGTCCAAGTTGAACGCTTTCAGGGCCCTCTGCTGGCAAAGAATTTCAATCTCATCGATATGCTGGTTTCCACCATAATAGCGAGCTCCAGGATAACCCTCGGAGTATTTATTGGACATAGGCGAGCCTAGAGCATCGAAAACAGCGCGGGATGTGACATTCTCAGAAGCAATGAGGACGATTGACTCTCTCTGGCGCTGGATCTCTCTTTTCTATTGCCATGACTCAGTCCCGATGCAACCAGAACACAAAAAATAAATAAACAAATAAAGCATCCAATTGACAGTGAGCTACATGGAGTGGCATACCATAATCCCAGCAACTTCAGAGTCAGTCTCAACCAAAGACTTCTCGAGTTGCTATTGCGCATACAGTCAGCTTTCGGCGACATTCTGCTGCTATGGTGGGGCAATGAGAGCTCACCTCCTTGTGGGCCTGCGAAAGGGCGTAAACAGACATGATGGGCGATGGATATTACAACCTTCTTTCGGTTAATTGAGCAGACTATGTTTTCTCCTAGCTGGAGAAAGGGTATAGAGATAAGTGAACGGGTGAAGTTTGCTTGCGGTGAATCCGAGAGGTTTTTTTTGGACAAAAAGTTTTCCCCGCCAAATGAAAGCACAATTCTTGGCGTTGCGGGCCGTATTCAGCGATAACGCAACAAGGGGGTGTCGTGTGTGCTGCTTCCTCAGTCCATGATCAATAATTGAATCGAATTGCTTAAAGGTCCAGCAAATTTTTATTGGTATGGCCCTACAGTACAGTGTAGGCCGGACATTAAACGACATATCAGTACTCGTATCTAAGCTACGCCGGCCCCTTCTCTGACTTTTTCCGTTTTCTTTCCTCCCTCCGTGCTCTGCGTTCCTGGCTGGTTTCATCTCTGTGTTTTTTACTACTCGATTGATCACCCGACTTCTCCGGCCTGCCCCGTATGTCACTGCTGTCCTTGGACTCTAGTTTTTGCCGGCCATGATCGTCCTGGCTGTGGTCCTTCTTTGACTTCTTCCGTGGAGACTTTCCTTCCGCCTGGGCTGGAACATCAACACCATTCCGCGACTCTTTAGTATTATCTATATCAACATGTTTTCGCTTTTTCTTCGTTTGTACTTCTTCGTCGGTATGGCTGGCACCGATTGGGACTTTAAACGTATGGGAATCATCAGGGAGAGTCTCATGATTCCCCTCAACCACAGAGGAGCCGAACGGCGTGTATCGCATTCGCAAATCTTCGGGTTGTGATGGCAAAGGCTTTGTTTTCTTCTTCATAGCTTTAATGTCCGATTTTGATCCTTGACCTGCGGTATCAACTACTTGCTCAATGTGAAAGGTCTGCACCACATCCATTCGTTGCCGGCGATAACCTTTGCCATTCTTATCGGGTAGTAAAAAGCTTTTCGTCTTATCGGCTCCTATTTGATCTTCACGAAGGCGGTAACTGACATCTTTATGGGTCAATATTGGCTCCCCAGTAGCGACTGCGTCCAGCGCGAGTTGTTTGATTGCCGAAACAGGGACAGCTGACGGTGCTGTAATATGCCATATCTGTTTTCCGGTAAGATCCGAAAAGGCGTCTGTAAGTTTGGACGGTGGTATAGATGAGTTTTGCGCTGGTTGAAATCCATCTGGAGGATAGAACGGTTTCGCGGGTATGGGTATTATAGATGCCCTAGGATGAGATCAGCTTCCTGTTTAAGCAGGTTAGGGAGAAAATGCCCTACTCTTCATCAATTGTGACTCGCTTCTGAAGATTCTTTTTAGATGCTGTGACCTCTTCCACTTCAGATTCAGAGTCCGAAGAAGATGCGCTTGAGGGTTTTGGCGCAGGATCTGGCTTTGATTTCGACTTCGATTTCGACTTCACAGTGGATGTAGATTTTGTGGTGTTGGACTTGGAGATAGATTCCTCCTCTGATTCACTACTACTTGAGCTGTCACCTCCTGTGCTATCACTATCTGTGACTATCTCCTTGCTGAGAGGCGCCATGGTGGTTCGCATCGGAGACAACCATGCAACGAGCACGTAACTAATTGAGCCGCAAGTGCATTCAAAGGGCTGTAAGAAACTCTGATTTCTAGTAAAAGCCCCAGGTAAGCCGTAAATTTCGGTCTTCGAGGCTCAATCGCGGGGGTGTTTTTGAACTTTTCGGGAGTCTTCAGTTTTTTGGAGAATTTTTGGCCAGCTTGTGCACGGACCACATCTCTTCACAACCCTCATTCTTTGGGTCATGATCGCACGTCACTCCAATTTTTGTTAAGGACGGAGAGCTGTATTGATTTCTCAAGAATGAAACGCAAGAGGAATTATCAGCCCATCTCAGGTAAGGTCAGTAAATTGGAAGTAACTTGAAGCTGAGCTAATTGCCCCCGCAGCAATCAGTGCAATTGCGGCTCGAAAACGTGCACACCAGCAAGCTTCCACATCTCAGCCTCAGGATAGCGAAAATGTCTCTTCAAAGGATGCATCGCATAAACAAAATAAAGCACGAAGTGGGATTGAAGTCGTAATCCGGACCCGAAAGGAGTCTGCGGTTGTATCCCTACCAGCAGTTATCCCCAACTCGCAAGCATCAACGGCGAATGAGCAGTCCGATGATGGCTCTATTGCAGAAAACAACGTTGAATCCGATAGCGGGCACAGTCGAAGGTTAGCCGTGATTTGATTCTGAACACCCCCGTTCATACGCTAAAAGAGGATAGGAGTGACAATGTTGAAATACGCACCGGGGAGAACCATGAGAATTTTCGCCTGTCTAAAGGGGTTTTAACAAAGAAGGATATTATCTCCAAAACGAATAATTCACTTTGCATTCACTTAAGAGAAAATACAGTTTGTTTGACTGCCCGATATACACGGGGTTTCTATGGCTAAAACCGATTGATAGGCGATAACAATACTGGGCCAGTACGATTTATGGGTTAAAAGAGGAGTCGTGAGCATACTTGGTGCAAAACTACCGCCCTCGCCTCAGGTATACCGAGTATATGCCCCGTCGACGCATTCTCTTCCTGTGATTAAGCCCATAGGTGGTGACTCTGCTGAGGTGGAGATATCATCCTGCCGCAGCGGCTTACCGCTTCTCCGGCGAGTTTCTGATTTACATCGACGGATATGGTGTTCGAGTGATTCTAGCTCTGGCAATAGTCTGACTCAAGGTGGGCTGATGTCTTTTTCAATTGTAAGATGGACATCGCTTCCAGTTCCCGTTAGCTTCAGTACCCTACACTACTTACCCCTCTTGCAAACGATTCAATATCCCCCACTGCTTCTTACCACTAACCGTGTGTAGCTTCATTCTTCATCTGATGATCCTCTTAAACGACATCTCCGACCTCTTCATCTTGATAGGCACTGGAGTCTTTCCATTAAAGCACTATCAAACCGTGGGTCAGGTCTGAGAGTAATGACCTGCGGCCCAAAGGGGTCCGGAAAATCAACATTTAACAAATATCTCTTTAACCATCTCCTAAGCGTAGCTCCAACGCGCAATGGTGTGCGGCCTGTTCATGACGGAGTTGCCTACCTGGATTTAGACCCTGGACAACCAGAATTCTCTCCGCCAGGGCAGGTCTATCTAGCACATATTCGGAGACCGATCCTAGGCCCGTCTTTCTCTCACCCTAATTTACTATCAGAAAACGATGGGACTATAATGAGAGCGCATCATATTGGTGCGACGTCGCCAAAGGATGACCCGGAGCACTTCGAGCAGTGCGTGATGGACTTGCTGCATCGGTACGAGATCCATCTCCAAACCTATCCCCGATGCCCGCTGGTCATAAATTACCCTGGCTGGATATTTGGTCGTGGACTGGAAGTCGCGATTTCACTTGTACAATCACTTGGCCTTTCCGACTTAGTGTACATGAGTGTACAGGGCCCTGAAGAAGTGATCGAGCCTCTACAAGCTGCGGCGGCAGAAGTATATGTGCCGGTCACAACACTTCCTTCACAGCCGACGGAGTATGCGACGAGATCAAGTCACCAGTTACGAGCCATGCAAATGCTCTCGTACTTTCACATGCAACCGAATCCAAAAGATTTGCCGATTTGGTCTGACCTGCCAATCTCGCAGCATCGCAGCTTCAATGTGAGCTACTCTGGAGAGCACCAAGGGATCCATGGCATAATGGTTGCTGGCTTCTACCATGACCCAACCCATCTTCCTAACCTTCTAGAAGGCTCCATTGTCGGGGTCGTTGCTCTCGAGAGTCTGGATAGTCTCTCGAGCCTAGGTCACTCAGGTCACCCAGGCCATGTCACTGTTGCTACGGCGAACACGACGGAGGCTCCCGATGGCACTTTGTCCGAGTCGGCCGCGAATCATTGCCGTCCCGACCAGGATCTTGCAATGAGCAACACGGACCCGCCAGCCGCATCTTCTTCCAGCGATCAGCCCAAAAACCCGACCCCCCACGACAACCTACCCTACCTCTTCGTCGGCAACGGAACCTGCATTCTCCCCAACCCAAGCTCCTCCTACTGCCTAGGCCTCGCTCTCGTCCGCTCCATCGACACCCAATCACAAACAATCCAGCTCACCACGCCCATCGCGCCCAGGGCCCTCCGGAACGTGCTCGAGACCGGCCACCACATCGTGCTGGTCCGCGGCACGCTGGACAACCCGAACTGGGCGCTGAGCGAGGAATACTTTGCCGCGAAGACGGCGCTGAGAGCGCATCGACGGCAAAAACCGCGCTTCAGGACCGATCTGGACGACATGCAGGCGCGGATCGCGTATGCGGAGAAGAGCAGACGGCTGGCGGAGCGGGTGCGGAGAGCGGCGGAGGGTGTGCCGTGGGTGAAAACGGGGCGGCGTGGAGAGCAGCAGCAGCAGCGGAAGGAAGTGCGGAGGGACGGAGGCGCGGCTTTGTGGAAGTTGAAGAAGTTTGCGCCGGCCGTTGAGTCGGATAGGGAGAGCGAGTGAGGCGGACTTGCAGGTGACAAATCCGATATAACTACAAGATAGTCTACACAAACCAGTCTTACCTGTAATAATATCGGGGCTTCTATAGAATAAAGAGCCATGGAATCTATCTGGCATGCACCAATAATCCAGATCGCATCTATTCTACCGCATTTAGAAACCTCCCGCTATACGAAAGAAGTGGGAAGCACATCACACGACCCAAAAACGGATCAGCCCGCATTCCATACATAGAAAAGGTTACCGTTGCACAATTTCTTCCAAATCCCAAAAAAAAAAAACATAACCATGACACGGGAGCCTCACAAGCACCCATCCCCGTCCTCCCTACATTACTCGCGAAGACTCCACGGCGTACAACCCTCCCCCTCCGCCCAACGTCTTCTGCGCCAAGCCGGGACTCAATTTGCAGCCAGGAGTAGAGCAGGAGCTGCGACATGCAACGCGGAGTGTGACGGGGGCGTGATTGCGCTGGTTTCGTTTCAGCTGGTACAGAGCAGTACCCCTACATAGCAGTTGCTTCACTGCGGCTTTTTTGGGGGCGTGGGCGTGGCTTTCTCTCAGGTGGTCCTTGGTGATTCAAGGTTGCGAGAGTCCGCGCTGCCCAAGGCAGCTTTTTGTTTTTTTTTTTTTTTTTTTTTCCTTTTGATTAACTTATTGTACTCCGTACGGCTTGACAGATAGGCGTTTTTTCGGCGGATAAATGCTGTATTTACTTTTCTCCTTTTCTTTCTTTCGGCTTGATTAACGGCTCTGACGGGTCAATCGGGCGTCGCAGAAATGGCGATTTGGTCTGGGATTTGCGATATCAGTTGTGACGGATCGCCGGGGACTGAATATGAAGGATCGTGAACGGGATTTGCATGTTTGTGATGAGATGAAATGAGATGAGATGAGATTCTGGGCCCTCCCTGCAGATAATTACATATCACCTCGCCGTCTATCAACCGGCCGTCAGACATCATCAAAACCAGCATACTGGGCGATTTATTTTATTTTTCTGACGGGTTGCTTTTTCTCCCTCGTTATTCGCTCTGCCAGACCATCGTCGTCGTCAGGTTTCTAATAGCTTGGCTTTGCTTCTTTTTCTTTTGTTCTGCATCTTTCTTTTCTTTTCTTCTTTACCGGGCCTGAGGACGGCCGGCCCCCCCCCGCCCAGCCACAAGGCTTACATACTGGGCGCTCCCTGCAGCGCATGCGTCCAACATCACACATACACGCACGCGCGGGATCAAAGGAGGAAGGGGGGGAGGACGACCGGCCGCCCGTTTCCATGTGCTGGCACACCGGGTATTGGGGATGGAAAGCGGTGGGGGCGACTTACTCCGTACAGTACATTGCATATAGCCAACCAGGCTGTTCGGCTATCCACACAGGGTAAGTCAATAACTGTGTACTCTGTAGTCTCAAGGTTCGATGGAGGCACAACGCAAAGCAGAGTACCGCAATGCAATGCATTCCCCCGTCGTTGCCACTTCCGGCGTCCGAAAGAAGTCAATAGACGCGAGAAAGAGAGAGAGAGATGTGACCTCCGCAGGCACAGGAAGAGCACACGTGCCCGGCGGAACAGCGAATGAAAACGGCTGCGTCCGGCGGGTTTCCGGCGAATATTGCCCGGCTGATAGGGCGTTTTGCTGCCTAACCGCCCGGGGGGAAAAGAATAGTAAGAGGTAATAATATCAAATGTATACACACATGCCCATCCAGTCATCGCTGTTTGTCAACCCGCGCGCGCGGCCTGAACGGGGGCTGGGTCGGTAACCCAATCAGTCCGAATTTTCTCAGCCCCCCTCCCGTCCCCTCCCCTCCCCGCGCGCGCTCGCAGACCCAGACGTGGCAGCGCCTGAGCAGTCCCGCGCACACGCTGTCTGAAGCCTGCTGGAGGCATGGGCATGGGCATGGGCTCTTCGGATATTTTGACCGCAACGGTGCCAGCGCGGGCGGGCTGTTGTTGTTGTTGTTACCGGTGTCACCAGCCGGCCGGGCTGGCAGCAGTGAGTAGTGACACTGGCCGGGCCATGACTCGCTCACTGTCTCGCGCTGGGCAGAGCATGCCTGCCAGTCGGACGGAGATCGCCGGGGGAGTCTGGCGAGGGGGATGGCCCCGTCTTGCACGGTCTTGTGCGACTGGCGAGACGAGAGGGAAGAGCAGCGGTGAATACGACTCCCCTCGCGCAGGCCAATTAATTGCCCGCCAGCGGCTCAATTGCCGGGCGCGCGGGGGGTGGGCGGGTGAACATTCGCTCAGCAGTCTGGGTATGGAGGTAGGTAGATAGATAGATAGGGGAGGTACATGCACGGTACCCGGCCAGTACGGCGGCGGTACCTCTTTCGTCCACCATGCCCTGCAAATGATGGAGCGTTCCATCAGCCCGTCCACGGCTGAGATGGCCTCCTCGCGCGGAGGCGTTCCGTGCAATCCAGAAGGTATTATTCCTTCCCAGAAGGGTGTCCATGCAATAATGCACTATTATTATTATTGTTATTCTGTTCCGCAAGGCTCCATCTGCACTCGCAACTCCGAGTCGTCGTGGTCGTCGTCCGAGAGAGCGTGGCTCTCTCCTCCACCGCGGAACCAACGGCGGGCATCAAATCTCCATCTCTCCGACTTTACCGATGAGTTTTTTTTTTTTCCAATCTTGGCTTCTTGCTAAGAGCACATCAACAGCCAGCGGACCCGCGCGCGACGGTACGTCCCACTAGATATACTCGCCTCAATTCCTTCGTCCCTTTGGGCCGGAGCCAAACAGAGCAAACTTCCGGCCCAGCAAAGCCCCGGTAGGAAGAACGCCAGTTCGGATTCCAAAAAGCAAGAACTTCAATGGAAAAGCATAAACTAAAGGGATGGATCCGCGCGCGGTTCCACCGTAACCAAAATCCAAAACAACCACAGCAGCGCGGTTACTAAACGGCCGGGGCCAGACGCCCGTTGTAGTTTATATGTCGCTGCTTCGTCTGCTTGCTTTCTTCGTCCGTTTTCTCCGCTTTAAGGCTGCGGTGGACCGCGATTGTCCTCCAAGGAGAGGATCAAAAAGAAGTGAGCGCTGAACCAAAAAACAAAAAAAAAAAAAAAACACCGCAAAATTCCAAATAATAGCTGTGAAAGTACGGAGTACCAAGGACGGTTCAAGGCTAGCAAAGCGGCATTTGTCATTATTGGGGACTTGGGAAATCCTTTTCCGGAATGCTGTCTCGTGCCCGGGCCGCATCCCCGTCCGCCAGCGGTGGCCGGGCGAATGGTGGTTGATCGATTAGTTATATTATTGGATCGGCATGGAATTAATATCGTCGATGCTAGGCTGGGGTTGAAGGACAATCTTTGCCGAGGTCCCGGAGTTCGCTATGAATATGAGAGACTTTTTTATGATTACTGGATTAACTGTATTATTATTTCTATTTTTTGGCACAACAAGCCAGAAGACGGACCACTGGGCATATCGTTATGTTGCCTTATGCGTTATTATAAGCGCGGTACCGAGAGAAGGCATCGCTGGGGAGGGGAGGGCGGCGAGAAAAATGATCCCTACAGTACCACATGGGAGATCCGAATCATGGGCCCCCCCTGAGATGACCAAATAAAAAAAAGAGAATTACGGATAATTAGAAGACAGATGGTTTCTCTTGTGCTTCCTCGGTCAGGAGATGTTTTTCAGGGGACGGCCCGTCCAGCCACGTTTTCGATCCTGCGACATCCGCAGAGGCTCTGCCGGGAATCGTTTTGCTCTTCTCAACGTCGGAGGTCTCCGTAACAGACAAGAGAACCACCGGCCTTCACGGCGGCCATCATTGGCTAGCGGGTGGGTGGGGGTGGTTTTTTTTTGTATTCTCGGCCACGAAATAAGCAGGTCGCTTAGCAACAAGCACGATTGCTACGTAATCTGCGGCGGCGTGAAACATGGCGTCAAAGGGGGGCAGTCTGACGCGGACGCAGGGGCGGGCGGGGAGAGTCATTAGTGCTCCTCTGCCACGAAGAGAGAGAGAGAGGGAGGCCCGAGAGGCGCGGCGGCCGCCCAATCAATAATTAGGTAACTATGGACCGGTGGTTTCGGGGTTTGTCGCGCGGAGAACACGAGCGCAATCAAGAATAATAGTGAGAACGATGACTGGCCATTGTGGAGGCAGAGACAGAGAGAAGAAGAAGAAGCTGCCCGACGGCCGGTTTTTGGGAGGAGCCGTTGGTGGGCAGGACGATCAGAAACGGAGCACTATGGAGTAACTACGGAGTTCTTGACTAACTAGACCACTAGCTAATATTAAGTTGCATCTCCAATTCCTTCTAGAAGACTTCTGACGCCCGCCCGCGCGCAGGGATGAGGATTGCTTCCGTTTGGAGTAAACGCTGGGGCGAGCGAGCAGCTGTCGGCACACAACATCGCGATCACACCTGGGCTGGTTAATTAGGTACCTAGTAGTCAGGCAATAGACAATACTAGCACACTAATATTATTGCTGGCGAACTAGTTCACTAACCACCAGCCAGCGCCGGCGCAAAGCGACTCCGTGTGCAACGCTGCCGAAGAAAATAATAATAACACTCCCCCTTGTCCAACCGTTCTGCAGGGCACAAGGAACCCCCTGGCTGCCGCCGCCGCTGCCCGCCCGCCCGCCCCGCGGACCGTGTCATCCATCGTGGGAAAAAAGAAGCCTTCTAGAAGGGGTTTGCGTGGCGCCCGCAACCCCGACGGCCACGACGGCGACGGTAGCAGCGGGCAATATTATATTATGAGTATTGTGGGTTGCACGGGGGCGGGCGGGCTTTGGTGAATACTGAACCGGGACGGACAGCATATCCACGGATGTCTGTCATGCAGGCCATTATTATCACAGGTCGTCGCAGTAGTAGTAGTAGTAGAGAGCGTTTAGCACGCCGCGGGCTGCCGCGGCATTGCAGCTGCATATGCGAGTGCGAGTGCGGCAGGAATGCAGCAGCCCCCAGGAAATAATAATAATAATAATAATGAGACGAACAAAGGACGCACGCCGGCCTCTTGGTTCCCCCACGGGGAGGGGGGGGAATGTTCGTTTCCTGTTACCAATCGTATCCTTCCTTTTGCTCTTTTTGCGAAACGACGCGCTTTCAGGATTGCGGCATCCTTCGACAGAGGTACGGAGTAACTAACTAGTCGGTTGGTTACTATTATTGCCGTTTGGGCCGGCAACGTCCACACTGCACGCATGCAGGCAGCCCTCGAGCGCAGGGCTGGGACTATTTTTACTCGACAAAGAACTGAGGGGCCAGGTCTTTGTCTGGCAGGCCCCAAAAAGAAAAATAAAAAATAGATAATACAAAATTCCACGCCGCATTCAGGGCGTTATTCGCTGGTGAAGCCCGCTGATTTCAATCAGGCTGGGCGGAGAGGGGGGAACCCCCGACGGTACCCTTTTCCCATCATACATATATGCGCATCATCCCCAGGGGAGGGCCCGCGGGTCACACACAGGGGGGGAAGGGGAGAGCGGGAACGCGTCCCCCCAAAGGCCGGCAGCGGCTGCACGCCACGGCGTCAACCACTCGACGGCCGTGTTGGAGAGACGCAGCGCGTAGTTAGTAGTAGAGAGAGAGAGCGTGTGGGCGGGCGGAGTGGAAGGAAGCGCGCGCCGGGTTTGAGTTCCTTTGATGTAACGACCCGATCCCAGCCGGCGGTTCTGGTGCTGCTCCACGGCGGTCGGCGTCGTGCTAATGCGACAGCTTCTCCGATGACGATGCGACGGTGGAGCGCGCGACGACCCGGTAGGTGTGTGTAACTGCTGTGTACCGCCAGGTAGCTAGCCGGCGCGACTTGGTGCAGCCCGGAGCCGCTCCCTCCTGTCAGATCCCTTTGATTATGCGCTGATGCTTCCTCCTCTTAATCCAGCCCGGCCCAGCCCGACTCCGGCTTTCTTTTTTGCCCTCGCGGGATTAACTAGTTCAACTGCCGCCGCCTTTCTGTTCTTTTGGCGTCGCTGACGCTAATAAAGTCCCGCCGCCCCGTTCCAAGTTCTCGTTTCCTGCCTGCGCCCCCGGCCAGATCCCGATCCATCTATATTCTCGACCTGTTCGATTCTGCCTCTCCCCCCGGCTTACCTTCCACTGCTCACATTCTGTTGTCGAGGATCGCAAAACTAACTATAGCCTGTGGTGGCGACCCAGCCCTGAAACCCTCTCCGCAGCAGCTCCAACCAACGCCCGCAGCCTAGTTACATACATACATACACACGCCCTCCTCCGCACAACAAAGAACAGACACTCTCCCCCCCCTCTCTGGCTTTCTTTCACTTCTTCTCTTCCCCTCACAGAAGCTTGCTTTCGCATTCTTTTAATTGTCTCCTTTCCTCCTTCTACCCTCCATTGACCTCGTGAAAGCTCTCCCCTTCCCTCCGCCACCCCCAGTGCTTGCCCCGGAGTCAGAAGCATGTCGGGCAGCACCACGCTTGCAACCCATTGTCTTCTGAATTCCACTTGCTTGAGGCTGCATTAACCGCCATTATGGATTTCATAGTAAGTCGCCTGCGCTGCTGCTTCGCTCCCAGCTCTGGTTTGTGCTTGTGCAACGCCGCTTCAGATCGAAGCGGTTTGCAGTGCGCACGCGGTCACCTGCAGACTGAGCCCTCATCACCAGAGCTCTCTCTGTGGCAGCTTGCCAGAGCTGGTTATGATGCAAACAAGCCCAGAACGGACCTGTACTGACAGCCTCGTTCGCTTCATAGCTCTCCCTCACCCACTTCTGCGAAGTCCACGGCCCAACCTCCATCCTCTGCTCCCAGGTCGCACCCACCATCTGCGCACAGTGCGATTCGAACGACCGCGAGTTCTCGCCCACTGACACTCCGCTCTCCTCGAACGGCGGAGCTTCGCCGGCCTCCGGTCATAATGGAAAGTCAGGAAAGCAGCCCAAGGCAGCAGCGTCGTTGGATTGCAAGAGCAATTCGGACCTGGAGCCGCTCTCGTCGCCCCCCTCCGCCTCAGCTCCGACCACCGCGACCAGACTCGAGGAACACCCGTGGTTCATAAGCGGCCAGTATACAAAGGTCGACACGGCCAAGTTCAACTGTTTTGGCGGTGCGGAGGGAGATACCTGCGCGAGCTGCCGGCTCACCGTGCCGGACGACATCAGCAAGCAGCTCCCGCCGGGCGCCCCGGGCACGATGAAGGAAAATGGCCAGGGCAGAAACGGCAGCCCGGTGCTGAGATCCAGAGAGATGGTCTACTCGTGCCACGACGGCATTTCCCACGCGCACGCGCACTCGCACGCCCACCACTCCAATTCCACCTCCGCGCGCTCCTCCTACTCGTCCGACTCCTCATGCCACACCCACGTCGTGACCTACCTGTCCATGCGCGGACCGCCCAATCCCACCAACTACTCGATTCTGCGCCGTGCGTCCATCCGCACCCTGAGCTGCGAATACCTTCCCCGCGGCCTGTCCTCGGGGCCCCTGTCGTTCGGCGATCCAGTGACCGGCTACACCATCGCCTACGTCTTCCGTCTGCCCGACCCCGCCGCGCGCGGCAAGAGACGCAGCTATGCGCTCGTTGCGTTGGCAGGCAAGGATGCAGGCCGAGCGTTTCGCGCGAGTCCGGTGATCTGGCGTGTCTTTGGTCGTATCGCACACAACCTGGTGACTTCGGCGGAGAGGTCTGAAGAGCGGGAGAAACGCCGTGGGGCGGGCGCCGCCGCCGTCCCTAATACTACTACTGCTGCTACTGCTACTGCTACTGCTGCTGCTCCGGTACCGGCCTCGACGCGCACCGTGCCGCAATACACTCCCATCTCGTCCTTCCTCACGGGCCGCACGCTGGACCCGGACGGCCAGCGGCGGCGGGCGGGCCAGGTGCGCGCACGCAATCTCGCGGAAATCGTCGACAACGAGTTCATCTTCGCCGAGATCCATGCCCAGTTCGTGGCCTTGCTCCAGCAGCTCGGCGGCATGTTTGGGGGCTCGCGGATTCCCGAGAATCGGTTGAACCCGGAGGCCGCGTGCGACGAGACCGAGGAGCACTTCCCCCGGCCTGCTCCGACCGCTAACCACCACAACCACCACTTCTTGCGCGCCGCCGCCACGACGAGGACCACCACCGCGACCGCTGCTCGCGCCGCCGCGGCGGCTCCGTCGGCGCCCTCGGCGCTCTCCACCGCCTCCCGAACCTCCGCCAGAGCTGCCGCTGCTGCTGCTGCTGCTACTGCCCGCGTGCGGTGCGACTCCCCCAAGTCGCCCGTCGGCGCCATGCAGCTGACGCCGAAGCCCATCCCCATCTCTCACCGACGCCATTACGCCGCCTAGCCTTTTTTTCTTCTTTGCTTTCCCTTGTACCAGTATTACATATGTACTTCCCTCAAATGATACCCATCTGTCCGTCCCCTGTATTATCTCGCCTTACTACTTCCTTGGTAATTACCCCGGACTGAAACGGCTTGGACGCCTGGCGTTTTTGATCCTTCGACGTCTTTTTTTCACCACCTCAACATCTCTCTCCCTCTTCTTTTTTTTCTTCTTCTGCTTACCAAGCCACCCGCAACCTGACAGCCTTGTCACATGGGTCTACGTATTTCACGCTGGAAACCGATACCATATGTTTCCGATGGCCCCTTACTTTTCTTCCGAACTGCCTCCTCCCGCGTTTCCACACAGCTTCTTCTCTCATGAGGTCCTCCGAATAAACGACTAACGACACGACACTACTACTACTACCTCCCTTTTCTCTCTCACCCGCTTTTTTCCGCCCCTGGGATGAATACCCGTTTTCTTCCCCCCACTCACCAATCCACTTTCCTCTCTCCACCTACCGCATCGTCTTTCGACGTCATACACACGGGCCTGGAGAACTGGAATTCAAATCATTCCATGTATCGAATATAGACTTTTCCTTTTTTTTTTCTTGCGTTGTTTTATCTTTTTCGTCAACTTTTACTGCCTTTTTTCTAATGATGATGGTCGGTGAGCGGAGAAAGGTGGTGGTGGAGTCTTTTCTCCTTTTTTATTTTCATTTTCTGGTTGTCTTGTTCACATGGATGCATTTTACTGTTTTTTTTTTCTCTGTTTTGTTTTTTTATGTGTTCGAGCTTGAGTCGGAAATTCATGTTCCTTGACTCGCTCTTCTCGGTTTCATGGGTCCTTTTTTTTTCTACTCTGATTCCTTAGCGATTCCTTTTTTTTGATTTCGTTTTTTCCACTTGTTATTCTGATCTCCAAGCGCGCGCTCACTGGTTCTGGGCTTCTATTCTCCAGTGTGACCCTTCCACGTCATTGCTGCCCCCCCTTTCCACTTTCACAGGCTGTTGTTCTCCTTAATTCTTCTGGGTGGACAGCGCTACTCCCCCTTTTTTTTTATATTTCATTGGTATTGCATTTATTTGCATGCTGGATGGGAAACACACACCAAGAAGGTTCAACGATCACTCGGCGCATCAAGATAGACTCGGTATTCCGCTTGTTCCTTTGGGAATATTTTGTTTTATTTTTTTGTTCTCTTTTTCTCGACTCATTATTTCAATGGAATCAATACATTTCAATTGCCATCACATCAATCTTCCAGTTGCTGGTTTAAAGTAGCGTGACTAATACAATCCTGAATGATGACATAATCGCGAACTCCTGCCCCCTGCTCGGCTAGACTTGCCCGCTCGCCATTCGCTCAGAAAGCACAAACTCGATTTCGTCTATGGTTGGGATTCAATCCCAAGCTTCATCGACGACGACCTCACACACCCATTAACCTATTCCATTGCTAGAATAGGATTCAGAAATTGTTACCTGCCTAGATATATCATATTTCAATTCTTCCGAAGTCTACCTCTCGCGGCACCCCCTGTTGAAAGCTGCACGACACTTTCCACTCTGAAAAAAACAACCATCGCCCTTCTCCCTTCGCCGCTGGAGTAGTACAAACACAAAGAAAACGATATCTCAAAGAGCTTGACATATCGGAAAAAGGCAGCAGGAGCAGCAGCATTGGAAATAGTGTGTTTTTATCACAGATGGCTTTCGACAAGTGCAAGACGCGCCCCGCGCACATCGACACGATCCTGAACGGATTGGACAGATACAACCCAGAGACCACGGCGGTGTTCCAGGACTATGTGGTACAGCAGTGCGAGGACCGGACGTTTGACTGCTATGCGAATCTGGCGCTGTTGAAGCTGTGAGTTGCGGATCTTGCCCCTTTCATCATGGCATATTTTTTTATATATTTGTCTTAATGATGAGTATCATACTTTTTTCATTTTCACGTTTCCTATTAGCTTAGGTCTCGATTCAGAGACGATGGGGAGACCGGTTTCTTTTACCCTGAGAATTTTGTTCATTCCAGATTGATATTGGTTTTATCCTTTCGCTTCATATACTAACCAGCCTCACCTCAAAACTCCAGGTATCAATTCAACCCACCCCTTCTCAACACCGAAACCGCCACCAACATCCTCGCCAAAGCCCTCACCGTCTTCCCCTCCCCCGCCTTCTCCCTCTCCCTCGCCCTCCTGCCCGCCTACACACAACCATACGCCTCATCCTCCTCCTCCCCAACCGCCACCATCAACCTCCCCATGCAGACCACGGACTTCGTCGAAGCGGTGCAGAAGCTCGCGCGGCTGTCCACGCTGCTCGAGTCGGCGCAGTACTCGACCTTCTGGTCGACGTTCAACTCCGACGACCTGTACGCCGACCTGACCGCCGACGTCGCCGGCTTCGAGGAGCTCATCCGCGTGCGCATCGCCGTCGAGGTCGGCAAGGCCTTCCGCGAAATCAACGCCGACGTCCTCATGGCCTGGCTGGATGTGCGCGGCGCTGACGCCCTGGAGAAGTTTGTGGTTGATGTGTGTGGCTGGGAGGTCGAGCGCGGCCAGGGCCAGGGCCAGGGTACGCTGGTGAGGGTGCCGAAGAATAAGGAGAATGAGGCGAGGAGCGAGGTCAAGGGGGAGAAGGTGGGGATTGAGATGTTTGGGAGAGTGCTGCGGAGGGGGCTTGAACAGCCTGCGTGATTTTTCGTTTGGGGTGTTTATGATGGCATGTCTTTGATGAACGGGGTCTTTTTTTTTTTAATTTAAGAAAAGCTGTGTTCTCGATTTTTGATTCATTTTCTTCCTAATGACCTTGGCTCGGTTTCCGGAGGTTTGTGTCTGTCCGCAAATAGATGAGAGCTATACGCCTCAAAGAACTCAGGGCGAGAATTTTCTATCAAAAACTCTAAGCATTATCATTTCTACGACATAAACAAAACATCTCGCTTTCATATCTTCCAACTCCGACTTTTCGACCGTAGCTCCCACCCCTCATAGCAATGCATCTACTTCCCCCCAACCCTCTCCTCCCACTGCACGCCCACCCACTCCTCTCTCCATCCCAGCTCCCCTTCCCTATCCAGCCCACAATTCGCGGCGCACACACCAACAATCACCGTGCCCCATTCCATCCCACCTTCATCCTTCCCAATCCCAATCCCCTCCCGCCCTTCTTCCAAAACACTGATCGCATAGGGCACAAGCTGCACCTCAAACACCCGTTCACGGCCACACGCCCCACACCGCGGCAGCCTCGACGACACTCCCGAAGCCAAAGGCGAAGACGCCACCTTGACGTGTGACGTCGCCTGGACCGCCGCCGCCGCCGCCGGCGGAGCGAGCAGCTTCCCCACCGGGTCCGTGGTGGAATAGAGAAGCGGTGTGCCACGGAACTCGTACCGCAGCACTTGTTCGGGATTATGGTCCAATCGCGTGGAAAACTTGAGAAAAGACTTGTCCAGCGATGACTCGAAGGTGTCCTTCCCCTCTGCAGCGGCAGACGACGACGACAACGACGGCCCCTCCTCGTCTTCGAGGCTGGATACCTGGACGTTCGTAGGAACGTTGGGCGTCGAAGGGCGGGATAAGGTTTCGTATTCTGCATCCAGGAAGTACTGTGGATAAGGCGCCGGAAATGAAGACTCGGCGGGCCACGGCTCGACGGGACCCATGGCCTGTGGGGGTTGCTGAGCGCTTGAGGATGGTGATAGTCGTACTTTTTCTGCGAAGGATTGCGGGAGGTTGTCCCTTTTTAGCGAATCTTGCTTGTTGTTGGCGTCGTCGTCTTCGTCTTCGTCATCGACGGGCTTTTGGGGAGGGAGAGCGGCAAGTGTCGATGGCGAGAATATCTGTGCAAAAGGATTGGCTGGCGGTGCGGGGGAGCTGGAGGTGGTCGAGAAAGGGTTCGCGTTTGCGGATATCCCCTGGCCAGCGCCGGGCGCAACGCCGAACAGACTGGATCCAATATCCTGTTTCGGCGCTGGTGGCCCGGGTATTTGAGCGTTCTTCTCTTTCTTCTCTTGCTCCTTCCCCTTCTTCTTACTCCCGCTGGCGATCTTATGTTTCCGCACCCCTCGAAGTGCACGGATGCTGCCTTGTTTCCTGCTGCATGTCCGTCTCGTGCACCCGAAGATATAGAGCCATCTTTCATCATTTGGGAAATGCTCTGGTAAATCAGCATGCAGCTGCAACAGCAGCGGCATGGGGTCATTGCAGGACTTGCATTTGGCGAAATTGCCTGGGGGCGGGGTTGAGGGGTCGAGCCATGTCTGCAGCAGGAGGGTTAGCCGGCGGTATCATCAGTCGCTAGGGCGTGGTAAGTGATGCAATTATTTAAGCTGAGTGAGGTATATTAAGGGAAGTGTCTGAAGCAAAAATAAAGCTTCATTCTATTCAAGTCATCGAGACATACTGGTAAACCGCCTAGGTGACTGATCGCATCGTCCGTAGCTTCTTCTTCCACATATCCCAACAGTACTGACGTTGTGGTATACTCTCCACGAGCTTCATCATCCAGACCCGAGGAATCGCTATCGTAGGGGTCCATTCTTCCCGTTGTAGAGCGCAATCTTGCCTCTGAAAAAACGCTGGATGTTCACTTTCGACATAAAATATTTTGGCTTATCGGTCACATGACTGTCACGATAAGATAAGATGGACACAATCTAATCTTGAACAATCTCGAAAAGCTTAAAGGTCATTTACGACTACATTTTTCTTTTACAGCTTTGCCTTCTCTGCCTCTACTCGTCCCCAAATCTTCCTCGCATCGATGATCAGCGGCCAAATATTCCGACAGTTATTTATTTCACTCTGCTTAGCACCTTGCCACAACGCTTCATATGGATCCATATCTGGCCTTGCGAGCGCGCTATCCATTTCGAAATCCGTGAAACCATAAGCATCGATGATTGTCTGAGAATGCATCGCTAAGGTCTCGATAGCTTGGTCATATGCAGATAAAAGGGTGTTGCGTTGAAGCTCGCTGAGAGAGTGTGGGGCGAAGATATCCTTGTGGGCTGCCTGCAAAATACAGAGAGAAAACTTCAAAGAGTTAAGTTTTCTGATAACACGAATTTCAAGATGAGGGTGCTGGAACTCACCACTTGAGCCAGGGCTTCTAGCTGTGGGTGGAATTCGGAGCCCGAGACCTTGTCAACAATGCTCCAGAATCCACGCCAATAAACAAAATCGCAATGCGCCATAGTTAGCTCATGAACCGTAAAGCTAGTGTCTTTGCCATTTTTTGTGGCTTTAAAATGTGCTTTGACCAAGGAGGCTAATCGATGCTCCAGAACCCATTGCTGACTACCGTATTTAAACCAGTCAAGTTCAGATGCCACATCGAGCTTACCACCGGCATCTGAATGTCGAAGGAAGCTCAAATAGGATAAGCTTGGGACTGTATCTTCTGTTTTACTATATGAACCGTCAGCATTGGCGACGAAGGTGGAAGCAGAGGGCGATTACGCATTGTAGTGCTTGAGAATAGCACGTGGGACTTGCTGAGATATGACATAGTTGTCGCCTTCATATGTGATTGCGTTGACAGTATGAGCATACATGCGCCCAAATCCTGACAATGCACTGTAACCATGGCCACCGCATGCGATTCGGCAGGTCTCAACACCTCTAGCCGTGATCTCAGTGGAATACACCTTTGCACCAACTGTTTGAATATGCAAATCTTCCAGCTGAGAAAAATCTCCTGTTTTGATGACTATCTTGCTATATTCATCGAATGCTTGTTTAATATTCTGTCCCACTAATACGAGTGCCGTGCCCTAGAAATAGGTCTTCGTGAGATAATATTGCTATAATGAGCTTCGGGAAATGACGAACCTGAGCCAGTAATGGCAATAGCCTATACTTGACACTGGCATAATTGAAAACCGTGGTCTCTTCGCTCTGTCCCTTTCTCCAGAATTGCTTCCTGAACGTGGTATAATGATATGCCACCGAAACAGCTTTCAGCAGCTCGTAGCCTGTGGCTTCGGCCATAATGGCTCGAACTGTCACCATCGAGCCATATGAGTGTTTGTCGTTGTTGGACGGAACATAAGTCCCATCTCTTAAAACCTGGGCATTTCGTGCCAGCATTTGGGATCGAGGTATCCTGACATTATGAAACTGCATGGCACCGTTGTCTACACCTACCATACCCTGAAAAACTTTTGGTCCAAGCTCGTAGATTTCTACGCCGGGTAGTAGGTCTTGAGTATCAAGGTCGCGGAGTTGAACGAGGAAGAGATGATTTCCATGACTTTTACCATTGATCAACAGTCGGGCGACAACAAGAGAATGAGTTGCCCAGACGCCCGTTGCTCCAATCCAGTATTTAGTGCTGCTCAAAGTTGGGGAATCGATCACGAATTCGTCTGTATCAAGGTCAAACGTTGCCGTCGTCTCGATGCCCCGAACATTCGAACCATGTCCTAGTTCTGTTTGCGCGTACGAGCCAAAAATCTCTAGTCTCTCTGCTTTTGGAATCCAAATAGCCTTTTGCTCATCGGTCATCTGCCGCTCTAGATTTGATATGAAGACTAGTATCGCGTAAGTAGTCTTCATATATAAATTGAATAACGGCGAGCATACTCCTGAACTGCGGGTGGACAGGGAGAAAGTAATCCAGCATTTCCACCGCTCGTATAAACTGTTCATGGCTCCATTTTTTGCGCTGTTTTAGCGCAATCAGCTCCCGAGCCTGATGTATGGCTCTCACCCAGGCGTCTTTCCTTGCCAGGGATGGTATGGTGACCGAACGTTTAGAGAATATCGGGTTACTCGTTAAGGATCTTAATAATTGCTTCCGAGCAAGGAATTTCTCTTTGCCTCCCCAGAGGAAGAGAGATAATGAGTTGGCAGGGACGTCACTGATAAGACTCGAGGCCATTGTATACCTGGTAGACACTAGACCCTGCCACCTTGTTTGAGATGCCTTGTGTCAACTGTCTATGGGCTTTCATCATGCTTTGCGTAAAATGAGGCCTTGTTTTCGCCGACCTATATTAATATCTTCAATTCGGCCCCTCATAAACGACGTTCGATCAGATCTTCGGCATTAAGAATAAGGACCGAGTTTATTTCCCGAAGAGCCTAGCGCCGGCATCACAACCAACCCATCTCGTTTCGGCAACATCCGGCAACATCATTCCTTTACTTTCAACCGGCAATACAGTACCTAACTGCTAAGCATGGGAATGCCGGAACTGTGCCGTTGGACTTCTTATTCAAAAGACACATTATCACTTCGGCTGGTGGGGGATGAATCCAATTCCCTTGGCTACATTTCGCTGGAGAACAACATCAGGCCACCCCTACAACGATGACGGATAAAGCCGACTAGAGCATTGGCTTGAACCACATCTCCAGATGGTGGTGTCATTTTTATTCAAAAGCGAGCAAGATCTAGCATTTCGGTAGACGGCCTTGCAGGATACTTGCTTACAACTGAATTCATTGAACGACAGGGTCGTACACTAAAGGTGCTACAAGGGCAACCAGTATTAGTCAAATCAACCCAATCTCTCACAGCCTGATAAATATTAACTGGGATTTGCTTGAGGGAAGAAGCTTCGCCAACTCAAAGAGGAATACAATGGGAGTCATGATGACTATCGTATTGCAGTTTATTTATGTGATGATGTCTTGCCATACCATATACATACTGCGGTGTTTCACATGACAGTCAGTCAGCAAGGAGATGATGTGCAGAGAGCATATTGGATTCCTAAAATTGAGTCATGGGAAGTTTTCGAGGTATATGCAGAGACAGGGATCGGCCATCGCAGCAACGTTCGTGGACTTGAGCTAGAGGCAAGATGGGATCAGCAGGCGAAGGAAATTGTTCAGCATTTATGACTACAAGCAAATTGTGAAATGGCACCATGGGTAGCAGTGCTACTGTGGTTGCGTGGTTAATGCTACCAATAGCAGGCCGAACAAGTTACACTTCTTACATACAGACCCGAGATTCAAAGACACATCAACCGCCAGAGAGTATTATTACTAGTGAAATTGGCCCCAAGCGCGGATTTGCCTCCATGAACGATGATTATATGCTGTTCAATAATCACAGGGTATACAAAACAATACCATCCATGACAGTTTTTGGCCTAACAAGACAACGGAGTATTTCATGCTGCCGTGCTATCGTGATTTTCCAAAGTGGACTCAGGCAGAACGAGGTATACAAAACTAGAAAACCCAGAGGTGGTATACGGTTCTCTACATAGAGTGATTTTGAAGCTCTTGGCAAACTCCATAGCGCTTCTTCAGACCTCAAGAGCGTTTCAAGTGATGTCACAGCCAATGGATGATCACGCAGTCAGTCGCGAGGTTTCCGGCACGAAAAATAAGACAATGAATTTTGAAATACACAGAGAAGACAGTTATATTTTTAAGGCCTTTGAAGGGCGAGTGGCATAGTTATTTGGTACTTTTGAACCTATTTCAAGTCACACTTGAGAACTAAGGAAGTATACATATATCACAGGCATTTAAGGCACACGAACAGCGGAAAGTTCAGGGTAGACCTTGGAACAGCTTGCAGATTCATTTTCACAAGCTTGGTCGAGGTACTCTGTTTACGAGGAATATATATTTATTACCGCCGCCACTTCTAATTACTTGTTTTATAGCATATTCGCAATATATCCTAGTTATCAGCTTTCATAACGCCTTGCTGGCTGATCATCCCAGCATCGCTCTTTCAGATTCCACAACACGCTCCGTTCTTCACGAGCTTTTCCTCCATTTTTCTCTGTTTACGACAGACGCTGAGGCTAGAGAGTTCTTCAGCTCAAATGTAATATCAGATTTAGATCTTGATGCTCTTCCCGCACGGATTTTGGAGCTCATCAACCAGATTGTAATACTCTCGTGATAGCGCGCTCTGGTCGAAATGATGGGAGGGTTTATGAGGACTTGTTTGATCGCGCACACAGACATAATCCCCTCAATTTGAAGACAATTACCAAGCTATAGTGGCTGGTTGAGTAAAAATATTTGTAGGTATTGTCTGGCATTGTGATGGTGTATTAAAAGAAGTTACTATTCCGAACGCACTAATTGAAACGCTCACCACCTCGTAATGCGTGTTCCAAATTGAATACGTGGATGCAGCCAATTTTGTATCTAAGAGAAGAACCAAAAACTTGTCGATACTGTACAATGCTTCGCACCGCTTTCCTTTCCATTCAAAAGCTTTCAGTTGTCGTTGCCAACGTTGACAGTAATTGAACCCGGACCATTCGCCTTGTATAGCTTCCAGTATGGCAATTCACTTGTCTAGTTTTAAACTCGACCGTCTCAACTTCCCAAACGGACGGCTCGCAGCGAAATTGGAAATAGAGTTTTTAGAGACCCCTCCAGGTTTGATGACGACCCTCCTCCTCACGGGAATGTTGCTTAGGGCTGACATGACGGACTCGCGACCAGATTCGAATTTCCCTCGCAAGCCGGCCAATCTATCAATAGCAGAGGATGTCGACTCAGACGAGCTAGTACGCCTTTCAGCGCGTTCTTTAGCCCCATCAAGAGATTTTAAAATATAGTGCTGTTGGTGCTGCTGATATTGCGGTCCAGGAGAAATTTCTGCCTTCGCCACAGATCCAGGCGCTGGCATGACCGTACCCATTCCCTGTAAACCCGCATCACTGGTATTCCGTGACTTCACCGACAGCTTCTCACTGGTGCTTTCAGAACCGGGCGACTCCATGGGGATGCTCAGGGCCTCAAGGACGCGTGCATATTCGTCCATTTTCTCCTCCAAATAGTTGACGCGTTTGCGTAGGTCTATGCATTCGTTGACGTTAGCTTCGATATTAAAGCAAGCCTCTTCTAGTTTTATTTCAAGCATGCGAGTCCGAGAGTCAATAGCTTCAGCCTGGCGGAATGTGCGAATGAAAAATCCGTTGACGGCGCGATAAACTATGTAAGCGAAGAGCAAGTAGGATAGATATTGCGCAACTGCCGGCATGGTGAATTATCACGTTGTCGACTTTTGCTATATGTATATAAGCACAGTGAAAAGCAAGCAATGATATTTGGGTATGGGTAGTGGGTGTAAATACAGATATTCTCTCTTAGCCTAGCTGTACGCTGGGTTGTAGAGATAGAGCGCCCTCATACAGCATAAAGTGCCCATGATGCCTTCTCAAGAAGCGATTATGTTTCTTTGAGGAAAGTGCATTGCAAGCCTCACTGGAAAAGGAAGAGGCTCAGATGTCAGGCGCGGTGGGAATACAGCTCAAGGTTATATGATGTGCACCTCATCATGCGTTAAATATCATTCTCTGCAAAACGGACGTATAAAATAAGGATGAATGAAGATTGCTGAAGAACGGAAAGGTCGCAATATTATATAATCAGAAAACATGCCAAGTGCCGAGTAGCCGGAACCTTAAGTGTTCTTCCGGTATTCGTATTTCCAGCATCCCCTGTGAATTTATTCCGTCCAATCAGCAATGGCTATTCATACCTGGGCCTGTTCAGTCAATATGTCAGGGGCCCAATATAATGCCAGATTCTGGAGTACGCAGTACATGTGCTATCTGTACTTCGCACGGAGGATGTTTTCATCCACACGGAATACTCCATACGGACTGAGCATGGAGTATGGGCACTCCACAGCGTTGCGGTTGACGGGCGTATTTATGGTTTTGGTATGGTAACATGTTCTCCCAAGAGCTTCTAACCCAACCCACAACTATAACTGTAACCGACTGGCTGCCAACTTGAGCCTCCAATAATTGCGTGTCTCGTCTCCGCTCCCCGGTGTGCTGTGTGCGCTGTGCGTGCGCGCGACGAAAATCGATGACCCAGCCGGTGTAGAAGAGCGATGCTGCGAGCACTTCTCCCCCCCGCCTCAACGCCCCTGCACGTCCCCGAGACAGGCTCCTTCCCGCCCTTTTGGCGGTTCTTGCAAACGAGACTGAGCAGCAAGCACGGCGATGATTTCTAGCTAGCTTGATAAACTAACTAGCTAATTAACCGCCCAGCAGCCTGATCCTCGCCTCTTGAGTCGAACAGGGTGCCAGGAGGTCGTACTGCTTCTGGATTCGCAATATCCACTTCACGACGGGCCCCTTTTTCTTATCAATCTACCATGTCTCGCGCTCCAGGTGCCCTTGTTAATTTACGTGCGTTTTTTGTCTATCTTTTGCTGGTCTGCTATATACCCCATGTCTGGTCGCAAAGTCAAAAACCTCTCCAAAAAGAGCCGGGATCCGGACAACCGAAGAAAATCGCGATAGTTGGTATGCATTGTCAAAACCCGGCATCGATGTCCTTTGTATTTTGATAAAGCTCTTACTGTTGGTATAGGTGCTGGAGCTGGTGGAGCATCGGCCGCGTACCATCTCCGCAAGTATTGCGATTTCTTCTCCGTCCCAATCGACATCACCGTCTTCGAGAAAGAGGCCTATATTGGTGGACGATCCACAACGGTTAATATTTTCAATGACCCGACTCAGCCTGTAGAGCTGGGCGCGTCCATTTTTGTAAATGCCAATAAAAATCTCGTCAAAGCAGCTAAAAAATTTGGCCTCAGGCTGAAGGAAGCCAATTACCAGGTCCCAAAGGAATCCAACTACAATTTGGGTGTATGGGATGGCTATAAGTTTGTGTTTTTGCAGCGTACCACGAGCTTTCGTTGGTGGAATATTTTCCATCTTCTTTGGAAATATGGATGGGCCCCGATGCGAACCCAGAGCGTAATGACATCTACCGTCGACAAGTTCCTCAAAATGTACAAGTGGCCCTATTTTCCTTGGAAGTCTATATCCGCGGTTGCTATGAGTACTGGCCTCAGCGAAGCTACTTGGACAACGGGAACAGAATTCCTGAAAGACAATCATATTTCTGAAGAATTCGGACGAGAAATAATCCAAGCTTCTACTCGAGTGAATTACGGACAAAATCTTCCACTGATTCACGGGCTTGAGACTATGGTTTGCATGGCAACTGACGGTGCCAAATCTGTTGAAGGCGGCAATTGGCAAATATTCCGCGGTATGATCGACGCCTCCAAGGCCGATCTGAAATTGAATACTACAGTGGAGGAAGTGCATCGCAACGATGACAACACATATACTCTTGTCTCTCAAGAACGTACAGAAAATGGCACACAACTTAATACTTTCGACCACGTAATCATTGCCAGCCCGCTCCAATTTACCGACATTACGATGTTCCCACCCCTCGATCAGGTTCCCAGTTCTGTTTCCTATGTTGAGCTTCATGTCACGTTGATCGCCTCTCCACGTAAAATCTCGCCACGATTCTTTCGGCTCCCAGGTAACAAAGACCCCGTTCCAGAGGTAATTCTCACTACCCTCCCAGAAGGCCTGGACCTAGGAGCTCGCCGGGACGGCGTGGGCCCCGCCGGATTTTGGAGTATCAGTACGATAATGCAAGCCAGGCCACCCGCGAGCTCGCCTACATCTCCTGACCATTATGTGTACAAGGTCTTCTCGCCACAGGCTTTATCATCACAATTTCTTGCAGATCTATTCGGCGTTCCAGAAATAGATCTGTACGACAAGAATGCTTCATCTAGCGCATCAGGCATTGGGCCCTTTGCAGCCAGCGAAATCTCTTGGCTTTATCAAAAGAAGTGGAACTCGTACCCCTACCTATACCCTCGCGTGACGTTTGAAGACATCAAATTGGCCCCGAATCTTTGGTACACTAGTTCGATAGAGAACTTCATTTCGACGATGGAGACAAGTTCCCTGGCAGGAATGAATGTTGCCGCACTGATTATGAGTGAATGGATCTCAGAGTTTGAAGTCAAGTTGAAGAAGTATGAAGAAAGCTCATAGTTGTAATCCCTTCTCCGTACGTTTCAAAATGGGGCTGCAAGACTGGTGCGTGCTGCACAGGGGGCGCCAGATAAGGGATGTATAGGGAGTAAACAACCGGTCTTCTAGAATAGCTGTAGGTTGATAGCTTAGTTTTGCTGGATGGATGCTTTCAGGAAGCGCTGTTGCCGGCCCCTTGGCAGAGCATATTGGATCGATGTTAGTTACCATTATTAAAGCACCTTGAGTCAAGACAATCTCAATAACGTTGGATCCATATTTATCACTACTGACTCTCGCAGCTCTATATGAGATGCACCATCTTCCCAGTAACTACTGGCTGTAGTGGGAGGCCACACGGTGACCTGTGGTGACCATGGGATCTGCGCAGCCAGGGCCACGAGAATCTTTGTAGGATTTTCCAGAAGCAACATAATCGCAAATCCCTGTCAGTTCACTTAACTACTAACTAACTAGTTATGCACCACATGGCAAACATACACTCGGAAGCCCGGAAACAAAAAAATGGAGCCTGCGAAAGGGCGGCATATCACCAGCCAAGCTGCTAGTTTGGCCTGCAAGCGACATGCCACGCTATCGGCGGTCTTGCCTGTCTTCGGTGTGCTTCTTCTTTTGTTGTTCCTTCTCGCCATTTGGCCTCGCCGTCTCCATCGATCCAGCAGGAGCAGCGGGGCCCAGCCCAAAAGCCTTGTTAAGCCGGCCACTGCGTGCTCTTGGAGGAGTTGACGCCCAATGACGAGTCTCTCTGTTTTCTCACGCGCACCCGGCGTCAAGCGGTGTGCGAGTCAAAGCCCACGACGGAGCTAGTTAGCTAGCCAGCCTCTTTTTTTTTTCTTTTCTTTTCTGCTTATGCGACGGCTTGAAGCGGACGGCTCGGAGCTTTTGGGGCCGGATAGCATTGACAATCCCGACAGCGGTGTGGACCAGGCTCAGTCGCGCGCGCAGGAGAGAGCTCCGACTCTAGTTAACTAGTTCGGCGTGAGCTTCTTATGCCAATACAAGCAGGTGCGCGGCGCTTGTGAAGACGTACCATTTGGGGCGGTGGCGCGCCTGTTGACGAAGCTCGAGGACCTCGATCAGGGTCGTGCCGTCGCGCCGCAGGGGCCGTCTGTAGTGTCTCGCTCGCCTGCCGCGATGCCATGCCCGCGCAACACGTAAGGGTGACTCGTTGGCGACGACGGCGCCCCCCTTGCCCGGCAGACTCGGACGCGGGGGGCCAAGGGGACGCGAGAAGTCAATTGTCGCCAGCCTGCATCCCTGCCTGCAGGGAGTGCAGCCCACCAGGTGGTGGAGGGCCATGCACACTACTTGCAGCAGCTCCGTTCGGACCAAAGGGGGGGCAAATTCCCGCTTGTTGTCATCATCCAGCCCAGCTTTTTGCGCGCGGCAGCTCCTCCATGGGATCTGGCGCCTGGCGGTCGATGGGATGCGCGGCGCTGGTGATCGTGGTGGACGTGCTCCTTTGGAAACGCGAGCAGCGCGCTTTGGGTGGTTGAGCGTCGCGGCAAGCAATCTCCTGGAACTGCCCACCCATGCAGCCGAAGGCGCAGCCAGTATGTATGCTTGCTGACCCGGCATCGTCCAGGCCGCCCCTGATCTGGTTAATGTCGCTGCGCGAAAAAAAAATAAAACTAAAGTAACTAACTAGTTAACTATTATTAAATGCTTCGAGTCCGGTGCCCAGAGCGGGACGGCAAGCAAAGAAATGGATAAATACATCGCTGTCCGCCCGCTAGCTGTGGGCCACCAGGCTTCGCAGTCCCTCGTCCTGATCTTCATCTCGCTCGAAGGGGACCCGCCATGCTAGCTACGACGAAGGCACTGTGCCTGCTGGCGCTGTGTCTGGCTGCCGACGGCGTCTACTCACTCGCTACACCTGGCACTCCGTCGAACCCGCCAAAGTACCTGGCAGCGGCCGCTCAGGCCCAAAAGCGCCGCAATGACGCGCTCAATGCGTTCATGCCGCTGCCTGCCATTGACCAGACGACGTTGGGCAATGACGTGCGCCCGTTCCTCACCAAGACCACCCTGTTGACGAAGGAGGAGCTCAAGATCATCAAGTCTGACGCCCCAACGCTGGTGAATAGAATGCGAAAACGGGAGCTGTCGTCGGTAGAGGTGACGACGGCATTCTGCAAGGCAACAGTGATCGCGCAGAACCTGGTAGGAATATGGACTCGCGAATGTCTTGACTGGCTGCTAACTGAGTGCGGAGACGAACTGCGTGACCGAGGTGCTTTTCGAAGAGGCGCTCCAACGAGCAAGATACCTCGATGACTTCCTCGCCCGGACTGGAAAGGTCACGGGTCCGCTCCATGGCCTGCCGATTTCTCTCAAGGATACTTTTGTCACGCCCTCTCGCCCATCCTCGATTGGCATAGCTGCCTATGCCAATGAGCCAACAACAACAAAGTCGGTGGTCGTGCAGATGATGGAGGACCTGGGGGCAATTTCATACGTCAAGACCAACGTTCCAACGGCCATGCTGATGGGTGAAACCATCAACAATGTCTGGGGCGAGACAATCAATCCAATTCATAAACAACTTACCCCTGGGGGCTCTTCCGGGGGCGAGGGTGCCCTCCTGGCGTTCCGTGGCTCGCCTCTGGGTATCGGTACAGACATTGGAGGTAGCATTCGTATTCCAGGTGCTTATGGCCATCTGTATGGCCTGAAGCCCTCTCTTGGGCGCCTTCCAACATGGGGGGCAAGGCCAGCAATTCAGGGCCAAGACATCATCTATTCCGTTTCTGGGCCTATGTCGTCTTCGCTCAAAAGCGTGAAGCTCTTTGCTGAGTCTTTTCTTTCCGAGGAAGCGGCTCCTTGGACCTTGGACCCCAAGATGGTACCAATTCCTTGGAGAAGGAACGTCATCAAACCTAGAGGCCGTAAACTCAAGTTTGGTCTCTTCCCCTGCAATGACGGTCTGGCCACCTGCCACCCTCCAGTGGAACGAGCGCTCAAGGTCACCGTGAAAGCGTTGAAGGACGCCGGACATGAAGTTGTTGATTGGTGAGTCTATTGAGAGTCTTGAACCGAAGGGTCGTGTAGGCCTAATCTATATACTATTATTAGGAAGCCTATAGATCCCGAGGGAGTTCAGAATATTTCGGCTCAGGTCTTCACGCTCACTGGCTCTGATGCCCTTCTCCCTGTCCTCCAGAAATTTGACGAACCTCTTATTGGAGTTTTGAAGCTTATTTTCCCGACCACGGGCGCTCCTCCGCCGGCGCTCACGGCCACGAAGCTCCGTGAGTTGGTCATCAAGCGAAACCAACTTCAGAAAGACCACCTAGATCAATGGATGAAGACTGGCGTCGATGGCGTCATCGCCCCTGTTGCCGTTACGACCCCAGCTCGCTTGAGGATGGACCCACTGAAGGCATACGGGGGATTTTCTGGGTTTGGCAATCTTATGGGTATGATGAACCATGAGCTGTAGAAAGTACAAACCTGGAAGTGAAGCTAACGGTTGTTGGGGACAGACCTTCCCGGATGCAGTTTTCCCGTCATGTACGCTGACAAGACCCTCGACCCCAAAAGAGGACCAGACTGGGTGCCCAATAGCCCCAGGGACTCCTTCATCCAGACTGACTATGATGCTGACCTATGGGACGGTGCTCCGGTTGGTCTGCAGGTGCTGGGCCCACGACTGGAGGAAGAAAAAGTACTGGAAATGACGGAGGTCATCGCCAACGCGATCAAGTTCAAGGACCGGGTGTATGGATAGAGTTGGCGCCAGGTCTTATTTCTAAACTTGTACATACAGAACTGCATTCCATAGAATAGTAATATCATAGATTTCCAAGTTATATAACCTACTCGCTGCGTCTTGACCAAGCATTTTGACAGACCCGTTTCAGCCATTCCTCTTGCGGCCTAGCGCGCCGCCAGAGTATCAATACGCGGCAATTACCGCCTTCCCCACGGGGCCACCAGACCGTGCCATGTGTCACGACGTATGGTCACGTAACGCCTGGCCCATGACCCGGGGTCCCCGCTGGTTCCCGTCTCGCGCATTCAGTTATTTATTATCTCGCATCTGCCAGTCACCACGGCCAGCATGTAGTTAGCCGTTGGCGTCTCGCACCACACCCCTTGTCAAAAGCACGCCCGTGCCCGATCGCCCGCCGGGGCTGAGCAGAGCTGCTGCTGCCTAGCGTATACCTTTTTTGCTGAGCTTGTCCACCCTATCCCCACCCCTTTGCGTCACAAGCTCCCATAGCTTAGCTCAAGTCTGAGCTCCTCTTCTTCTTCCATATGGTTGAATATGCAAATAGCTTCTCCCGCGTCCTAACGACCATGACGTCCTACCTACCCAACCCACGTTCCATATCCCGCCCTTTTTGGCGTCTCTGCGAGGCTTTCGTCCTGCAACAAGCGGATCTTGACGACGAGGCTGACGGCTCTGGTAGTGGTGCTGAGGACAGCGCCAACAGCCTTCATAATTATCTCTCCTCTTCTATGCTATCCCGTCTCCCCGAAGAAGACGCGGAGCCCATGTACTTCGACGACCCCGGCGCGTCATTCATAAACTTCAAGCCCAATGAGTCGCTCAAGATCACCTGCCTCACTATTGGCTCCCGCGGTGATGTCCAGCCTTATATTGCGTTGTGCAAAGGCCTCCTGGCCGACGGCCACCAGCCCAAGATTGCCACCCACCGTGAGTTCGAGGCGTGGGTGAGAAGTCATGGCATCGACTTTGCTCCCGTTGAAGGCGATCCCGCCGAACTTATGCGAATTTGCGTCGAACATGGAATGTTCACGTACTCCTTCCTAAGAGAAGCATCTCAGAAATTCCGAGGTTGGATAGATGAACTGTTATCGTCTGCCTGGCAGAGCTGTCAGGGGAGCGATGTTTTGATCGAATCCCCTAGTGCCATGGCCGGTATCCATGTCGCCGAGGCCCTCCGGATACCATATTTCCGTGCTTTCACTATGCCATGGACTCGAACAAAAGGCTATCCCCATGCTTTTGCTGTTCCAGACAGTAAATTGGGTGGAACGTACAACTATATGAGCTACGTCATGTTTGACAATTTGTTCTGGAAGGCTATTGCTGGACAGGTGAATACGTGGAGAAAACGAGAGTTAATGCTCGGAGATACAAGCCTGAGCAAAATGCAGCCAAGCAAGGTCCCTTTCCTATATAATTTCTCGCCATCCGTTGTTCCTCCGCCCCCGGATTACGGCGAATGGGTTCGTGTCACCGGCTATTGGTTCTTGGACGAAGCAAGTGACTGGACCCCACCGGAAAGCCTCGTGAGCTTTCTTGAGAAAGCTAGGGAAGACAATAAGAGGATTGTTTATATTGGCTTTGGCTCTATTGTCGTTTCGGACCCTGCAGCGTTGACCAGGACGGTTATCCAGGCCGTGCTCACAGCCGATGTTCGCTGTGTTCTCTCCAAAGGTTGGTCAGATAGACTTGGCAACCCTGCCAGCGCGAAGCCAGAGGTTCCCCTGCCCCCAGAAATACATCAGATCACCTCAGCACCGCATGATTGGCTTTTTACTCAAGTCGACGCGGTCGCTCATCATGGCGGTGCAGGCACCACTGGTGCTAGTCTTCGTGCTGGCGTTCCAACCATTATCAAACCATTTTTTGGCGACCAGTTCTTTTTTGGAACCAGAGTCGAGGACCTCGGCGTAGGCATCTGTCTCAGAAAACTCAATGTTACCAATTTCTCGAAAGCGCTATGGGACGCCACGAATTCTGACCGGATGATTGTGAAGGCGAAACTGCTCGGCGAAAAGATCCGAAAGGTATACCTGTCAATACTTCAATGCTTCGAGTATAAACTAAACATTGTAATTTGTAGGAAAATGGCGTCGAGACAGCCATACAAGCTCTATATCGTGATCTTGATTACGCCAGGACTCTTGTCCAGCGACGCTGGGCGCATCACCTAGCCCCCTCCACTTCTTCCAAGGAAGGAGAAGATCATAATGTGGAATTCGATCTCGAGGGCATTGAAGACACCTGGACTTTTATTGGTCACCCTGACAGAGAATTTGAATTTTCACCTCAAAGCAGCCATTCTGAAGGTGAGTTTGATTTACGGGCTAGTGCTGCTGCCGCGGCGGGTGTCTTCCAGTGCGGTCCCATCGAAGAGGAAGATGACGAGGAAGATGTTGCACGCTGATTTTAAGACTGTTCTTTTCTGGACAGCAGTGCAATTTATTGGAATTTTATGATATTTGATGACCTCGATGCTGAAGGGGAATTGGGATGCGGTTTTTTTCAACGGTCGGTCGGGCGCAAAGGTCATATATATCATCACATGCACATCAGTGCTCATTAACAAGGAGTTTTATTTCTTATTATATGCAAAGATGGAGCATTTTCGGGTATCGCATAATCTTTTTGTTCGTTTTCTTTTCTTCCCTCACCTCCGGCAACCTTGGTGTTTATTTTTGGGAAGTTGGTTTCTTCTTGTCAGATACTAGCGATGCTCCATTGCCCAGCGTGCTTTGTTTCCGTCCAATTTTTTTGATTTCTCTTTTTGGGTTTGGGATTTTTCTCCACTCATTCCTTCTATTTCCTCAGTACTTCTAGACTGGAGCGGGTCTGAAGAAAGATTTCTGGGGGGGTTTAGACATACGGAGTATCTCTAGCAAATAATGATCATCTCTTTGTCAGCTTCTCTAGCATGAATGGTCTAGAGGATTAAAAGACAAAATCCAACTAATTGTTTTTCAGCCGTCAAAGCTAGAGCGGATATCCTCATTGCAGTGTGGAAGGGACGGTCCCGTTATTTTCGAATCATTATTGATTAGAATACACTACTTGACATATCTGCCAAAATACTGCAGGTAAATTCCAATGCTTTTCTCGCCCTCTCCACAATTTTCATGATTCTCCTCCTGACTTGGTCGTCTTGTCCTCTTTCTCCTCTTTCCCTTCGCCTTTTTCTTTTCGTTTCTGCATCACGTCCCAATTATATACACGTGCAGTAGCTACCTCGAGAGTCTGTAGAATTGCACCCAAGATGTTAGCCACGGTTAGAAGTATAGAACATCGCAATAAGGCCAAGGGCCTCAAAGGCCAGACGAGTAGCAGTTTTGGCTTACCGTGACCTGCTCTCGTAAAAACTCCAGATCTTCCTCACAGTTGCTTAAGCTCACTTTGGCAGCCTTCAGCTTATCAGTAAGCAGCGTTTCTGCTTCGTCGATAGGGTAGGCCAGCATAACGTTGGCGCCCAACCAAAGGTATACTTCGTCCGTATCTTCAGGAGAAATTTCCGCGCGAGCGTATAAGGTGTCGTTGAGTTCGAACGCGGTTTGTAGAGGTGCAGTTGACCCAGCCTAACATCATCAAGTATGTTAGATCTCCCACTCTACTCCAAGACTCCCGGAACGGGGGCGGGTGATGACTGCGTGGCTATCCCCTACCTTTCGTCTGGCACTTAGGAACTTGACGGTGTCTAGAGTCTTGCTGATATCGGGAATTTTGTCCTTGAGGCCTTGGGCGCGCCGCCGGGTGTTGAGCTCCATGAATTGGTATTTCGATATCATCTCTTGAAACGAGCGGAGCGTGGGCTCGACGTCCGCGCGGGTGGACACGTAGTCGCTGACATCGTCGACGAAGGGCGCGATAGGGATGCCGCGGGCATTGGTAGTAGCGCTGGCTGAAGCGAGGGTTCTGAGAACCGGTCAGCTCTTATATCTGAATAGAGGGGTTGCTGGAGAAGTGGAAAAGACGTACTTCTCAGGCTGTTTTTCCGTCATGATGCCGGACGGGAGGATTCAAGAGCTTCAGGGTTTCATTATTTAAGTTGATTAAAGGTCTTCCGAGGGACCAAGCTGCCCTGGCGTAGCTATCACTTTTGTTGCGCGTTCTTTGATTTTCAGTGGTCTTTTTTGGATCATTTCCAAGGACGCTCACGATTCCGAAGATAATGTAAGCAAACATCTCAAAAGCCCAACTCTCAATATTTCAGGATTTCCTGACTGGCTATATCCATTACTTGAATTTACTTTTATGATTTATTTACTACTCAACACTTTTGACACAGCGCAGTGTTCTGTGGGGTGATGTCTGCAGCGATCTAAGCAAGACGTCTGAGCAACTGAAGCAAAGAATATGGTTCTCTTGATAATTACCCCTACAATCTTCTCTGCTCTGGAAAGCGTTCTTCCCTCTGTTCGCGATGAGCTCTCTCTGCCGGCCCCAGTCCTCAATGGAGCCATCTCTCATATTCAATTAATTGCTCTTTCACAAAAACTATCTTCTCATGGGAAGGCTCCTTCGGAAGGTGCTGAAAAGTCAAACAGCAAGCAACATTCTTCCAAAGATCAATTTGAGACGGCTTACTCTCTCAATTCCCTACTCTGTGGAACCAAGCTGTACATTTCCCCCCCTCCGCCCAAACCGACTCCTGTACGTTGCGCACAATACAATTCTAACCGTTTTATTATTACCACTTTGCTTACAATTTGAACCAGAACCCTGAATACCTTGCTCTGAAAGCTCGTCTCCAGGCAGAAGCGCAGGAGAAAGAATACAAATCTTATCTTCAACGGCCATCCGAATCCCAGTTAAAATGCCAACCTTCGGCAATCTTCTCGCCCAATGTAGGCTCGACACCACTCTATTCTCTACGCGCGGACGATACACTCGATGACCCGATCACACCATCACTAGTCCTCAATATTTTCGTATCCGTCCTCTTCACGGGTTTTGCTACATACTGGGCTCTCACAAATTTTCGGACTCCGCACTTTTTTATTACCATGTTAACATTCACCAAGAATAATATTAATCTTACACACGCACGTAATTACCCTGGTTCTGTATACTCACAACCTAGCAGAGTGTTTATTTCGCTCTTGGCGGCGCTGAGTGTTGGCGTGGCAGAGGTCGTTGTTTATGCAGCATATCTAAGGAAGGTCGATCGTGCGAAAAGAAAAGAAAAATCCATGGTAGAGAGAAAAATTGTTGTCGGTGAGGTTGGTGCAGCATTATTAAAGAAAGATATAGATGCTGAGCACGTAGAAATCGTGGGAGGAGTTGAAAAAGAGCAGATTTGGGGAAAGGGAGTGAACGGTGGTGCAAGGCGGAGAATAAGGGAAAAGTGGAATGACCAGCAGCATGTCGATTGAATTGCGCTTGTAGCTGCGGTAACAATAACTCAGTACTTCTTGTGGCTGATGGGTTCCTTCAGTTCGAGGGTTCTGCACTAACTACGATTCACCATAACGAACAAAAGATTCAGCCCAGTGGCCAGCTCACTAATAGCCTTGGAAACAATCGTCTAGCTTGACCTCGGTTCCAACAACAATTTGCCTTGTGGGGTGGTATTTTCAAATCCTTCTTTTCTGGAGAAAATCCGTTGGCCCCTTAACCAGGTCTCTTTTACCATCCCTTTGAACACCTTCCCCTGATACGGTGAACACTTGTTCCGAAATAACATCGTATCGGGCTCAAGAGTCCATTCCGCTTCGTCGTCGAATACGCAAACATCGGCGTCATATCCCACCGCTAAATCACCTTTTCTACCGTGCAATCCTACCTGTGCGGCCGTGTTAATACAACACCACTGTACGATGCTCTCAAGGAGTGGCCGGCCAGATGGAGCTGCTGATGTATCTGGGTAGCGGCGTTTGAGTTCCGTCCAGAGGATAGGGAGACCAAGGCCGACGGAAGATATTCCTCCCCAGGCAGCGAGAAAGTCCCCCGTTTTCTCTCCTTTGCTCTGTTGGCCTGTTGGTCCGGTGCAGGGTATGTGGCTGGGCAGCAATTTCAGATTAGGTGTACATGGTGAATGGTCAGATACGAGTGTCTTAATGACCCCGTCGACGCCCTGATCATTGAGTAATTCTGCCCACAGCTTTTCCTGGTTAGCCTGGTCACGGATGGGTGGGCAGCATTTATGCCTTGTGTCGCCATCAGGAATTTCTTCTGCCGCCATGGACAGGTAGTGGAAGCATGTTTCTGCCGTGATATTGGTGCCTTTTTGTCTGGCTTCGCGAATTAGGGGAATCGCCTGGGCAGCAGAGAGATGGACGATATGAAGAGGTAGATTCGGAGCAAGGTGGGCATGGCTAAGGATCTGTTCAATAGCGCATGTTTCGAATACTGGAGGACGGGAGTGCAGGAATGTTGAATACGATGTTGGGGGCTCCTTTGGTATAGGAAATTCACTGGCTCCCTCTTGAGTAGGTGGGAGCATTTCTGCATGGAACATCAGCGTTGTAGGCTCATCCGCCAGTTCCTGCATTGCCTGCTTGATTTCGTCCGCCGTGATGGCAGGAAATTCATCGACCTGTACCAGGCATTAGCTCTGCTCATAGACAAATTTGATATTTCCGCCAATTTCATAATTTGAATGCCAAATGCAACCAAACATACCCCACTATCAATTAGGAACCCTTTGAACCCCCTGACCCCTCTTCTAACCAGCTGTTGCAACTCCCCTCTACCAACATTGTCCGGCACAACGCCACCATAAAACCCTACGTCAACCCAAACCTGGCCATCCGCTGCGGCAATCTTTTTTTCTAACCCATCCACACTCGTTGTGGGCGGAATACTGTTTAGCGGCATATCAATCACGGTTGTAACCCCACCAAACGCAGCGGCTTGAGTGCCTGTATGAAACCCCTCCCATTCTGTGCGTCCTGGCTCATTGAGATGTACATGGGCATCCACAAGGCCTGGGAGAAGAATGTCAGGGGAAAAGTCTGTATAAGAAGTTCCCCGGGGGAATGTAGATTGGGGTAGAATGGAGTGATGCACGGAAGTGATCTTTCCAGAACTACGAGAAATTGTGATGGTAGATGGGATAAGACGACCGGAAACAAGGGTCCGGGAAGAGCAGAGAACTATCGTGTCAGATTCTCCGGAAGCCATTCTGTCACGCTTTGTGTTCGTTTGCCTGCTACGAGAAGAAATAGTAGTGACCGTTGGTGTACGGAGGATTCTGGACCGAGATCTACATAATCTTGGTGCGAAGAACTCTTGGCTACGCGTTTCTTACGTTAGGAAAAGAAAGAATAGAGATTGTGACACTACGGAGTACTATCAGATCATCAGATAAGACAAGACCACATTGTCGGACGACCACCTTATGAGGTGCATTCCACACACATTACCACATAACTACTAAAGATAACCTATCGTCTTGCGATTCGGTCAAGAGCAAGTTGCAATTAATATCGCTGATGCTGTTCCGCTTAAATACCCTTAACGTTTCCAATTATCTGCTGATGCACGATGCACCCGTCCTTTTTAAGTAGTTAGACTTTTACCGTTAGTGACCCGAATCCCTTGTCGAGGGAAAATCTCCCAGCAATACAGAATTTCTACTGCTTCACAGGCTAGCAATGAGCCTTTTACCCCAGAAACGATACTCAAAAGTGATTCCGGGCAGACTTACAAAATTGAAAATATTCTCACTGACCGGAGAAACCCTCTGCTATGCGTATATCGTGCAAGGTAGGTTATATTCAACTGAGATATCTATGGTTGGGCCTTGTTGCTAATCACAGAGCTGGCGGGAAGTTCTGAGGGGAAAAGCTACATTGTGAAGAATATGATTCCGGGCGAGTTTGAGTACCAGCTGGATTTGCAGAAGCAACTGTCTTCTTGCCCAAATGTGCGAGCAGTAGTTGATACTATCAAAGCACCCCAGTTGTTTATCTTTCCATTTCTGGCCGGGGACTTGCTTCGTTTGAGCCAGAAACCTCTATCCACAGAGGCAAGGAGCAACATTCTTCAAAGTGCTTTGCATGGCCTTGCTGATATGCATGATAGAGATATTCTCCATAATGGGATGTTTGAGCACTCCAGAAGTCTACTCACACCACAATACTGACTGTTAATAGACATAAAACCAAACAATATCCTCGTGGACTACGATGAAAGTGCTGAGGGTCTTGTGCGCACCAAAAGCGTTCAGATCTCAGACCTCGAGGATACAGTCATTGTACCGCCTGGGAAATGGCTGAGAGGCCCCCTTTGTGGAAATGCAATCTGGAGAAGTCCTGAAAGTTGGTGCCGATCCCGCCAGAACCAGGCCTCAGATGTTTTCTCCTTTGGAATTGTGGTATGGCTGTTTTTCCCACCAGCTTTGTTGTTTCAAATTACTAATAATAACTATAGATGATCTATGTTATGGTCAATGAGATGGTTTTTCGTGTTAGTGATAATGAGTTAGAGGCTGCGGATTCATGGCGCTATGTCCTCCGCCGACACATATCCTATTTTGCAGATGAAGACAGCTTCAATGGGCTCCTTCAACATATAGGAAAAGAAAACATCTTTTATGAACGGCTGGTAGCCCTCGCAAACAGTTTTACTCCAGGGAATTTTAGACAGCCTTTCAAGTCTTGGGATTATGTGGACCCAAGTTTTAGGGACCTAGTAGGGAAAATGACAAATCTGGACCCAACAAGAAGGATTACTGCGAGAGAGGCTCTTCAGCACTGCTGGTTCGGCCAGGTTAGTTAGAGTTGTGATTAATAAGCAATCAACATCTGGAAACTCTAAACTTTAACTGTAATATTGTCATGGCCCTTCTGGTATGCCGTAGTTAACTACTCCGTACTCCGTACTCCACAGCTCACTATGACACATGAATGAACCCCTGGGCCTTCAACTAACTACGGCAGACGAGAAAGACCAAACCAAAACAACATCGTGTTCAAAACGCGGAGGACAAGAAACTCAGATTGGGGTTTCTGGGGAATTGGGCTCCAACTGTACTCCGTAACGCATTGCGTCTATAATGAAGTGGTGGCTTTTTATATCAAAATCTGTGAAGACTATGTTTATTTGATCTTTCAATATCTCCATGCATGCAAGCTCCAGAGAGCTCGAATAGAACCTCACAGCATTTTTGGCTAGCTCAGGCTCTATGCCATGATGCAGTTCTTTGATTCTTTATTATCATGGCGCGCCGGCCTAATGGTTGGCGCTGTCCTTCTCTCTCCAGCGGCCCATGCGAGTCCTGCGGTGAACGTCGCCTTGAGCGCTTCGTTTAGCTCTCCGCCATATTTACTGGAACTACTGTAGGCAACTGTTCCCGGGTTACTAACCTATTTCTTTAAGAGAAATAAGAGATAGGTATATTTAGAAGGGAAAATATCTAACTGATGACAGAGAGACAGCTGCCGAAGAAAATACCACTTGTTACTTCCCGCTCCTCGATCGTGTTGCGGACGGAATTTTTGCGGAAGCTCAAACGGAGAAGGATTTATATAATGAGTTCCTTCGTGTATTGCAAGATGAAGGGCATGTTGCTTCTTTGGATGCGCTGTCGTCATTTAAGCTTGCCATGTCGCTCCGCTCAACGGCACCGCGAATACAGGCGCACTACCAGTACTATAATACCTCTGTAGAGCCCTCTATGATGGCTGCTCAGGATGCTGTTTGTCAGGTCTGGGCGCACTATTCCGGGCAGCAATATTGTTCTCCTAGTTTGGAACATGCGCAACAAGGTGTTTTAGGCAATCAGTATGTGGGCCTGGAAACCCTATCAATATTTATTCTCCATAGATCTTAACACAATGTCAGGAACGAACGCCTTTTACCCTTTGATCGAGTTCTCGGCACCGGAGATGAATCTCTTGTCGTGTACGCTGATATCTCTGCGCCAATGTTTGGTGAATTCCACAAGGAACTGAGCAGACGGGCTATGAAAGGAGAATTTTCGTACAAAGTACGATACCGCCCTTCTTCAGCTGGGCCAAGCGGTCCACTTTTTGTCAGCGGATATGGCGTTCAACTTGCTCTGAAAAAAACAGACTATATTGTGATGGATGATCGTGGCGCAGACCTTCCTGGCTCGGGTTCAAATTCAGCTTCAGAAAACTCCAAATCTACAAAAGTGCCGATAAAGAGTTTAGAGGACGTGCCTCTAGAAGATTTGAAACCGTTGTCTGCGGCTGAAGTATCCACGCTTGGAGTCAATGCGGCTAGTTTTGTAATGAATAGTGAAAACCCCTTTGGGTCACTGTTGAAGCTATCTCAAGATTTTCCCCGGCACTCCTCTGCCGTTACTAATCTGAATGTTTCAGCTGAATTCCTTGAGGAATGGGAGTTTAACAAGGCACACATGTTTCCCTCCGGGTACAATGTCATGTGGGTTAACGGTGTCCAAATTAATTCACGCCTCGTCAATGGATTCTCCTTGTTGACTCATTTGCGCAACGAGCGAAGATTGATTAAGAAATTCCAGGAGGTCGGCTTATCTGCAGCTGACACTGTTAATTTGCTGTCCGATTCAACTATCAACTCCCATGCCTCGGACGCCACTTCGAGATATGATTATAGGGACGAGACTGAGGGCAACGGTGTTATCATCTGGCTTAACAATGTGGAGAAAGACAAGCGATATGAAGATTGGCCCCGCGATGTGTCTGCGGTACGTTGATTTTTTTTGCTCTCCTGGATATATTCTAACCTTTGGTAGCTCCTTCAACAACTCTACCCTGGCCAATTCCCCCAAGTTCGCCGTGATATTCATTATGTAGTCATACCATTAAATTTGGCTGATCTAATGGACATCAATATGCTCGCGCGTCAACTTCAAATGTTCATCACCCGAAAGATACCTGTTAACTTTGGATTTGTTCCAATGGTAACTGGCAAAGAATCACTGGAGCAATTCAAATTGGGGTCCTACTTATATCAGACGTATGGCCTAAAAACGCTCATGAGGTACTTTGAAGCCTTAGGCGAAAGCAAACAACAGTTGGTTTCACCTGACAAGAGCGCGTTCGATGCCGCAGTTCAGGACCGGGAGCCTCGCCCTGAACAAACTGTATTGACATTCGAAGAGATTTTAAGTTCAGATCAATTTGAACATGTTCTAACTAAAACTAACGCCTACCTCCAAAGACTATCTATTGATAAGAACGATGCACCCTTTTTTGCCAATGGAGCTATTCTTTCCCGAGACGAGAACTGGATTCAACTACTAATTTCTAGATTAGCCCAAGATCTTGAGGAGATTCAACAGGCTGTTATGACGGGTATCTATGATAATGATTTTTGGTTTCCCAATCACTATCTCGATGGCGCAATCTTAACCCGTAACTCATTGATCATTCCAGAAGATCCAAGCGAAATTCAAATGCAAGATCTAACTACCGTGTATAAGAAACACCAATCTGCGTTTGATACAATACCTCGAATTCCTGCATCGGCTGATTCGAAGTTGGAGAGTTGGGGAAGTTTCATGCTAATTGCGGACCTTGACAACAAATATGTGTTAAAACAATGCCGAACGTTGCTTGAGTTTCGTGAGAAACATCCCGAGCTTGAAATTTTCCTTCTTCATCATTCTGGCTCAAACTCTTCCGGGACCGTTTCGACTAAACTTGCCGAGCTTTCAAGGAGTGGTCGAGACACTGATGTTCATTCCGTTCAAGGCATTTTGCCCCTGGATTCTGAGGAATTGCTACAGCAAGCTCCCGAGACAGTGTCGCCCAATACTGGGTTTGAATCTCTTTCCTCTTTGGCCAAAGATTTGGGAGCAAATACTACTAGCATCACAATTATATTTAATGGAAGACTTGTTGGACCCATTACAACAAGCCTCTCCCTGCAGGAGCTAGATCAGCTTTTGGTGTATGAGCAGCGAAGGCGTTCACAACCTCTTGTGAAAGCTATCTCTGCTCTCGAGCTGGAGGATAAGATCAAAGACCCATTTGCCCTTGCAAGACTAGTATCTCTGACCACTCGTGCTACAAAATCAGATATTTCAGAAGATATATATGACAAGGGCCCAGTTCTGCGCACAGGTGTTTTTAGCAAATGGAAGAATACCCATACCGGTTTCACAATCTCCAGCGCTGAAGATGCTACCATTCAAATCGTTGCCACTATTGACCCGGCTTCAGAAGGCGCCCAGAGTTTTGCGCCTATCCTAAAAGTGCTGTCCAACCTCCACGGGGTAGCAGTCAAAGTCTTCCTTAGTCCAGCTACCACCCTCAAGGAGTTGCCTGTAAAGAGATTTTATCGACAAGTTCTTGATTCGGAACCATTGTTCAACGCCGATGGTTCGTTAAAAAGACCCGGAGCTTCTTTCGAAGGGTTACCTAGAGAAGCACTCCTGACGCTGGGGATGGATGTGCCTCCGTCTTGGCTGGTTGCACCGAAAGAGTCCGTTTTCGATCTCGATAACATTAAACTAAGTTCGTTGAAGGAGACTGTCAATGTGGACGCGATATACGAGCTGGAACACATCTTGATCGAGGGGCACTCACGAGATATGTCGAACGGAAGCCCCCCACGGGGGGTTCAGCTTCTTCTCGGCACGGAAAGAAACCCGCATTTTATTGATACGATTGTCATGGCCAACCTAGGGTACTTTCAGTTCAAAGCCCAACCCGGATATTGGCAAATCACCCTGAAGCCAGGGTCCAGTGAACGGATTTTCAAACTGGATAGCGCTGGCAGTATGGGATACATTCCTACTGCAGGCGACGAAACTGGCGAGGTTGCCCTGTTATCATTCCAAGGAACCACGCTGTTCCCGCGACTATCGCGCAAACCTGGACACGAACAAGATGATGTCCTGGATCCTGCAGCCAAGCCGGGCTCGGCGAAAGATTACATTGCTAAAGGAGTCAGCTTTGCTTCAGGGATTTTCTCCGGTGTAACCAAGTTGACTCGGGATAAGCAGGCTGATATAAACATTTTCTCCGTCGCGAGTGGACATCTATACGAGCGAATGCTGAATATCATGATGGTGTCGGTGATGCGCCACACGAAACACTCCGTCAAATTTTGGTTCATTGAACAATTTTTGTCCCCGTCCTTTAAATCTTTCCTTCCTCACTTGGCGAGAGAATATGGCTTTTCGTATGAAATGGTGACTTACAAATGGCCGCACTGGCTACGAGCTCAGAAAGAAAAACAGCGAGAGATCTGGGGTTACAAGATCTTATTCTTGGACGTTCTTTTCCCCCTATCCCTGGATAAAGTGATCTTCGTGGACGCTGATCAGATTGTCCGCACCGATATGTACGACCTTATTACAATGGATCTTGGCGATGCACCTTACGGCTTCACGCCGATGTGTGATTCTCGGGCTGAAATAGAAGGCTTCCGCTTCTGGAAACAAGGGTATTGGAAGAAGTTTTTAGAAGGGTTGCCCTATCACATCTCTGCACTTTACGTCGTGGATCTCAATCGTTTTAGGCAGATCGCGGCTGGCGACAGGCTTCGGGGACAATACCAGGCCTTATCCGCCGATCCAAACAGCCTGTCTAATCTTGACCAAGACCTGCCTAATCATATGCAACATACAATTCCAATTAAAAGTTTGCCTCAGGACTGGCTATGGTGTGAAACTTGGTGCTCAGATGACTCTTTAAAGACGGCAAAGACCATTGACCTGTGTAATAACCCGATGACCAAAGAACCGAAATTGGACCGTGCAAGACGACAAGTGCCTGAGTGGACAGCGTATGATGATGAGATTGCAGCCCTAGGAAGGAAGGTTGCAGGTCTGCAGCAACAGGCAGACACCGAAAAGGATGGACAGAAGCCGTTGAGCAAGGATGAGCTGTAAGAATAACAAACTGGCGTTCACGGGACATGTACGCATGTAAAGTAAACATGGGCTAGGCGGCTTGCAATTCTAGAACAACAGGAGATCCATCAGCTTATTCAGGGATTCTTCTCCTCGCGGCCTTGCCGTGCCAATGCTCCGATCTTCGATCAAACGTTTACATTATGTCCGGCTCTCAGACCCCCCTGACAGGGCGAGCCGTTCTCAGCCCCTGTCTTGCGGGATATGCGTGCGCATTCATACGAGAGCATCGGGGTCTGTGGCGGCTTGGGGCACTGTGTAAGTTTAGGTAAGCCATCGGCGGTCTCCGTAAGTAGTGTTTGGGCACCATAGCCTGATGCACTGCCCAGAGCTGAATCGTACTCCGTGTTCTCGAGAAAAATAAGTTCGTCTTTAAATATGATATTGCTAAACCTAGATGCAAACATGGCAAACCGCACTCGTATATGCATTACATTCTATACCAACAGTATGAGTATTACTCATCCGTATTTTATACGCCAAAAATTCAATTATGAGACTAATGTGACTGGCTGACATAAGCCATGAGCCAGGCCCGGCTGAACCTCAACGAGTTGATGCAAAGATTGTAGATGGCCAACGGGATATTGAGAACCATAGACCGCACAGTTTTCCGGGCCATTCCACTTCCTTTGACGGAAATTGCTTCCAGTGGCTTGTCTTGGCGGACCACCACCCGTTCCAATTCTTCTTTTGAAGCTTGTTTGGGGGCCGGCGCCGGCGCCGGTGGTGGAACAGGTCTGTAAAGGGAGTAAAAGCCGCCTTTCCCTTCCGCAAGGTCACCCTCCACCCAGGCTCCGGTATATCGTGGGGTCGACAATGCGTCTGTGATGGCTTTCGATTTTGTAACATAGCTAACTGGCTCGCCTGGGAATGTGGCGACGCAGTTGTGCCACGGGGTTGGGATGTGCAAAAGATCGGCAGATGAGGCTTCCCCATCACCTTTATCGAGGCTATGTGTGGCGCGGTATATTTTGGTGTCAAATAGCCGGATACCAAACTTTGGACCAGAATTGTTGTGTGCATGGATCGAGAGCCGAACATGATCTGGACACATCAGTTCGACGAGATTGGAATAGGCTTGATTTCGCAGAATCATTTCGAAAGAAACTTTGGTCGCCAACTTTTTTCTTTGAGACCGCGAGAGTGCCTGGGTGAGCGGATGCAAGTCAAGATCCTCAAGCATAAACCGTGAAAAGCCACGGTATAACGCTAGAATGGAGGCATCTTGGGAGTTGATTCGTGCCCTCAGCCCGGCCTCGTTAGGCTGACAGCCGGCCATCAGGATGCGGCGGCAGAGTTCCGCATCATCTTTCAGAGTGGTTGCAATATGATGATTCAGATTTGGAATTCCTAGCTTTTCATAGCTGGGAACATCGCTGACGTCGAGGTCGAACATGTCAACCAGGGATCGAAAACGCACCCGATCTCTAGGGCCTTTGAAAGATGAACTGATGGCGTTATTAAGTGTCTTCAGGTGGGCGCCATAGTCGTCTACAGTCTGGTCATCAACCCCGACTTTGAAACTATGTCAGCTTGCTACTCCCATAAGCGAGATTCGACAGGCTTACTGCAGTCGCTGAACACATGTCCATCGCTGATGATCCAGACTTGAGCCCCTGGCTTGTATATCGTCTCAACTTTTTGTGCAAATTCGTGCAGTCTCCTCAGCGCTATTTCCTCGCCTTTGTCGGGGAGGGTTGTCGCAACCTTTTCCGGGTTGGATGACTTGCATGGGAATGCAGGAAGACACAACTCGAGCCGGAGGTTGCGAGAGGTATAATACCGCACTTTGGAAGTGAAATATTCCCGGCCTTTGATCTCCCACTGGTCGTTCGGCACCTGATATCGCAGTTGTTTATCGAATAGATCTACGATTGCTTGGGTGACTGAGTTGTTTTCGGCTGACGATTCGAGAGAACCCAGCTGCATTTGAGTCAGGATAAGAGCCGAGAAGAATTTATCGAAGTCCATGGAGCTTTTCCGGGACATCTTTTTGAGGATTAATCCCGCAACTTCATTTTGGTTTTGTTTTTGTATCTCATAGATTTCTAGGTTGCCAATCTCAGGGTCGGGATCACTCATTTCAAGACGTGATAGTGCATGGCTTTTGGACTGGTGCAAAGGCTCCGAACTTCCTTTCAGGACTGTGGTACGGATCGTGGGCCAGGACGAGCTGACCCATTGGCAATTTTTCCCGTGGCAGCGGATAAGATCGCCGTCACGGCGGATGTATACCGCAAGACTGCGGTGGTAGATGGAGGCTCCGTCGTTTGAAAAATCCATGGTGGTTTTTTGAAAAGAAAGAGCAAAGTGATGGACTCTGTAGGTGATGAGGGCCGCGGCAGGTATGGAGGGACGAAATGCCACGGGTGAAATACTCCCACGGCTATATGCTTTCGAAGCTGATAGCTGAAGACATAATGTCCGCCAAGTCTATATTTAGCGGCGGAATATCCGGACAGGCCTGCCGGCCTTACAGATCTTTCATGTGAGCTAGATGACTCCCAGGGCTGTCATTTGCATTTCCGCTGGCGCGATGTATACAGGCCGGCATCCTTGATCGAGACACTCGAGGGTCCAACCCAAAGCGGCCTACCGATTGGCCCGGGCAATGGAAAACTGGCTCGTATCCAAAACGAGATGTGGTTTGGCCCAAAGGTGTCACAGCCAGATCCTGCAAACAACCAAGCTTTCTTCCCGACACGGGCTCGACGATACCAGGCTGCGAAATTAGCGAATGGCATCGGACCGGCCTAGGAAACGCTCGGCGAACCGTATTTAACATTGCGGCGAAGCATTTATTTTTTTAGCCCCACCCACATGAAGGGATGCGACCTTGTCGATGATGTTATTTGCCTGGTCGAGGGGTCTCAACGGCTTGAGCTGCGAGATATGGTCGAAGGGCGCGATTCCGTCTGGTAGTTAGTTCTTCTGGCCTCGAGCATCGTCCCTACTCCGGCTAGTGGAGTGCCTCCCCTCCCCTTGCTCTACTCGACCAACAGAGGAAGATCATCAGCGCATCTCTGCTGGGCCCGCGATGTTTCTGCATTTTCTTACTGCGTCCGTCCCCAGGGTCGTCGTGGCAGCGGTCGCGCTGCTGACGCTGACGCTTTGCTGGATACTGCTGCCACCTCGGTACCCGCGGGGCATTCCGTCCGTCCCGTTCTGGGTGACATTACTTCCGCTGTTCCTGGACGTAGACCAGGAAGATACCTACCGCAAGTATATCGAAAAGCCCCTGCTTAAGCACGGAGTGATCAAAATTTTCTTCGGCGGACAATGGAACCTCATGGTGCAGAGGTCGAGCTACGTGGCGGAAGTTTTCAAAAATGAAGAGGTCTACCAGAAGAGCGGAAACCAAAAGAAGATACCCCACAGCGTTCTCGCAGAGCTTCTGGGTATGTGAATACCTCCTTCTTGCGACTGCAATTGAATTGATCTCATGCCATACTAGGAGATAATATTATTTCAGCACGAGATGACACCTGGCGACTCTACCGAACTATCATCAAGCCGGGGCTCCAGGGGGTCTTTGAGACCGACCCCATAGCGGACAACGCCGAAAAGCTCTGTGAGCTGCTAGCAGATGCACAGAAAGCCAAAGGAAGCCAAGGAGTAACGGTACAAGAATACGTCCAATGCTATACAACGGCAAACCTGTCTAAGACGGTGCTTCAAACTGAGATCAAGGTCAGCGCGCTTCTCATGCCACTACGACGTCTAGAACACTAACCGGACGGTGTAGTCCCTGACGCAAAAAGACGAACCTCTTACGAAGTTGCAGCTAGAAGTCAAGAAGGAGATCTTCAAGCCCATTTTCATGAACTTTCCAGTTCTAGATCGACTAGGCGTGTTCATCCCAAGCCGCTTGCGTGCGCGGGAGTTAGTACAAAGGTTCTCCGACGAGCTGGAGTCGCGGGTCCTCCAGAGCCACAGAAGGATGCATGGCGCGCCCGTGTCGGAAAATGTTGCCACGCGGTTGATTGCAGCTAGAGACAGTGGGACGTTGACGCAGCAGCAATTTCGGGACAATCTGAACGTGACGTTCGTTGCGGGCCAGGAAAACCCACAGCTCCTTTTGATTTCGATACTGTACCTCTTGGGGAAATATCCAGTGAGTAGACCACCCCGCCCAAGTCTGAGATAGTGCTCCTCGCTGAAGGAATGGTAGGCGGTCCAGAGCCGGCTGAGGGATGAAGTCGAGGGCTGCGGAGCTGACCGACCCTCACACGCTATTTTGCGAGAGTTACCGTATCTCACGTCGGTGATTTACGAAAGTCTGCGACTGTTTCCCCCGATTTCACAGCTGATCAACCGGTGCGTCGCGCAGCCAGTGTCTCTTGGGAACGAGCACTTCATCCCGCCGGGGACGTATGTGGGCTACAACTGCTATGCCACCAATCGCGACCCTCAGACGTGGGGGAAGAGCGCCGACGAGTTCCGGCCGGAGCGGTGGGGGGCGACGAACAAAGAGATCTCGACGCGATACCGGCATTCACGAGCGCGGGCGGAGTTTATTTCGTTCCACGGCGGCAGCCGGGCGTGTTTGGGGGAAAACTTTGCGCTGCTGGAGATGCGCATTTCGCTGTTCATGCTGGTGAAGCGGTTCAGCTGGAGGCTCGACCCCAGCTGGCGGGATCGGAAGACCCCTGTAAGTGGCTGCCCCGTCTAAGGAAACAGGTTCTTCCAGGCTGCAAGCAAGCAAGCGAGGAAGGAAGAAGAATAATCATAATAACAACAATTGCTAACGTGGAGCGGTGGGCGGCTATACAGGCAGGACCATTGTTCCCACGCGGACTGCGACTGATATTTACTAAGATGAATATGAACGGCGCGAGGATGGCAGGCGGGCTCGGGCGCGAGGCAGATTGAGCAGATAACTAGTTATGCTTGCTTTGGCCGGACTCCGGCGGCAGGGAGCGCGGTAAAAGAACCTAGCAAGCGATGTCTCACGCGATGATGCCTGGAGCGCGCGGGCTCGCGGTGGGAAGCGGTGGAGAGTGTGTGGGATGGGCAGCCTACCTCGTCAGTAGAGTAACTAGGTAGCCAGGTAGTTAGTCGGCCGCTCAGCAGAGTCACTAACTAACTGACTACGCGAACTACCCGCCCCAGTGCGCCGTGTGCTTCGTCCTGTTAGTTTACTTAGCTGGCTGGCTAGTCAGTGAGTTCGCTGGCCAACTAATTCCTGAGTTGTTAGTGCTCACGAGGGCGTCGCGATGACGAGCAGCAGCGCAGAGTTTCGCCTCCAGCCCAGCCCAGCGGCTTGCGGGCGGGCTCCACGGCAGCACTCGCGCGCGCGACCAAGCTAACTAACTACTGTACATCGCTAGCTTGGCCCGAGAAAAGCCAAGTTGCTAGCCCGCGAAGCCTGATTCAACCTCGCGCCGATACGACCTCCAGCAGCAGCATGTCTGTCTCTGCTCCCGAGTTTCTGCAAGAAGCGGGTGGGGGGGGGGGGTTGGCCGCTCAGCTGGCGGATGATCACCGCCACGCTTACGGGCGCCCGTGGCGGATCGGCCGGCGGGAGAGCGCCCAGCCCTGGCCCTGCGGTGGTGGTGCGATGGGGGGGGGAGGGCCGGGCACACCCAGAGAGAGACGCCCAGGCGAAGCAAAGACAGCCAAGAGACGCGGCGGGCCTGGCTTGTTATTTCAAAGCCGGCGGCGGGGACAGGCATTTACGAGCTGATCGGCACGCCGAAAAGAAAGAAAGAAAAAAAAAAAGATTAAAGGGCAAGAAACGCAGAAACGGCCAAAAAAAATAAGTGACCTGCATTACCAGGGGATGGGAAGGCCAAGCCGGAAAAGAGAATAACAGAGTCGGTCGGGGCTGGGGCTGCCTATACCGAGTACGGGACACCCGGGGCTTGACTCGCAGAGTAAGCCCGTAGCAGTTTACGGGTGATACGATGGATGGATGAATGGATGGCTGCTACGCTGGCTGTGAGAGGGCCGAAGGATGCTACGCCGTATGGACGAAGAGTAATAATAATAATAATAATAATCATGATGATAAATGGTGCGCGCGCGCAGGAACAAACACGAGCCGACGGCAGGAATGGGCTAGAGCGCGGCTGGCCAGCCTGGCTTATTATTATTCTGATTGACTCGGAGGTGAGTGAACGAAGTAACCATCGGCGCAAGCTCGCCCGGCTCGTCTTCCAGGGCCGAAAGGATCTGATTGTTAGTCAGGAGCTCGCATCGTCGTATCTCAGTATCCACCGGGTTCCTTGATGTCTTGCCTCGCTTGTTTTTTGTTTCTTGTCACTTGCTTTTTGATTATTATTATTATGTGGTACGGAGTACAGAGTAGTATATTTTTCTTTCTTCCTTCCGGCTTTTGACCTAATGACTAGCTAGTGCACCCCCTCCCCTCCCCCCCTTTTTTCTTACGATTGCTCCTCGGCGTCGTCGAGGTCCAGCGGCACCTTGGCGTCCTCGATGCCCTTGGGGATGTCCACCCAGATGTAGAGCAGGATGGAGACGGTGATGAGCAGCACGTTGGCCAGCATGGGGAAGCGCAGGTTGCGGGTGCGGTTCTGGATGACGCCCTGCACCAGCGGGTTGATCCAGCCGGTGGCCAGGTCGAGGGTGAGCTCGAGGCCGAAGAACTGGGCCTCGGAGCCCTCGGGGATGAGGGTGGCGTAGACGCCGCGGTTGTACGAGCGCAGGGCGCTGCTGGTGCTCATGAACAGCACCTGCTCGACCCAGAACTCGGCGTGGTGCTTGTAGCCGATGGGCACGCGCGCGCTGATGCCCAGGCAGCCCCAGAAGATGCACAGGAAGTTGACGGCCAGGAAGCCGTACGCCCAGCGCTTGATGGGCGCCGTGACACGCGGGAACGCCAGCAGGAAGCCCAGGCTGCCCATGCACGCGAAGATGATGTTGGTGAACGACCACACCTGGTACACGCCCGACCCGTTGTTGATGCCCGTGACCTGCAGGAAGAGCGCCTGGATCAGGCCCAGGTAGTTGGAGTACGCCGTGTACCACAGCACCCACGCCACGCACAGCTTGAAGGCCTCCGGGTAGCGGCCGATGGACGTCACCAGGCGCCACCAGTTGCGCCCGGACAGCAGCAGCAGGTTGCGCCCGCGCTTGGGCCGCGGCTTGCCCTGCACCGACGGCAGCATGGACAGGCCGACGACGGCGAAGACGACTGCGCGTGTCAGTATCAATCATAATATAATATAAGGGGTTATACATACTCGTCAGGCAGCCGGCGATGGTGATGGCCAGCAGGTAGTTGTGGTAGCCGATCTTGACGTACGAGCCGCGGGCGTACACGAGGATGACGCCGACGAGCAGGGCGGTCAGGCCGCCGACGTTGCCGGCGACGAGGGCCAGCACGCTGACGGTGAAGCCCTTGACCCAGGTGCGCTTCTCCTGCGAGGCGGGGCCGGGCTCGGCGACGGCGACGGCGGCGGCGACGTCGCGGCCGGGCAGGAGGCTGCGGAAGCCGCCGACGGAGCGCATGAAGATGGGGATGTACGAGGCCTCGATGACCACGTACACGCCCTGCACGGTGGTGATGCACACGTACAGCACCGACAGCGCCGTCAGGTGGCTGTAGTTGGCCTGCGTGAGGCCGGCGAAGGGCACCGCGAGCGCGCCGAACAGCACGATGGCCAGCATCAGCATGGTCTTGCGGTAGTCTGGGGATAGAAACCAGTTAAGACGGTAGAGTTAAAGAGTTAGAGGGATACAGCCTACGCGAGTAGTCGGCGATGCCGGAGATGAAGATGGTGATGACGCCCTCGAGGGCGCGGCCGATGGCGCGCAGGTACAGGCTGCACGGTCAGTACTCAGTAAGTCGAGAAGGATAATATATATATATATATATATATATATATATATATATATATATACAACGGACGTACAGATAGCTGACATAGTCGACCTCGCCGGCGCCGAAGCGCACGGAGCAGGGCACGTTGCTGCCGCGGCGCGGGCACGGCTTGTTGGAGCCGGGCTGGCGGCCGACGATGTTGGCGGCGCTCTGGATGGCGGCGGAGACGTAGTTGAACACCATGGAGGCAGTCGGGCCGGTCTGCCGGTCGGTCAGTCAGTCAGTCAGTCAAGCGGTCCGAGTATATCTATCTCACGGAGTAGCACAGGATGAGAAACGCCCACAGCGCCTTGCGCGTGCTCAGAGCGGCCACGGCGGGCGCGGGCTCGAGTGGCTGCTGCTGCTGCTGCTGCTGCTCATCGTCGGACGACGAGCCACGCGTGGCCTCGACGTCCTTGGGCGTAGCAGTGGCGGTCTTGTCCTGGGGATCGCTGGTCGTGCGGGTCATGGCGGGCAGAGCTGAGGGAGCAGCAGTGACAACAGCAGCGGCGGCGGCAGCATGGCGGCCGGGCGTCTGATATAACTACATTCATACCGGTTAGCATAGCTGGCTGGCTGCGTGAGGCCTGAGAGCGCTGGGCGCCGCGCCGGGCGGGCTGCGCACGATTGAGCAGATTTCCGTTGGCCGGCGAAGCTTCTCTGGGATCAAGCTCGCGTTGAGTTAACTAGTTAACTAGTTACTGGCGGCCGGTGAGCCGTTGGAGATCTGGGTCGGGCTTGTTCTTGTTCTTGTTCTTGTTCTTGGTCGGTTCTGGTCGGGTCTCGTCGTATCCTTTAACTGTAGTTACAGCTGGTGAACTTAGTTAACTAGTTACCTGGCTGTGCTCCGTCGCCCGCTGCCCGGCTCAGCCGTGCCTTGCTGCGTGCGGCCGCCGCTGGCTCGCCCGCTCGTGTCGGCCCTATAAGCCTGCCCGCCTGCTTCTCGCTCGCTCGCCTGCGTTCTCTCCAAGTCAGTTATCTGTCTGTCTGTCTGTCTGTATGTCTCTCTGCCTGCCCGCCATGGCCTCTCGCCCGCCCTCTCCGCCCGCCTCTCCGCCGCCCGACACCACCACCACCGCACCCCCCGCCGATGTCGAAGCGCAGCCCAAGCCGCCGCCGCCGCCCTACACGGCCTTCCCGCCCGCGCGCCGCCATTTCATCCTGGCCGTCGTGACCGTCGCGGGTTTCCTGGGCCCGCTGGCCGGCAATATCTACCTGCCCGCGCTGCCCGTGCTGGCCCGCCACTTCGGCGTCAGCGCGTCCGCCATCAATGCCACCGTCTCCGTCTTCATGGTGGTCTTTGCCTTTGCCGTGCGTGCTCCTCCAGCATATCCAGTGAACTGGTTCGTCGTCAACTAACTCTCCCCAGCCGCTGTTCTGGGCCAGCTTGGCCGACTGGAAGGGCCGCCGCCCGCTGTACCTGCTGTCGCTGCTGATATACATCGCCGCCAACGTGCTGCTCGCCGCGCTGCCCGCGCACTTCGCCGCCCTCGTCGTGCTGCGCGTCGTGCAGGCCTTTGGCTCCGCCGCCGTCGTGTCCATGGGCGCCGGCACCGTCGCTGATGTGCGTCCGTGAACGTTGCTCGCTAGCAACCAAACTCTCGCTGACCAGTTAACTAACTCCTCGAATGCAGACTACCGAGCCCAAGAAGCGCGCGCGCGCCATGTCCTACTTCCTGCTCGGCCCGCAGTGTGGCCCGATCCTGGGCCCCGTCGTGGGCGGCGCGCTGGCCGGCGGCCCGTCGTGGCGGTGGATCTTCGGCTTCTTGGGTACCATCGCCTCCTTGCTCTGATAGCTACTAGGTCGTACTGACTGACCGACTCGCAAAGCCATGCTCGCCGCCGCGCTGTGGCTGGCCATCCTGCTGCTGCTGCCCGAGACGCTGCGCGCGCGCGTCGGCAACGGCCGCGTCGTCGCGGATCGCTGGCTGGTGTGGCCGCTGCGCGCCTCGTCGCCGCGCGCGCCCGAGCCCGAGCGTGGCCCGCCGCCGCCCAAGCCGTCGCTGGCCGGCTACTGGCGCCTGTTCGCCTACCCGCCCATCGGCATCGTGTGCCTCAACACCGCCGTGCTGTACGCCTCGTACTTCTGCATCGCCGTGCAGCTGCCCGCCGCCCTGCAGGGCGTGTACCGCTGGTCCACCGCCAGCGTCGGCGCCGGCTACCTCGTCGTCGGCATCGCCATGGTCCTCGGCTCGCTCTCCGGCGGTCACTTCTCCGACTGGCGCCGCGCTCGCATCGCCCGCCTGCGCGGCGAGCACACGGTCACGCCGGAGATCCGCCTGCTCGATCAGATCTGGGGCGTGCTGCTGTGCGCGGCCGGTTTGCTGATGTTTGGCTGGTTCGTCGACCGCGCCGTGCACCCTGCCGCCACGCTGGTGTCGACTTTTCTAAGTGAGTTGGTCCCAAGACCTCGATATTGTGAAGAACTTGACACATTAACCTCTCCGATAACTACAGCCGGCTTTGGCATGTCGTGGATCTTCGTGGCCTCCAACGCCTTCCTGACCGAGTGCATCGCCCAGCAGGCCGCCGCCGCTTTTGCCCTTGGCAACATGCTGCGCAACCCCGCCGCCGCCGTCGCTGCCGCCATCATCGAGCCGTTGGTCCGCCGCATGGGCTGGGGCTGGTGCTTCACCGGCCTCTCCCTCCTGAACCTCGTCGGCGTCGGCGCCTCCGTCACCGTCCTGCGCCTCAAGTCGAGCGGCTGGCGCGAGCAGCGCCAGGCCCGCATGGCCGCCGCTGCGAAGAGCAAGAGCTGAGTGATCTTTTTGTTTTTTTCTTTTTTGTAGTACAAAAATATAACGATATGTGACGAAGACGCCTGTTAATACAAACTTATATAGACTTGGACGAGGCCCCCTTCCCCCGCCCCTTCATACTTAGACATAATCTAACAAGCATTCAAAACAAGTCTTTTTCTTGCCTCCACCCCTTTCCTCCGTACATTCTTATTATCCACAATTATTATGACTTCTTCGCCATCGAGCCCACACGGCTGGGGGGGGCCTCGTATAACCACTACATCCAGCCCGTTGGGAACCTCTACCAAGCTTTTCCTCCGCCCGCAACCAAGCTCATCATGAGCGCATATAACTACGCAACCGGGGAACACGTTCGCCCGTGCAGTGTGGGGAGTTAGCTTCGCCCTCCCGCGATCCAAGCCCGCCGCCGCGCCGGCCCCTCCCGCGCCCACCGTTCGGATGGACGCCGCTGCCGCCCCCGTCGTCGTAACTAGTTGAACTAACTAGAGAGCTGCGGAGCTAGCTACGGAGATGACGCGGACTGGATGACTCAGCGCGCATGTGCGCGAGCGCGACCACCGCCGGCTTTAATTCAACCGCAAACTCGTTTCGATCCGTGCTCGGCGGCGTTTTGACGTTGGTGTTTTTGTCGGTTTGTTTGGTGACAAAGGATATGGTAGGGAGAAGATTGGGAGACGTTCAGAGGTGTAGTGGTATGCCTCTGGTTTATGCTGGTTGAGGGTGAGACTCGCGTGAGACTGTAACTACCATGGCTGACTTGACGGCGTTTGATTGACTAGTTAACTATCTAGTTTACAGAGTAGTCGAATCCGCTTCACGCGTACCTTTTATTCTCCGCTAGTTAATTTATCGTCTCGCCGCCGAAGCAGTGCGCTGTGGAGTCGTTCCCGTGTATGCTTTCGTCGCGAAACTACCTACCTACCTCCAGCCGTGCCCTGACCGATTGACCACATCATCGCTTCGACCACGGCCCACCCGGATACTCAGGGCCGGTAAAACACCGTTGATAGGGAGGAGACATAGTCATCTCGCACGCAAAAAAGAAACCAGCTCCTCCATATTCTCGCTGTACGCCCCGCCGGGGGCCCTTCCCACGTCATTCCCGGTTCCTTTTTCAATACCCCGCAAACCGCCCGCGTGCGTTTTTATATATTATTTTTTTTTTTCTGGTTTGGTTTGAATTTCGAAACGGACCGGGGGGGAGAACGGATGCCACGCGGAAGGAAGATCTGCGGTGGCGTGGAGGAGACTTAATTGGTTAGCCAGTTAGCTGGCTCTGACCTTTGGTCGGGCTGGAGTCATCTAGCTATTAGCTAGTTACTGGCTGGCTGGTTGTCAGATCGGTGCTCAAGCTGGTGAGCGGAGACCTTAGTCGTCCAGACTGCGGGCGAAGGGTTTGAACCGCGTTGAGGGGAAGATGGTTTGATGGCATGGGACTTGGGAAGGACTTATGTTTACGGTATTGGCTGGTTACTTGAGGAGCTACTTACTGAGCGTTGAAGCTCGCGTTTATAGGTACGAGTCACCATGGCTAGTTTTGCCCAAAGGACAATTAACTTTTTGACTGAGCGTCATCAATGTGGGGAATTGTGGAGAGAGAGTGAGTCCCTGTTGAATGGCGGAATGCTGAGAAATTCTCGGGTCTCGGTGCACACTGACGGATAGACTGAGACGTCCCTGAGAAACTGCCTGAGGTAAAGGTGAGGTATGTATGAAGCAAGAGGTGATGATGCGGAGAGTGACTGGTAAGTTTGACCCTCATGCTTACAGTAGGTGATACAGATCCACCTCCCCAGCCAGTGCCCTAACAGGTAGGTATATTACCTAAAGTGAAGTTTCTTTGAAGTGAGTTGCAAGAATGCGAAGAATCAATTCACCAGCTTACTAACTTCCTCCTGCAGCCAGTGAATGGCACAAAGCATTGCCCATGCCTTATAAATGGCCCTCTCCATTCTTCCTCTCCTTCCTCTTCTCTTTTTTTTTCCAGAAAATAAAATACAATACAATGAATAAAAAAAAAAAAAAAAAAACCGCAATAGCACGATGGCTGGATGGACTGGAACCCTGACATAACAGCCTACACATATAACCATACCACAGACAGAATGTATGTGAGAGAAGACTGGATTGCCTTACAGTAAAACTTGGATGCATAAGCCTACCGGTCACAAAAATGACCACGAAGCATCGGTCATAGAATTCATTGCCACTGAAACAGCTGAGCGTGGGAAACCACGATGGCGACTCCAACCCCTAATACTTCAAAGCGCCCAAAATTAGGATGCTCTGCAAATAAATCTTCCAAAAAGCACCTTAAGAACAAGGTTACAATCTCCGCGTGGCCCTTATACCCAACTGCAAAATATCTCTACTATACCCAAAATTAAGAGCCACCTGAAAAGGGCCACCCCGGCCCTTTCTAGATGGCGATAGCAATGCGCTATACGTTCTTTTATGAAGCTTGGGAAGTCTTTTATGAAGTGTTTCCACCCTCCACACATGTGGCTAATAACTTATCAGAGAGCTAATATTCAGGCCTGATGGGAGCATTCAATGGTATCAACTGTGCCCAGTAATGATTTTTTCTCAAGCACCAGCTCTGTTGCCTCTGTTTGTCAGGTGTTGAGGGAGAGTGGTCACTCTTCCCCCCAGTCTGGTACTCTTGTTGGTAACACCCCACCTCATTTCTCTCAGCCTGAGCCATTCTTGCCACATCCTCTTCCACAGCCTGTGCCTTATCTCTTGCTGTGCCCATCTTTCAGCATCGGCACTGGCTCTGATGCCCCAACAGTATGTTGAAATGATTAATGTCCCCACTTCATAACATGTGACTTACAAAGCGGTTTTCACTTTGTAAACCCATTTACGAAGTGTTGTTTTGGGCTCTTCAGCGGCCAACTCTCCCCTCTCCTGCCCTGGGTTATGGCCGGGATGGAGAGATTCCACCAGCCCTATCACAGACAATGTTTGCCCCTGCCCCAGGCCACGGCCGGAATGGGGGGTTGGAATCGCTCCGTTTCCTGACGCTGTACAGTTCACAGCCCTATACCTCCGAGGACTCCCCCTTGTCAGGCAGCCTCTCCCACTGCTCCCACCCCTATTGGGACTGGGAAATCCATCCTACCCAGCAGAGTGGAGTCTAGAGTATCCTGCGAGTTACAGCTTGGCAAGCTTACATAGATACCTTGTTGTCTCGCGGTCAAAATTATAAATAACACTCTTAAAAACAGACTCCAAGCTTTCTTAAAGGCTCACACATGGTGTGGCTGATTAGCCTAGAGTTGAAGGTCCAAGAAAAGCAATGGAACCGATTCTGAAACGAACAGTCGCTACTGAGGAAATGTGGAGAGGCGTATGGGGTGCAGAGAAAAAAGCAAAAACAGAAGACCTACTCTGGAAACCCCTACACAGTAAAGTCTGCACAGGGTCAAGACTCCACTGGCTTGAAATAGAAAAATAGATTTTCTACTTAACAGCCCACAGAACACAGATATGCCAACAAATTCATAAGTGACAAGAGAATTACATCAAACCTATGTCGCCCACATGCCAAACTTATGTGCTCAAAATTTGGTATGCAAACAAAATGATTAAAGACAAATGAATTGTACAGCTGATTGCAGACACTGTATTGGAATTGGATGGATCAGGCATAACCACCATTATTGATATGTCTTCCCGGGACAGCGAACAGGTTGTTGTTCCCCTGGAAGCGCATGTCAGAGTAAACAGTGAAAGTTCCAAAATGATATAATAGCTGATATGCAAAAGTTAACTGAGGCACAGAACAATGAGATGTTTTTCGAGGTTATTATAAAACCTATTGTCCAGCACCATTCCTGGCAACACCTCATCTCCAACTTATTTTTTTTAAAAATTAAGCGGCACCCAATATCTGGGACTTCATATGCTGCATGCATATAGTCAGCTTCACAAACGTGGCTGTTCGCTAAATTTCCTAGTCTAGATGTACCAATTGGGCTTTTATGGCAGATATTATATCACGGGGCTTGAAACCAAATCCATAAGCGGTGATACAATCTGGAACATTTTCCCCAACAGGACTCTTTCTTCAATTTAAGCTGGCTCATATATCGAAATGAGACAAGAATAACCAGCATATTTTCTACACTGTTATTACTCTGGGTTCTATACTTTTATCTCCCTGAATATTTTTCGTGCCGGTTTTCAAGATCTAAGAGCTTTGAGAACTAAAAATGTTTTAATTTTCCCGTCTATGGCTTCACTTGCCTCCTTTGAATTTCTAAACCTGGGCTTTACCAGTGATGACGATATTGGTTTTGATGATGAGTCGATGACCAGCTGGGAATCAGTTTGACCACCTTTGCAGACCTAAGTATCACCAAAACCAACAACGCGCATAATTTGTGAAGAACAGCGGGGTTTTCTAATGGATAAACGTGCATCAAAACTTTGTGGTGTCAGAAAATTCTCTGATCAAGATTACTGCTTTTGTAATATGTCTTGTTTCAAACCTCTCAATAATACAGACAGCACCACAATTTTCTGAAGCGAAGAACTTCATATACAATCATGAGAATAATTAAGTGCTTTCTCTTAATGAAGACACACATTGAGCACCTGCCCAGAACACTGATGGTGGAGCTGGTGGCGTTCGGCAGTGGGACCGCCCAGTCCCTCTGCCCTGCACCCCAAAGCAGCACCCAGGCCGCTGTGTTTACACCTCTACCACCAGCCTCTGTTCTGGCAGGTGCTTCGCGGGCAAACCCTGTTGTTCTCGCGGGGCTTCCACCGCTTTTCGATCGCAGGGCCTGCGGGTGGAGCTCCAGCAAATCTCTGATCTCTAGTCATAGCGGAATTACGTTAAAGAATTCAGCAAGGGTTAGTTTTGATGGTACAGCGTGCTGAACATTCTGACCTCTCTTTGCCAACTGGCATTCTTTTGGAAAATGATACTTACATGGACTCATGGAGACTGAAGAACGGACCAAGGAGCCCAGAAGCTTTGTGAACTAAGCTGACACCGAGTCAATAAATGGGTGAATAAATGAGATATTTTTTTAAACAAAATAAAAAGGAGGCTTATGATATCCTTTCCTTAAAAGGCTTACATTGTGTTCTGAAATAATAATAGCAAACTGCAAAGAGTAGCAGCTCTAGAGGAGAGAGTCGCAAGACTGGAATTATCTGCTACAAGAATCTATGTTCCTGGAGTTTACTTTCTGTGTATGTACATACACACCAACAACAGTCTTGTGCGATCCAGGGACATTAAGCCAGAGAATCTTTCGATCACTGGATAAGAAACTTTGATGAGTAGAAGGACAGCAAGCTACCACAACCACTTACCTTCTGATCCTTCCATAAAAGTCCAACTATACCGAGAAGTGCAGCAGGTAAAGCAAAAACGTGGAATGCAAATCTGGTTACAGTTGACTTTTCAGGGGCTTGCTTTATTTGCAACGCGGTACACAACGAAATGGATCTTTTCCGTTGCCCTTCACTTACATACCTCAAGACAAACCCTAAGTTTGTCAATTTCGTAAATGAACTACCCAATTAATGTCCACTTTCTCGCTGAAATTGGGACCTACGGAGTCGGTTTCTCGTGATTACTATCCCGCGGCCGTCCGATGGCCCGGTCCAGAAAACGGAATCGTCAGATTTATGAACAACACACATGTAAAAATGCTCACCCAGACCTGGAGCTGAATCCCCCTGCCACAGAAACTCAGTGTGAAAAAAGCAATCAAAGCCAATCTGATCTCACATGATTCATGAAGAGCCTGACCCAGATGTTTGACTTGATGCAATCGGCTCAAAATACAGATATCTCAGAGATTAACACACATCTGACACGAGTTGAAAGTCAGCTGATGATCCTGACTGATATGATATCTGCTCTGATCGATAACTTGTCCACAATATATTCATTCAAGTAATATTGTCTCTGAACTACTTTATTGCTGGAATCTGGACCAGATGTCTGGCAAGTTATTGTATGTAATCAGAATACGGAATAGTATGTAGGAAATAAAAATGATCAGATCCATTTCCTCAAGTATCACAATTGTTAGATTCATTATCACATAAGACAATCAGATAACCAATCTCAACACTGAAGCAGGCAAAGATTGAAAAAAAAGACAAGTTAAAAGACATCAGCACTGTTCTTTCAGATCATTCAGAAAACAGTACCAACAATGTGGTTCATGGATCACATTCTTTCTCTACTGATGATCTTCTTTCAACAGCATCAGAAGAGAGCAGCAACACTGTCATTCATGTACCACTTTCTACTTCCACTGACTCTGCTCTTTCAAACTCACTGGCATATCTGTTGTGCATGTGCTACAGCTTTCCCCGCTTCATTTCAAATTCAGTGATAAAGCAACAACTAACCCTTCATCAATTAGTGAGTCCAAGAAATATTAAGACTGATCTGTGCAACAATCCCTGGCAGTTAATGTTCAATCTGCTTCATAATCTGCCCATTAATTATTTGCTTATGATAAAGATCCTGGTTAATACTGTTGTTGTCTTCTCCTTCCCTATCTGTACCTAGTTTCACAATATGATAAAGTCTCGCCCAAGATACGGGTATTTCGGAAGCAATGGGTATTTAACAGATTCAATTTGTATATTTGACTTGATCTTTCATTTCATAACAAGACGTTCCTAGGGTTATAACCTTTGCACCGTGGCAAAGAAGTTCTTATCTTAGTGTCCGATATAGCAAAACCATCAAGTCATTCCAGCAGATTTTGTTGGTACCACGTATATTTCTCGTGGCGAGTCAACATACCAGGTTGAACCGATACATTCTAAGTTCTGAAAGGGGTTGAGAGAGTTAAAATAGCGACCTATCAACATCAAAAGGTCGTGGTGGTGATCACAGAAGAAAAACAATTGTCCAAGAAAGCTCGATAGCTTCGAGAACAAGCGAAATCAAGGGATCTTAAGTGGGATAGAATAATAGATTTTGTCTTTTTATTTGAAGAGTGTGAGATCACAAACTTCCAAAGGCAGATCCGGAGTTGACCAAACAGCTTTAGAACCACAAGTGGCCGAAACCAGTTATTTTTGAAAGTGGAGAGTGTTGGTATGTATCTCATGTGCAAGTTGTTATGGTATTATGATAGAATCAGGGATAGATTAGCACTGCCTATAGAATTGATAAATAAAATGAACAAAAAATCTATTGACCCATTAGTTTAGACCAGCAAGCAACGAAGGGAGTAAATGAGCCCTAGAACGATGTGGTGCATTGGCTGCCGGTTTGAGGAGATGACGGTACTCTTCGATATCACCAAATGCCGGGCCATTATTAGCTTCGACATGCGGTATAAGTGAGCACCACTGTGCGACTCGGGGCAAAGCGGCAATCGCGGAAATGTAAGTATTTACATAATGCGATCCTAAGGAACGTGACGACAAGCCTCGTCGAGTGCTACGCAGAGTAGCAACTGTCCATTTGGCTCTGGGATATTTGATAAATGATAAAGTCTTGGTCCCACGCAGCACATAATGCCCCCCACATACCGAACCACGTGGAGGCAAGGCAAGCATCGAAGTTCCGTTGTTCAAGGTATACTCCGCACATGCTGACGGGTGCTGACGCTTAGCCGGGCATGTTCATGGATAAGATGTACGACCCACGTGTGATAACAGGAATCCTATGCCGATCGAGGCAGCAGCAAAGGAACGGAACTGATAATAACGTGATACCTTTGGCACTGTTTCGAGGTGGGGAATAATACTCTTCAGCTAATACGACATGGACATGGACATGCACTAGCTGGCTAGTAAGAGCTGGGATACTGATATTATAGACAGTGGGGCAATGCCACGAGGGAACGGCGTTTCAACAAGGGAGGCCGTCTCTCGCAACGTGCTTTCGGACGATTGAGTCTGTGCTTGCTTGAAGACATGGGTCTCCTAAACTCTCCGAGGGTTCATCTGCATAGCTCCAGCCTGCATTGGAAGTATCTCAGCAGGAATGGGCAGGTTAAACAATGCATGTCTCATCTCCAAACCACAACATCTGCAGTTGCACGAGGGGGCGATGCATATTTCCGTGCCTTCAGCGTCTTGTCAGACAAAAGGTAAGAAGAGATCAGCTTTAAGATTCGTGTACAGTGTGATTCCGACGAAACTCCATTAGCAAGGGGCCATTCTGGCACATCTGGCACCAGGGTTCGGGTTCATCGTTGGAAGGCTGGTTTGAAATTTTGGCGGCGCATTCGCCGAATTAGCACCGCTGGAGCCAGAATAGCTTACCCGTCGACATGAGTCGTGTAGTCGCATCCAACGCTTATGTGGGATGAAAGTAGGAAAGGTAATTTGTTTCGTGAATCGACTTTGCCTTGGAGTAGTAGAGAATATACAACGTCGCGATGAGGTTGAAGTCAATCCGAGGATATATATTTATCCGAACACCAAATGCGGAATAATGTTTACCAATAACCACTTTCACGTGCTTGATATAGTTATTGATTACATCAGCTTACGAAACCGCAGGAAAAATTCCAGCAAATGCGAATGGAAAGCCGGAAAGTTGCTCAAAAAATAGAAGAAAATTTCATAGGGTCGTTCAACTATTGTTACCGCTTTCCAGAGATACACAGGCGTCCACATTTCAGTCGTAGAAGTAAAAAATGGGGGGTAAGGACCGACATTAAGCAATGGACAGTAGAAGACAGGTAGAGAAAATAAAGAAATGGGGTTGATACAATGTACTAGAATGAAAAGGAGGAAATGACTGAAAGATATCAAGACAAGAGGCGTAGACAGTAAAATCAAACCTCCCAGCTGGGCACGTAAAAAAGCAAACCACCCTGGCGCCAGGTTGTAAAGGGAGCAAGCGCCCAAAAGAGACAGGACAACTTTTTTCAGGCTCGCGAGAGTCAACACACATCTTTCATTCAAAGGGGAGGAGGGATCAAGTCAAACGCAGCACCGAGCGCCCAGAAATTCTTTTCCATAACAGCCAGCATTGCACCAGGCTCTCCTTTGCACGCAACAAAGCTGGGGTAGTAATTTCGACAAATTTTCCTCACCAAAATACAGTTGTCAAAAAGTGGTCAGAGTTAAGATAAAAAAGGGTAGAAAAATTGGAGGGAAAATGAAGGTAATAGAGAAAGGAATGTAGAAGACCAAATAATTCAAAAGATTATGTCGGGGGATAAGGACTCCGAAATAACGCCATTCTCGCTCATAGACTCGTAGCATCTCGTTCAAAGGTCGGGTTCAGATAAGAAGATTCGTAAGCGATAGTGTCAACCGCTGATGCGGCGCGCATGCTCAAGTTTTGCGGCATTTTTGGCTTCCCATTCCTTTCTGCGCTGTTTGAACTCTTCTGGGTCGAAAGCAGGGTCGCTGTCTGAGCTGCCGGAATTGCGCTTATCTTTTTCTTTGAGCAGGCCAGACTTCATTCTCTTGAGGCCCCGTACAGCCTTCTTCTCCTCCTTCGCCGAATCCCCAAGGTCACTGCGCGATTTCATCTTACGAATTTCTTTAGCAATTCTTTCCAGCGTTGTTCCACCCTTGGGTCTGGGATTTGTTGGAGACTGGGGGAGGGGCTTGTTTAGGTGTTTTGTATGATGGCTGGCGACACTGCTGCTTGTGGAGGGTCGGTCGATCGACATGAAGCTGATTCCCGAATCAACCTTCCGGTTCTTGTGTTTGGTTTCTTGCGGCGGCTGTTCAAAGTTCTGGCGGCTTGTGACCTCGGAACACTCATCGATAATGGCATTGGCGGCACGAAGGTATTTCTCAATATAGTCTTGGGTAACAGGCCAGCCAGTGGTATCGCCAGGGCGCATATCCTTCTGAATAATTGGCTCAAGAACTTGTTTGCCTCTCTTTCCAATATCGAGAATGAGGTTGTAAAAATGCATGCGCTGCTCCTGAAGAATCTTTGAATTGAGGTGGGCGGTGGGGGGTGTGGCCACAACAGGAGGGAACAGAGTATTAAGCATGGCGATGCAATTGGCCTTGTTGAAGGGTTCGAGGAGCATCTCATTGATCAAAGTCTAGGCTTGTCAGTTAAGATCCAGTAAACGGTGCTGCAGAAAACCGTTTTCACTTACCCAGTGGCGGAGGCGTAGATAAACTTGAGTATAGAGCGCCACAGCAACTCTTTCTTTAGCTTCAACGGAATCAACCCAAGCCAGAACACCAGGATAACGGCGCGAGAGCTCTTCCTTTTCGCCTTCGGCACCACTAATACCCAGTCTGCTCAGCGCTTCCATGACACCCTTTCTTCTGCGGTTCTCCAGGTCTCGAAGGTAGTCCAACGCGGTCAATGACTGAGGAAAATCGACTTCTTCGACGATAGGAGGGAAGCATCTGCGAACGAAGGAAGTGATGAAGCTTGGCGGGAGCGAGCAGGGCTGGGACGGCAGCTGTGCGATCTGGGACATGAGCTGAGCCTTGAATAGCGCGGCAGTATCGGACATGCTGTGCTTATCGCTCCCTAGCACTGGAGACTTGTTGCCTGGGAACGCGTTTCCGGGTGCTTCACGAGCGAAGGCGGAAGTAGGCGGCAGGAGAGGCGCAGAGAGCGTAGGAGGCTGAGCGATGGAGGTAGAATTCAGAGAGTACATGGTGCGAAGGGGAATCTCGTAGCTGCCCGGGTAGGCCAGGAGATGCTCCAGGATCCATGGCAGCGCTGCACCCTCGGTATTGCTGGAAGACGTGCTGCTCTGGCGGGAATGATCTGACCGGCCATCCATGTTGTGGGATTGGCAGCAGAAATGCAAACAAAGAGTGGAAAAAGTGCTAGAGAATGGACAACAACATCAATCTGACTCAAACCAACAAAGATGAGAAGAGTTGGAGAGAGAGGAAGAGGACGGGGCGGGCGAGGTGGCGTTGAGGGTTGTTTGCAGGGAAGAGTTTGATATGGTCGGTTGTTTGGCCGGGATGTTTATTTATGAAGGAGAGCGGACGACAAGCACGACACAACGGCAGGCTGCGAGCAACACAGCGCGCGGGCTTAATTTAGGTAAAGTGTTTTCCCTCACGGTCCTGACCTGGTGAGAGATTTTGTTTTGAAATTGCAGAAGAGGCACTTGAGACAAAACACCGGGCATGCAGGGTTTGAAAGGAAGGGCAGTAGTGGCCAGACCACAACACGGGAGGGTGGCAACAGGGTCACAGATAAAGAGAGCCAGGCAGGGCGAAGAGGGGAGAGGCAGAGCAAGCGGAAGCGGAAGCGAAAGAGAGGACGAGAGAGCGAACAGGCCGTTGGTAACGAGAACGCGGAGAGGCAGGAAAGCAGAAGAAAGAGAGAGAGAGAGAGAGGCTGGTCGCGAAGCTATAACGCCGGGGCTAGCTGAGCTGCCACGAAGGAATGCCACGGACAGCAACAGCAGACAGACGCTTGGGCAACGTCCCGAAGATCCTGTGCTCCGGCACCCTTGTGCTTCACGCCGGCAAACCCAATAAATGCCAGACGGGCGTGGGCGGCGATGGTTTGGCGGGCCCGCAACGCTAAGACGCCAACCAAGGCGCCGGCGCGATGCTGCAGAGGCGGTGGTGCCGCCAGATGGCCGCCCGGTCCACCAGCGCCGGAGCGTCAATCCCAGTCCCTGTTTAATCTCGACGAGCCGGTTTCCCCTCACGTTAGCCGCAACAACGAGCCGGGGGGAGGGAGGGAGCAGTAGGAGGAGGAGCAGCAGCAGGAGACCGTGGTGGGCGGGATACTTTGCGGATATTGGCTCTGCGTTTCAACTGCTCGCTGTGGGCCAGGATTGCGGCCAGCACAGCATTCTCTGCTCCCTCTCTGTCTCTCGCGTGCGCGCTCTCTCACTCTCTCTCTCAGCTGCAGCAGAAAATTCAGACAGGCTCGCACAGTGCAGCCCGTCGAGTCCGGCTTGTCGCCAACGCGCGGCAGCTGCAGGCGTTCAAGCGCAGCTGCAGGCCTCGCCCGGCCCAGCCCACGCCGCGAATAGGGCTGCCTGGCCGTGCTGGGGCGGTCTGGCGGGTTGCAGGCGACGCGGTGCCGGGTGGCTCAGGCCGGCATGGAGCTGCGATGGAGCAGTGCTGACTCTTCCTCCTCGTCAATCAATAGTAAGTAATTGATTGATAGTTATTAATACTCCCGCCGCCCCCGCGACTATCGATTCTGATGAATCCTAAAGCTTCTTTTACATACGACAGCTCAGCGGGGAGTGCGGTGCGCAGCCTCTGCGTGTTTGTGATATAAATGAATGGCCACGGGCTGATCGCAGCTCATCCCTCCCCCCCCAGTACGATCTCGCAATAAGCGACCCAATTGCGAACCCTCCGGCGGCCATCCGCGGTGGCAGGGGACAGCCCGGCCGCCGGCGAGCCACCCGTGCGACCACGGAAACATTTGCCCCTTGCAGCTTCAGTTCGCCGGGGCGATGGGCACAAGAGCACCCCGTCTAGCACGCCCTGAAACAATCAGCATGCATCGCAGGACCATCGCGACCGGTGGGAAAACAGCAATCATCACCAGGCGCCGTCGCCCACGGGCCACCCGCCGACCAGCGCGCTGGAAGGTCTCTTGATAGTTCTGCTGGCGAGGTGCGCTGGCCGCTGCCCGCGAATTGCGATACGTCCAGTCCGCCACCTCGATCACCCGCAAGGGCTTCACAGATCTGAGAGATCGCCTGCCGGACGCCCATGGCGAACGACAGCTTGGCCCCGCCCTTCGCGCCTCCTATTCGCCGCGGAGCGTCGTGCGGTGGAGATGTTGAGCTGTGAAACTCGCGGTCGCGCCCCTGGCGGTTTGAGCTGTCGATAAACCACCCCGTTCCCGCCCACCGGCTGCGCTGGCTGCTGGACAGGAGCCAACAAACGTGCTTGAGGATATCAGTCGGCCCGTCGCTGGCGAGCTAGTTAACGAACTAGTTAACTAACCAACTAGCTGACATAGACTCTAAGACCTCCCCCATCGCCTCACGCTGAGCCCCGCCGACTTCGCCACAGGATGTGCATGATGTCTATGAATTAACCTCTCTCGTCCAGTGCCAAAAGGGCTAAAGCATACCCGATCCGTTACGAGGCGCATATCGATCCCCCCGTCTGCTGAATCAATGCCGTCATGATGGGCGTGGATAAGGCTGCTTGCAGCGGCGTGTTGAACAAAGGCGGCAGAACGATCGCCCCTTGGTTTGCTTTGGAATTCGATTTCCCGCGCATTATTGTGCCACGGGGGGTGCGCTTTTCTTTACATGTGTGTCCGCCGTGCTCTCTCTGTATATACATAGTGCATCCATCCATTTTTGTTTCTTGAACTACATACGCGAGCACCCGCCCACATGTAGACCGCAGGAGGCCAGCACGCACGGGGCTTCGGGTCGCGCGTCTGTGCGTGTGATGAAGACGACCTGGATTTTACCGTGGGATGATAAGCAATAATGGGCCTCCCTCTGCAGCTCGCCGCTCCCAGAAGGCTACTCAGTGCCGTCTCTACGCGGCTGTTACCCGGCGGGCCCTGAGTCAGGGAAGAATCCTACATCCGCGAGAAACCAAGGAGGAGCAGCTGCGAAATAAAAACTATATCATGTTTCAGGAACGGAATCCTTTATCGCAGAGAGACACCCAAGCCGGTGTTTCCAAAGCTGCCAATAGTAGGCATCATGCAATGCACGGAGACAAATCGCAGACTGTGCATCACACCTGTGCATACATATGTGCTCTGTATGTACTCCGTATGTTGAGACGTGCGTGCGCTTCCCAGGACATGCAAGGCCTTCCCTGTTCTTCCCTTCGAGCGATGGTCGTGCGTATGTGTGTGCGGTTTCAAGCAAACCGCCCCCTGAAGCTCGTACCGTCCGAGCAATGGCCGAAATGCAAGCAGAAGTTAGAACACACCAATGGGTGGCGGGAGGGACGGCCGGCCAACTCCAGCCAGGTAGAATTTTGGATATGTACATGCCGTAGAAGACCCGCTCGTCACCAGCACCGGCGGTGGCCAGCGGCCGTCCACAGACCCAAGAGCAGCATGCAATGCAACCAAGGCGTCTCCCTCCACTGTCAGCTCTCGACGGCGTCAGGGCACGGCGCTGAAAGAGATCCCAAGACTAAGCTCCGGCTCGGTTCTGATCCAATCACCAAACTCCCCAAGAAGCCAAAAAGCCAAAACGCGCACCGCCGTCACCAGCCATTCATGAAACACGCTTTCCAACGGCTTTTCCGGCGATCCGTCAGCGATCTTCGCCCAGCACGCCCGCTTTCGCCAGGGAAACAAACGATATCGCCGGCGCCCGTTCGCTGTTATTCTCATTATTATTCCATTCGCCCGACGCTGGGTCCTGGGTTTCTTTTTTTCTTGCAGTCTTCCCAGGCTGCTGTTTCGTAGACGAAAGCTTAATCCGCACCTTACGCGTTGGTAGGAATCGGCGGGACGGGTGACAGCCAGACTGTTTAACAGCGGCCGCTAGGGAATCTCCGCCGGCGTGGAGCTTCGAATTTCTTGAGCAGGATCTCTCTGCATCGCAGCAACATCTGGCGCGGGGGAGCCAGCCAATTGGTTCAGCGCAGTTCGTGGGAATATGGCGGCTGGGCCACACACGTTTGGTGAGAATCCGACCTGCGAGTTGGCCCATTGACTTTGGCTTGCAATACGGGGAGGCGGGCTGTTGGTCTTCCTGCTGGAAGCTGCCGTGAGGCTGGTCGGACTGACAGATTCATTGATTTGGCTTTCCTAGTTGCGGCGGACGTCTTCTCGTCGGAAAGGTGATGTGCTTGCTGCCCTGCATCTGCAGTCGACATCGCGCCCCCACCACCAACCAGCCATCCCCAGCGTGCCTCAACGCTCACCGCATCATTCTCTGACACGCACTGCAGATATCGTGGCCTCCAGCTCGCGATCGTTAGCGTCCGTGGCGATGCCCTCTCCTACCAGCAGAAGCAGCAGATAGCCAGAGAGTTCAACCATCCCACAACCGCCTTCCTGCACGATGCGCCCCATTATTCATCTCGACCCCGCAAGCTAGAGCTGTTCAGCCCCGGGGCCGAACGAAACTTTGCTGCGGGTGCCGTGCTGGGAACTGCTCAGTATATCTTTCAGAACCTGATGAACGAGGACGACGCCGCTTCCGCCGCGTTCGCCGCCCTCCCCAACCCGAGCATCCCCACCGGCCACACGCCAGGAGCAAAGTTAACCAAATGCGCCCTCGAAACCAAGGCTGGTGTGATCCAAGCGCATTTCGATCCCACCAGGCGGATTGCTGCCATTGACGTCCCGGTCGACGTCCACGTTCACGCCAAAGAGACTCCTAGAGATGAGATTCTGGCAGTCCAGCGCAGTCTTCGCGCCAGCCCGCTGGTGGACAGGATGAAGGCCTCCTACGCGGTCGTATCGATCTACAGAGGATTGGCTTTTACCCTGGTCGATTTCACGACTTGCCCAACCCTAATCAGCTTGCTTCAGCCCGGCGAGACCCCGGAGCCCTCTCTTGACATCGGCTGGAAGTCGGCTCCTGCGTCAGGCGCTTCAACACCCACGACAACGATAACGATGACCACGACGACGACGACAAAGACAAGCCCTGCCCCGGTCGTCGAGTGCTACGGCGCCGTATACTTCATCCAACTGCAGACCGATTTTACCGAGGAGCCGTACATCACGCGGCTGGTGGTTCGTGTTATCGCGGGCGGCGTCGAGGAAGCCGCCAGTGCGAGTGGGTGCTGTGCACTGGCAGCGTATCTCGCGCTCCAGAAAGGCGGGGCCAGCTCTAGACACGCCTTTGCGATTGAGCAAGGGATCGAGATGGGCAGGAAGAGCCAGCTCTGCATCGATGTGCGATTGAACGAGCAGGGAACTGGGGTCGTGAAGATTATGCTTTCGGGAAAAATGACCTTGGCCATGGAGGGCAGGCTGCTGCTGTGACTACTACTTACTACTGACGGAGCGAGGAACAGTAAATGCCCGTGCGGTTCATGCACATCGTGCGTTTCATGTTAAATAATGTCGTTTAAGGTGGGTAGGATCTTTTTTTTATTGGAAGGATTTTCAAATAGTTACTTTGATAAAAATGCTAAAGGCCCAAGTTATTATTTGTCTCTCAAATTCATCTATCTACGTTTTCGAAATTAATTGCCCTCCCCAATAATAATTATTATTAGCTCACTACCATTCGCAGAGAAATATATCTTCGCCATCGACCGTTCTCGATCTTTCGTCATCCCTGCCATGTCGTTCACGAGCTCATGACTCGAAACTCAATCATAAGGGTAACTGACTAGCGAATCTAACCTCGGAAAAGCTGTCATCCAAATTGAAAAAGGATCAAAAACTCCGTCGAACTATATTTCCCCTACATTAAACTCGATACTAACGCATGTCAAAGTACATCACTTCAACATGACAGTGCAACGTTCGGTCATTTTGCCTCGAGCAGCCTCACGTCAGATATTTAGCTCTCGCGCTTGTTTCAAACTGTGGCTTGCCGAGACCACACTACCGACCACGCTTCGCGGAGGGCGGGGTTGGTAGCAGCCAGATTTGGGAGGGAAGAGTTCAAAACTTGCTTTCGCTGTTTGTTTATTTTGCTGTTCTAGAGGGTCGCTCTAAATTGCCGGGTTTCCGATAGAGAACCACGTCCGGAAAAAAAAGTTGCAAGATGGTAGCTTTTGTTTATCATTTTGAAATGAAACTAAATCAATAACAAATGTCTATCCAGAGAAAGCCAGCGCCTTCAAGATCAGCGATGTGCAAATACGCCGCTTTCATTTCTGGCCCCTCCAAACAGACTAGGTAGATAGGGGGGAAATAATAAAATAAAAGGGGCAGAATTGTGAATCAGAGAGACGATCCGATCAACGAAAAGCACCAAATCTATCGTTTTAAACATAAGGAAAGGGACAGATGGCGTTTGAAAGATGCGCGTAAAATCAAGAAACTCAGTCAATGCCGCACCTCACGTCGTCCGTACAAACCCATCATAGCTCTAAGCTGTAACTCCATTTTTGGGACCCTCGACAACGCCACGAACGCCTCCTTTCCCGCCAACTTCCCTGGCAGTAATCTGTACCACTAGGTGCTCGTTGACGCTGATCATGACTTCAACCTTGCCACTGGCCTTGACACCTTTGATGGCAGTCTCGGCGATGGGCTTGGAGATGTTCCACACAATCTCACGAATCTCCTCCTCTTCCTCGTCGCTGTCGTCATCGGAGTCAAAGTCCGAGTCCTCCTCGTCCTTGGGCTCCGCGGCTTTTGGTTTGGGTTCTGGCTTCGTGACCTTGATATCGCGAGTGCCCTCGCAGACACGGATCAGGACGTCGCCACCAGTTTTGGGCGCGGGATATTGTGCAACCCGGCGAGCAGGAAGGGCAGTCTCGGCGTTCAGGAGTGGCTTGAAGATGGAGGTTGATTCAGGACTCTGGTCGGCGGAGACGAGTTGGACACCAATGGCTCTTTCGAGGTGAGGGGCGGCAGTCACCATGGGGTGGGTGGACTGGTCGATGTCATCCTTTTCAAACTCTTCTATTAATGATGCCTGGATGGCAGCACCCCTGGCAGCTAGGTCTGAGGGGTTGATGGCGGTAGGTGATGTGGATGGGGACTGGACGGCTGTTTTCGGGGGGAAGAGGGATTGCACAAGGCGGGCAATCTTGGGGGTGTGTGAGGTACCGCCGCAGAGGATGACCTGTCATTCGTCAGTTTGGAGCTACATACATAGCATATGGGAAAACGACCAACCTCATCAATATCAAGCACATCCAAGTCTGCCTTTTTTACTGCCTGCTCGATCAGCTGCGTAAAGCTGTTGAACACTCTGCCGCAAAGCAGCTCATATCTTGTTCTGTTTACTGTAGAGCTGAAATCAATACCATTTGCCAGGCTCTCAATGCTAAGTGCCGCGTTGGATCCAAGACTCAAGGCTTTCTTTGTTACCTCAGCTTCAAGCTTCAGTTTTGCCAAACTGCGTTCGTTCTCGCGCGGATCAGCCTTGTGCTTTTTAATGAACTCCTTAGCAAAATGATCGATGAGGATCTGATCTAATTGGGCACCTCCAAGCTCTGGATCGTGTACGGTAGACAGAATGGTATACATTCCGCCTCTCGAGGCGATGACGGCAATGTCTGATCTTGTTCCACCAAAGTCCGCAACGACAACAAACTTATCTCTGACTTGAGTTTCAGGCCTGGCGTCATAAGCCAGCAGCGCGGCAACCGGCTCGTGTATGAATTGCAGAACTTCGATGCCGGCATTCTTTGCTGCTATCTTCAACTCGTTACGCTGCGCTTCAGAGAAATCTGTGGGCACAGTGACAACTGCAGCGTTGACATCCTTTCCAAGAAAGTCAGACGCGGACTGCTTCAGCCGTCTTAAATGGCGGGTGGTAATCTCAGATACGGTGATAATGCTGGGTTCTTCGGAAGCAGTATCGCAAACTGTGAATGCAACGGTAGATTCGTGAAGTTGAGGGTGAGCAGAAGCGTGGGCTGCTGTTGGATCTATGGATTTGAAGCTAAGAAATGAAGTGATCAGTATTCGTCCATATACAGCACTAAACCTCCAGATCAATGATGGGGTAGCTAACGTACTCTTTTCCGAGAAAGTCTCTAAAATATGCAACAGTATTCTTTGGACTTCGAACTAATTGCGCTTTGGCTTGTGCTCCATGATACTCTTCCGCTTCGACATACGATAAAACGGAAGGTATATGGCGATCTATCGGAAAAAAGTTCTTGTTAATCGGGCGGAAAGACTTCATAGCCTTGGGTGGAAATGAAAGACTAACCTCCCTCTTCATTAGCGATGACTTGGGCTTTCCCCTCCTACGAGGAATGTTTTAGTTCCATATTCGTTTCATATTCGATATAAATTGGGGCGAATCGCTGGCTTACGGGAGAAATATGAGCTATAGAGCTGTTGGAGTTTCCAAACGAGATACCGATGGCGTATCGCTCTGCCGCCTCCGGAGCAACGCCATTAGGCTGGTCACTCATTTTCCTAGGGAAAAAACGTAGAACTATTCGAATTCAATACAGATAGTTAACTTGCAAGGGAAAAACAACTGTGCCCGCTCCTCCTCGCTTCGACTCTCGAGTTGGAATCGAAATCGCGAAAATCAAAAAAGAAGATTTGATGAGGCTCGCGTCCGCCTTCCCTTCAGAGTTTATCGATAAGGCTCGGCTAGACTTTCTTCCGCGGCTGCCAGTAGGACACGAAATGATTCTTCCATTCATGGATTTTGCAATACATGCAATGTGAAGATAGGACAGAAGTCAGTGGCTAGTTTTCATCAAAGCTTTGGTGCCACTGGTGATGGCGAAACTCAGGCATAAAGTTCATAAGGAGCTTCTTTTTGAGAAAAAGAACCGAGATTTGTTGAAGCTGCCAAAATGTGATACACAAAAATTATGCATCCAGGTGTTTGAGCAAATGCTAACCTTCATTTTGATCTCTGTCCAGATGCTCATATCAAGAAACGCCCGATTAACCACCCTCCAGCAGCATCGCCTTATGCCGGACCAAATGTGCCGAAGATTGTTTACGTTTCTAGCAAAACGCCATTCATGAGCGCGGCCAAACGCGTCCAGAAGCTTTTACGGGAAGCCGAAAAACGCGCCATATCAAAGGTCAAGATTCAAAATAAGAAGACTGATGATAAAGCGAACTTTTTGCTCCTGAAAGAGAGCACTGAGGTGCTAAAAAAGGATGAGGTATTCATCAAAGCTACTGGCCGCGCAATAAAAAAAGCGATGGATGTTGCGAAATGGCTTTCTGAAAAGGAAGGATGTAATATCAAAACGAAGACGGGAACATTGTTAGTTGTTGATGACATCGTCGAAGACGAAGAGCTGAAAAGGAGCGAACTACAGACGAAGGATGTTGATCAAATAGAAGAACAGGACGACAGGAAAACAACCGGGCCAATACGAGATGGGCAGAAGCGCCCGAAGAGAAAGCAAGTACTTAGAGGTGAAACAATAGCCTCGGGAGAGGACATGCCTGAATCACGTACACGATGGGTCAATGTGGTGGAGATCGCGGTGGCCTTACGGTAACATATGGACCAGGCCACGTGTGCCCCCTTCATGCATATAACAATACCCACGAGTATGATATTCTGGGTTTTGCAAGAACCAGATTTGGCATAGCAAGCAGCTGCTGGACTAAGCTGTGTAAAGCTGCTGATTATCTTTCCGGGTCAACAAACGTCTTTGAATAAGTGAAAACAGATATATTCTGTGATTTGGAACACTACTGCTGAACGGAGAAGGCCCCTCATGAGAAATCTCAGTGTCGAATAATAATTGCCAGTCGCCAGCGACAAAATAGCCGTGGTGTCACTATTGGGAACACCGAGACTAAGTTTTGAATAGCAACATGAAAACTGGCCTATTTAGGTACCTATTTGACTTACGAAGAACTCTATGCTGTCTCCTTTTGGCAGATTCATAAAAATTTTGATAGCTTTCTCATGCGGATAATGCAAACATCTTATCAGATGAGTTTGTACCTAACCTTATGGAACTCACGCTTAACTTAATGAGGGATAGTTTGGCATTGCTTACCTACCGTGATGTCATCTGCCCCATTTCTCCAACGATCCCGAGATCGACTTCAGATTCTTAGAGATCGGCTTGGATCTTGTTGGATAAGTGTTTTAGAGTATATATTTGATTTTTGATTGGTGCATTCTTCTTATACCCACGACTTTGAGAGGCAGACTGAAGTATAGGTGGTCTGCTAGCACGGCCGAAAAGGTTGATAAATTCCATGCAGTGGATCGCATATCAAACACTTCCTTGAAATGCTCCGTGAAAAACCTGCAGGGCTGAACCTACAGTGTACCCTTCCTCCTTCCTATGAGGAATCTACTTCTGGCTCCGCATCACGCGGAGCCCCGCACTCCACTATTTCACGGATATCGCATCTTGAAATTAATAAAACTTTTATCAACCCTATATCACCCACCTCAGCTTCGTCCTGTGGAACAGCCCCTATATACGAGCTCTCTCACGAACTTGATGCCGGCCACAGCGTCATCTCCCTGTCTCGCCACCTCCCCAACCCAGGCCCCGCGTTGGAAACTAGAAGCAAACGTGTTTACTACTTCAGTCAGCCACCCCTTTCCGACGCCGTTGAGATTGTTGGGATGCGCCGTAGCTCGCTGCCTGGCACTTTATATCTTCAGCTGAATCGCACACTCTTTCGCCAAATGTGGGAGCTTTGGCATCGCCCCTCCTCCAACGAGAAAAGCAAGTTACTCTTTCGAACGCGACCCACTAAAAAAGTGCGGAAAGCGGATAGGCTACAATGGGAAAACGGGGACAGAGAACTTGTGGCAGTGGAAACGCTGTCCACGAACGAGTCTGCGCCGGATCTCCATGTGGTCAAAGATCTTGAAACCCGTATGATGGACTTGCTGGTGACGGCATGGTGTGCCCAGATTTGGATTCAGCGGCAGGTGAGAATTGCAGAGGTGAGAGAGCGAGAGCTCAGTTCTGGTATGTCCTTTGGCGTAATACCGGAGACTAAAATGTCTTTATACCAGCAGCATACTGACTTAATGATAGTTCATACAAGTTGACATATGGAAGTAATATCTATTCTTCCGATTCTAATGCGATGTTTACTCTATGGTCCCATTGAGGGGACGAATTCGAAGTAAAGAATTCCCCAAAATTGTCCATATTTCGTCCTATAGTTTCACATGAGCGGATATAATGATTGTTCCAAGTTGATTTTGCTGGATATGCATCGGAAATTTATCATGTTATAACTAAATGAATGCCTATTATGAATAAAAAAGCACATAGCAACCCTTCTAAGCTTGTTTCTTTATCGATTCCAAACGCCAGGGTATACAACATCCCTATATGAATAAAAAGAGCCAGTGAAACAAAGAAATCGATGCTGGACAGGACAATGATCAAGTCCCCAATTCCATCTCCCTCAAAACTTTTGAAACAAACTTTTTCTGCTCCGACACACTGATATTCTTTTCATCTGCCTCTCTCAGGCATCTTCCAACCGCAACAATTATCGAGGTTCCGATTTTCCCATCTGCAGAGCTATCAATCCATACTCTACCATTTCGACCCACAGCAACCTCAAAGCCGCCATGTGACTCGAGCTTTTTCCCTAGTTCGTCTAGCACCACTAAGCCACTGTTACCTCCGGTCATCATTAACCTATCCGCAAGGCCCACAGAGACGTCAAATACCATCCCGCCATTCAAGGGACCCAACCCGCCAGGCTCTGCCTTCCCAGTTGCAGGATTGACACACGATATCTCAATCTCCGCCACAGGTCCAACACCAACAGACATAACACGCGCGTAAACTAGTTCTCCAGATTTCAGCTGCGGGCGAGTTTTCCGCGTTGCAGCTTCAAACGCAAGGTGTGCAAGGTAAACATGCGGCGTATGCGGAGAGAGGCTGCAGAGGAAGAAATCGGAGCTGGACCGGCTGATCTGGGCAATTACAAGATCATTGGGTTGAGCTATATATCGGCGATTGGGAAACGGAAGAACGGTGAGTGTGTTTCGTTTCGGGTCGGAAAGCAGGAGGCCTGTTTGAGTGCTTGTCACTGTGGAGGCGGCGGAAGCGGAGGCGGCGGTGTTCGCGGGAGGGAGAATGTGGAGGTGGGTGCCAAGTTTGGCAGAGGCGCTGAGGGGGTTTGAGACAGAGTCCCCCGGCAGCAGAAAGGAGCGCGAAGACATGGCGCCAGGATGCGCGCTCGTCGTTGTCGTTATCGCGGTGTATCCCAGACGGATCGTTTCGGTGCGGCGGCTAGAGGGGCCCGTCACGTGTCGGGCGCAAAGGCTAAATCGGTACTCCGGGCTCCATAGAGAGAGCATGCGTATTCGAAGTACCGAGTACCCTTGTAACTCCCTTAGTTGATCGCATCCACCAAGAGCCCAAGCCGTAAATCCATCGGCCGAAGTCTTATAAAGCCCAGGCAGATCCCCTGTCGTTCACCCCGTTTCTCTTCGCAATTGAGTCGCTGCGGTTATCCAATACTCAGTCGCCATGAATTGCCCTTCCCGGACCGAAAACGATTTCCTGCACCCGCATTGGAACCAGAACCCGCCACTACTTTCCGCCGATCTCACCCCGCGAGAAGATCTCAACGGCCGGGTCAATGCCACGCAGCTACGGGACGCCTCTGCGGGTGCCTCGTCTCCTGCTGTTCCGACCGGTGCGGATGAGGGTCCTGAAAAGAGTCTAGACGCTCCGCCGTCGTCCCGGCCTGCTTGCCCGCTTGCAGATGCAAAACTTCTTCGTGAATACCGCGAAGGTTAGTGTGGCCGCAGTGCGTACATGTTATGAAAAGATCGTCGCTAATTTGTTTCTTTTCCCTGACTGCCTTCAGAATTTTGCTCTGCAAAACACCAGGCGCCCCGCCTGACCTCTTATCTCAAGACTGCCGCCAGCAATGGCTGGCCTTGGTGGCTATCGGGCGTCTTTATGGCCCTATATTCTATCTACTATATGGGAGTCATAGTTTCAACTTTTGAAATAAGTATGTATATCCATGCTATCTACCTACTCATGAACGTTGTTGCTGACACTCTTCCCTTACAGAGCAAAGGCCGGCACCTACCAAAATGGAGAAACGACAGGCAGTTTCTTGCAGCACAGGAGGCCCCAAACCCAACTACAATGTCGGCCTACATGTGGGTGCACTCGGCATCATCCTCTTCGTGTCCTTTTTTGCGTGCTCGTTTCCCATGCTCACAGTCCGATTTCCGCGTTTACGGATTCCACATTCCTTCCTGTTCTTTGTCAGGCATTTCGGTACTGGGGTCCTGGTAGCAACGGCCTTTGTTCACTTGCTTCCAACGGCTTTCATCTCGCTTGGAAACCGTTGCTTGTCGTCATTCTGGACTGACAAGTATCCTGCAATCCCCGGCGCTATTGCGCTAGCAGCTGTCTTTTTGGTCATGATTGTGGAAATGGTTTTTAGCCCGGCTCGCCATGTGTGTGGCAGCACCAAAGAGGTGACCCGCTTGGTGTGCAATGATAATCGGGATTTATCGGTTTCATCGGCCGACGAACGGCCGCATGTCCACTCTCGCGTCAACGAGCATCATCATCACGGTATCAGTGCGAACAGAACCGGCCATTTGGAACACGACCCGCTCTCTGGCCGGTCGGCGAGCATGGGTCGTGAATTGGCCAGTCTCAGTACAAGCGGCGACAGACCCGAAATTACAACAAGCGACGAGAAGATGGTTCCTCCTCACGATAGCGAGAAGGCCGCCATACACGATGAGACCAGCCCCATCATCCTGACCCCTGAGCAAAAGATGCAAAAGGCGTTTATGCAATGTGTCATGCTTGAGATTGGTATCCTTTTCCACAGCGTCTTCATTGGGATGGCACTGAGCGTTTCCGTCGGAAACGACTTCGTTGTCTTGCTCATTGCAATCACCTTCCACCGTACGTGCCCCCACCTTTTTTTTTTCTTTTCTTTTACACTGCTCATAACAGGCTTACGTTGATATTTGCGAATAGAGTCATTTGAAGGCTTGGCACTTGGCGCACGCATTGCCTCGCTGCCGTGGAATCGTGAGGCCATCCAGCCATGGCTCATGGCTCTCGCATATGGCTGCACGTAAGTGGATCTTTCTTAATCTTCTCATACCTTCAGAGCGAAAAAGCATGGACGTGGACTAAGGATGCGGAACCAGAACCCCGATTGGTCAGGCAATCGGCTTGGCTACTCACCAACTCTACGAGCCGGAATCTGAAGTCGGTCTCATTATGGTTGGCACAATGAATGCCATTTCATCGGGCCTTCTCGTATTCGCCTCTCTTGTTGAGCTGTTGTCTGAGGATTTTCTCAGCGACGAAAGCTGGCGAACACTGAGGGGCAAGAAGCGAATCATTGCATGCGTCTTGGTTCTCGCTGGCGCATTTGGAATGAGTCTAGTCGGAGCCTGGGCGTAAGGTGTTGCAAGTGACGATTGTGATAAGTATGTACTTGATCTGTGCGAGGAACTACCCTGGGAACGAATTCAACATTCTCTCGGGCAAAGGTGATATACCTGCAATGCTTCTTGAATTGAAATCTCCTCGATGCTGGCTAATAATTTCGGGATTGTGTTGATTGATCCCTTATCACCTCGGCTGCAGTTCAGCACATTAACATACCCTTCTATAATTTCACACCTTGGTCTCACTTGGCTTTTCCTATTACACTTTAGTCTCACTACATTGTTTCTTACTTCTTCTACACAAAGAGCGTTGTTGTTATGTTGGATATCTACACTCTAACGAGTGACATGCTACTAGAACAGGCATTTGCTATTTTCATTTCATATTGCTAGACCTGACTTTAAATACCGTCTTATATATACTATATCCACTCTACAAAAATCTAATAATTAACCGCGAGGCCTTCGTGTTATTGATCCTCCTGCGGCACATCCAAAATGTAACGGTCGGGAGATACTGTCCACGAATTCCCAGGCGAAATCCCAATATTACTACTCTCCATATCGACCAAACTCCCGGGAATCTGGGGGCGGGACATGCCACCCGTCGGTTTTCGGGTGCCCGGGACCGAAAGGCGTCGGGCTCAGTTAGATTATTTGTGATAAAAGCCGTTCGGAGGCGCGAATTTGAAATCGCAAAGCCACCGCTATCCTTTTGCTCCAGATCCCGAAATCTCCCGGTAACTCTGACCGCCACGAGTAATGTCTTTTTTTTCGTATCTTGTAACGAGCAGCGTCGCGCTCGCTACGCGAACCGCCGCGACCCTTGCTAGTAACTATTCCGTTACTCCGTCGTCCTTTTACAAAAGAAATCCCAGGCGGGCGTGGAATTTGCTTCTGAAAGGCGCAGAGCTGCACGCCGCGCCTGACGCATCCTACTCTGATGATCAAGAGAGCCAAGTGAGCAAGTAAAAGGGTTTTAAATGGTTGATTAAGGAAGAGCTAGCAAAGGTTAACCGGTTGTCTGGCTAATCATAGCAGGATTTCGACCGACTAAGCAATTAGGGCAAGGGTTGGGTGAGAACGTGACAGTATGCTGTGCGGAGCACTCCGTACATCTCTTGAAATGAATTTGGAGGATAACTAATGCGGGACAGGTCAGGGATTCCGGCGCGAACGGAACATGGGCTTCGAGACAGCCAAGAGGCGTCATGTCAAAAAGAGGCGTTTTTATTTGATGATTTGTACGGAGTAACCTGTGGGAGTCACTGCGAATTTGGGAGACGCAGAGCGGCGAAGTGATCGGCCAACAGCGCAACGCAAGGGGTGATGGGTGATGGGGAGGGTGGGTTGATGCCGCCAGCCAGTGCCCGCAGAAATCCTTCCGGCGTGGTCTGTTGTTGGGGAGCAACCACCTGAGGAGGAAGACTGTGGGTTCAAATCCCACTATTTTCAACTGAATCCATGATATGTTGCAGAGAAGGCCTCTCTCTCTATGAGAGCAAGTTTACTGATTGCTGAGAACCAGGAAACACTTCAAGTGGCGGAATAGAGATTAATCTTCTATACGGAGTATTCTGTTCCGAATTTCTACCGGTTCTTGTCATGTTTAGATATATCAGTTACATCCCAGATTTTAGGAGGATTTATCTAAAGGGCATAATTCAAGAGAGGAATAATATGATAGAGACCTTGACTCCTTCTAAACATACTACAACATAAACAGAATGGAGAGGTGAGAGCCCAGATATTGATGATAACACGTGCCAGAAACACTTGTTATACTAGACGTCGCCTCAAGTTTGAAATGTAAGGTGTTCTGAGTATATATTGATTATTGCTCTCTATCGACTGATCTGTATTTGCCAATAATGAAGGAAACTTGCCCACCCTAGCTACGTTTCTCCGCCTCTCAAGTGCGACACAAATACCTCGTAGGACAGTACTCTTTCAGCAACAGCTGTATTGTTCATCCTTCTGTATATAAATTAGCCACTACTCCGTATAGCACTACAGGGTCCAGGCTGCCTTTCCTCTTGCCCAGTTCTAAAAATATCTAAAGTTGCTACCCCTTTGCGAAATAGCAAATACTTTATGCAAGTGCCTGAACGTCCCTGAAATGGTTCGAGGCCGGAATTTCGGCTTCTCTTAAAAGATTATCTCACACTTCTGGACGCAGTATAGCAGGGCATGGCAGTACATGGGTCCAAAACACGCAAATGAATCTAGCAGTGACAAGTTGACTAGACATAGCAAACCTGACCTCATTTGAGCATTTTGAATTTCCTTCAATATTTATCATCAATAATGGCCTTGGGCACACCAAGACTTCCATACCTTGAAATAGATTGTGATGACGGCATTCAAGTGTTCTTTTGTCCCAATACCACACATTATACCATCAAGCCCTAGTTCTGTTCTGCGGATATGCTATCGGTTTTAGGAATTGATATTCTGACTGTAAATCCTCCGCAGGAGACCTTGAATGCGTTGAGTCGTGTGTAACGATGTGCAGCACGGACGCCTTCTGTTTGATCATTTCCTGATACAGGTGTTGCAGGGTTCTATGGTTCTCATCGAAGAAATCAACTTTGCAAGCAGCGAAAACGGAGAATAGGATATAGAATGACCGCATCACGTCTAAGCTCTTGTTAACGGCATTTTTCCAAAAAAAAAAGGAAGCATGGGACAGAAGGGTCTTAGCCCCCACAGCAATTTCTCCTATAGAATTTTTTTGTCTCTTATCGAACTTCCTTTGGTGAATTTTCTACCGGCTTCTCTATTGTTATTGGAGGTATCAGTATTCCGACAAGCGGCCCTAACGTGCCTTGTTATGGGATCGAAGAACAAGGACAACAGTAAATTTTCGAAGGGTGAATTAATGCTGCCCCATGCTGCAAGGTGTTTGTTCATTTTGCCGCCCCTTATCAAGTGCATGGAAAAGCTCCTCGAAAGGGGCTGACGCCGCAAACAGGAGTTCACCCAGTTGACGAGCGGAGAGCAAGAATGAAGTAGCCCAAGGTTAGCGAATGGGGCTGACCGCTTAACTAGGGGCCCGACTCCTGCGCCTTGAGAAGACCACAGCCACTAGGCGAAAGGAGACCACACAGCTTGATGGATGCAACGCGGTTCGTTTTGTTGCATAAGGATCGAAGTGTCCCTCTTTGGCGCCAGATGAGACCGCCACCCCAGGCAGAAGAAGGATTGAGGATGCGGTACGCGTCTTAGGGGGATAGCTTGATGTCGACTATGGCCGTCTGACAGGCGAGTGGCGTTGCGGTTGACGAAGCTAACTATGTGACACCTCCTGGCGCCAGGCCCAGAACCGGCTTATTGATCAGCCAGGAGCGCCGGGACCATGGAACTGCCGCGCTTTATGCAGCCTGGCGATCCATCACCCCTTGGGCTCATCTTCTAGCCCATGGCAGACCGATTCCTGCTGGCAGGGTGAGTTGAAAAACCGGTTCGCATACGGGCCTCCCTTTGGTGGTGCCTTCAGGTACCTCGCGGACGGGGCAGCAGAGATATAGGGGACGCTGTTATGGCGATGTATGCATGACCTAGCAGACATGATTACCGTGTGTAGGTAGTACTTACTATTCAGTACTTCTAGAGGTTGATCACGTATCATCTGCGGTTCTAGAAGGTTACTCTGTGCCTGGGAACAGAATTCATCTTCACCTACTAACTGGCAGTCAACAACCTAGTTATTCGATGAACCTCATTCGCCAGTAAGCCCAAACCCGCCTGGAGTTCTACCAGGGCGGGCAGGGAACGTAATCTAGATGAGCCTACTAATGAATATAGCCATTATCATTGTCTAAGGGTTCGAACGTTTATTCATAACATGTATTCGAACTAACGAAGGAAAGATAGGGCCAATTAATCAAAAGGCACAGAGGGATGAAGACAAGGGGGAAGAAAGAAGGGGTGAACGTAAAAAAATTTCCTGTACAGCTGAAGAAGTAGGAGCAAGAAAGAATCCCAAGGAAAGACATAAATAATACACAAAAGTCGAGTACTCGCGCGGTGCCATAGATCACATCCAGAGACAAGGGGCAAGGCCAGGGGAGAAGTTCGAGGAGAAAGGGGTGGATATCACTGGGGCGGAACTACAACTCGCAACGAGACCCTCCTTCATTTTAAACAACCTTAAGCAATGAACTCCCTTTTAACAAAGGCACGACGTGGCCGCGCCTTTGCTTGTTGAGTCCCCTGGCGAACCTGGGTATTGCGTCGGGCCTCACCACCTCCAGCACCGCCAAAGCCGCCGGCGGCCTCACCACCATCAGCACCACCAGCGCCTCCAGCAGCCTCACCTTCAGCACCGCGGCCAGCGCCGCCAGCTCCTCCAGCACCACCGGCAACTTCACCTTCAGCACCTTCAGCACCACGGCCAGCTCCACCAGCTCCTCCAGCACCACCGGCAACTTCACCCTCAGCACCGCGGCCAGCTCCACCAGCGCCTCCAGCAGCTTCACCTTCAGCACCTTCAGCACCACGGCCAGCTCCACCAGCTCCTCCAGCACCACCGGCAACTTCACCTTCAGCACCGCGGCCAGCTCCACCAGCAGCACCGCCCGCAGCACCACCTTCTTCACCGTCAGCGCCAGCGGCTTCTGCAGCAGCAACTCTGTTACCACCAGCAGCGCCTCTGTTGGCGCCGGCGTTGCCAGCTTGTCCTTGGCCTGCCTGCCCAGCTTGCCGTTGACCGCCTGCCTGTCCTTGATTGGCAGCCTGTCTTTGTTGGCCGGCCTGTCCCTGACCAGCTTGTCGTTGGCCTGCCTGTCCGGCTTGTCGTTGGCCGCCTGCCTGGCCTTGGTTACCAGCCTGTCCCTGATTGCCGCCGGCGTTCCTGCCAGCGTTGCCGCCTTGGCCCTGGTTGCCCTGCTGTCCTTGGTTGCCCTGTTGTCCTTGGTTGTTATTGTTGTTGCCGCCGTTATTGTTATTGTTGTTGTTATTGTTATTATTGTTGTTGTTATTTCCTCGGCCGACTGTGAATTTTTGGCAATCATCCTGGGCACCACGTTGCGCGACCTTCGACTCATGTTAGCAAACCCGAGACGTAGAAAGTCATGCATAGATAGAGTACTTACAGGCATGATGACAGGCTGGTGATTGGAGGCAGAGCTCATTGTACACACGCGGTATACGCCTGCTGGCAATCCACCTTCAACTGCAGCACTAAGGCCGCCTCGTCCATTCCCTGCATCATTTATACCCTTGAAGAAGACGAACTGTTCTGGGTCAGGCGGGTTTTGGGTCGCAAGGTTGTTACCCAAAGATTGAATGGTAACATGGGTATGCCCAACAATCTTGCCACCTTGGAGTTCCTGGGGAGCGGAGTAGTAGGTGTTGTCAGGGTTGGTGAATGAGCCCGCAACCAAGTTTGTAACTTGAAGATTGACATTGAAGTCAGTGTTGGGGTTCAGGTTTTGGCCGGGGCCGGGATTTGTGATAATGGTCGAGACCATGTTATTTTTATTGGGGATATCACCCATCACTATCTTTAAGTCAGCTTGAACTGATGAAGCACCTAGCCACGTAAGAAAACGAACCAATTCCGTTGCAAGAACCCTGCTGGTTTTGAAGGCCATTGGTCAATGTCTTTCCGGTACAGAAGTTGATGAAATTTGCGTTATCGCTATCATTTAATTGTCAGTAAAAGCAAGATAGCCACGGAAAATAGAGACATACGTCTTTGAAGGGCTCTGGCCCTCTTCTGCATTTGCATTTCCATCATTCTGGCTTCCCCTTTGAACATTCTGAGCTCTCAGTAAAAGAGCATTGCCCCCATTGTTATTGTTGTTATTGTTATTGTTGTTGTTATTGTTTCCCTGGTTGCCACCGTTGTTCCCTTGATTTCCACGATTCTGGCCGCCATTCTGGCCGCCATTCTGTCCAGCGTTCTGTCCGCCATTCTGAGCACCGTTGTTCTGACGGCCTCTGTTTCCCCCGTTATTTTGCTGGCCAGCCACCGCACCGAGAAGACTCGATGAGAGGAGCAAAGCAAAAATGAAATTCTTCGTAAACATTGTTGGCGAATGGCTTGGTTATGCCGAAGTGCCCGCTTGAGAAGCGCTCTTCGAGTCCGGTTAAGAAATCAGAACTGCACAGCTTATTGGGAGTTGTGTTTAGATATTATAGTTTCCCCCGAAGCTCGTTCACCAGTACCGGTCGAAGAATAAGAATAAATTGAAAGAAAGGAGTGAAAGAAAAAGATCCACGATCAACGTGGTCTCATTAAAAAGCAAATGGTTGGAATGAATGGAGGGAGACTGACATGGAATGAAAGTAATCCCTCGAGCGATCGTCTTCAACCAGTGGACTGAAAAGAAGGCCACAAAAAAGATTGTAAGTGAACGCGACAAGACACAAGAGGGGAAGAAATAGGTAAGAAATTTGGGTGGTCAGTAGGAGATATTTGAAAGGCCAAGACGCTGAGACGGGCTCCATCTTGCAAGTCCTGCCGCGGGGAGGTCACAGTAATGCTTAAGGTGCCATGAAACCTGGCTTGACATCCTCTCTGTCGCAGAATCCAATGTGGAGGCTGCGGCCCATGTCCAGGAGAGGAAAAGGCCGGGTCCTTTGGGAAATGGAAAAAATGAAAAGCTTGCCCAATCGGGGGTTTTTTAGTGCATGGGAGCGCATGAGGGTGGCTAGCTTCAAAATTGGGGCGAACTCTCCGTGAACCATCGGATGTCGCGATGGTCGAACATAGACTGCCGCACCTGAGTTTGACGTGGAGCAATCTCAAACCGCTGGCGCGTGGAGAGACCCTAGCCGCGAAGCCAAGCCCCAGCAATTCTCCGGGATAGGCGACATCCCCCTATACATAAGAGCGATACTATCGGGCCCGAATCCATTGATTGCTGTCGCAGGAGGGGGGGAATTTGTCATTCGGGAGCAATCAAACACCCCTTGGATGACGACGTGTAGACCGCACGGTTGAGGAGTCAAGAGGCGCCGTTTAAAATTCCGACAAAGCCCCGAGAGGGGTTCAAGAGGGGTCCTTGAATGCCGGCAGGCTCCTCTCCCTTTAATGATCACGCTGTTCCCAGCTGTCAGCGCACAGTACGGAGTAGAATTGAGGGTGAAGGAAAACCAGGAAGGACGACGACGACAGCGACTCCAGAAATAGACGCGTGGCGAGAGGTCGGCCTGGACGGCCGGCTTAGTCAGCCATCCCTCTACGCCGACGCCGAAGCCCTTCCAGAAGACGGCCGAGCTGCTGAGACACAGCGCGAAACGCTTTACCTAGTTAATTGGTTAATTCACCTAATTCACCTAAGGTATCCGCCATGGCGGCGTGGGTGTACCCACAGCTGCCGCCCACCCAGCTGCAACGCGAGGAGGAAGATTCGCTGGTAACAGCTCTCCATGCTACACCCAGAGCCGAACAGGCTGACACGCACGCCGTCTAGTCCCGTGAATTACTGTGGCTGCTACGGTCCTTGCAGGATTCTTTGGCTGCTTTACGTGAAGGCTTTCAAGAATGCGCCGCCCTACTCGCCCCGTCCGAACCAGGCTCAACATTGGTGCTGTCGTCTCTACGCTCTGAGAGTGTCAAGGGATATGTAACTAGGGTTGGGCCAAAGATCGTCAAGGGGGTACGTTGTCGAGAAACGAGGGGAGGTACTTGGTGGACATTTGATGAACCCCGCTATGTAGAATGGAACCGCTGGCGACGCCCATGGTGGACTAATCATTTTGCCGTTGACAGGACGTGCATCTTCGTATGCAGACTTTAGCTCCTCCGCGGGGCTCAAATTCCACAAGGCTCTTTCTTTCCAGCGCCCCCACTGCCCCGGAATTAGTTCTGGAGCAGCTCGTGTCGGCTCGCCGGCATATTAACGACTGCCTTGATGTCGTCGATGTCAGCACCTTCACAGGTGACCCCATGAACGCCAGCTTTATATCCGGCCAACTGCGACTTTTACAGGACCATATAAGAGAGGCACAGCATGCTTTAAAAGGCGAGCGAGAAGATACGCGAAAGCCATGGAATGAAGGAAGTGTGGATGCGAATGTATGGTGTCCCTTCTCAGTGGCTCGATTCCCAAGAAATCTCATTGACTATTTTCCAAGGCATTCGACCCTCCTCTTTCAAGCTATCTCTCATTCTATCTTACTATCTCTGAGGCCGCGCTTGTCCTCTACCTGCGTACTCTTGAACCTCTGGGCGCTTCTGAGCACCCACCCACTTATTTTTCTGGCGAGCTTGGACTAAGTGGATTCTCTCTCCGTGATCGCCTCTTTGGTACAAAGCAGTCGACTCATGATGAGGCAGGGGATGTATTTAACTGGAGGGGTGAAGACGTAAAGGTCAAGGAAAAGATAAGAGTTGAAAGCCAGGACCCTAGTCTGATGGCAGTTATGGCTAAATTGATTGCCTTACAGCATGAAACTGCCAAGCTAAGGAAAGCTCTCGGGGTTGTAATGGGGGATGAAGAAAGTGATAGTGAGTAGATTAAAAGGTCTAAGCACTCTATACTAAGTTTTATTCCTATAATTCATATACATGTACTCTGTATACTCCGTATATATATAAAAATACATGTGTATGTGTATTTCTATTTCTATATTTCTTTGAATTCTCACTCAACTGAGAAACTAATTCGAGCATATCTACTGAATTTGTAGTCGAGGAGAGCTGCTGTTGCAAATTGTGATAGGCTTCAAGTACTCCGTATGGGGTTGAATGTTCAGGTTAAATCACGATCGCGATCAATATCACGCCAAAGCAGTATCCGTGTACATTATAACGTAGAAAAAGTGTAGACATTAAGCAATAGGAATTTTCAGTGTTTATACTAACTTGGCAAAAAAGCCACCAGTACGGAGTACATCCATAAAGACGAAGAGCCCTCGGTATATATTACTAAGGGTAAAAACGAAATTTTGTAAGTGTTATCTTAAATATCATTAAATGCCGGAATAATTTTGATTCGGACTCATAACATTCCGGCACGCCCAGATTTGATGAAGAGGCTGGTCGGATAAAGGTTTCTCCCGCCGGACAATGAAGAAACTTTATACCAAGACGATGACAACGGGAGATCAAGCCTATAAACCAATAAGAGCTCGCTGATTGACGAGGGCGCAATCACATGACTATCAGTGGATCCCACTTAGAGTTGGGGTTAGCGCAGAAGTCAAACCAAAGCTTTTTTACGTTTTTTCGGCATCATAAGTCGGTTTGATCACGGCTCCAACTCCAATTATCATTTTTCATTTATTTACAGACCATTTCCTTTGCCGTTAGTTCCGCCAACGGTGGGAGTATTGTCTCTGGGTACTGACATTATGATATCTGGCAGACCTGCGGCAATATGCACACTGTATCGGCGTAATGTGCTTACTCGTTGGGCTTTAAGCCCTTCGTCGTCTTCCTTTTCGACAGCCCGGACAGCAGGGACGACTTGTTTTCTGGGCCGCTCACTCGTACTATTATCACACATTCTGCGTCCTCGTATTTCGTCTTGTACACGGCGGCGCTATGACGAACGTTTATCCTCAACAACCTCCACAAACCCTCTCCTCTCTCAGACTCTTGCTATCTTTGAATTGGTAGATAGGATACACGAACATCAATGCACTTTGATAAAGGAAGCACACTATTTAGGAATTTCGAGTCATCGGCTTGCCGGGCTAGGTAGCCTTATAACATTGGGTCTCGAAGACCAGCTCGCTGCTATCCTCTGCTCTCCCAATGGAGCGGAAAGAGTCCGGTTAGCGAGACAGAGATATGGCGATGAGTTGCCAGATGGAGAATTGAATGTGGATGAGATGGCTCTATACAAAAGTCTGTATGGAACGCCACGCGCAGCACCTGCAGCTGAATCTGAGGAGACGCAAAATCCTGGACCTCAATTGTTCCGTGCTGATGGCCAAGGCAGCCTTATTAAGGTTGATCTTGGATCCGAATTTGAATTGGATAAAAACGATCCCTATTCACCGAACGAAGATGAAGTTTTTCAAGAAGAGTCTCTCGACACGGAGGAATCCGAACGTTGTCTTGAAACCCATCAAAGAGCCGTACCTGTAAAATTTATTGAAGATTATGATCCTAATGAATTTGGCCCTCGAGCCCATCCTTTGACTACTATCGGAAAATTTAATACGCCCTCTTCTACAGTATTCATGCCGCAAACTACTCTTATCAAGCCTATCACCGACATTATTTCCCACTCAAACATGAAACATATCATAGACAGATCGCATGAATTGTTTGGCAAATCTTTGTCAGAATCTACACGTGTTGTTAAAGGCACTCCCCAGTTACCTATTGCATGCTCCGCAACGCAGCACTCCATGAAACCAATAGACGCTACCCTTTTTCTCTCTGTTTTATATCCTGGATTATATACTACTTCTTTGAGTATCCTATCAGAAGTTCGAAAGCGATTAGGAAGCAAATGGCTACGCGACCTAATGTACAAGAAAGGAGGCGCTAAAATACTTGACGTTGGTGCTGGAGGTGCTGGTATTTTGGCATGGAGAGATGTCCTCAAAGCTGAATGGTCGCTTATTCATCCAGATTATACGGACGCTTCCCAGGCTCCTCAAGGGAAGGCGACCGTCGTCGTCGGGTCAGACACCTTGCGGCACAACATAAGCCACCTTCTGGAAAACACAACATTTATTCCTCGATTGCCAGATTACTTGCATGCGAGTGACCCATCAACAGTCGGTGACGAAGAATCATCGCCAAAGCGAAAAAGGTTTGACGTGATCATTGCATCGCACAACTTAATGAAGCATTCTGAAGCCTATATGCGCAAGGAGACCATTCTAAAACTCTGGTCGTTGTTAAATCCAGATGGCGGCGTTCTTATTCTGGTAGAAAAAGGGTTTCAGAGTGGGTTTGATTGCATTGGGGGTGCTCGAGAGATGATTTTGAACAGGTTGATCGCTTCACCAGGGTCTACTCATTACGAAAAGATTTTAGGGTCCTCGAATGATGAAACTATTGTGCAAAAAGAGAAAGGCATGATTATCGCACCCTGCACTAATCACTCAGAATGTCCCCTATATGTAAATCCTGGAATAAAGGTGCCAAATAAGGATCTCTGCCATTTCAGCCAGCGGTATGTCCGTCCCAATTTTCTTCAGCGAATTGTGGACTCCAAGGATGAAAATCATGAGGACATTAAATTCAGCTACTTAGCTGTTCAGCGAGGAGTAGACAAGCGCGAAACGGAGGCGGTAATTCAGGGTCAAAGTGCCTCTGATGCGGCGTTCTCTGGCTACGATGCCTCCGTAGACAATGCCGGCAACTTTGCAATTCCAGAAGTCAGAGCGATGGATGAAAACAATACACCCCAAATCAACACGCTATCTCTCCCCCGGCTGATCCTGCCCCCACTGAAGCGAAAGGGGCACGTTGTCCTGGACTTGTGCACTCCCGCCGGCCAAATCGAACGATGGGTCGTCTCCCGTTCGTATAGCAAGCAAGCATTCCGTGACGCTCGCAAATCGTCATGGGGTGATCTCTGGGCTTTAGGCGCGAAGTCGCGGACACCACGAAATTTGAAACTCACCAACAAGAACGATTCTTTGTCTCAAAATAAAGAAGAAGAATGTGAAAAGGACGAAGAAGAGACTGAACCTAAACCTCAGCCAGCCTACATGGCTGAGCACGACATGGATATTCCCGATTTTCAGCGGACACTTGAAAAGTTTCCAGAATGGGGGCTTAAAGCAAATAAAAGCCAGAAAAAGCCCGAGAAAAAAGTTCCGGCCTGGGTGAAAAAGATGCAAAAGAGAAAGGCAAGGAAACATTATGCCCAGAAGGACCACAGAGGAGTTAATGACATGATTTGAGTGCTTGGCAGTTGCCTAGCGTTCAAGTGTAGGATTACCTGGAGAATGACTGTAAATTAGACATCTTGGGGCAAGGTTCGATATTTGTATTATTAGCCAAGTCATGTAGGACCGTAGAAAAAATTTTCCACTTCCTCTGAATATATAATTCTCCCCTTCCGTTTAGTCTTTGAATTCAACCCTCCATCCAGTATCAGGTGCTGTAGAACCGTACCTTGAGGAACACGGTGCATAACCGAATTTGTCGCATTTCTGACATGAGTGAAAGAGAGAATACCTCTATCGATTGTTCCGGGTTACGCAGTATGAATTCTGGGAAAGGTCCCGGAATGGAGAGTAGAAACAAACACTCGCCGCCATCGATATCGCGAATATCAAATGCCAAGAGTCGGCACGATGGTTAGCGAGTCCGTTTTTTTGTTTCCTTTGCATCCAGCAAATATTATTTGTTTTTCACTATCGAATGGACATCGGCAGTGATATATCAAATGTATGAGGTAGAAGGCGAAGCCCAATAATGAGACGCGGCTTGTTGTTGTTTAATGCGCGGCCATACTCTTTCTCAGTTGCCTCTCCCTTTGCCTTGACTGTAGCTCCAACCTCTCGACTGCATACTTTAATCGTTCCTTTTTCTGTACTAGTTTCCGGAGCTCTGCAGCTCTGGCAGTACTGGATCCAGGCGTGACATTTGTTTCTTTATTCGTATAGCCTCCAATATGAGATGGTAGCCTCGTGTCGCGACACAATCTCCCTTCCTGAAGTACACACTTGGCCTTGAGAGATTCTTCGCGTCGCGCGAGCTTATCGAGGTGGTTTGATGCGAGAGTTAGTAGGTGCGCGATGCTAGGGGATATTTCATCAAAAATAGCTTTTTGGGCCTCATGTAAAGTGGGTTCAGGTAGAAGTTCAAAATGCTACCACTTGTTAGGCCATCATTTGGAAAGTCGGTGCCCTCTCATAACTCACTCTAGTTGACTGGAGTACTTTGCAAAGTCGAGGGAAGTCATTGACTCCCTCATCCAGAATATCAATGGAGGACTCTAGTAGCTGTAGTGATGACCGTAAAGAAGACACAGAGGATGACAACGAATTAGCCATACTGAACGCTATTCTCAATTTCGCCGAGTGTCGAAAAAGGGTGTTTGATTGTTAGTTACCCCATGTCCGAAGCCGTTGTTATTTTTCACGTGACCGGACATGCGAAAACAGCCGAAATCCGCAAACCAACCACCATCAACGACACCCCAAGCAACGCCGTCGCTTTCTTCTCTCACAGATCCGCCCTTTACGTACCGGCTCTACTCGCTCTAGAAATACCACAATGCGTCTTCCTTGGAAACGGTTCCCGGCACCAGTTGGTAAGCTTTATCGCTTCTCCTCAATTGACAAGTGCCAATGGACGGTTACGCTGACATAGCACTTTACAATAGCTCGTCCAATGGCTCCCTTCCTCGCTGCCTGTATGTTACACTCTCCTGTGCGGCTATAATACAATTGAGGCGGCAAGTAGTGTTAAGACACCAATGCCGCCTTGATGTGTAGGATGAGTCTTCCTAGAGTGCTGACCAAGAACAATGCAGCATTAATCGTTCTTTATGGCGTCAACTCCCTTCAGAATGCTATGATGAACTGTAAGTTTCAATATCCACTGATAAGAGTGACCTTTTGGTCATAGCAAGATTATACTTTGAATCAGAGCATTTTTCCTTGCGTAAATCATTACATCTCACTTACATCATTATAGCCGAAGAATTCAGAAACGACCCTCGAAACCCCAACAGACAAGTGAAATCTGCGGAGAAACATTAGATCCAGATATCCCATGAGTGTATAAGCTATGGAGGGGCTAAATGGGAAATGTTGCCAAAAGACTTGTGTACATTGAACTATAGACTACTTCTATCAAATATTTTGGCCTTAAACGGCAGTTCCGCGTGGATATACTTTCCAATCGATATACCCTACGGAGTACTATACATCGCGAATATGAAGCTTCCGCTACACTGTGCCACAGAGTCCAGGACCGCGGAAACCAGGATTAAAAAGATCAACATGTTTCTTCATTCTCTTACTTAGAAGACTTTTTTATAGCTCTCGTGATTTCGAATCGAAAACGGTCAGCCAGTCCACTAGTCTTTTTAAGGGCTCCTATAAAATCTTACACCCACAACTATTGTTGCTGGGTCATAGGGTAACCTGCAGTAATATGGTACTGTATTTTCCGCTACGTTATCGATCTATGTACTCCGTACTTTGTACTCCGTACTCCCAGCATCCGAGCATGTCAAAAAAAAAGACATGGTCACGTGACAAATGATATTATTACATAATCTAGACTGCTTCGGGAGAGGTTTTCAGCAATTTAGACCAAATGACATCTCATATCAACAATTGGGCATTTCACCATGGCGCAATTCCGTGCAAAACGACTGGATATAGCCTGCTATATCAATCCTAGGGTTATCCGAGACCATACTAAGCGCAAAGTCTTTCAGCAATATGAACCAGAGCGGTAGGCGACCATTCCACTACTTTTCGCCTGGACGATAGCATTGTCTGCAGTACTAGCCTTACTAATGACCCTTAATTATGCTAGACAAGCCCTCCGATACATAATTCGCAACACATCACTCCCTGTGCGAGTCCGAGCCCAGGCGCAACTCCAACTCTCCCAGATGCATTGCTACACAAGGCCAACGCAAATAAGAAACAGATGTACTGCTGGTGGAATTGCTAGAGCGGTCTTAAGAGATTTTAGATTAGCCAGAGTACGCCTTCCATCGAAACACGAATCCGTGCTGAATGAAATATCTTAAAGTGCTAACCTTGGTGCAGTTTCAATTTCGACAACTAGCTTTAGCGGGAGAACTTCCAGGTGTGAAGAAAGCTAGTTGGTAATTTGGATACTCGTTTTCTTTCGTATGAACCCCATTATCGAGGCCATCTAGTCCGATGAACGTTGGCGTTTATAAGGTGTATAATCAATTCATGCATATTTCTGCGGTACACTTAACGATGACCTAGAAAACTTTGTGGTGCTGCTCGGCCCGCTATGAACACCCATTTCATTCCTATATCTGCTTTTGATACTTAATGGTGTTTGGTTTAAGCAAATTAGCCTAACTACATACTTGTCAATATTTGTCAAAGCTCGCTCGCTAGTAGTGTTACAGTCCCTTGAACGCGCTGCCCTGGGGTATTAGTATTGTCGACTTTTTGAAATTCATATGATGCGGTTAACCATGTAAGTTAATGTTAACTAGCAGGCACTTAACCGCTCCGTGCTCCATACTAGAGTACTCCGTACAGAGGACCTATCAGGCGACCAGTGGGCCATTTCTAGTATCCTAGGTTTAGTCATCGTTAACTAGTTAACTAAGCAGTTGGCCATTAGTAAGCAAGTCAGCGGTGGTGAGTAGCTGCAAACGTCAAGGCACAATGATAGCTGTTTAATATTCTACAGCTGATCCTTTCTGTTCGACCAGCATCTATGCTACCTTTATAAGATATCTGATCTGCCCACGTATTGTGGTCCAGGCTATAATACCCTCTACCGTCGCCCGATGATAGCCTTCCTCTTGGAATACATGGGCAAGAAGCCCGGCAGTTACCAGATCCCCGCCCAACTCCAGATAGGAGTCACCTAACAAGAAGTTTTGTTTATTTTCACGTCTCCCAAGCACCTTACTCCATGCATTTTCCACTAGATGTCGAAGTTTCTGGAATAGCTCGGAGCTTTCGTCGTCATGTATAGTCTCCTGGTCGGAGATGCCATTCTCACAATTTCGACCTGATGATAGGGGGTTGAATGGGATCAGAATCCGGGTTGAAAAGAAATCGTTGACTGGTATCTTGGCGTAGGCAGGATCGCAGAGCTTCGCGGTTACCGAGCAAAATTTATCCAACATCTCCTGCGCAGCCCAAAGGGGGATATGTGAGGAGAAGTAAAGTTGCACGTCTACATCCCTCTCGTGGGGTGTAGTTAAAACCCAGATATCAGTCGAAGCACCGATACGGGCGATTCCGGGCAAGGTTACGGTTGAAGCGTGATCCAGATTTTGATGCTGCAAGATAGAGCTGAAACTAGACCATGATGGCCACGATGTACAAGATTTTAGGATAGTGCGCCACCCGACCCACTCGTGAGGGAGTGAGTCTACATGCTGATCTTGGATTTCTCGCATGAGCTGGAGGCTTGTTTGACAATTGGGGTCCTTGTCGAGCTTTGCCCTAATTGGTATGATATTGAGAAATGCTCCAATCGTTGTGTCGAACCTGGGCAGATACGCGCTTCGACCAGCCGAAACATGGCCGAAGGTAACATCTTTTTGCCCTGAAAATTTCGACAGCACTAGAGCCCAAGCTGCTTTGAATATTGTGGCCACGGTGATTCCAGTTCTACCCTGGACTGCAGGTGAACTTATTTTTCGGAAAAGACACGTATCAGCCTTACCGGCATAATGAAGACCATCGTGAGCAACGATTTGCGTCATATGAGACTTATATAGCAGTTGCCTCCAGAATGCTAGATGGGACACTTTTTCCCGGCTAGCATACTCATCAAGGTAATCAAAGTAATTTGAGAGAGAAGTACCGTCAAGACCAGTATATGCTGCCCTAAGATCATTTAGCATCAGCGGTACACTGATACCATCGTACTGTGCGTGTGAGATCCGGATCACCAAGCGATATCCTGAGTTGGATTTCTCAATCAATGCAAAGCGGATAGGCGGTTTTCCATATTTGACTGTTTTGAGCTCCCAGGAAAGGGGAGCTCCAGTAACGGTCCCTCCATCACACTTATAGACTTGGAAATCAAGATCCACATCCTTGAAAGCAACCAGCAGAATTCGATCTTCATGGCCCACAAATGCGGCGCGAAGGATAGGATTGTGTTGAACAAGAATGTGACAAGCTTGCCTTATACGCGAAATGTCAGAATCGCCGCTAAAGTCAACAAATAAGTCATTATAGAAGCCGCGGTGCGCCATCATCCCATGAATAGCGGTCCACGCCTGATAATCAGTTGCCTCGGCAATGTGTTGGATGTTTTTATAATTAGGCAGCTGGCTGGCGATGGTGTCACGCATGTGGTCCTCAGGTTTTGGCTTAAATACAGACTGCAATTTGGGGATATCAAATCTGGTCACAATTTTTGAAATATCATCCAGCTGCGGATACTTGAAAATGTCGGCCACAGATAGTGAGAGGCCTTCCCTGTGAGCAGAAGCCGCGAGCTTCATTGCAACAATAGAGTTGCCACCGAGATCAAAGAAATTGTCTAAAGAGCCAATAGAGGCAAGTGGAAGCTCTAGTACTCGGCTCCATAGGTTTTGCATCTTTTGCCCCTTCTTAGTGACAGGCTGGCGCTTGATCAGCCTCTTCGACGTGGTTGTACCCTCACCTGGTATTGCTGCTATCGATGTGAGTCCAGCTTCGTTTAAAATCGCTGCCCCCAGCGTGCGAAGTCGGGTGCGATCTGTTTTACCAGAAGTGTTCAACGGCATAGTTGCCAATTGCGCGAACATCGAAGGAACCATATATTCTGGTAGTAAGGACGCAAGATGTTTTTTGAGTTTCCTTAGCCTGTTCTGCACCTCGTTCGTGACGGGTACAACCATCACCTCTGGTTCTCGCCCTCCAATTGCATCATAACTGGCAAAAAACGCTGCCAGACAGGCGGACTCTTGCTTAGAACCCTGAACCAATTCTACTGCCCAAACGTGTTCCTCCCCATAATTGGATGCCAGTTGCTCTTCGATCTCTTGGAGCTCAATACGCTGCCCGTGTAGCTTGACTTGTGTATCTTTTCTGCCAACGTAGATAACAGCACCGTCTTCAGGGCTTTGATACACCAAATCCCCCGTCCTAAATATCCGATGAGTCCGGTTTGGTCCAAAATCTCTTTCCGCCAGAAAAGCAGGGGCCTCTGTAAGGTAACTCCGTGCTGTCTTTTCAGGGTCTTTCAGATACCCTCGGGATATGGCTGGTCCTTGTATTAAGAGCTCCCCAATGGTCCCAATTGGAACGAGGGTATGATGGTTGTCGGGATCTACAACCCAAAGGTTTGCATCGATGCCGTGGCCTACTGTCCTCGGGTTGAGACTACGGTCCGCCGAAAGATCACTCATCGTGGCTCCAATCACTGTTTCGGCTGGCCCATCTAGGAGTTGTGTCAGAGTGTCCCGTATTCTTACAGGATCTAGGCTTGACTTACAGGAATTGATAACGCGAACATGACCGGCCCAGGTCTCAGTATCTTCTTTAGCAAGTGGCTCTCCACCGAGTGTAAGAGTTCTCACTGTTGGCACTGATTCTGGGGTAAGCAAGCGTGACACAGTTGGCGTCAATCCTATCCAGTTAGCTCTCATCTCAGAGATTGTCTGGGCGAGATTGCTCAGTCTGTCATCTTCAGAAGGCACACAAACACATCCACCTCGCATGAGTGTTGTCCATGTATCACCGAGGCTCACATCGAAGGCATACGAAGCAAATGAAAACACACGGCTATCCAACCCAATATTCATGGTAGAGCCTTGAGCTTCCGAGCTTGTGCAAATATGGACATGCTCAATAATAATGCCCTTAGGCTTCCCGGTGCTGCCCGATGTGAAAATGACAAAAGCGGCATTGGAAGAACAGACATTTGTCCGAGGGTCCTCGATTTGGGAAGGCAACCCATCAAGGAACGACTTATCGACTACAACCGTGTTGTCAACAAGTCCAGAAAACCTGTTACGATATTGCGCTGATACAACAATTAGAGGAGCCTCTGTGTCTTGAATGATACAATGCAGACGATCTGTTGGATGTGAAGGATCAAGTGTGGCGCATGCTCCCCCTGCTTTCAGTATACCAATCATTGCGACAATCGTCCATGCCGACTTCTCCATGATAACGGGTACCAAGACCTCAGGCCCAACACCCATCCTCACAATATAATGTGCAAATGCCGTGGCATATTGGTCAACTTGGGAATAACTTAGTTGGTAGTCCCATGCATGAACCGCAGGTGCCTTAGGCCAAGCAAACACCTGTTTTTTAAATACATGATGAACGCACGTCTCCATGGCTCGAGGAATCTTTTCGTTCCATTTCTTGATCAGTTGCCTTTCATAGCTGCTGCATCGTGTGATCTGAAGTAAAGTTCGTTGGTGACCGGAACTGAGCTCGACGAATGTGTGTGCCAACTGATGGATTACTAGCTCCATTTTGCGCTCATTGATGAGATTTGAATCAAAATGTGCCGAAACCTCGAGTTGACCTTCCCCAATACTGCACTCCATGGTCAGTGGAGTAGCCCTGGCATTGTTATAATCCATTTCCACACGTTCACACCCTAACATTGCTCCACTATGGACAAACAGAGGTTGGATGACAAAGAGGCTTAAAAACTGGCAGGCAGCCCGAGCATCTTCACTGGCGCTAGATATATTTTGTAGCCCTTCTTGCTCGAAAGGTATTTTCTGAGCTGCCTGTTGCTGGATATCATACAGCAACTTTGAAATCGGCTGGCTTTTATTCAAATTCACTCTGACCGGAAGTGTTGCGATAGTTGGACCAATAATTTCTGAAATACCTGGTACAGGAGCATTGCGTCCAGATACCACAGATCCAAATGTGATGTCAGTAGACTCTGTGATTTGTGAAAGAACAATTGCCCAAGCAGCCTGCAGAATTGTCGAAGCTGTGAAGTCACCCTGTGTCTCTATTCCTATATCAATAGGAACCCTGAGTGATTTGTTGACTACAAACTGATATTCTGGATCGTGAATCTGTGGGAATTTTGATTGTTTAGCCCCCTTGAGAAACTGACTCCAGAACTTTCGACCTCTTTCTCGATCAATCTCAGTAACATGCTTGATAAAAGTACGAAACTCAGACTGTGAATGATGAGATCCATCTTGATGGTACATATTCTCGACGCTTCGAAACAACAGCGGTAATGACCATCCATCATACACGGAGTGGTGCATTGTTAGGACGAAATATTGGCGATTCCCCTCTCGAAGCAACGCATATGTCGACAGTGGAGACTGGGGTCGCATGTCAAGTTTCTGATCTTGTGCAAGATACAACTGTAGATTATCTCCATATTCCCATTGGATGTCTTCAGAGATCACAACTTGCCACATCGAGTTCTCTATAGCAATGATTCTTGTCCGCAAAATTGGTGTCCTTTCAATAACGAGTGACCACGCTTTCTGGAATCGCCAGATATCGATGTGTGCTGGCAAGCTGAAGACAAACTGAGAGATGTAAGAGCCTGGTCTTTTATTTGATAGTGCTACTAGCCCCTCCTGAAGCGGTGTACAAGGATAAATGTCAAGGATTGACTCCGATTGCACTTCGATAGCCTCACTCGCCTGGCTAATAACGTCTGTCATTGAATGTGACGCTCCTAGCAACCCAAAAGCCTCAAGAGAAGATGCATCCAAAGACCCCCCAGCCTCCAAGCATCGAGACATTTTCTTCAAAGTCGGATTCCCAAATATTTCAGAAATTCCTATAGACAAATTGTTGTTTCGCACAATATTAACGAGGTGCAAAGCCGCAATAGAATCTCCCCCCAAGTGGAAGAAGTTACTATTTGCTCCGATATTGGATCCCTCCATTCGCAATACCTGCCCCCAAAAACCTTGCATGATCGATTCATATTCGGTAGATGGCCCATTACTCGTTTCATCACTCATGAGCGAGTACTTTGATTGATCTTCCTGAGAAAGTGTTGCGATCAACTGCCGAAGAAGAGGGCGGTTGAGCTTTCCTGTTGGGGTAGGTGGCATTTTTTTTATCTGAATATACAGTGATGGCACCATATAAGATGGCAATACTGCGTCGAGCTTTTGTCGTAGATCCTCCATTTGTGACCGGAATGACTCCGTCATTGGGTTGAGGAGGTCTTCATTGTTGACAGCTTCGGTGCAACGAGCATCACAAACAAATGCAGCTAAAGCCTTGGACCCTTCTATACCGGCCCGGTCGACTAGCTCTACTGCGACGGCTATGTGTTCAGGGAGATTGAGCCCCATGTTATATTCGATTTCGCCAAGTTCCAGACGCTGGCCCCGCAACTTTACCTGATTGTCTTTTCGTCCAATGTACATCATAGTTCCATCCGTGTTGTAACGCACAAGGTCTCCTGTGCGGTACATTTTCCGCCGCGCCCCATGAAGCCAGACTGGACTATCGATGAATGCTGCTGCTGTTTTTTCAGGGTCGTTTAGGTACCCACGCGCGAGAATTGGACCCTCAAGCAGGAGCTCACCAACAGATCCCACGGGCAACAGCTTATCAGGATTTCTAGGGTCAACAATCCAGGAGACACTGCCAAAAGCTCGACCAAGTATAATTCGATGGCCTTTATCTCTGTTGACTGTATGAGATACGGAAAATATGCAGCATTCCGTTGGACCATAGACATGGATGAAAGTAACGCTAGGAACCCATGTAGAGAGAATATCTTGCCCTACAATTTCCCCACCAACAGCCAGAGTTCGAACCGTTGGTACTGATCTTGGCTCGATAGTGCGGATGAAGGATGGGGTAGAAAATATCCAATTAACTCGGGCCCTGTTGATAAACGACACAATATCCCCCATTCGCTCTTTTTCAGTCGGGATGCAGACTGTGCCACCCATCGTGAGCGTTGTGAATATCTCTGCAATGGAGGCATCAAATGTGTACGAAGAGAATTGGAGTACACGAGAGGACTTCTCAAATCCCATTGGACCTGCATGTTCTGTGCAGCTGGAACTTACTGCACGATGCTCGATGACTACACCCTTGGGTTTCCCGGTGCTCCCTGAGGTGAAGATTATGTAGGCAACATTCGAAGGTGTCACAGCCTGTTTGGTAAGCATTGGACAATCCTGGAGGCTACAATTGACAGTCTCTTGTGACACCTCTAGCACTGTTGGCACATATGAACGTAGAATCGCACTGGTTACTCGTGATCCAAGAACAAGCTTCGCTTCCACATTTTTGATGACGGCAAGGTGTCTTTCAGGTGGATGTTTTGGATCAAGTGGCACAAATCCTCCTCCTGCCTTTAAGACTCCTAGCATTGCTACCACTGCCCATGTTGACTTTTCAAAGCAAATTGGAACTAGAATTTCCGATGAAACCCCTGCTGCAGCTAGAGTTAATGCAAGAGCGGAAGATATCAAATCTAATTGTCGATATGACCATGACTCTTGAGACGAGTAAATTGCTTCGTTATGGGGATATTCCTTGACAACTGACTGGAAGATTTCGTGAAGACAGCGATTTGATGGGGCTGGGATATTCTTGTTCCACTCGAAGATTCGATCATAATGAGCGTCTGATATGCTAACACTCCCAATGTCCTGTTGTGGGTCGTTTGTGATTGAAGAAAGCGCTGCCACAAACATTTTTGAAGTTGCTTGCATTTGGTCCTCTGATACTCGAGATTTCCAGAATCTGAGCGCAACATCTACAGCTGCGGGAGAATCAAACACATGAAGCGTGACGTCATACTCGTTGGGATCATTATCTGGTAGCTGATGGACCTGGAGCTCTCCAGTAGCTCCTAGAAAACTGGGTCTCTGGAATGATATTGCCGTATTGAAAAGGTGTTTCCCTTGCAGCCCGAGGGCGCAGTGAATCTCTGCCAATGAGATATGCTGATGCTCCAGGCTCAGTCGAAATTGTTTCTTTGACACGTTCAGTATCTGAATCAAAGACACTCCTTCATCCATCTCGAATCTGCAGACCAACATATTCACAAACACGCCTACAGCATCCATAATGCCGTCCACAGGCACATCCCGTCCAGACGCTAGGCACCCAAAGCAAACGGAGTCCGAACCTGTGAGCGCACGTAGGACTAGTGCCCATGCTAACTGGACCACACTTGCCGTAGTGAGTTGCATTTGTACACAGAGCTCACGAATCTTCTGAACGAGACAAGGGTCCAGTCTAATCGCCTGCTCAGCATAATCTGATTGTTTTCGCTCTGAGCATGGGAAATAACATGGGGGGGTACCCGCGAGATATTGTTCCCAGTAAGCCCGGTCATCTGCAGGGGACCTCTGAGTAAGATAACGCACATATTCCTTATAGAGGGGGCCGGAATGTGGGACAAGCTCATTTTTATAGCCGAGAATTAGGTCTTTGAGTATGATTTGGGCAGAAGCGCCATCAAACAAGGCGTGGTTGATGGAGAGCTCACAAACTGTTGTCGATGGGCTAGTGCTATAGATGGTCAGCTCGTGCTCATGTACGAACTGATCTTTAGAAGCTCCTCGCCCATTTGACTGTCTGAAATCACCATCCTCGTTACAGAAGATAATGGCTGTGAGAGGCTCGTAGCCCTCAAGAACGATCTGATTGAACAATGATTGCTGATTAAAACTGGGAGTAAAGACTGTTCGCAGAATGCTGTGTCTTTTTACAACCTGGGACCATGCTTTAAGTAAGCGGTCATTATCAACCATGGATTCTTTGTCTGCCGTGATCTTCCACCGAATTGAAGATCTGTATAGACTGGAGTTTCTCGCCTGACTTGCCAATATTCCATCTTGCATGGGAGTACATGGATAGATATCTTCAATGATTATGCCGTTACTCTCTCTCAGGTTCTTCAAACGATCGTTTACTAGGGTATCCAGGGTCTGATAGTCTAGCGCAAGCATTGGGAAATCACTGAGCGTATACTCAAAGTCACGCCCTTTCAAGATTCCGGCCATCATTTCTAGAATGGAAGCAAACTCCGTGACCCATTTTGTGATTTTTTCCTGATATCTTAGTCTCCTCCCGTGCTTGAGCGCAAAGCCCAGCTGGGAACGTTCGACCTGCACCGATACTTCAAATATCGCAACATCAAGGGCTTGACGGCCTAGATCTTCCGCGATGCCATTGGGAACTTGTTGTAGAATCGCGTCTGCTCTTTCTAATTGCTGGTACTGGCCAAAAAAATTAAACAATATCTCAACAGGAAAATTATTCGTGTGAGAATTGTCTTGTTTCAGGATCTGATTCCGGAAGAACGCTGTCTCGTGCCCCGCTAGTGTTCTACGAAAGTCCTTAACACGACGAATCATATCGACAATTGTTCCATTCTTCTTTGGGTTCACTAAAATGGGAAATAAGACGGTGAACCAGCCTACCGTTTGAGATACATCGATCGCTTTGTCACCCAAGCTTCGCCCATGTCCCTCATCGAAAACAGTGGGTAGAGGCCGGTCATTGAAGACTGTCCCAAAAGAGAATAGAAGTGCTGCAAGCATAATATCCACAGGGTTTGTGCGGAGTGAAGAATGGCAGAACTTCATGATCTGCTCCGTCAAACTTGTGCTAAGCGTGAAAGTATGCGTTTGCGTGTCTACTGACGACAAAGGCTTTGCTGTGATCCCCCAGTACTCCAGATTCGGGGGAGCATATTCGAATGATTGAAGAACTGGGGGAAGCACTGCCCTTGAAAGGTGTTTGTCTTGCAGACGAAGCCAACTCCGGAATGAAAGCGGTTTCTCTCTACTCAGAGAGCCTTGTGTAAGGTATTCTTCCAGGTCATGAAGAATGATTCTCCACGAGACAAGGTCAATGACCAGATGATGGGCTGTTAATCTTAAATACCTGCCCCCTTTATCTTTTGCTATGATATCCCCCACGAGTAAAGGGCCTGTCTCCACGTTCATCAATGCCGCACTGTGGGGGAAGTTGTCTTTCATTATACCTTGTCCTATATCATGAGAAAAAAGAAGATAAGAGGCGTCGGCATCTTTTGATATGTATTGTACCCACTCTCCCTTATAGCGAGTGAAACGAGCCCGAAGCATTGAGTGCCGCTCAACCACTGCCTTGAGAGCGAAACCGAGAGTCTCCCTATCCACATCCCCACGAAGCTTCAAGAGAAAACTTTGGTTGAATTCATTATCACCATTTGGCACAAGACTGAAATACAGTTTTTGCATTGGTGATAGTTCAAATTTCTCGTCACTCTCTTCTTCGCTCGGGTCCTCTAGTATTTGTATGGTGGATAAACTGACGTGACGGGCCATGTCTGATATTGACTTGCTACTGAGAATATTCCTTGTTGCTATCTCTATCCCTTTTGTCCTGCAGAGGCTCACTATCTGCATCGCGGATATGGAGTCGCCCCCCAGGCTCAGATATGATTGTTGAAGGTCGATGTCTCCCACAGAAATATTTAACACATCACCCACAATCTGCTGGAGGGACTTCTCTATACTGGAAACGGGAAAACACTCCGACAAGGCTTGAGGTTTAGTCTCGATGGTCCTGAGAGATGAGCCGTTGACATCTTCAGCCCATCGCACTAGTGATTTCCTATCGACCTTTCCAGAGGGAAGCAGTGGCAATGATTGGACCGCTATCAAATGGGCGGGAACCATGTATTGGGGTAGAGATCTGGAAAGTAAATCGCGGATCTGGTTAATTCTTGACCCAGCTTCCTCTCCTAGTGGACGAATTTGACCGTCAAAATTAGCTCTGGTGTCTTCCTTTAGTACTAAAACCCCCACAAGCCGATGTTTAAGCACTCCAGAAGGAGGGAACAATACAAGCGCCTGCGAGACCATTCCTGTTGCAAAAATATGGTGCTCGATTTCCCCCAGTTCAACGCGCTGACCACGGACCTTGATCTGGGAGTCTTTCCGACCAATATAAAGTAGGGACCCGTCCGATTCATATCGAACAAGATCACCAGTTTTGTAAAACTTGGAAGCAGTATTCAACAATTCAAAATCCGAATACCATTCAGGCGCTTCAATGAACAGAGCTGCTGTTTTCTCGTCATCTTGGAAATACCCGCGAGCCAACGTGTGACCCTGAACCAGAAGCTCACCCACACACCCCAGGGGTGCCAGCCTAGCATGATTATCTGGATCAACAATCCAAGATAGCGTATTTATTGCGCGCCCAATGCACTTAGTAGGTAGTTCAACCGAGAGCTGTGCCATATTGCAAGCAATGGTAATCTCGCTCGGACCATATGCATTCAATACTGAGCGAGTCTTTAACCAAGCCTTTAGCGTGTCCCCAGAGAAAGCCTCCCCTCCTGTGACTAGAGTGTGCACGGTGGGAATATTTCTGGGCTCGAGAAGTCTTGCAATCGAGGGTGTGAGGAAGACAAGATCGACACTGTTGTCGTTGATATAGACAACAAGGTTGTCAACTCTGTCCGAGTCTGAAGGCATGCAAACACAACCTCCGCTGAACAAGGTAGGAAAGATCTCAAGAATAGACGCATCAAAAGTGAAGGATGAGAATTGCAGCATTCGCGTCTCACTGGAAGACCCCATCCGAGCAGCCAAGTCCAAGCAGGACTGAACGAGCGAGTGGTGCTCAATCATCACTCCTTTTGGCGCACCTGTGCTACCAGAGGTAAAAATCACATATGCCAGGTTGTTGGGGGTGACAGTGCTCAGCAGCTGCGTTGAATCGCCCAGTGGTGAAACCAGCTCCGGCTGCGAAACAACAACAGCCGTTGGTTTTAGTGATCTCATTCTCTCGATGCTTGATTCTGAGGTGAGTAGAACCTCCGCTTGTATTCTTTCTAGGATGCCACTCAGTCTCTCTAGGGGGTGTGCCGGGTCGAGGGCGACGAATGCTGCCCCAGCCTTAAGGATGCCGAGCATCGCGACAATTGCCCAAGCGGATTTCTCCATGCAGAATGGTATGAGAGAATCTGGCTTTACCCCCAAGAGTAGCAACCGCTGAGCCAGGCTGTCTGAGAAGCTGTCCATCTCTCCATATGTGAGCCTAGCATCCCAAGCCCTGACTGCTAGGGCATCCGGCCGTCGTCTGGCCTGCGATGTTATGATTCCATGCGCCAGCTCCATAACGGGCTCGGGACACTTTGTGTTCCATTGTCGAATCTGAGATATATCCTCTGGGCCACAAACCTGCAATTTACCCAAGGTTGCTTTGCCGGTAGACTCAGAGAGTACACTGACCAGGTGCAAGAATTGGTCAAGGATTCGATTCACCTCCGCGATCCGTAACATTTGCTCGTTGTATCTGCCGATAACAGATAACTCCGAAGCCTTCCACGCGCATGCAATCACAAGCGCGACATTGCCCTCCAGCTTCTGTTCCCATTTGGCATCGACAGTACCTTTGCAAGGAAGCTGTCCGAGACCGCACTGCCCAAGCTGAAGGATATAGGGTAGGCTCTTCTGCTCGCCCGCATCGCACCCTGCTGCCCACTGAGTTTCAACATGGTTGAAGAACTCTTCCAGTGGTTTCTTCTTATCTACTGTCACTTCAATTTGTCTCAGCTGCGAGTTGACTTGGTGGTTTCTTTGCTTGAGGCAATTTTTCTCCGTGCAACAGTGGTCTTGAAGAACAAATGACACGGTATCAATGTTGAAGGTAAAGCCAATAAGCATGGCCCAGGCTGATTGAATCACCACAGGCGGACTGGCTGTAAATCCAGATGAGAGGGCCTTGTCCCTGGCAACCGTGGCGATTAACGGCCTGCCATGTGCCACAGAATGGCTTGGGGGGAATGCAGAGAGCCGGCTAGGCATGGTGTGAGATGATTTTTGCGCTGGGCAAAACAAGAAACAATGTGAATGAAAGAACTAGACGGGTTAATGGTCACCATGCCGGTCTATCTGCGGGACGAAACCGATACGTTTATACCACGCTGCCTATGGCTGAGGACGTACCAGGCCTCTTTTGCTCGGACCATCTCGCCCCGTTTGTGCTACAGGTTTTTTGTTCACCGATCGTATTCCCTCGCATATTCTAACAAATGTTAATCATTATAATCAACCCTGCCGCTGTGACCTCAAATTCGATAGGTACTATCAAGAGAAAGTATCAAACTAGCTGGCGGTTGATAGAAATAGGAACCCGCACGGGCCATTATGGAGTCTAACCTAGCTGATATTGATGGATGCCGGTGTTTCTGACCCAGTCCCCTCCATAACGTTTCAACCCTGCAAAGCTATTTGCATACTATCAAACCAACTCGCATTTAGCACTCTCAGCTTCAGCCCCAGATATCCACTGCGCTACAAGCTACGCACGCTGCCCGTTTCCCAACTATCTCCGCTGGCTTCAACCTCCCTTCACCAATTTGCACCACAGAACAACCTCTCCGCCTTTTACCTCCAAGGCAACCCACACCACTCGAATCCGGTGTGAATAGAGGTGGCATTGGTGGCTAGGGTATCCTGCTGTAAAAGTATGCCTGCGCAATGGATGGTATGCTCTTCTAGGAAAATTCCATGTTCAATTGGTTTTCCCTCTCTATACGCCCGCATTTGCATTTCCCAGAGATAGGCACAGTGAGCGTAGTGGAAGAACTTGCGAGTCCATATTACATCGTGGTCTCCACGGCGCACTTCCTCATCTGTCATAGGGATAGTGAGACTTTGGTCTCGGAACCAGCTGTAGTTTCCGCGCGCAATGTATTTCTCCATCAGATCCGAGGCATAACAGTCTGCATGAATCCAACCTCCCAACATGACATCGTACATGCAGCCTTTTTTGCGCGCCTCAGCTGAATTGCTGCCGCATCCCTTCCAAGTCGCCTTCATCTCCTCTTCTGTGATGGGATGGTCTGGGATGTCCTTGCACTTCATGCCGCCCTTAGCGCTGAGCTGGTGCCAGAGCACCATCAGCAGGAGAATCAACATCACGCCCGTAGCAACCCCCGTAAAGATGGAGCAAATGGAGGTGAAAACGTTCAGACGACGACGCTTGACCTTTAGTCGCCTACGTTGCTGCGAGCTCAGCATAGCCTCGTACTGGCCTTTCATAAGGGTTTCACTGTCATCTTCCTGAGAATGTGCGGTATCGTCATGATGGTTGTTCATTTTGAAGTAAATAGCAGTGAATATTGAGACAGAGACCCGTAAGCCGGCGATTTCGAAGTATAGCAGGGCGTCCGAGACACGATTTTCGTCCTGGTATTTCCAGACGAGCAACCATTTCACACGTAGATCGCGGTCTAAATAGGCACGCTGCGGACCCATCTATCTCCCTGGTCATTCAGACATACGAGCATAACCAGCACCCTCTTAGCAATATGCTAGAGGCCAGAGCCCTCCCTGTTCACCGTCGACGGCGGTTCGCAGTTACTCGCGAATCAAGCAAGGGCTGATTTCCGATCAAGCCTCGTAATAGGGGCCCACTCTATCCAGACTACTCCGCTCCGCATCTTGCCAGATTCCACTTTGCTTCCGATGATAGCATACGGCGCGCCTTCTCAGCTTCTTCACCGGGTACGTAATATGTATGCACCCCTTCTGTTGCATGACGATGAAGTTGGAAGCTAGCTGCATGTAGGTCAGGAAAGATACACACCCCCATTAATACTGAGTAGCCCGGAATTAGTTCCTTGGACTCCGTACTCCGTACGGCGTACGGAGTAGAGAGAGAGAGAGTGGGGGATACGGACTTTGACGATGCTTTTCAGCCGAAGTTGTTCTAGCAGGCTCACCTTGCTCATGTCTCAGCTAAAACTTGCGGGGAAATCTTGGCCCACGCCTGACGACTCTGCGCCTTTGATTGATATCGTTCACTGTTGGTTACGGAGCTCTCGTGGTATGGGGTAGTCATAAGGTTAGCCAACACAGTCAAGCTTTGCACTGAAGCTTTGATCGGCAATCTTGCAACAGCCGCTGAGCCAGACTGCTGGGCCAATCAGTGGCCCGGGGAGAAGAAAGCCACCCGAGAAGTTAGAGTTTAATGAAGACCAGAGCAACGGCCGTAGGGGATGTCCGGCTTGAAAGGGTACACTCATGGATACGAAAAACCCTCCCGCCACGCCGAGGCACCCCACAGACAACCAGGCAGACACCCACGCCTGGCAGGGAATATCTCAATCCTGCCTGAAATATTTCCATGCACCTGTTCGCTGCATTTCGGTGTATCCGTTGGTCCGAAGCTTACTCCGTACATGCTGGTTCCAACAAAAAAATGGGTGCTTGTTTGGATGAAGATCTATTGTCGATCGTCCATCTGCAGCCCTAATTCAGCCTATTTTGATTTCTTTTCGTTCTCGTTTTTGCCAGGCGATCTGCATGCCGTACCGGACGGAGCACATATACGGGCCTCTATTACTCACACCGCACCGGAACAGACGTCGGAGTGTTGAATTGCATGACGTTTGAGGCGGCTATGCACGTTGCTCGGCTAAACTGGCTAAAGCAGGAATGTGTGTACGAGTTTCTCTATGTATTTGGACTGGGAATACCTCTCTCTAGTCTAAAGAAGCCTTTCCAGAAGCCTTTAAAGCTCCTATGCCGTGATGCCAAGGATATCGTCCTTAATCGCCCAAGTTGACAGGGAATCGCTTTCTCAACTTCTCCCCGTACCGGAAGAACAGGATTGGTAACCCTCCAAACAGCAGCGACAGAAACGCTAGGAGAGAGTTGCCCCATCCGTAGCCTAGCTTGCTGTAAAGAGCTGGTCCAGCCAGTGGTAAAGTACCGCCGCTAATGCTGCGGAGAAGATTGTTGCCAGCGAGCCCACTAGCTCCGTGGAGCGGGAAAGCGTCAATAACATACGCTTGAGTTGGAACCTAGACGAGACACAAGATGAGTACAGGAGCGGCATCTTTCATAGTGTAGGCAAGGGAGACGAACAAAACAAAACGTTACACCAACTCCAGCAAAGCTGGTTCCGATAACAGGGAGGATCCAGTGTACCCGATAGTGCACACACCAGCCATAAAGGAACATCCCGATAGGGAGAGCGACTGCCCCGTAAATAAGGAACGGAAGTCGAAACCTATGCAGTAGTCCTTCAGCATGAGATGCCTTGTAAGATAAAACGATGAGCTAAAGAAAAGGCATAAACTAACTCCGGCTTCTCTTCGTGGTGCTTCTCACTGAGTCTTTTGTGAATACTATCGTTGAAATACCCTGCTACCAAGAGGGAAAGGACCATTCCGGCCGCAAACCCGAGATATGTAAGACCAGAGTTGCCTGTATCGAAGCCATAAACGCCCTGAAAGACAGTGGAGAGAGTAGTGAATAGAATATAGATGATGCCATACACGAGACTCATGTATAGAGAAAGGCCCAAAATAATGGGACTGAAAATTAGGATCTGGAGAGGACGAAGGAATGCACGCGAGAGGAGAACACCTAAAGGCTTGGTCGTCTGTCCTTTAGCACGGAGGTTGTGATTCCCGGTTGCCTTACGTAGGCGTTTTGCTTTTCTGCTAAGAATAACAGGGGCATACGTCTCACGCAGAACAAACAAGCAAAATATCCCGATAGAACCGCTCTATATGGAAGGTTAGTCTAACTGGATACATTTCTAGAAGAAGTAGTGCATACGCACGACTATACTCAGTACCCAGAACATCCATCGCCAGCCCTTTGCTGATGCAATATACCCACCTGCACTGGGGCCGAGAACTGGAGCGATCACATCCACGCCACCAAGCAGACTCAGAACTGCACCTCGCCGTCCAACAGGAATCATATCTGCAATTGTTCCTCCTGGGTTCGTTATGGTCGCTCCCCCGCAGAGCCCTGCCAAAATCCGACAGGCTATGAGGGTTTGGATATTTTGTGACAGCGCACAGCCCACAGTGAAGCCCGTGAACAGAAGGTTTCCTACATGGTACACAATGTTCCGCCCATAGATTTCAGACATAGGTGCCAAAAAAATAGGGCCTACTCCGAAGCCAATAACCTAAAGCGTTCAGTCAGGCAGCTACTCAAAATATACAGGAGAGGTAGGTGGTATAGAATACGGTCTGTACATACGTAGGCCGATAATGCAAAGGAGCCCGCTGCATCACTCTGGAAGCCCAGGTCCTTTTTAATATCCAAAATCGCAGGCGCCATCATAGAGGTCGCGAACGGGCTGCATCTATTTAGTATCACGGTGGGGAAGGCTTCACAATCGTGGAGACACACGTTACCAATCTCAATCCACAAAGAGCCACGATTGTCAGCCCTTTCCTCCAGCGACTCCAGTTCATGGGGTTTTCCGGGTCCTCCGGCCCCTCAAAGTCGACAATGCTTGCATCCCCATGTTCCATAAGCCGGTGAACAGGGCCGGTGTCTTCAGCACTCAAGCGCTCTTTAGTGTCGCTACAGCTGTCTGGCTTGAGTGTCATAGTGGACATGTCGAAAGCATGAGGAAGCCACGCGGAAATCAGAACAGACGATCAAAAAAGTGGGAGAGATTTAGATATGGGCATAAAATTGCGCACGGCCACTCCTAATGGTACTGCCCGCAGCAATGAACCCGATGTCCGTGGTCATGCAGGGATCTTTTATTCCGATACGAATTGTAGTTAAGTCCGGAAGCCTGATCAATCGGAGCTCGGGATACATCATGAACCGGCTGTTTGTTTGGTTGATTGAGAGCCTTTTTCGCGTGAGCATTTGAGTTCGCGCATCCAAACATCTCTCATCCAGGCCGGTTTCTCAGTCATTCTGACATAACTAACTTGTAATCTTCCATGCTGGGGCTGCCCTTCAGCCCACGACGCATCTTTCAGCCGTAGAATCTGCGCTACTCCGTACCATGCTCTGTGCCTTTTCACTATCCCCACCTGCAAGGCCTAATTTATCGCCACACAGGGCATCCTAAGACGTACTCTTCGGATCCAAAGCTTACTCTGGCGGTCTCGCAACAGTAGACCCGTAGCTCCCCTATCTCCACTTCTGCATCTATATGAATTTTCTTGCTGTCCAGAATCACACCTAGCCCTCATTCCACGAACCGGCAAATTGGCATCTTCAAAATCGTCAGTCAGTTGTAAAGCTTGCTAGGCTCTCTGTTTATGGATGGAGTCTGAGAATAACGACACCGCAACAAAATGAGGTTCTCTTCACGCATTTTATTCTCCCTCCTGTACTATATCTACGTTTCGCCTCTCGCCTTTGGAGCGGGCATCCAATACTGCCGAAATGACCCGCCACTCTGCTTCGCAGTCGCCAGTATGAAAAACAATACAGCTGGAGGTCATGATATTCATCTTTCTCTTGTCATGACACCGTCTATCAACGGAGGTTGGGCAGCTGTTGGCATTGGAAATAAAATGTCGGGCTCCTTGATGTTTTTGGTGTATTCAGAAAAAGGGCAAAAGGCACTAATGACCAGTATCCGTACTGTCGAAAGTCATGATAATCCTACATTGTTAATGGATCATGGGAGGCATGTCGAAATGATCAACAGTTCCATCTCATCCACAAGCTACCATGCGCGTTTTGTATGTTACTCATGTGACCATTGGTGGCGGACGGCGACTTCGAAGGAAGGAAAAACACAGTTCATCTATGCCGCAAACCGGAAACAGACGTTTGACACGGCCACATCGAATTCGGTTCTGAAAATTCACGATACCTACGGTGTTGTCGAAGGTGATATGGACAAAGCACTACTCTCCGATCCACACGAACCCTTACCGGCAATCAGACCTGGTGAGACTTCGGGATTTGAGCTGAAAAACGAGAATGGGGTAATAAAATCGACCCCGAAGTCTTCTACCCAGCAATCGCCCTGGCTATCTCCAGGGCAAGTCCATGGCATTGTCATGGTTTTTGTTTTTATGGGTCTTTTCATGCCAGGTGCAATAATCATCCGATTGCCGCTAGTCCGTGCGTTCAGGTATCACTGGGCCATTCAGGCATGTGCGTCACTGCTTGCCTTAGGAAGTGCCGCATATATGGCAGTTCGATCAACGCATTTTGACCTGCACAAGATTCTTGGCATCACAGTGGTAGGCTCATTGCCGCTTCAGGCAATGGTGGGTTATAAGCACCATGCAATATTCATGCGAATTCATCGGCAGTCTGTGTATACGTCAGTGCACAAGTGGGCCGGGCGTGCCCTCTTGCTCTTGGGGTCCCTTAATGTGGGGTTTGGTCTCTCTCATAGCAGGCGATCTACAGGAGCAATTCTTGCGTGGTTCATTATCTGGCTTGTTGAGATCGTAGGGATTGTATGGATTTTGCGACGAAAACGACAAGAGAGGCAACAGCAACGGGGACAGTTGGTGCCGAAGGACGAGCCTGAAAATGGATTAATTAGCTCTCAAGAATTCGAAATAGGTGATTCAGACAGCTCTGATTCGGAAGACGGGCTATGAACATGAAGGCAAAGGTGATCAAGTAGTATAAAGACTGGTTGGTGTGGGTCATGAAACGGCTTTTTACCGGGTTTTTGCAGATGTTCGATATGCGTCCTTGGTGAAACTAATCTACTAATAGCTGTTTTGGAGGTTAACTGTACGTAGTGTATTGTTGATTGTAGGGATTTGCTATAGGGTAAATCTGTGAAATAGGTCCTCTGGCCCTCAGCTTGACAATGCCAGTCCAGTCAATCTGTTGAGCAGGAGTCAGGTGACTTGTCAGGTGACCAGGTCTCTGAAGGAGGAACCAGAGAACTGTAGGTTCGCCACCTCCTCTTCTCAACCATGGTACCAATTTCATTATCTTTGTCTATTGGGCTGGTGGAGGTTTGCTAGGGGTTTTTCATATGTTTTTCCCATAGTCTTGATTATAGCATGTTTGTCTATAAGTATTCTTGTCTCATTTGTTAGAAGCAGACTGAGATGCAATATGATAGATGCTTAGTTACATAATCATCACATACTTCTGTGTTGTTCAATAGTTATGAGCCCAGACTCTTTCAAGAATTTGGTTGTTATCTAAAAATATGTTCAAGATACTTTATTTTACTCTTATTACTCATACAAATAGAGATCACTATTAAGTATCTTGAGATCATACATTGAACCCTCTATTTAAGCTTAAATCTTAATTGTGAAGTTTGTGGAGATCTAACACATCTATATAATTTTTACTGATCTAAGTCTACAGAAAACCATAATCTAGAGTCAATGTCTCACTTCAATAATTAATTAAAAATGAACAAATTGTCTAGAAGAGTTGTTATGCTGAATAGTTCTGATGATTGAGAAGAATGAATTGAAGACATCAAGCATTTAGCAAATCTTCACTAATTGTGATCATATGTTGATCTGACAAAAGAAACACATCTCAAACTTTGAAAATCTGTTATAGAGAATTTTCTTTCTTCTGAAAAAATCAAAGAAACTGCAACTTCTGCAGATACAAAACATGCAAGAAATATGCAAAGAGATCAATACAGAACTTGAAAGAAGAGAATCTTAGCAATGCAAGAGCTACAGAAAACAATAAGAGATCATATAGATTCATCTCTAAAAATTCTTATAATAAGTGAATTGAGTGGTGTAGAAGCTACTGCAAAAGAACATCTGAAAGCTCTATATACTAGAAATGCAGTGAATGCTTCTCAATTAAAAGCTAGACTAGTAGAGAGATTCAAAATTCTAGAAGATGAATCAAAGAATCAAGCAATTGAAGCATATTTACTGAATTATGAAGAAACATTAAATTGAACTACTGTATACAATATGTGCAAATATATCTGCAAGTCTTTTGCCTTCAAACAATTTCTGAGAGCAATCTCTCAGAATTACAGAGAGTTCTTCTATATGTATCTGTCAAAGCTTCTAACTGAAGAGAATTTGAATCAGAAGCATGAGCTGAATGTTTATAGACATATTTAAATATTTCAGCAGACATTAAAGAAGAATTCTGAGCCAGATCAACAGAATAAGCTGTCAGCATATTCCATCAAAAAGATAGTTCAAAATAAGTCATTGAGAAAGAGTAATGAAAATATGAACTCTGCATGTCTTTGCAGAGAGCATCATGATTGGGTGTACTGTTCATATTTTAATTCACTTGTTCAATCAATGGGCTGGAAACTGGATCCAAAAATTGATAATAAGATCAAGAAAGCATTGAAGAATCCAGTGAATGAAAGAAAATTAAAGAAAAAGATTGCAAATTGGAAGAAATTGAAGAATTTAAATACTACTGAAGAAGCTAGTGCTTCAGATGATGCAACAGACAGTGGTGCTAACAAAACTGTTGTCAAGACATTCTCTAATCTGACTATCTTTGCTTTTGTAATGATTTTTAACTTCACTAACATGAGCAATAAATATGAACTCTATTCATTATGGGACAGCTTCATATTGGATGGGGGTGCAGATGCACATATTTGCAATGATTTTACAAGATTTCAAAACTATCAGAACACTGATTCTTCAGATATTGTGCTTGTTGAAAATACTCATTGTAAAATTCACAGATACAGTGATGTTGAAGTTTATATTCAAATGCCAGCAGATGCTGACAAGATATTACTAAAGAACATTCTATACATTTCTGACTTTCATACAAATCTAGTAGTGCATGAATTGCTGTGTGCAAAGAGTTGTTATTTGGACAATGAGTCTTTTATGATTTACTACATCAGTACAAGAGATATCTTGTTCAATTTGACTGTTAAAGAGAGAAAAATGATTGTTGAATACAGATCTATTAACATTGCAACAGACAGTATAACAAAGAGTGTTTTTACTGCCTTATTGAGTGAAGATTTGATTAAAAAACTGATCACAGTGTTGGTCTTTAGCTCACTGAAAATCATAAATATTTAGCATCTAAGACTTGATCATCTGAACAGAGAGTCTCTGACACATCTTCTGAAGATGTCTATCAATGTGAAATTTGAAAAGATCTCTTGAGATTCTCTAACAGTGAAGTGCAGATCTTGTACTCTTTCAAAAGCAAAGTAAATTATACACAGAATGCTGTTGGAAAGATCTACACACTCATTTATGAAGATGTTCATTGATCTCATACAGTTTGCTCCAGATTATAATGAAGATAGATGAGTGGTTCACTTATATTGTGATTATACTCATCTGCACTATGTGGAAACAATGCAGCAAAAATCCAAAAGTTTGATGTGCACAGCAAAAATGATAAGAGTAATTCTCAATTTATATCAATTGACTATCTTAACTATTCAGATTGACAGAGAAATCTCTATGCAGTCAGAACTGACAGCTTTGACTCAAACATATGATATAGTTGTTCAATGTTCAGCATCCTACACACTGACTCAAAATGGAGCTGTGAAACATGCAGAAGCTTTAATAATAACAGCAGCACATACAATGCAGATTGAAGTCAACTTGTCTGAGAATTTATGATCAGAATGTGTCAAGACTACAGTGTATATTTTAAACAGAATTCTGATTAAAGATCTTGGTTGGAACACTTCTCTTGAATTCTTAGAGAAATATCTTTGAACTGCAACTTCTTTAACTGAAATTAGACATATAAGAGTTTTTGGCTGTAGAATGTATTCTTTAATTAAGAATGCATGATATGGAAGAAATCAGAAGCTGACTTCTAGAGTGAAAGTTGAATATCTCATTGAATACAAATCAATGAATATTTTTTGCATTTGGATTTCAGTACAACAAAAGATTATATTAATGAGAGACATTATATTTGATGAAGAAATGCTATTCAATTCTAATGAGATTAGCAGTGAGCTTTTATTACAGAAGAGCTTCATTGTGCTGGATACAATATCTTTTATTGAAGTAAGTGATATTAACAAGATGAGCTTGAGTGAGCATGACAGCAAAGATGAAGACTCTGAGAAGAATATATCACATGAAAGTCATGAGACTGTTGATCAGTTAATAAGATCAATGAAAACAATGACTAAGACACTAACTGATCAATTAGAAGAGACACATGCATTGTCAACATTAGAGTCTACATCAGAGTCATCAGCTTCAGACATTTACACTCAATCTCTTTCAGATGGTTCTACAATGCCATTGACTGAAATAGAGATGCTGAATCAACTTTCATTGACAGCCAATCATTCTGCTGCAGAAACTATGGAGGTAATGAGTGGTGTTGTAGCTGAGCTGTCTGAAGATATAACATTCACTACACTTTCTGCCACTAGCCCTATTGACATGTACATATTTATGGAAGTAGCTAGATAAAGATAGTAGTTAGTTAGTCAGCACCCCAAGTCTATCAAGAAAGCTTGGAGAAGAAAGAATAGAATCATCTTCTACTACTCAATCAAAATCACACAGACATTCCATAGCTCTTATAGACCAGGTAACAAACTGATAGCATGTCTTGCTTGATTGAGAACTCTGAGAGTAGTCCAAAATTCTAAAAAACCTTACTGAAATACTCATGAACTCTAAGCATAATTAATGAGAAATAATGGAATCAGCAAATGAAACCAGATCAATTATTGAGTCTCTCCCAAATTCTGTATTGCAAACAGCTAAATACATAATTAACTATAGCCAAAGTAACCCTAGCTCTCAAGTAATTTCACTCAGCACATGACACCTAGCAGAATTCATCACCAAAAATAATAAGATATCATTACCACAAAGTCAAGCCTTCAACATTTATCAATCTTGTATATCAAAAGAGAATTCTAAAGTGCTTCCACTGAACAGTTCACAGCTGACTCAATCAGAATCAGAGCTCTCTGACATTTTTTATCCAGCAGACTGAAATCTTGATTCATTAATAATCAGAACAGCAATCCACAAATTTATTCAGAATACAATGATAGTTACAAAGCTATCTTCTTATAGAGCATCACTACCAAATAAGTAAGTCATCTTGAACAAGTTCTCAAGTAATCTCTTGACTAATTTGATCATGGACTTTTCATTCAAAAGCAGTAATTCAAATGACATTCCATCAACAACTTTCAATCAAATACAGCAGGAACTATCTACACCAACAACATATGAATTTCCATCTCTTGATCAGACAACTACAGAAAACTAACAATCAATTGCAATCATGATCTTTAATGATCAAAACCTCTCAAACTCTGACAATTCTTCAGAACCATCAATTAAAGCCCTAGAGAAATGTGCAGCTTATACAAACAACATAAATATGCAACATATTATAGATGCAGTAACAGCAAACATGTGCACAATTATACACTCAGAATTAGCAGTCTTACACAGAGAATCATCTACTTCTCTTCCAACTTCAGTTTTATCAGCCCAACATCCTATCACTAACAACCCCATACCCCAGCAAAACTGGAAAATCACTGATATTGGCTATTTCTACTCAGATATGCCACACCATTGAGAAAGAGACATTGCAGACTGAGAAGAAAAGATCTGAATTAAAGATGTCTATCTTTTTACAGCTAGAATCAAAGCAGCAGCAG